ACGAGCACGCTGGCTGTAATGCCTGGCTATAATACAATCAATATAGCCCGCCTAAATTACAGCCTCCTTATCAATGATCTATAATAATAACGCATCAAAAGCGCGTATTTTAACGAAAAACCGGCATTATCCGATTGAGTTATAATGCACACCCGGGCCATTGTACACAAAAAGTCGTTAAGATTAAGCACCACTCGACTGGTTCCTTTGATTTTATTTTTATTAACGAATTCGCATTTCGGATTCTTTTTTGTTTCTTAATGCGCATCACTCTTCGGAAGAGTCTTCGGATAATGATATTGCTTATTGCAATAGTCACGCATCGATTTTTGGTTACAATCGGTGCGAGTGCCAACCGGTTCGGTATTTCCAGTCATTCGGTAGAAAATTGTGGTTTGCGCGAATGCGAAATGTGAGAACTTTACCACTTTACGCCGACGGGCAGACAACATATGCTCAGGCGTAATTAGGGTAACAGTCGTAAATTATTATTACGTAAAAATGTAGCAAATTATTCAAATGGATGTTTTTATTATCACAGCGCGCTACTGTTTAACGACATCATTTATTAATATTTGATATAAAAGTTCTGAATATTTTTTGAATTCGTTTGTAAATAAACTCAGTAAAAATTGTTATTTATGCATATTTACGTAATAAACTTAAATTATTTAATTATTTAAACATTTTCCAGTCATAAATTAAATACAATAAATGCTTATCTCTTTATAGTTGCGTTTAATCCGTTACATTACACTATTTATAAACTATTTCACTGGAATTATAAATCTTGCTAAATCTTGTTAGTCAGGAGTTTGTTGTATAAATATGTGCTCGGTTGCTAGGATTTTAGTGAAGGTTTTCCACTGATAGCAATATGAAGCGTAAGTTTATCTGTTGCTGACATAATATTTATTTATTTATACGATTAATTAAACTTGTAGAATTTTTCGTTGTTTGTATGGTGTTGGTGGTGGCCATTGCGGCTGAAGCAAAAAAATGCAATATTGAATGTATTGATGAAACTACATTTAAATATTATGGCAATACTATGGAGTGCAAACCTGTTAATGATATACCAACAGTATGCAATGAAGAGTGTAAGGAGATCGCTGACAAAGTTCCTATGTAAATTATGCAGTATTTAAACTTTGAAAAAAACTTAATTTTGACTAATGTCACTTTAGGTGTGCTACCATTGGAGATCTATGTCCTTATACTTGCCCAGACCCAAGTGAACCAGGCACTATAGAAATTAATGGAATGCAGACTACCTGTCCAAAAGATACAACCTGTAATACAGAATTGGACTCTTGCAAACACATGTAATTATAGCACATTATGACATATAAGTACTTTTATTTATTCAATTATTTTATTCTTTTTAACAGGTGTAGGGCAGAAAAGTGTGCTAATGCTGATATGTATGAGTGTGTTGGAACCGATTCCGTCAAAATCTATGGAATCACCGTCAAGTGCCCCGGTAAAACGGTGTGCAATGCAGAAAAGATACAACCTTGTAATTTGTACGTATTTGTAATATGTTTTCTATGATTGAGCAAATCGTAATTTTTAATTTTTATTTTTATAGTTGCATTGAAGCTTCTGGGGCCAAGAGTTCCATCGATAGTTGGCTAACCAATTCGTATTAATTATGTCTTGAAATATTCAAATAAAATGTACTTTGATTATTACCAAATAAATATTGCAGCACAACTTTTATTTTTATTTTTATTATGTTTTACTTGATTAAATGTGTTAAATCCTTTCGAACCCAAAAAGTTTGCTTTAATTAAATACCACTTACGTGAAATTATGACAATTATAGTGCTTTAATGTACTCGTAATTGCTATTTTCAATTTTTTATTTACTTATATTTACACCTAAATCTTTATAATATTTCATGGCAACAAAAGTCATAAATTGCGATTAGTAACTATAAAATTAATACCACTAAAACTGGCAATAAAACAGGATGGCAATAACAAACTTTTTACTATTTTATGTAAATATAAATTTTAGTACATATAGTGATGAAATTCTTCTCAACAATTAATTACATGTTATCACAATGACAAGTAAGTTCATAATTGATACTATAAACTATATGTCATATCTATTTTCTGAATTCATATTCTAGTGTATGCATCTTTGATTTTCCTTCTGGTCGCGCTCGGCTTGAATGCTGTAGATGCCGATTGCAAATTCGAATGTGTCTCTGAGAAAGAGTTTAAATATAATGGCATGACTTTTCCTTGTGGTACAATTGGTGAAGAATCAACCGTGTGTAATGAAAATTATTGCGATGAGGACTCCAATGGTCTTTTGTATATTTTAAACAAATTATATCTTATTTAACACAATTTACAATTGATTTGTTTTAGCTGTGACACCATCAAAAATGTGTGTGATTACAAATGTGTACCTGGTGAAGGAAATGAGAATAAAATTATTGTGGGTGGCGCAGAAAATAAGTGTCCTGACAACACCATATGTAACGTTAAAGGGGACTCTTGTGAAAATATGTAACTAAACACCATTTTTTTTAAATATGATATTAATACATCAAAAATTTTAGGTGTATAACGACATGCACTAATGCTGGCAAGTATGAATGCATCAGTGATACAACTTTTGTAATAAGTGGAATAACTTTATCATGTGGTGAAGGTCAAATCTGCAATCAAAAATTAGAGCAATCATGTGATATGTAAGTATTTTTTAATTTTTATTTGTAGTTTAATTTTATATTTCTATTAAATTTTCAGCTGCATTCCATCAGGTACTACCAGTAAACCAACTGAACCTGCAGAACCTACTGAAGAGCCTACTGATGAGCATACTGAAGAGCCTAATGAAAAGCCTACTGAAGAGCCTAATGAAGAGCCTACTGAAGAGCTTACCGAAGAGCCAACTACTCAAAAAGAAGAGATTCCTACAGAAAAGGAGACCATTCCAACTACAACAGAGCTAATAACCACTCCGACAACTCCTCCACCAGAAGTAACAACCCCAACTACTACTCCCAAAGAAGTGACCACCCCTACTACTACTGGAACCACAGCTTTCCCCATACCTAATTGTAATAATCCATCCGGCAGTGTCAGTCCATGCAGATATGGCCCGAAAGGATATTATTACAAATGTGTCAAAGTAAATAGTAGCAGTTACGCTGCAAGGCGGATTTCTTGTGCCGCATGGCCCTATGATAATATCTGCAATAGATACAGACTCTGCTAAAAGAAACTGTACTTAAAATGATGAATTGATTAAGAACTTCTGCGTTTTGATGGGAATAAATAAATAAATATGATTGCAATTTATCACAGATGTTTTAATAATCCTTTGAAATTCTTGGTATTTGGTAAAATCCATCACGTGCCTGAACGTTGTTAAACACTCGATTGATTAAACGCTCGCAAAATTCCCAATTAGCCCTTTGACACTTAATATACTATTACACGAAACATCTTGTAACATCTTTTTTTAACATCTCATAGCAACAAAAGTAATAAAATACAATTAGTAACAATAAAATAAATCCAATTAAAACTAGCAATAAAACTGCGCCACAATTTCAGAGTATTTGCTATTTTATGTAAATATAAATTTTGGCACATATAATGTTGAAATTCTTCTCCAAAATTAATTAAATGTCAGCAACATGGCAAGTAAGATAGTTGATGAAAACTTTATTTCTCAGTTAATTTTTTTTATGTTAAATTTCAGTGTATATTTTTTTGATCTGTTTTCTTGTCGGGCTAGGCTTGAATACTGCAGATGCAGCATGCGATTTTAAATGTCTCGATGAAAAAGAGGTTCAGTACAATGGGCTTAGCTTAACTTGTGGTAAAATTAATGGAGACCCTACAGTGTGTAATGAAAAATTTTGCGATGATGACTCCAATGGCCGTTTGTATATTATAAATAAACATTTTACTGTGTAACATATTTGAAATTAGATTTGTTTTAGGTGTGATACCATCAAAAATATGTGTGATTACAAATGTGTAAGTGGTGATGGAAATGAGAATAAAATAATCTTGGGTGGCGAATATAGTGAGTGTCCTGCCAACACCATATGTAATACTAAAGAGGACTCATGCAAAAACATGTAACTAAACACAACAAATGAATGTTTTTTGAATGATGATATTAATGCAAAATTTTAGGTGTGTAGAGAAATGTACTAATACTGACAAGTATATATGTTTAGATGATAAAACTTTTGTTATCATGGGAGTTACTAAAACATGTGGTGATGATCAGGTTTGCAATAAATATTATGAGTTTCCTTGTAAAATGTAAGAATTTATAAAACTCTAATTTTTTTTTTGGCAAATAATGATAAATGTTTTGATTTTTATTAAAATTTCAGCTGCATTCCATCTACAGGTAATACCAATAAGCCAACTGAACCTTCGAAGCCCACTACCAAGGAAGTGACCACTCCGACTACTACCGGAACGACATCATTCCCCATACCTGATTGTAATAATCCATCCGGCAGTATGGGTCCTTGCAGATATGGCCCGACAGGATATTATTACAAATGCGTTAAAATAAATAGTAGCAGTTATGCTGCAAGACTGATTTCTTGCAGCGCATGGCCAGATGATAATATTTGCAATAGATACAGACTCTGTTAAAAGAAACTGTACCAAAACTGATGAATTGATTAATGGCTTCTGCGTTTTGATTGGAATAAATAAATAAATAAGTTTGCAATGTATCACACGTTTCTTGATTATCATTTGAACTTTTAAGTTTTTCTTATCTTTTTAATGTTTTTTTTGTTTATGTGTTGCTAACTCACTATTTAAATTATTATTGTTTGAAAAATTAATACTTATCACATAAACCTACACAATACTTCATTAAAATAAAATAGTTGAAATTCAGAGACGGCGCAATTTGATTTAATCCTGAAACTAAAATTTTATGCTTTGTACATTTTGCACGTCAAAAAGTCAACATCATTTAGATTTAGAGCTTTGTAGTATTAAAGTTTAAAAACGCTTTCATTCCAAACATTGTAAACTCATAAACTTCATTTTTAAATAAAATACCCTATATAACAGTTTACTATCTCACAAAACTTTGTATTTGCTACAGCAAGATAAAATGAAAAGTACTGATTTTCAGTAATACATCAATTGTAAATTAATTAAATAAAACTTTTTTAGGCGTTGCAGTATTCATCCTTATTGCTTTGGCACTGTCCTCTGCCCAGGACTTTGAATGTAAAGACACAAACACTGTTAACTATTATGATAATTTGTTGAAGTGTCCTGATGGCCTTATCTGCAACAGCAAACAAGTTAAAGTTGGTAGTGCCAAACCAAAACCGTAAGTAAAAATATGAAATTTAGCTACTTAAAATAGGTAAACAAATTAATTTTATTCAACATTTATATGCAGATGTGTAGCACCAAGCGCAATTTGTGATTACTCTTGCGACGCGAAGAACAACGACAATGTCATTATAAATTCAATCAGCTTTCCCTGTAAAACAGGCTCAGAATGCAACGCCAAGAAAACATCATGTGATGTGTAAGTATTTTAAATATTTATATTTATAATGTTTATATTATTTTCTTTATTATATAGTTGCGTTCCAAAAAAATGTGCTGAAGGCGTATATTCATGCAAAGAAGGCAAACCTGAACAGTTTTTCATTGGCCTTTATGAAGGTAACTGCCCAGCGGACTACATTTGCAACACACATAACGTACAACCATGCACTCCGTAAGTACAATTCAATTAAAATACTTAATTCTAACAATCATAGCTTTAATTGAACATTTTGTTGTTATAGATGTGTCTGCAAAGATAAAATTTCATGTCCTCCAGCAACTCGCAAAAGAAGCATTTTCCAGAGGTCTTATTATGCTTGAACAAGACGTGAAACTATCTACACAACAATATTTTATTATCATTTAAACATTAGTTTGCGAAATATGTACTTATTTGAGAAATATAAAACAATTAAGAACTGTAAATTCATTTTAATTAATAAAAGTATATGATTGACATGATTTGATGTTTAATTTTATGCAATATTTTTATACTTCTTTATATTGTACTGTTTTTATACTTTTATTTTCTGCAATAACTGAAAACCAAACCAAATTGTAACATGTAATATCACTAAATTTAAAAATTAAACTTTTTTACTTATTACAATATATATTAGATTATATATAAATAATATTTTTTTCATAATATAGAAACCAAATATTATTTCAAGTTCCACTTAATTCTCTTAATTTAACAAAAAATTTGCGTATTTGCTAAACACTGTTACCAATTGCGCAATTCTCTTAATTTTGTTAATACCTGGAAAATTTATTACGCAGATTAAACAGAGGCAATTAATTTATTGCAGCTAGTTTAGGTTATTAGTGTTAAGTTTAAGTTTTATGTTATTCCATACCTATATATTTATTTATGTGCGACAGTGTGTCCAATAAAACATTGCTAAACACAATGCTAAAGAGAAATATGGGTATAATTTGTAAATTCTAAGTAAATAATTGTATACTAATATTAATTTTCTGCAGGTGGGCCAATAATAATTCTCGTCTTTTGTGTAGCTTTAGTTAGCGCACAAGAAGACTTTACTTGCGATAAAAATAATAAAAATGCAGTTACATACTTTAATACAGCATTGAATTGTCCGGAAAACACAATTTGCAATGATAGATATAAATTGCTGAATCGCGAGACTAAACCACGACCGTGAGTTTGTTTTTTATACATATACATTTATTAATATTAATTTCTTAAATAATATTTGCAGTTGCCTCGCTCCTTCCGACATTTGCGAATATTCATGTGGCAAAAACACGTCACTTGTAACAATCAATACTATCAATTTTGAATGTGGTGCTGGACAAGTTTGCAATAAAGAAAAACTGTCCTGTGAAGTGTAAGCAGTATTTTGTGCGGCTTATATAATTATAATATTTTTTTTATATTTTGACAGTTGCATCTGTGCAAGAGATGCGTATACATGCACTGCTAATGGCAATGTTAAACTTACGGTTAATGGATATGAATTTTCGTGTGGAACAGGATCTTCTTGTAATAAAAATTATGAAGCACCTTGTGGAATGTGCGTAAACTTTTAAACTTATCATTAAATATTAGAAGACTTTTATTCAGACTAGAAATATAATATATTGTTTTGAATGTGCATAGGTGCATTAAAGATGTAAACGAAGGTAATGACGATGATGATGATAGCAATGAACTTGGGGGCTCGTCAACGCCAGGCGATGACGATGAAAACAAGAGCGAAACGGCCAGTGCTGGTTTTAGCACTACCAGCGACCAGGGCGAGATTTCTACGGCGTCCCCAATCGCACCCGTAGAATAAACCGGCCAAGTGCGAGTCGGCGCCCTTTAAAGTCCGGCGCCCCTGGGTGGTCGCTCAACCGCACCAGGCCCTAACGCCGGTACTGGAAACTGGTGTCGAAGGAATCTTTTTATAAGAAACTCTTTACAAAATGTACATTAATTCACAATAAATCGGAATTCACCCTATAAAATTTAGTGTTTCTCATCGTCAAGATATTATTTAATAAACATGTCTTTTTAAATGTTGGCACATTTGATTACTTGATTGTTTCTTTGACACAGAATATATGTTGATTTTTTCTTGAATTGTGAAAATTTTCTGCGAATTTAATGAAATATGTTCATCTTAGCGCCATCTTACTTGGTACTATTGAGTTATAGTCCACGCAATTACACAGTGAAACTAATTCCTCTGTAAATTTTAACCTTAATACATTAATACCTGCATGTTTCATATTAAACTCAATGTTTACCTGTTGATACTAACACAACTTGCAAATGTTTGCAATCCACTTTTATCTGTATTACCTCAAAAGCAACGATAGATGTCGCTAGTATGCACTTTTGAACTAAAATATTGCAGTAAGAATTCAGATATCCACGTATTCTTTATCTCAATCGTTCTATGTGCGTTCTATCATCAAATTTAATATTATGAATAAATATTGTGAAGGCCATGGAAAAACATAAAGTAATAGACCAAAAGCAACAAAAAATTCATTTCTTTAAATAAATGTATTTCATACAATAAATATTTATCTATTATTTTAATTAGAGTGAATAAATACGTGTTACAATGTTGTATCAAAACAATCTACGTCGTATTTACGCTCATTTCAATGTTATTGCCGCTTTTCATTTCTAGGAAAGTCAAATTTTCCTGATAAGCAAAGATTTACAACGCTAAACTTTCCAACACTTGCGTGTTAAATAAAAATGCATAGCTAGATTAACTATATTAATGCCGATGTTTTATAACATTCCATAGTTGCAACAAATTTAACATCATGTATAGATATCAGCACTTCATTTCGTTTGTCATCTTATTGACAAGTATTTTAATACCAACCGAGTCGTTATCTTGCGAACCGGCGTCCTTTAAATGTTTATCAAATCCACGTCTGTATGTTATCGACGGTAGTATTCAAGTGTGCCCTAATTCACAAATTTGCAACGAACAGAAAACAATTTCATGCGATCCGTACGTCATGAGTTACTTTTACATCAATCGATGAGTCAATGATTAATTTTTGATGTTTTTAGGTGTATTGATGCAAACATCTCGAATGATTTAACAAAACCAAGAATTCGTATGTTTAATTTATTTTATCTATGATTTTATTTATGGGTTAATCGTGATATATTTTTTAGTTGGACCGGATTGTAATGATGGTTTTGGATCGTCAGATCCATGCAGACCAGGTGAACCTGGCAGTGGATATTATTATAAATGTATTAGAATTGGAAATAGTTACACTTATGTAAGACGTCGTTGTTTTTGGAAGTGTTTAGATGTGTGTTATAGAAATCCTGTGATTTGTCAATGAAATTTTATATTATTTTAAGTTTACAGCTTGTAATTGTAATGAAATAAAATAATAAATCATAAAATCTAACATAAGTATTAAATTATTTGATGAAAACATCTTATTTGTACTCAAAATTATCAGAGATATTAATTTTACACTGACATAGATAGATTTGATACGATTTCACACATTTTTGAAGTGGAAACTTCTTTAAAATGAAAGATTGGATATTTCTCTATCAGATTAGCAAATAAAATAATTATATATCGTAGGGTAAAAGGGTGAATGTAATAAAAATTGAAATTTTTCAAATGACAATTTTTTACAATTGCGAATATTTCGTAAACAAAGAGAGATAGAAAGGAACGAATCGCAGAATCTTAATTTACGGGCAATTCTCTATCAAATAAGCAAGGAGAGGTGCTTGAGGATTTTTAACAAGGTTTTTTGATAGGAAATATCTTCTGAATAAGTGTTTTACATTAAATGATTTTGGATTATATTCCACGAACCATAATATATCATAATATAACTCTCACTATATTATCACTAAGCTGAGATTTTGAAAAAAAGAAACTTGATTACACTTTCTAATTATATTTCACCTTAGATACACATTTAAATCCCGCGTAATAAATTAAACTCATGCTGTAATGTCATCATAATAAATAGAAGTTGTTTGCGTCGCAAGTGCAAGTAACATTGACATTGCTGCACCTAGCAACTTCAACTTCATCTAACAAACATGAAAATAAGTTAGTAACCAAATAATTTATCTACTTTTGTTTCTCATATAAAATTTTTTAATTTTATAATTAAGGATTTTTATTCTTACTGATTGTGGGAGTTTCAATCGCCGAACCACCATCCTGTAGCCCTCAATTCAAATGTTTTGAATCTGATCTCTACACTTATGAAATATTAGGCAGTAATTTCACATGTCCACCTCGACAAATATGCAATAATGGTAAAACTTCCACTGATTGTACACCGTAAGTACTGATTTTTTTTATTGTTTCTTCCAAATAAACTGAAAAATATTTAAATATATTTATTTAGATGTGTCACTCTAGGAAAAGAAGTATGTAAATTTTCTTGTATTACCGATACGACAGGAACCCTACACGTAAGCAATGTAAAGGGAGATCAACCTTTTACTTGCCCAACAGATCAAATTTGTAATGCTGAGTACCTAAACTCTTGTTCACCGTGCATTCCAGTCGTCTGCGAACAGACATACGAATGTAATCCACTAAATCCCAATGAAGTGATTATAGGTAACGCTGTACTGACTTGTGCCAACAATAAAATTTGTAACCATTTATATAAACCTCCTTGTTCACTGTAAGTACAAATTAATTATTAGAATATTAAAAATTTTATTTTTTATTTTTTATTAATTCACAGATGCATTGAAAATTCTAATGGAGTAACCACAACCACTACAACTACGACAACTACCACAGCGAAACCTGTTGAACCACCAATTCAATGTAAGAAATTTCTCTACATTTTTATAACAAAAAATAAAACAGGCTATTAATTACTTTCAGATCCCCCAAATTGCAATGACGGTTTCAGTGCAACCCACCCATGCCGTCCTGGACCAAGAAAAGGTGGTTATTACTATCATTGCAGAGCAATTGGCACCAATTCATATGATTACGAAGTAAAACTATGCAAAACTCAATATGCAGATGCAACTTGTGGTGGAATCGCAAATCTGTGTCTTGCATAGTTTCAACAAACTGTCAAAATATTGCTGTAATAAATATTAAAGTTTTTGTTAATCCTTATCTGAATATAGCACTATAAAAGCAAAATTAGTCTGTGTTTCCTTTATAATAACAATTATACTTAATTGTGAATATGTTGTCGTCAAGAATAGAAAACTATAGTCAATGTCTTGTAATTATTTTGTTAATTACAAGCGTGGTTAGTCAACAATCATGTATCCCGCCATTTCAATGCTTAAGTTCTAACACCTATCAAATGTTGGGATCTGTTTTTACTTGCCAAGCGGGAATGGTTTGTAATGCAGACTATGATAACACATGCGCACCGTAAGATGTTTTAAACAAATTTTAACAATTTTACGTTTTACATTTTATTATTGTAGTTGTGTTGTGCCAAGTGCAGCTATGTGTAAATTCACTTGTGATCCACAAAATCCTGCAACAGGAATAATTACGGTTGTTCCAACAAAAGTTCAGGTACCATTTACGTGCCCTACTGGTCAAATTTGTAACAGTTTGTATGCAACTTGTGAATCGTAAGTGAAAAAACACACAAATTATTTGATTTTAATGAAAATCTATTTATTAGGTGCATATGTCCAAAACTCTGGACATGTGATGCAAATAATCCAAACGTAGTCACTATTTTTGGTTTTACATTTTCATGTGGCACCGGAAAAGTATGCAATAAAGATTTTGTTGCTCCGTGCGAAGCTTGTATTACTGATGGGTCAGCAATAATTCAACCACCAGCACAATGTAAATAAATTTTATTGTAAAAAAATTTTTGATTAATTTTTTTAATTTTTCAGATCCACCTAATTGTAATGATGGATATGGTGCTACCAATCGATGTCGTCCTGGCCCGCGAGGTGCAGGATATTATTACAAATGCAGACGTGTCGGAATGGTGTTCGATTTTGATGTTAAATTATGCACTGGACTTGCCAGTGATTCATGCCGAAGTGTTGCTAATATTTGTGTTTAAAAGATGTAATAAATTCTGATGCAAAGTTTGTTAACGTTCACGTATAATTCCAACTCTAACTCATTGTTTGTTTATCCAGTTTTTGCATAATCCGCACTATAAATTTAATCTTTGATAAGATATATAGTTATATAATGTTGTTTGGTAATAAATAAGCATGTTTTATGAGTGTATTATTACAGTATTAAAATATTTAAAAAATTAATTGTTATATAATGGTATATTTCCTGGCACTATCCAGTAGTTTGTTTTAAATTGTCCTTTAACAAGTTAAAACAAGTAAGTTAACTTACATCTTAATTAATTTGTAATTTAATTAAATATTTTTATTCTTAGTGCTATTTTACGTTGTGACAATATCCTGCGTGCTTGCATTGGCGTCGGCTGGCAAAGACGACTGTAAACCAACCTGGACTTGTCACGATGCTGAACATTATGAAATTCTAGGACTCAATAGCACATGTAATCCTGGAACAGTATGCAACCAAGATTACACAGATGAATGCAACCCGTATGTCTGTTTAATAGTGTAATAATTGATTTACTTAATCTATAAATTTCAGTTGTGTAGAATTGAATGCCGATACTTGCCAGTTCACTTGTGATCCTGCCAATATGGGCCAGGCCACCGTAACAATTAGCAACAATGATGTTACCGTAAATTGCAACGAGGGACAAAAGTGTAATATATTATATTTGAACGATTGCTCTCCGTAAGTAAATGAAAAAAAATCAAAGAAAGAAAAAACTTAAATATTGGTTTGTTTTGTTAGTTGCATTGCAGAAACCTGCGATCCAGTATGGAAATGCAATCCTGACAAGGAAACTGAAGTATCTGTCAGTGGAGTAACAATTAACTGTCGCGATCGTAAAGTATGCAACAAGGACTACAAATATCCTTGTGATATGTAAGTTTTTAACTGTTTTTTTTTTAGTTTTTATTATTATTTATTAATTTCTTATTTTACTTTATAGGTGCGTTGATAAATTCCCTGGTATAACTTGTAAGTATATTATTTATTAAATACAAACATAAATATTTTATTTATATTTTGAATTAGATCCACCAAATTGCAATGATGGACATGGTCATTCCAATCCATGCAGACCTGGACCAATTGGCAGCCGAAAATATTATACCTGCAAGAAAGTCGGCAAATTCTACTTTGATTACGAAGAGAAAAAATGTCTGTGGCAATTCCTGGACGGCACCTGCAAGAAAAACAAAGAAATTTGTACTTAGAAAAATGTATACACTGCAATAATCAGAATATAAACGTAATCCGTTAATAAATGCATTAAAAATGTAATAAATTTTAATCTATTCAAATTTCCAAGAATATTTTATGTTTAAACAGACTTTGTTTTATCACTTTCGCTGCTATTGAAATAATCCTTTTAAATTTCTCCTTTTTATAACTACAACTAACCTTGATGGATTAAAATAACAGATGTGAGGGTATAAAAATGATCATTTTTTTGCACATGTAAAATCTGCGACAATGTTACTTCATACTCGCGTTTCAGTTTTTCGTAATTTCAATTATTTTATAATTACTTTTGTTTTGTTATTATCTCGCCCAATACTTGGCGTACAAAAGCAAACGGATGAGATTTTTGAACGAATTCCCTGTCCTCCGGTGTGGCAGGGCATCTACAAATGTGATCTTCAAGATTTGTCTCATGCTACTGCATTCGGAATGAATTTAACATGTGCCACAAACCAAGTGTGTAATTTCGCTTACATAGAACCCTGTCAACCGTAAGATTATTTTACTCATTAAGTTTTAATATTTGTAATCAACTGTATTCATAATACTTTTAGATGTATTGACAATGTTCACGTCTGCTCTGATATTTATTCCTGTGTCGATGACAAAACAGTATTAATTGGTAAAAACTTATTTGTCTGTGAAGGCAGCCAAAAATGTAACAAAAATTTTGAGCAAGGGTGCAAGCCGTAAGTTTGTTAATTTTAATTAGAAATAAAAAATTACTTATTACCATTAGATGTTATTAATTTATTCTTACAGTTGTATCAATGATGAAACCATAACTACTCCATCTACTCAAAAACCTAGTACAACAACGTTAAGAATCGGTAACTATTTGAATGATATAAATGTGTTTGGATAATTTATTTTCTAATTTTGTTTTGTTTAAGAAATTCCGCCAAATTGTAACGACGGCAACGGACTTTCGAATCCGTGTAGACGTGGTCCGCCTTATTCAAAATATTATTATCAATGTGTTAGGTACTCGCCAGTTTGGATCGATTATCAAGCAAAACCTTGTTCCCAGAAGCAATCGAATCGAGTGTGTAGAAATGCTGATGTTTGCTAATTGAAATATAATACTGAATATTTGTCAATTGAATAAAAAAAAAATATATAAAACGTTTGATAGTTATTTTTAGATTAAATTAAACAAATTTTAATTTGTTATTGTGTGTTCCACAAACGTGGGAGCAATATGAAGCAAATATAATATAAAATTAATATTCACAATTTTGCTGAATTTTGTTTCTTACCTTGAACTAATTTAAAAATTACAAGGAAAATGACCAAAACTCACTCTCTTCAAACATTTGAAGAGGAAAACAGACAAGTTTATTACTTTAATTTATAATACAATATAGTTATATATAGAAGCGCGTTTTCTATCGTTTCAACAAAAATTTGATAACTTCTTTAAGCTGTATTATATTGTATTACCAGGTAAATACTCGTATATTAAAATAATGCGAACGTCAATTTAGAATTCTATGTATTTTCATTAATTTTCGCTTTGTCTTGGGGATCTAATTTTATTGTTTAATGCAGAATTTTATAATGTGTGTTGAAGATTAAACAAATCTCTAAAATGTGTCGGTTTAATCCAACTTTGAGCTAATGCAAATCCAGCAAATAAAAATTTAACAATGAATGCGATAAGTTTATTACTTCAATTTATAATTGAAAGCAGTTATATATAAATCTGCGATTTTTCTCATTTCAGCAACAATTTAAAACATTCAAAAAAATTCTGATTAACATGTTTCTTAAAGGTAAGTTTACTTAATGTACTTATAGTATTGCATTAATATGTAAATATATAAAAATAAACCGGACGTTATTGTAGCATTCTACGTGTTTTCATTCATTTGCTTTTTGTCTTGGGGAACTGATGCTGACACATGTGAGGATTCTGAAAAATGGTTCAAATGTTCAGATGACGATATAAATTCCTTTGAGTGGGGTGGATTGTCCATCAAGTGTCCCAGTGATAGAGTGTGTAATTCCAAGTATATTCTCACTAAAGATGAAACTACAACCACTATGACGCCTACAACAACTGTAACTGCTACAAACCCAACAACTACTGTAACCACTTTATCTTCAACAACTACTGAAACCTCTTCTTCACCTACAACTACTGAAACCACTCTAAGCACAACAACTTCTGAAACCACTCCCACCACATCAACTACTGAAATCACAACCACTTCTGAAACCTCTCCTACAACTACAACTACTGAAGCCTCTCCAACCACAACAACTACTGAAGCCTCTCCAACCACAACAACTACTGAAGCCCCTACAACCACAACAACTAGTGAAACCACTCCTACAACTTCAAATACTGAAGAGCCTATAACCACAACAACTACTGACCCCAATCTCGGTAGAAATATTCGAAAATTCCTTAATAGAGTAGCACCTAGAGCATCCAAATGCGAACCGTAAGTTTCTAGGACCCTTATAATAAATATAAAATTTTAATAAATTAAAACCGTAGGTGTGTACCCCCAAGTGTTGCTTGTGGCAATGGCAATAAATTCAAATGCGATACTAATAATTCAACTAAATTCGAATTGAATGGTGACAAATTCGAATGTCCTGATGGATTTAAATGCAACGATGGTTACAAACACGGATGTTTCCCGTGTTATCGCCCAAAATGCGAGAATAAATGGACGTGTGGCCCTGGTGAGGACGACGTAACAACTGACACATTCCGAGGAAAGTGCGTGAATGGATCGGTTTGTAAAACGGATAAATTTGCTCCATGTGACTAGTAAGTTTAATATGACAATATTGATTAAGTTACAAGTACTTTAAATTAATTATATTTGTGTATTTACAGCTGCGTGAGTAAATCAAGAAAAAGATCAGCACGTCAACTTCTGAGAATTATTGAAACTTTTTAAAATATTGATGTCACCATTTTGAAAGTACGGTTTATTGAATACTTTTGGTTATATTCATTCAAATTATGGCCTTGCAGATAAATTATCAAGATGTTTAAAAGGAATTTGTTAAAATTGTGATGTAAAATAGATTAAATACCTTTTATTTGTATTGTAAATAAAGCAATTATCAAAAAGTGTTCACAAGTATATTGTTATATAAATACGAGTATATAGAAATTTTCAGGAACACTTTAGCAATCAAACGACAAGACACGCAAAATTTCACTTTTCTATTTATTATTTTTTTCGATAAAGAAAAAGACCGACTTTTACCATAAAATTTCAATACAAATTTTGACAAGCCATGTCATGAGTTGTCTAGAATTAAAGCCAATATAAAAAGTAATTGTTATTATTCTACTTTGTTGATACTAATGATTTGCAACTCACATATTTGATTCATAAAGAAAACCTTGTTTTCAGAATCAATTGATTCAAGTTTGTTAAATGTTAACGAATATCTAAAACCGATTAATTTTATTTTTTCATGCTGAGTTCTAGAACGCGTGTGCAAGGTTAAACAAATGTAGTAAATTAATATAAAATTGCAAAACACAATTTTCAATTTAGGTTTATTCCTACGTTGCTAATGTTAATGGTAATGTAGTAAACAAAAATTTAGCAATGAATCAGACCAAAACTCATGCTTATCAAATATTTGAAGTAAAAAACAAACAAGTTTATTACTTTAATTTATAATGCAAAGCAGTTATATATAAAAACGCGTTTTTTTCTCATTTCAACAGAAATTTGATAGCATTTTTCATTCTAATAAACATGTTTTTCAAAGGTAAGCCTACGTTTATAAAATATTTATTATATTATAACGCATATTATATTATAGCATTCTGCGTGTTTGCATTAATTTGCATTACGTCTTGGGGTACTAATGCCGTGGACAAATGTGACGAAGCCGACAGATTTTTCAATTGTACCAAAGACGGTAGTTTTGACTGGGGTGGACTTACCTACAAGTGTCCGACTGATAAAGTCTGTAATTCTCAATATGTTCTCACCAAAGACGATGGTCCAGCTGCTACAACCAAATGCGAACCGTAAGTCCTCAACACACTGAATGTTAAAAATAATAAATTAACTAATAAATTAAAACTGTAGGTGTTTAGTACCAAGTGTTGCATGCAGCAACCTTAATTTTAATTGCGTCGCTACAAATACTTCTAAATTCGAATTGAATGGTATAGAATTTGAATGTCCCGATGGAGCAAAATGCAATCAAAATTTTGAACATGGATGCTTCCCATGTTATCGCGAAAAATGTCCGAGTACATGGAGGTGTCCTGGTCCAGCTGACGAAGATGTTGAAACTGACTCATTCATAGGAAAGTGCTCAGGTGGATCAGTTTGTAACAAAGACAGTGACTTCCCATGCTAGTAAGTTAAATATAAATTATGATTATGTAGATTGATATTTAAAAACAATTGTATTTGTTTATTTTCAGCTGTGTTAATAAATCAGGGAAAAGATCAGGCCGCCAACTTCTGAGAATCATTGAAACTTTTTAATATCTCGATGTCATCATTTCGAAAATGCTTTCAACATGCGTAGACTGTTATCATTTATTTAATATTCTAGATTTATCAGCACAAGTCCGCATCTACCTGAAAAATTTCAATCGTATTATCAACTTGAAGTACGTGTGTGTAGATTTGAAAGAATGTTATCAGATGTTCAAAGTCAACTTGTTAAATTTGTCATGAAATATATAAAATACAATTTATTTGTGCTGTAAATAAAAAACTTATACAAAAATGTTGTTAATTGTATTGTTAGATAAACCCATAGATATTTTCAGCAATATCGTAGCAATAAAACGACGAGAAACACAAAATTACATTTTATAATTTGCTTGTTATATTTTTTTCTTTTCTGAAAAACGCTTAGATTGCATTTTTTACTAAAAATCTGAATATAATATAAATACTGCTATGCCACCAGAACAATTGTCTCAAATGAAGGACAATATAATAAATTATTACCCCAAATTTATTGCTTTTCAAACGTCCTTGACGTTTCGTAATTAAAAAGGATTATAATAAATATATGTATTTAAAAGCTTCCCAGAAGACAATTTAATTTATTGCATTATTTTTTATTGCCCTGGTAACCTAGAATATATCATTATAAAACAAAATATCTGCAACACTTCTCCATACACGATGAATCGGCAAAGTAAGTGTTATTATAATGATTATAATTATAATATAGATTTGATTCAAATTTATTTTCTAATGTGATTATTAGTTTTAGTCCAGTTGACAATACTTATTGTTATTAATAATGCACAAGGACTTATTCCTTGTACTGAAGATGAAAAAAGTTTTAAGTGTAATCAAAGTGATTTAACTGTTTTCACCATGGGCAGCAACGACAATATTAAATGCCCACCGGACATGTTTTGCAATTACAATTATCAAAAAGCCGACGCTTCAAGTTTTTGCATTCCGTGAGTTATGAAAAATATACTTATAGATATTTGCAATATTTTTTTTGTTTGTTTTTATAGCTGCCGAGACAAGAAATCGGTTTGTAATAAATTCGCATGTGTTCCAAATAAACCTTCAAAAGTGTCAATCATGGGAATGGAACTTGACTGTCCGAACACTTTAATATGTAATACGAATTTAAAGACGAATTGCTCCGCGTAAGTATTTTTAATGTTTTTTTAAATCTTTGTTTACCCACATGATATTTTTATATAGGTGCATCCGTGAAGTTTGCGATAGTGCTATGTCGTGGAAATGTTCCAGTACTGATCCAACAAAATTCACAATAAACAATATGGAAGGACAATGTAAACCAGGTTATGTCTGTAAAACAGAAAATACGCCACCTTGCAATGAACAGTAAGTTTTTTTTTAAACCGTAAAACTAAACTAAAGTTTGATTTATCCATTTTTAGGTGTATTAAAGGTAAGAATTTTAAATATACAGTTTTCTACTTCCACCAAAAGCGCCAGGTTATTTTTCGGTTTTGATAAACAAAACTGTACTTTAAAGCCGGAAGTACTTTAATCACGGGCTTTAGTCATGGGGTGGGGTATGCGCATGCGCATTTAACTACGGTGCAGAGCAATATTTATAATCGTAAAAATACCTCAACGTAAAAATAGAGTGGAAGTAGAAAAATATAGCGTATGCATCTCGTGACTAAACGTTGTTAAACAAGAATTCTCGTTTAGCTGCTAAATACTTAAAATATTTCTACTATTTGTAGAAATATTTAATTTATTTATAAAACTTTATTAACAATAGATACTGCACCAATTACTACAACACAAATACCAACAACTACTGAAGTAACAACGAAAGTAACGGATGAAACAACTTCTGCAAAACCCTCTTCTACAACAACATTACCTTCATCTACTTCTCTCCCTACTACTATCACTTCAACATTATCCACAACTGATTTAACATCTACAACAACTGCTGCTCCTTCAACCTCTACAACAACATTGCCTTCATCAACTCCTGACCCTACAACTATCACTTCAACATTATCTACAACTGATGTATCATCTACAACAACTGCTGCTTCTTCTACTCCTACAACAACATCCAATCCTTCAACTTCAGAGTCGAACCCTACAACCACAAGCACCGAGGTCTCCATAACCTCTTCTACACTGTCTTCAACAGAACCAACAACTGTTGCAAGTACCAGTACAACTGTAAGTAGTGTAACAACTCCAACCACAATCGCAACAACAGTACCACCTTTCCGTAAGTAGAATCAATTAAATAAATTAAATAAAACAAAATACTACTATGCATAATGATAATCATTTAATTTGTTTAGAAATACCAAATTGCAATGATGGTCACGCTGATATCAATCCATGTCGCCCAGGTCCAAGTAATAAAGTTTATTACTACAAGTGCATTTACTATTCCCCTGTATGGTATGACTACCAAATTAAGCTATGCCACGATATTCAATCAGATCCAGTATGTCGGGGAAAAGTTTGTTAAAAAAATGTTTATATATGTTATTTGTTCAAATATTTTAGTACTAACATGTTGTGTACAATATTTTTAAGAGAAAGTATGTGTGACTTTTTACAAAACTATAAAATGAAGTAAAATTTAGTTTTTGGAAGTTATACGAATGTAAGAATATCGAAGATTGTGTTATAAAATAAATAATTTTAAAGTTATAAAATGAAACTGCAATTGGTGCAAGTAATACCAAAATTAATTTTGTTGATAATAATGTATTAATATTTTTTTATACTTTTAGAGTTTTTTTGTAGTTTTAATTGTGATTGTTAGAGTGGATGGTGATCAAGTGGAAGTTCATTGTGTTACAGATAACACTTTTGCTGTGCATGTGACAGTTTTTCAACAAGTAATTGAAACTGCTTTGGTATTATATTGTCCACCAAATCATCAATGTGTACCTAATTCAAAAATGCCGTAAGTTTAACTTGAAAATAAAGAAGCTAATAATTATTTTGAATAATTTAAAAAACACTAAAATGACAACATTTCACGGTTGAGGTTAGATCAAGTTAATTCAAGTGTATAGAAAATTGCCAGCACCGCAAAACTCAATTTTATTTTATTTAGATTTTTATTGAAGTTATTAAAAATTTACATCATGTTTATTATAGAGACATACGGATTAAAACTTTTTTTTTATTTGTACAGTTGTCAAATGGAAACAGACATTCCACATTCCACGATAACTCCGACATGGACCACTCCACAACCTAATCATAATCGGAGTACAACAGCTTCATTCTCGACTGAATCAACAACGATAACAAAACGTACGATATTTCAAACATTAATTGCGCTTGAATTAAATGATTCAATAAATAACAGAAAATTAGTTCCAGTACCTGAATGCAATGGACCCGGTTATCATCAAGCAAACAAATGCAATGAGTATTATGAATGTGTCCCGACATTCTGGTGGTACCAACCAATGCTGAGATCCTGTGCGAAAGGGTTCTTCTTTTCTACTGGAAATAAGAAACCATGCGATAAGCCTCCTCATGTAATTTGCTTTTTTTGAATAAAAATTATTTTGTTTTGTTTATTAAGGACATAAATGCTTTGATTTGTTTGACTAACATTTCATATGGTCTTGTGGTGCAAATGCGCAAGCGCAAGCTCCACCCCGTGGTTAAAACGCGTGACTACAGTACTATAGTCACGGCCTTGGTACTTTTTGTATCTAAAAACCGTTTCCACGGTTTTAAAAGTGGAAGTAAAAAATATATATTTTACTTCTAGTACTATTTCAAGCATGATTAATTTGTGGTTGAACTCTTACTGTGTTTTGACATCATTATCTCAATCAATTGAATCGATAGATAAGATTATGAAACAAAAAATTTAAATATGAGCACTCATATATAAATAAAAATGCGTGGCATTTTTTTAATCGGTTCAATTTTTTTCGTTTTTATAGTGATACGAGCACATCTCACAAATTAAAAAAAAAAGCATCATCATGTTGTTCAAAGGTAACCATATAACACAAGTTAGAAGATTAATTTATGTTTGTAATTAATTTATTCTCTTGCAGTATTTATTCTTAGCTGTTTAGCATGTCTATCAACGAGAGTTGCTGCAAAGCAGAGCTTTGAATGCCTGCCTGAATCCCCAAACAACGTATTCATCTATGGCATAAAAGTAGAATGCCCTAAAGATCAGATTTGTAATTTTAAAGGGTGTACCGGAGGTACTCCTTTTTCTCCGTGCGAACCGTGAGTAAAACCTAAACAAATATTTAGTGAGTTTTTTGTTTTAATTTAAAAATTTAGATGTGTGGACTCAAAGAAAGTGTGCGCTAAAGGTGATTACACATGCAAAAGCAAAACCACATTCCAGCTGAAAGATGTGCTGACTATTAACAAATGTCCACCATTCACAGAATGCGATGATTCCGGAGCCGACTGTTTGCCGTAATTATTTTCTTCACAGTTTTGAATGAACTTTTTATAATCTCTTACAATTATATTTCTCAGATGCAAGGCTCTATCATGTGAAGAGGCTGATGTGTACTGGACTTGTGAAGGAGAGTTTGTCATCACAGCAACGACGAAAGGATATTGCCCACCTGGAATGGCTTGTAACAAAAATAATGAGTTTCCTTGCGCGCCGTAAGTTAAACAAAATATTGATTTTTATTGTCGTATTGGTAACAATATATCTTGTTTTTTCAGATGCATTGCAGATGAAAACGGAGGCATTATCCCTGTTAACAGCGGGACCAGAACCTTGTTTACATACAGTTTTATGATAATGTCATTTATTTTGGGTGTATTCCAAATGTACTAACTTGTTGCACTAATAAGTATTACTTTATTGTGAAAAATTAATTATTCTTCTTTTCTAATGTTTTCTGTAAATTGAAATAAACACACCTTCAGATATTTGCTCTGAATAATTGAATAATTTTATTGCATTTGCTTGTAAGCAGTTTTTAAGAATGTTTTTACTATTTTTACCATGGTATTACCCAGTACAAAATATCTATAAAGTGTAATTGAATATTAAGTATCAAGTGGCTAAACGGGAATTTTTGTTTAACAACGATTAGTCACGTGATGTTTACGCTTTTTCCTACTTCCACTCTATTTTTACGATGAGAGTTTTGTATCTGAACTTTTGTACTTTACATCTGTGAAATACGCTCATACACTAAGCACGGCAGACCATGTCGCAACCGCGCATGCTTGGATTTGTTTAACTGACGGCGTATCGCATGTCATATTGTCTAATGCTGCATTGTTGGCAAATGCGCAGATGCAAGCTCCACCCCGTGACTAAAACCCGTGACTAAAGTACTTTATTCACGACCATGGCCGTTCGTGTTAAAACTGTAACTTTTTGTGCCTCAAAATCGTAAAAAAACTGTCGCTTTAAAGATGGAAATAAAAATAATAATTTATGAAATTATATTTTACATTTGAGTGTAATTGTAAATAATCTCCGCAAAATAAACTTTTAATAGTTCTCAAATAACAAAATCTAGTAGATATATACTAGAAAAATTGCTCAAATTGCTGATTGATAAGATTATGATATGTTTAAATATCGCAACTATAAATGTGAATAGTTTTGTTATACTCGTAATCGCGAAGTTGCAGGAGTGTGCATTACTCTTTGAAGTGTAGTGATCATGTGGTTCAAAAGTAATTATATACCATAAATTTAAATTTAAATTTAAATTTAAATTTATTTTGACAATTGTAATAAAATGTTTCGTTTTACTTTTTAGCTGTTATTGTGATTTGTGCAGTGGCATGCACTCAAATTGTTAATGTTAATGGTGATTGCCCTGTGTTTCATTGCCAACCAGAGCACCCAAACTATGCATATTTTTACGGCTTAAAAGTAGAATGCCCAGAAAATTCCTTTTGTAATTTTGAGAAGGAGAATCTACCATCAACCCCCTTAGATCCTTGTTATAAGCCGTAAGTTTTATAAAAGTATTATGTATATATATATATATATATATATATATATTACGCACGATGGTGATATATATATATATATATATATATATATATCTATAAAGAAATATATTATATTAACATAATTTTAACATTTTAGTTGTGTGGAATTGGGGTGCAAGCCAACCCTAGATTATACGTGTATCAAAGATAAAACGGGATTTACTGTAACAGACCTTTCTCAAACCTTTGCTTGTCCAGCAAATACTGAATGTGACGAGGGAACAGATTGTACGCCGTAAGTGCTGTTTATGTCTTATTTAATTATAATTTTGTTGCCTGAATCCATTCTCATTTCATTGATTTGTTTCAGATGCAAGGCTCAAGTCTGCGACAAGGATAAAATTAATTGGCGATGTGAAGGTGATGATGTCTACGTGGATAATGTGAAAGGATACTGTCCCATTGGATGGACTTGTAACGTAGATCACATAGCACCATGCGAATCGTAAGAATAACACACTTTTGCTCCCTTAATTATATGATTATTCATATTTTGGTTTTCACAGATGCATTAAAGATGATGGTGAAGATACAGGAATTTTCTATCCTGCCAGTGCACCGAGGGTCCTTCTAACATCCGGCTCCATTATAATGACTCTAATTTTATGCGCATTTCAAATGTATTAATTTATTTCATTATACAACTATCATTTAATTGCAATAACTTAAATACAAAATGTGTTACGTAAACTTTCGATAATAAAAAAAATGTTTTAATATCTATCGCAATGTGTGAGCAAATACTTGACAATGATAAGTGATATTGGCGAAAATAAAACGAGCGGATGTTGTGTAGATAATGTTTTTATTCGCAGTACTTATAGTTTTAGTTTTAGAGATTTTCAATGCGGCATACGTATTGCCCTTGCACTTGTTATAACTAAATCATTAAAGAATCTATAAATAACTTATATACACGTACGATCTATAAGTAAGATTACATTATTATGAGAATACATTGAAATGAAGTCAAACCACTTGGAGGGTGTAATAATCGCCGTACACGTCTCGCACATTCAGGAGGAGTTGTTTATATTTACTCTTTCGTTCAAAGAACCGAATCGAAATCGTTTTGATTTATAAACGAATCATCCATGAACGTGCGTTCAGCGATTATCCGTCTAGCCATGAGTTTAACAAAACTCGCAAAACACATAAACCTAGTTAAATCGTTACACGAGTAGCGTCCTAATATAATGATTTACCAACTGAACCAAAACGAAATCGAACATGTGTCTCGATTCAGCGCACGCGAAACCAATTCACGCTTCAAGTGACAACACTGCGCTCGAGCGCAATACGCACACGCAGATGATTTCAGTCGGATGAATGATGATTGTAAGCCGCAGCGAGCTTTAATTAATTGAGCCCTTGTGGTTCATGTAACCGTCAAAATGGCCGCTCGATAGTACCTTGTCGATGGCCGAACGTTTCAACCGTGTGCACGTGGCGAGCAGCGCGCCACCTAGCAAACACATTGCAACACCACCAAGTGCTAACAAAGCGGAAAACCACCCTGTTTTAATACACACCGAATTTGGATCTCGGTACGCATCTGTAATAAATATTCATCAGTATTATAGTAATATCAGGTTTATTTTTAAATCCACTTACTGGTTGTTGAGTTTCGTTCGGCGTCGTCTTCGCCCTCTTGCAGCACGCGCAGCGATTGGAACAGATTCACGTTCTCCGATAGCGAAGAAGACGATTGTGTCGTCGTCGCCGTCGCGGCCGAAGTCTGCCCGTCGATGGCGCGCCGCTTACGCGTGTTCTTAATATTGCGCCAGTGACACGGTTGCGACTGCAAAGACGTTCATTAGTCATGCTTCATTGTGCCACACGTGAATATAATAGATGTGATTAATTACCGGACACCGGCCGTGGCACATCCGCACGTCGCATTCGATGTACAGCGCTGGGGAGCCGGTGAACCTGAACGTCTTCATGTATGCGAAAATCTGCGTTTCGTAGACACCGCTATCGGACCACGAGCCTCTGAAGCGTGATATTAGTTTGTCGTCCACGGGACACCTAATGAAACACATCATTTAATCACACACTCGGGTGTTTTATTTGTTTGTTTTTGGTTCTGGTAGCTTACCCGTACTCATCAATCAGTTGAATTTTCTTTGTGGCGCCATTGTGAGCGTAGCAATCGTTGACGACGATATCAAAACCATCTAGGAATATATTTATATATATATTTTAAAAGTGTTTATTTGGTTGCCTATTCAGAATTACAGGAATATGTAACCTACCGTATTTGCTACGCATGTAAATTATTAAAGTTAAGGGATCTCCGACGCGTACGGGTCCTGTAACGCGATTTCCTTGCGTTCCGTAACCATACCGGATTTCCATGTAGCATTCCGGAGGTGTTAAGGTAAACACCACAGGATTACCAGTAGCAACCCTTTAAATATTCAAAAATAAAAATCAAGGAGCTGTAATATTATAACCTAAAATTACTTACTCTACATCCAAGAAAGGAAAAGTGACTGTTTTCCAAAAATCATAACCATATTCGCATGTAACCTTAAAATGTTCATCGTACTCCTCTTCAATCAAAGGATTGTATTGAACCGTCACAGTATTCCACATGAAGTTTTTCTACCGAAAAAATAAAACACATTTTGTTGAATTTCTAATTAAAATCTAATTAAGATAATTATGACACTTACAGTCGGTGATTTTCTGTTATCCTCATTATGGGTGTTTTTGCCCAGGGTACCACATCGATTTAATTGAATGTAAAACTCGTAGTAATCTCGGCCAGTGCCATTAATGTACATACAATCCGGATCATATGCATAACCTAAACAGAAATCACCGAAACAAATCAATTATTATTTCATGCATTTCCGATCGTCCTAACCGAGTTAATTAACAGTTAAAAACGATGCAATTCGCTGCGCTGCACAATCCAATAATTTGAATCAATCAAGCATGATACGCGACCGCCGTTATTCGCATACTGTCGCTAATGTTATTACTAAGAAGAGCATCACAAAAACGCATTACAAATATTTACGGTAAATGTAAACCAGTTAAACATTTTTTGCTGTTTAAGCAAAACAATAAACCATCACGACGGGTATTTTATCTAGAAGAATTTTAGGTTGAGTTATAACCTAGCAATATGAAAACATAACCAAAAAATTATGATTTTTTTGTTTTGTTTTAGTTTTGAGAAGAAGAAGAGTTTTATTATGACAGTGATAAATAGAAATAGCGTGGGTGTCGGAAAATGCCTTCTGTGAGTGCAAGTGCAAGACTAATTGCAATACAATCATAAAACCGTAACTTTACAAAGCTAAAACACGACAGGCGCAGTATTTAGGTGTAAAAATGACAGATGAGGTCTTAATGTGAATTTGTATCATTTTGGAAGTGTAGTACCACATAATTATAGTATTCGTCTTGTTAATCTCTTCATCAGACAGCTACTAACATCAAAAAAGTAAATGTTGTTCAATTTTAAAATAAATTTTTTTTAATTGTTCAATGATTACGTTAAGAATCTATAAATTTCATGGAAATTTTGTGATATCATTTGATAAATTTCTCAATTAGTGAATCACTAAGCGCAAACAAGTTACATACTGATATTAATTTATCAGTAAATTCCGAAAGTGTTCTGATGCAATCAAATGATAGATACTTGAAAAGCACCTCGTTAAATCATTAATAAACCACTTGAAAGCAAAAGCAAACGCGTAACGGTTATCAGTCGACGATTTTAATAAAAGCACGTGTGTTTTTTACTCATCTATAAAAGCAACAACCTGCGATACGCTTTAAATCTTATCGATTGTGTGTTTAGAGAATTGAAATGACAGCATGCTTCGTTTGCAACAATGCGCCATTTGCGCACAGCATCTGATTGCGTCGAGCACAATGAATAAATCCGCGCAGTAGAATTGAGAAATTCATCTTAACGGATTATGTATTCCAATTTAATTGTTGCCTTTATTCGCATGAGATGTATGCGTGCGGATGTAGAGCTGAAGAATTCTACAATGTAAAGCACGACCAGGCTACCAGCGGGTACACTAATTGTGCACAATGATCAAATTTATTCGAGTGATGTGCTCGAATTGATATTTATTTCTTTGAATTTGCGATTTCATCTTAGATCAAAGTTTTGATTTTGATGAAAAAATTATTCTATCTTATCTGCCGTGAGTGGAATTCCACAAAATTGCAATTTGCTTGTAAGTACATTTTAAATACAGTATTGTTACTCATAAGTAAAATTTCCCATGCGGTGGCGGCGGCGGCGAGAAGAAAGAAAGAAAAAGTAAGGCACAAATGGTGCTCACCTGCGGAGTAGACGAGCCCGGTGAAGGATCCGTTGAACCCCACGCGTATTTTCATGTAGTCGTCTTGGCATTCCGCTTCAATATCTGCAAAACGAAGGCAGCGCACAATATAAACGCCGACATTCATTACGATTACGATTGCGCCATTAGTGCGTCTGGCACAATGGCAAAGCGGGTGCTCTGTACGTGATGATGATCACGCTGCGAACGGAGACAGTTTTTAACGGTCTGAAGATGTACGGTTTTCCAAGGGGTTTTCAGGCGCATGCGAGTCTAACTGTAAGCTTCCGCCCGATGGCGCGGCAGCGCACAAATTGATCTATTTCTGTCCAGCAATGCTTTGTTACTTCTCCCAGCACTAATGGTGCATAGTTAGTGAAGGTTATCATTAATAAAAGTGAATATCAACGCCAGAAAACAAATTAAAACATTTTTCAACGAGTTTTATCATTTCGGAAGGTGAGATTTGAGGTTAGATTAGTGTAATATGTCAACACATGTCGATTTCTAAACAATGTCGAGCAATGTACAAGGATGAAGGTCGTACTTAATTCCAAAGCTCGTTGAATAGCAAAAAATGGCGCACACAAGAGTTGTACGGTTGCATAGTCTGCGAGAAGATGGATGACTGCCGGTGTTGCGTAACAATCGCGCGAAATTTCGCCATATTGCTACGCATAATGGAATGCCACATCGTCAGCGCCGGTGGTCCTCTTCTTCATTCAGTAGTAATTTATACTGCGCGTGAGTTGTATGATAGCCGCGCACATAGAAGTAGGTCAAAGATGGACGGCGAAGAAGCAGCGCACCACGACGAATGCGTTTATTTTCGTTTCTTATCTGATCGCCTGGTGGTCACTAGCAGCATAGCACTCTGCTACTCACTTTCCACCTCACCTGACCGGAACCAAATACGCCTTACTACATCACGGCTTTGCGTCACCGGACGTACTTTCAGTGGCGTCAAACGCATAAAATAGCCGCGCACAATCGAAGCCTTCGCTACTGCTTCCAATCGTTAATTATCGTTATTATGTCTTTGTTATTAAATGTACTTACGCTGTACGCGCGTGGTGTTGAATCGAAACCGGCGGTATTCACGATCCCAGGTATCCACAGCTGTTGTTAAACGCCAGTCTTCGTCTTCTTCTTCGTCCTGGCGCGGTCTCAAGGGTGGCACAGGGACGTATCCGTTGTTGCCTTCACCGATAAACACGACCTTCAAATGGAGACACGATTAAAATGAAACTTGCAAGGCGTTTGAGGTGGAATTAAATTAAGTTACACTTGTTATGATAAATGCACTAGTTCTTTTGTAGTTCTTCGTCGTGTACGGCACGACGTTCCAATCCTAAGCGCTCTAGTTGGTTTTATCTCATAATGATTTGGCGCTTTTATATTTCCGCTTGTTGAGTGTGTTTTGTAGACTTTTTTTGCTTAAAATTTCACATTTCCTTTTTTTTTTAATGAAAACCAGTTTAAAAATATATTATAGGTTAAAACTGATAGTAATATACTCAAAATTGAGGTTAGTTTTGTGTCAAATGTTTAAATTTATCAAAAAATTGCTAGAAAACTCTTAAACCCTTAAAAAAACATAAATTTTATTTTGATTATCATTTTAAAAATCATGTAACACCAATTTTTCACCTGACTGAATATCTAACTTTTCATCTTTACTGCCAATTACCCAACACGTCTTCATTTCATTTGCTCTACGCGTACGCAATGCATTTCCACACCGGTTAATAACCATAATTTCGCTTTCAAGAAACACCTAAGCCGACTACTGAATTTCCACTAGACTTGTTCCTACTAGACTTCTTCAATAGCTACCAAACCAATATATATTATGTAATTGTTTGAATTGCAATGCACTAGTTTCGTTTTGATGCGATTGAACGCTGGCAATGAATGCAGCAGTTGTGATACTGTTCCAGCTGACGGTGTCTAATGTCTAATGTCACTTTTATGGCACCGAAGAAAGACTTTCTTGTGCGGCGCGCACGTAAGCGAGCGCTCATCAAGGAAGCTGTTTTGCAACTGTTAGCCTGTAACGTTTTTACTGTTACAGCGTTATGAATTTTTATTTGCGTACTGTTCAATATTCGATTACGTCGGTTTTGTTTTTTACGCTGGGAATACACGTTGGAATTTATATTATTGTGTAATAGTTGCTACGTTACCGATTCGTGTTCGCTGGCGTCGTGGGATAGCGCTTCCCTTGTCAGGTTTTGTTTCTTCTCAACACCAGGGGGCGCACGTCGCAGTTGTGCTGTTTTTGTAGTTGTTGAAGATGCGACAACATCCTGTGGATCGTGTGGGATGTTTAAACCACCATTGTTTACGTCTTCGATGATGCTACCACCGCCATTGCCGGCGCTACCACCACCGGTGTCCGCACTACGTCCGACAGCACCCACGTCAATACTTGTGCTACTGCTCACGCTATATTGCACCTCCGTACTCGACTCCTCCTCGTCTTGAGCACTAATCGACTGTAAATTGAAGAAAAAAAGCGCCAATTAAATTCCCACGCGCGGACATCCTCGCCGTGGGTATGGATACTTACATGTGGCACTGTCGTTGATAGTATCAATATCACCAGGAGCAACTTCCGCGCGCACCTTCGCGTCCGTCCGCTGTGAACACACCACAGAGAGAGTTATAAATTTCCGAGCGCTGTGATAACGTCGATGGGTTTCACTACACAAGTAGTACGCGTCCTTCCGCGGCACGACTTTAGACCTAAATTTACATTTTACGTTTCATATATACTCAGTTGTGGTAGAAATGAATTTTTCGCGCGGTGTCATCGTCGTGTTCTCCGTTCTTTAACATTTTCTAACGAGTTAATGACGGCGGAACAAAGCGCCGTTAGAAGAGTTTCAACGGAACTGTCGACAGTGTCGCCGAGAGTGTTGTCCTCGAGTTATAGTTTCATTTTTGTTTTGTAATTAACTAGTCGTCGCAACGTTTACGATGTATTATTGCGGGCATATCTAGTAAAAATCAATTTTTCTATGCACCGTAGAGTAATATAACGTGAAATTTAGGTAGTGTCATAAGTAGCATATTAATGTCAGCCTCTTTAGCTCAGTGGCAGAGCACTGGTCTTGTAAACCAGGGGTCGTGAGTTCAATCCTCACAGGAGGCAGTTAAATTTTTACTTTTTTAAATTTATTACAATTCAACCCTCTTCAAAAATTTAAATTTTAAAATATTATTTCAAAAAATACTCAAAATTTATCTTAATAACCTCAAAAACTCAAAATTTTATATTAAAAAAAGTATTGCCTCCTGTGAGGTTTGAACTCACGACCCCTGGTTTACGAGACCAGTGCTCTACCACTGAGCTAAAGAGGCTACACATACACTCCCTCATAAATATAAGCATTTATAGAACCTTCAATTATTACAATATAATATATTATCCCTTTTAACTAATGTAAACAGTAATTTATAAAAGCGCGACTTGAAACTCGAGCGGTTATTGTGATTTAAGCTGTCCCTAAGCGAGCGAGCGTTCGCCTCGCGCCGTTAACAAGCGGAAAGGTAGCGCGAGTAATCACTTTTAATTTTTTTGTGTGTTTGCAGCAGCTTGACTCGTCGAAAATAGTTTAAACCTTACGGGACACGTTTGGGACAACAACCAGCAATTGTAAAATACTTCACATGTAAATTCAACTCCCAAATCATAATAATAATAATAATAATAAGAAAGAAAAAAACGTTAAACTTATTGTGCTCAACTCATTCATATAAATTAATATAGATTATTTATTATTACGGTACACAAGTACATCTAACATCTGTTTAGAATAAATATAGTATTCGAATATTTTGTAATTGATATAATTAAGTTCGTCCGAATAAAAAGTTTCACCGTATTGACAAATCGCGGTTTTCTATTTTAACATTATTTAATTATCATTTGAGCAATCTACTTAAGTAAAAAATAATTTAATTAAAAACCACATAAGTATTTCATACACACACACACATCAATGTGTTATTTAACTTTCTTTGCGTGTGCAGTGGTCAATTTAAAATTCAAATTAACATTTATTACATTTATTACATTTATTGTGTGAAAGTTATGACTTACCTAATCGCGAATTCCATAACAGCGGATAAAATCAATATTCAGGCACTATTTTGTGTTCAACATTTATTAACTGTGATAGCACATGTCCACGCACTGATTAAAACACATTAAATCTTTTTTTTTATTTTTGAGTTTTAAAAGTTTGAATTGTTTTTGTCGTGTTTTTCGCGAACGCACCGCGCGAGATGCATGCGACGCTCAAAGTGCAGCGGATTAAGTAAAGTTGCGCCTCTTGAGGAAACCGCGAAGATTTACGCGAGTGATTCCGGAGCGGCACCGCCGGACTAGATATATGCCCCCGCCAAAAACCGCCACGGCCTGGCTGCCATCCATCCTAGAGAGGCTCTTGAGCAGCACCACCAAAGCTTTCTGCGCTAGGACATTGGTCGTGCGCGCGTACATCACGCTTGCTATCATCGCACACAATGTTTATTAATAATAATCGTGACATTAGGTTGCAATCTTGTGTTACTTACTTCTGCCTGTGTTCTTGTTTTGTTTGTTTGCCTAATTATTGCATTAACAATGCATTAGCATTGAACGTTAATGCGTGTGCGGTGTGGTTCCTTTTGAAATCGAAATTTGTCATCACTTGCGTGCAATTAGTAGAGTGTAATGATGAGCTTTCCAAGAGGAAATCATCAAAGTTGAATTAAACATAAACAAATAAAACTAAAATTACTTTTGTTTCTCAAATTTTTAATTTAAAACGTAAAAAAACGTGAGATTTCACATTTTAAATTAATTTTATAATTGAAAATTTAAAAACTATTGCCTCCTGTGAGGATTGAACTCACGACCCCTGGTTTACAAGACCAGTGCTCTGCCACTGAGCTAAAGAGGCCCACATTTTTAAAAAAAATATTAAATTTTGCTTTCTGTGCAATTTAAACACCTTTAAAACGATAATGAAGAAAGTTCCCTGAACAATTAAATTAATAACAAATAAATCGCTAATTAATTATTCCAGGATGAGATAAAAGCGAACGCTGCCGAGATTATTACCACCGCCTGCGCGTCGCTTTATTAAACTAATAATAAAGTCGCCGTGACGGAGCCGCAACATTAGATATTATTAAACATTACATGCAAATATACGGCATCATAATTAAATTGAATCTGGCTTCTGCGATTAATCTACATAAGTAGATGGTAGTCGTCGCTTTTTTCCAACACCCGGAAATGGAATTTTGTTTATTAATCGATTGTTATACCACAATTGCACGCACACACGCAGGCGGGTTGCACCATAAAGAAATCTGCGATGGCATCTCGGAGGCCATTGTGGCGCACGATCGGTGTATATGTGCATTATCATTAAGATCAATTTATGCACGTATACATGTTTTGCGTTGTGTGAGACATTTTACACAGGACCGCATTAAAATGAAAATATTTAGAAAAAATCGGTAAGATAGGCAACCAAATATACATTTTTTTATAATTTTATTGGTTATGTTTTAATTGCTAGTGAAATTTTTTAATAAAAATTTATATGCAGTTTATTTTTATTGAAAATAGTGCGTAGATATGCATGAAATACGCAAAGCTCGTATTTCTCTGTAGATATATGTGCGTTGTATGCAGAAAGATGACGAGCGATGTTTCGCGCGAATCATAACAGTACAAGGACTATTGTGGTAGCCGCGGAAAGGTTGAGATCGTTGAGATCCCGAAGAGATGCTTTAATACTCGCCGCATTGTTGGCGGACGCTGATGATGATCGCGCGCCGTCGGTGTTTGACAAAGTGCTTAATGCTCGCCCATTTTTTGCCGTTCTTCGATTTAATGAGATGCTCGCATTGCGCACACGAGTTAACATCCACATTAAAATATGTACCAGCGCTTAGTTTCACATCACAATTAATTAATTTATCTAATGAAGAAAATATATAAATATTCCATTGCATTCGAAGATATTTAATTGAATTTGACATTTCACGGTGCAGGGACATTAGCGAAATCGAAAATGACATTGCAACAATATCGCCAAAGGACAAACAAGCTGAGTTGCTTGCTATTCCGGGTAGGACACCGGCGCAAAAGTCGTAGTCACGCGTTAACAATTTGAAGATGGAACAAACTAATTTCTTGCCGTCTGCTAAGTCAGCTAAACGAATAGTCCGTTAGATAAAATGCGAGATTTCCACACGTTAGCGCAGCGATTTAAAACGCATCGCGGTTCCACGATGCTCTTGTGTGTCTTTGGGTGAAACGTTTTGTCTCACTGACTCACTCGCCAGCGCCAAAGTTTGCATCATTTGCGGGCGTCTAGGGCAGGTAATGCTAAAACGTTTACTACTTCAACTGCAGATGATTCTATAGTTGATTCAACAAGAGTTACACAATGACAAAGTGCAAAAAAACAATTTTTTTTGCAAATTTCAATGAAAATTTTATGAAAAAAAAAGAGTTTTTTTGTATCGCCCTAGGGCTGTTAAATCTTTACCGGCCTGGTATCATAATTTTTAACAACCCCAGATATTAATTTGCTTTAAAATTAAAAAAAAAACAGAATTTTGTTCTCTTTAAAATTTATTTTTGCATTTTTACAGCTCTAGGGCTGTAAAATTGCGTAATCTTTTTTGTTGACTTGACTATACATGGCTTAAGGACGAGACCGAGATTCTGTATCTCATCGCATTCGCAGTACACAGCGTGCAGCGGTATTATTAGGCGTTTGGCCATTTGATTCAATGATAAAATCGTGTGCATTTCGGTAAATAATTTGCGCACAATTGCGATCTCGCGCACACGCTCAGCGAAGTTCAATGCTCAATTGCAGCGCGCAATTAACCAGCTCGGACGTGGACGTGCAACCGTCGTGTGTAAGAATGGAATCGTGTAACGGACAGTTTTGCAAGTACAAACGTATATTCACTGTCTGAAATTTTGCAAACGCTCCACACACACACACTGACAATCACAAAACGCTGTAAGATGTATAACAATGGCTCAGCGAGATGCGCGTGGAAATTAATGAGATTTGTGTAATGTTTAAATAGATTATGATGATTTCACACACTTTGTCAGCATGCCGGGCGAGCACAATTTAATTTCAAACGCGAAAACTAATTTCAACGTTTAGACTTTCTGACAAATTGATTTTTAATTTTTAGTCTCCACGATTTTATTGTATTAATTTTTTAAGTAAAACGTAATAAATCATGGGATTTAAATGGTTTAAACAATTTTACTCGTATTCCCAGAGTTGTGTTGTGTTGAGCTTTGAATTCCCAGCGCAGAGAGAGGAGGCAGGGTGAAGTATAATTTATTGTTATGTGATTGCCGCGGCTTTTATTTATTCAATGTAAAAATCTATAATGTTCGCCGCATGAGCAGAAAAATCCGCGGAACGAGAGCAAGAAGCGCGCGGACACGAAATGCACACACTTTTTGCAATAGTTTTCGCAAAAAGAAGGCGTCCGAAGAAGAGATATAGCACCGGCGTATACGTTTTCGCAACGTGCGCAAGTAAGTGCTGCGCGCGCGTCCTCCCGCAGTTAGATGATTTGTGTGTTGTAGGCGCACAGCTCCGTGACGCCATGCAACACAGCATGTTATCAAAAACTCATTCTTCAATTTTCAATACAAACAATTTGAAAAAATCTTATATTACATTATCTACCAAGTGATTAATACCAATACAATACTATACTTTATACACTCGAATAATTTACTTTATAAATTTTTGATTTTTAAGTGTTGTTTGTGTAAGAATTGTAAACTAAGCGGTTTTTCGTTGAAGTTTTTTGCAAACATTGCAAAGAATTATAAAAGTGAAATGCGCCGTAATTACACGTTTATAATAACGGCGTTGGAAGGTAGTAATAGCAGCACATAAAGTGTAGGTAGGTACATATTGCACCAGTGTGCGAAATCAGATCGAACACCCGAACGACGAAAGCATCGCACGCGGCGATCTCGCGCAGCCCCCAATCGACGATTTAAGCGCACTTAGGCCTGAACTATTTGATATTGAGTTACACTCGTTCGCCCGCCCGCCCGGCGCAATTTTCCACAACGCACCGACGAATAAATACTGCGCTAGTTGGCACTTGCATGGTGTTGTTGGTGTTTTACAGTCAACACGCGTTTTTAACCCTCGGCGCGTGTGATTTATTGCTGTTTGAGTGCATTATGTGCAAAAGGGCTTTAAACAATGCATGTTTTTCAAATAACTGATAGTATAAATCATAAAAAAGTCAAATGTCAACAATATTTTATTATATTCTTCAATAAAACGTCTAAAAATTGTTGAAATTAAATTTCTTCAGGTAAGTTATTCAAATTGACGCATAATTTGCATGATTAAAACCCATTACAATAATAAAAATATACACCGTTAGTGCAAACAGTGGATGCGCGCGCGCGTCGTCGCCGTCGTGGTCAAATCAATGAGAGTGATGTACACGCAACCAAAGTTACATTTGCTGCTGGGTTCGTTGGCGTTGTTGGTTGCGCTACTCCGGTTCGTTATTTCGCGATCGACGAGCCCAACAATGCGACGCAACGGCACAGGGTACAGAAAGAGCATATGATTTGATTTAAATGCGCGTATAGATCTGAAGCCAACGCAACGGTTTGGTACGATGTTGCGATGTGGACGATGAGGACGTCCGCCGGCCTCGGCCATCACGATGGCAAACATCGTTTTAGTGCGGCGAATTGCCATTATTAGGTGGACTTGTCGACGGTTTGCTATGTTCCACAACCGATGTTTTACATAACTCTGAAAGCAAAAAACAACTTTGAAAGTATTTTCACAGAAAACGATAAATGTTACACTTTTTTTTGTTATTTTAGGTTATGTGTGGTACAAAATTATATTTTTAGGTTAGTTTTGAACATTTTGAGCTATTTTAAAGGTTATGTTCAAAAGAAACAGTAAATTGAATCAAATTTTTTGTTAATCATCACACAAATTTGTTTCTTTAATGTTTTTTAAACTTTTTTAACAAATTTTTCTCGTTTTTTGTCACATTTTTTTAAATTTTTGCGTTGTTTTAAGGTTATATTGACAAAAAACATACATTTGTCTCTTTTTCCATTATTTTAAGCTAAAATAAGGCATTTTTGTTTATGTTTTTCATTGTATTACCATTTTCTTCATTGATTTTTGAAAATTTTGCCCTTTTTTCATCAAAAACCGTAATTTCTGAAGTTTGTTTTCTGAATATCGCCATCAGGCTGTGACGAGTCGATGGTCGCTGGTAGTCCTCATAGTCTGTTACGCATTTGTCGTTGTTTTTTATTTTCCCACATTGAAAACGCCGACGAGAACGCATCTATCAGTCATCTGTCGGTATAGTTGTAATACACATTTCGTTGCGCACGCTGCATTCGATTTGAATGCGCGCCGGCACATTGCTCGCACATTCGCACCGCTGCGTGCATACACACAGACACTCGTTAGATTAATTGAAAAGCGCGTCGTCGTTTGGGCGCAAAATGGGAATTCTTGGCGTCGCTGCTCGAAGATATTCAATAATGCACGCCGTGCTCTCATTCCTCTTGACGCCACATCACCTCGCCACACCACACGCGCTGGCGACAATTGCAATCGATTTCGATTTTGCGCTTTGATTGCAGAGTAATTGCATTGAACAGCCGAGATGTGGCGTTCCTCTTTAAATCGTCCAGATGCGCATGCCACACACATGCAAGCCAACCAAGATGTAGATGTGTGGGCAATGTGCGGTAATAACATTGTAATGCACTTTTGTGCCTTGCGCTTTTTTTATCGACATAAAATTGAAAAAATTCAAGTTTCAATGGGAAAGTTGCGAAAATGAGTTCTCAATGCGCTTCACACTCGATTTCTAATTAGGAAAAAAAAAGAGTGTAATGCTTTCATAAAATTTTATGCACGAATTAAAAAATTTTTAATTGCGAAACCTTGTAACCACAAACAAAACATGAAAATATGGTGCAAAACCTAGACCTCATTCGAATTGATTTAATAACATTTTGTTTGATGATTTAACAATACAAATTGCTCCCATTGTTACTTTTTAACTTGATGATAGGTAACTATATGGAAATTACACAAATTAATTAACGAATTAATCAACGTATATGTAACGGTGCGCGCATTTCATTTCGAGTTGTTTTTTTATTACCTGAATGTCCTTAAATTTTATTGTTAACTTTTACAAACCTATATATCTCGTAAATAATATAATATAACGCTTCTTCAGCTATTTATTACGCGGCCGCGTGTCGAATGTGTGTAACCGAATTATGCGCTGGTAATCATTTTGTAACACTAGTGGGCATACAGCGCGCGTTCTAATCACTTCCGGAACCCGGCGTTTTACAACATTTAGAGACATTTTCAAGACGGTGCGCAGCATACCGTCGGATAACAGTATCCATTACGAAGTCATCACTTGACGACAATGACGACCGTTTATAATGAATTAACGTTGATGGGCGACTTTATTTTCTTGTCTTTTTTGTCATTGCGCGTCAAATATCGTGTTGTTTTACTTGTTTTCCTATCCGTCACATGGTATTAAGTAATAAACAATTTGTCCCGCTGAAATTCGAAACGCAACATCAATAAATGACATCAAAACTGTCAAAACTGTCAAAAAATGTCAATTCTGTCAAATGTCATAACATTATCTAACCTTCAAATGTTTTATAAATTGATGATCAATACAAAATAATTACTTATGTTGTACGTATTCTCGCAATCACGTTCGCAAACAATTGTTAAACACACCGCAATGAATTGCGATTGATAGGGAGAGGCCGCATCTAATGTCTATAATATTTTCGCCGAGCGAGCGAGAAAAGAACGGGGCATTGAGCGTTCCGACTAATGATTGACATGCAACAAATCAAAATTTCAAAGACCACACGAAGAAGACTGCAGGAAATCGAAGAGGTCATCCAACATCCATCGTTGTTGCTTGCGAACGCAACAATCGCCGAAGAACACGACGAAGAAGACGTATAGCAAGGTCAAAGATGCGATGTTTATTATTACCTCTTATTATTTAGTTTATCGCTCGGTTGCATCTAATTCAATCGTGATTTGTTGAGTTTGAGCTATTTCTCGAGTTATTAAACTGACATAACTGTCAGCGTTTCACTTACATACAAGTTGTGACAAAATATAAGTATAAAGATGCCTTATCTGCATGTCACATTGTCCGCTAATTATGAACGCATTTAATGCCACTCGTCGTGATGGCTGTTGCGATGTTGTGTTATTAATTTCATGGATATTCGATTTTGTACACTTACTTGCCGTGCACATCACTTTTTCGCAAGCGCGGTGCGCTCTTCTGGCGCGACCTTAACCCAAATGTAATTATTTTGTTTCGTGGTGTGTTTAATTATTTAATCAGTATTTGGCGATCTTAATTAATTACATATCGGTTTGCTAATCGGTGAGCTCTTTAAATTTACGACTGCTTGCTTCAAGAATCACGCCATGAGAATTTGAATACGGTGTGTGCGGAACCTTGGCAGAGAATGCAACCCATTATACACCAGAGTGATTTTCAATTTTAAAACGTTTTCATAGTTTTCTTTAAATATTGCTTCAATACAACAATATAAACTTTACATCTTTATTTATAACTGTAAGTACTAACAAATTATATATAAATCTTAGTATAGATTGTGTTTGTATAAATTGTGTTTGTTGTCTTCTTTGCTTCACTAAGCAATAACTTAAAAAAATGTGTGATTTTTAGGTTATGTGCAAGTGCAAGTGCATTGTGTTGGCGCAACAATGAAAACGAACGTTGATGATGGGGTTTAACGCGTTTAACGCGTAACAATTATGCGACAACTTCATAGAGATGCACACACGCATTGTACACGAGCGCGACGTGCGTATACAGTGAAGTGCACTCTTCTTTTTCATTTTTTTTTATCATCATCATTTTCGCTTTTGTCACAACATGTCACCGCGCGCCGCTGGAAGCGTGGAAGCAGCAATAAATAAACGTGCCTTTTCCACTCGTTCACCGTTGCGTTGTGTCACATGGAACAAGAAAAACGAGACTTTGCATACGCAGGTAAGTATTTACTCATAAGTCCCAAGCAAAACAACGTCAAAAATAAAATAAAACCGAAGCACTTGTTAGACTTGTTGTACGGTAAGCGAGCGAACACGTTCGTTCGTTCTGCGCTGAAAGGGTAGCAAAAGATCATCGCTGCCACGTATCTAATGTAAACGGTGCGTTTTCGCCATTCTCACGATTTATCATTGCGTAGACTGCTTGTTATGAATTAAATTATATATGAACATTGTCAGAAATTGAGCGTGGTCACAATACAATTACATTTGTCATTTTTTGAAGTGTTTTACACAAAGTAACACTGACTTTGCTTGCTTCATTAACGCATGATCTTGAAAAGTTATTTTGGTTTATCACTACATCCGTTAGTGATGATTATTTCTGGTTATAAGAAGGAAGAATGCATCATTTTGGGAATATCATTAAAATATCATCATATATTTTCACAATTAGTCGTTTTTGTAATAATAATTAGTAAATTTACACGTTTTATACTCAAAAATATTTATTTCCTTCAACCGCGTTGTTGCATATAAGGAAGCAATCACATTCACAACCGCAAATCACAATATTTCTATTTTATGATTGATAAGTATCTTAATTAATAATGATGATGACCATATGAACCATGTCCGCCTCCGTATCCGCCGCCACCGTGTCCTCCGCTATGTCCACCGCCACCGTGTCCTCCGCTATGTCCACCGCCAAATCCTCCGCCTCCATGACCGCCACCTCCATGGCCGCCACCACCTCCGAAGTCATCATCATCGAAATGAATGGCACCATGTCCTCCGCCGCCATGTCCACCGCCATGTCCGCCACCGCCGCCTCCTCCAAAGCCTCCTCCTTGACCGCCGCCGCCTCCTAGTCCTCCTCCGTGTCCTCCACCAAGGCCTCCACCGTGTCCACCGCTACCTCCAAGGCCACCTCCGTGACCACCGCCTCCAACTAGGTTTCCACTATGACCTCCGCCTCCTCCAAGGCCTCCGCCATGACCACCACCGCCTCCAAGGCCTCCGCCATGTCCACCACCACCTCCAAGACCTCCGCCGTGTCCACCGCCGCCACCTAGACCTCCTCCATGTCCTCCGCCACCGCCAAGACCTCCTCCGTGTCCTCCGCCACCGCCAAGACCTCCTCCGTGACCACCACCACTGCCAAGACCACCTCCCAGGCCTCCGCCATGTCCACCGCCGCCTCCTAAGCCTCCACCATGTCCTCCGCTTCCTCCAAGTCCGCCGCCATGCCCACCGCCTCCAAAACCACCTCCTAATCCTCCACTATGGCCGCCTCCACTAAATCCTCCTCCTCCACCGCCGCCTCCGCCATATCCACCACCTCCATAACCTCCTCCATATGGAACGCAATGAACTGCGACCACAGCCACTAGTAAAACAATCTACAAACAAAAAATATCAACATCAAAAAATCACAAACAGTTTTCTATTAACTTACCAGCAATTTAGCCATTTCTCAGGCCATAAAATCATTCAACAAATAGTAACCATCAACTGATTCGTATTTTACAATCCGTGGACTATTTATACCCACAGATATTACGTTACAAATATTATCGGACTACGTTTTGACCCGGGGCGAAACAGGTTTTCAGAATTTATCTCATTTCTGCAAGAAAAAAAATTAACGGGAGACAAATTAATTAGATACAGTCAATTCACTACAAACCACAAATCAATTCATTAATACATCATCTTTTGTTGTCTAGACCCATAGAAATAAGAAGATAATTTAAAAAACAAGACATTACTTTATTAATAACCACAATATTAACGTCATTATCTCATTTATATTACCTCACAATAACAAAATTAATTTATATTACAATATTAGAATTAAAAGAAACCCTGTATTAGGAAATTATTGTTATCAATTTGTTAGTAAACACGTAATTAAACTAATAATTATATTGAATATCGACTAAGAGGTGATAGGTTATTAGGAATAAAATTTTGGCCTTCGCGTGAATGTAATAACATGAGGTCAATAAAATATAAATAAAAACATTACATCAACGTCACTCGAATATTTTGAAACTAAAAAAAAAACGCAAAAATAATTCATAGTATTCAATAATCGGGGAATAACCTTTTTTTATTTCTGATAGATCCTGTAGTTCAATATATAATTAAAAAAGATAAAATCCAATAATAATAAATCTTTGGTTATTCCAAGAATTCCAACAACTAACTGTCGAATCAAGTTAAACAAATTATGTACATTTGTATGTTTGTCATTCCGATAGCTATAAAATAATTGATTTACGCGGAAATAATTGCGATCGGTATCGCAGATTTGAGTAACGACGACGCGGAATGAATACAAGAATGCAAAAACTTCATCGCGAGATGAACGTGCGACCGAGACGCCGCCGCCGCAGTCCAGACACGCCACGATCATTAATCGTCGCCCGCGCACACTTACCGCACTTACATCCAACAACAACACAACACAGCTTCAACGAACGCTGTTCACGACAATGGCCATCGTCCCTTTTGTTGCGCACGCCTTGATCGACCATCATCGTGTCGTTACGTAACGCATGCAACTACCGCATTTGACCAATTGATTTCGAGCGCGATTTGTCATCGGCCGACTTCTTTATTTCGCGAAATGATAAATGAATCCGCAGTGTTTGAGTTGTGGGATGCACGCGCGTTTCTTGCGCTCGCGGACGTGATGATATGGGAAAATTGCTCGACGTTACTCAGTTAGATCTAACGTCCCGATGTCTTGCGGACTTATGATATTTTAATGCGAAAGAAAGCCGAGAAAAATGCCGCCGTTTGCGGGAAAATGGTGCGCGAAGCGGACGAAGGAACCGTACGTCCGAACGTGTTCCAAATCAGCGCACACCGGATGAAATCGTGCGCGTATAATTTCCACTTTTGCGCTGGAATGTCCATCAACACTCCCGTAACTTCGGAATCAATATATGCGTCGCGTGGAAACATCAATGTAGTGATAAACTAGGACAATTTATAATTAAATTTTGTTTATGTGAGGGTATTTAGGGGTGGAATACTACCGCCCCTGTGGCCTAATGGATAAGGCATCGGCCTCCTAAGCCGGGGATTGTGGGTTCGAGTCCCACCAGGGGTAAGCTGAATTTTTTGCTTTTTGTTGTTTGAAAATATTTACATTGTTGTATCATGCGGTATTGTTGGTATTTGAATTTAGTAATTTCTCAAACAGATGAACCAGTCCGATCTCGTAAAACATCCCAGGAATATATAGCCGGCGCACGACAAAAGTATGAATTATAGGCCATTTTAAAGGTCCGCTGCAAACACATTGTTTATGCGCGCGCTGAAAATCACTATGATTTGTTTCCTATTTGTGCAAGTACCTCGAAGCACCGCAGTTTCCTCATTTCACAACAAATGGGGATCAGCGCAGGCGAAGATTTGATAAGCGCCGAACGCGAGCCCTTTGCTTTTGCTTCGCATACATAGTTGTCGAACGCTATTTGCTCATCCACCTTCTCATCAATAGAACATTATAGTTTTCCCATCCCATATAAATAACCGCCTGACTTTGATGTGCGTTCGTGGCGCATTAGGTGTTTTTCTAAGCACGTGCATTTCGCATTGCGCAATCGTGTGGAATTAAAACGCGATGATGATTCGACAGTGAATGCAACAATATAAGTAATCGATCGACCTAGGCGAGTGAGTAGGCGAGCGTGCGTTTGATTCGCCTAGGCGAAGCTTTTAATTTCCTCTTTTTGTTTCACCATTCGACCGGTTGCTGCCGGAGATGTGCCAAAGTCTCTCTGCGCGAAAGAAAAACGCTTGATATCTGGCGATGCGATGAGAAAACGAAGAAAACAGCAGCGTTAAGCTAAACTTTGCGAGGAGGATGGTTTTACAAAATCGTGTTGGGAACCTTTTGCCGCTTACTAATCATTCAGGGTGTTCTAACCTTTTTCAAACAATGAAAACACACAGATTCATACATAACCAAATTTTAACAACCAAAAAATCTATAGAAATCAAAGCAAAATCAACTTATTTAATATAAATATTAATATAATATTTAAGTTAATGCAATGAAAGCAATGAAATAATCTGTGGATTATGGGAACACTTTGTAATTTTGTAGACGTAGATGTGTAATGTACACACATTTATTTTACAATTTTCCTCGGCGAACGCAACGAGATCAAGCGGCGTGTGCAAAACGTAGCGCGAACACATCATTCACGAACGACCGAGGCGTCATCGATTGTTACGGGACCATTACCACATTACCACTCGGCGTTAATAACAAACAAAATTATCTATCGACTTCGTTTCGATCTTGCACTTAATGCGATGCCGTGCGGCGCGCACTCGCGCGCGACCCGCTCGTATCATACCAGGAAGAATTGCAATAAAACAATGCGTCCACACCGCGCGGAATAGTGTGGAATTAACTCAAAGTGCGAACAAACGGCTCGGCTCATAATTTCCACGCAACACGTTATCATTTTTGGTTTTTGCGCAAAGTGCATACGGCTGAAATTAAAAACGGGACCTGTGTGGCGCTGCGGTAATGTAATTGTATGCAACCCAACAATCAATTTGCACACATAACCTAATTTAACACTAACCACAAATTTGAGAATTTGTTTTTATTGGGCGTGACTAATGTGGAATTAGTTGGGTGTGTGTAATGCGAGGCACAATTTTTTCGTCATTTTGGGTGAGTGGAGTCAGCCATCAAATAAATTGCGCTCTTGCTTTGGGCGCCGCGTCGCAATTTATGCGAAATGTGACCGAATGTCTCGGACGACAGCATTGAAACGTGCCACCATCTATGGCAAAAATGTAATTTAACCAAAGACGAGCATTACGCCCGCCAGTCCCGATTTAGCGCAGTGAGCAACAACGAGTGAAAAACAAAAAACGCAAATCATCATTACGCCAGGCTCGCTCGGGGTCTCGGGGTGTTTTGTGCCGACACCATCTTTTGCGCGCTCGATATTAATTATAGATATGGTCGGTCGGTCGGTTAATTAATGTAATTACGGGCTTTGTTCTTACGCGTTCGAAAACACCCCCGAGTCATTTCGTTTGTATTTGTGCGGCAGCGCAATGAAAAGCCAAAAAAAATCAACAATAAATCACAATAACTTGGCCAGAAAAGCACAACTGTCTTCGCCTTTTTGATTAGAATAGTATATGAATGTCTAATGAAGATGTTGCTAATAATTAATGATTCTATACTATTACTACACTCACACAAAAAACAAAAAATGTAAAAAATATTTTACTTTTAGTTATAAGTAAATATATAATTTATTTTCCATATCAAAACACATTTCTAACATTTTTCTTCATACGATCGACGACTACGACACAGTTTCCAGTCGCAGATTTAAAACTTTCATAGTCGTCGATGTAGGAACTTCTTAAATACGATAATATAACAATATAAACATTAAAGACCCCGGTAAACACAAATAAATCCCCATGAATCGCTCAACAGAGTATAAATATAAATAATACAAAAATAATAAATAAAAGGAACGAGTATTTGCTGCTAGGTAACTAAGATTAACTAAAATGTCATCATTGAGCTCAATATAGTAACCAATCGGAAATGTTTAGTGAACAGTGTGTTGTGAGACGTGTTGGTTGCCTACGGTTAAAGTATTCGGCCATAACCTCGCATACTCGCCGCTGATTGTCCCATGCACGGACTATCCTGTAAAAGTAGTTTACTGCCATATGCGGATCCATTACCGGATCCACTACTACTAGAAAATAGACTTCTTGTGTAGTACGGCATTGGCGTGCCCGAACGGCGTGCTTTATACAAAGCGAACGCTGCGACGATGACAGCGCACAAGAAGATTAATCCCAGCACGCAGAATGTCAGCGCCATCTTGTCCGGCGAGACGCAGAACGTGCGATCGCCCGGGAAGTAACCAAATGTTGCTCGTAATGGATCTATAAACACAATAAATGATTCAATCATTAATACAACGCATTGTCATTGCTCGGGCGGACAATAAAAAGATTGTGATCGAATTAATATTTCATTTGCGATTTTAATTACGCCAGCACGACGGTCTTAAAGTCTTTGGTTGAATAGAAGTAAGTTGTAGTCGATAGAGTGTAAAGAAGAGCTGATCTTACTCTTACTCGTGGTAATTTAGTAAATTACACTCACGATAGATCCCGTCTCGACGCATTTCGCGTCCGCTCGTCCCGCATTAGCCCCGTAATACTGATATAATTCAAACGCTCAACAACGAATCGACCACAATCGACCGGCAGATAAAAGAGCGACGGCACGATGAGTGGCCGCGTTCGTAAAAATGTCAGTCGTGGCCGCGCGCTGAAATTATTAAACACGACGCGAAAACAACGCAAATCGCGCCGGCAATAATAATCACCGTCGCCGTCGTTTTTTCGCACTCCGGTGGTCTCACCCAACGCGGATGCGCAGACACAAGAGGTAAGATGTAAGACATAATCCCCCCGCGCATATTTCGAGTGCAGAAATCATAAATCAAGCGCACACCGACTGCGCGCGGGCGCGTGTGTTATTGAAACAAAAAAAAAAGAGTTAAAAAGAAAAAAATGACAGCGAACGCTTAATTCGAAATGTCCACTAGAGCGCACGCGCATTTTTCCAACCCGCCGCCATCACGATAATGAATTGTGCGCTGCTGATGTTTCAAGGCGCGTACGTGCAATTATTTCCACGAACGTCCCGCCGATTGTAATATTTATTGAATTCTTTCGCCCGCGCCGCCCGATCATGTTGATGATGATGATGCGTCGATACGCGCACAAATAAATCGCCACTTTTTGCGCAATGTAATAAATGGTTCGGGCAAACTGCGCCCAAGTGCAAATATTTATTGCGCAGCGGCGGGGTGGCGTAGGGAGAAGTAGCCCCGCAATGCAATCGAAACGGTAATAAATCAAAACATCGTAATGATGATGATAGGTAACTATTATCGACACAGACGATAAAAACGCACGTCTGCATTGCGTAAAATAAAATAATTTACAAAAGAGTTAAGTATGGTGCCACCATTAAAAAAAGCTCGAATAAATATCGTACAAAAGCCACTGTGAAGTGAAATAAAATAAAAAATAAAAATCAGAAGTGCTTCTCAGTGTTTTTAATAAGTAAAAATATGTACACATTTATTATTATAAACAAAGGTGCATTGTATGAAGAAGTATTTACAAGCGGACACTTTGTACAATTCAGTCTCCATTTCGACTCACCTCCCGCCATTTTGTCCTTTTCTCGTTCGTCTAGTTCTATACCAGGCGCTAGGACTTCAACGCTGTTAAACACTTCTAATCTGTCTAAAACTTCGCCATCTTCTCCTGCTTCGACAATACGTCGACCAGTTCGGGTAATATTAACACAATCATACTAAAATATAATGTAAAAATTAAAAAAATATAAAAATGAGGTTATAATTCTTACAATTTCACAGTTTTGTCGACAGAGTTGCATACCACATGAAACATGCAGACGATCTCGATCAGGAAACTTGAAAGCTACAAATTTCGCAACTGCTTCTTGATGTCTCATCATAACAATCGGCCTGACTGGACCTTTTAACAACTCGGGAAGTAATCCTTCATCAACTGGACAACCATCTTCATCCAGGAGTTTTTGAGATGAGTCACCCAAACCATCATGGGCTACACAATCGACAACTTTCCATCCAATACCAACTAAAATTAGGTATAAAGTAAGTTTTTTTGTTTTAATACTTTTAAATATGGATGGTTGCATACCTGGTAAAGTAGACTTTACCATTAAAAGTGCTTCTTCGCCAACTTGGAGCGCTTCTTCATCATTTTCAATTGGCACGATTTCCATCCACGCTTTGGATGCACGCAGTGCTTCAGTCAACTCAACATCAGGATGTATTTCTTTGGACCAGCCTTCATCTTTCATTCTCCCCGTTCTAAAATTTATTTCATGTTAGGCAACTTGTTTTACAATGCAAATAAGGTTATGTGAAGAAAAGTAGTTTACCTGTGATCTTTTTTATCTAATATTTCATTGAATAGCGCATCTTCCATCGGTTTGCTCTTCACATTGAAGACATTTGTGTCAACCATGCACTTAACAGTACGTTCCTGGTCACTGATCTGCCGCAAATGTTTATCTTGTTGGACCACCAACGTAACGCTGTAGAACATTTTCTTTTCATCTCCGAGCATGTCTTCGGAGTCTTTACTTAACCGAACTCCGCAGCCAGATGTTGGTAAGTCAACAGACACGGAATTCTTCATCGTACCTGATAAAATTAAATTAATATTAAATTAATCTGTGTTCTAGGTCGTAAAATTAGCAACAACATACCGAATGAACGACATTCTTGTGAAAATTCTTTGGAGAACAGGATTCCTTTGAACGGATGTTCCATCGACACGGTGACATTGAAGCTGGTGCTGTCGCACGACGTGACAATCTCGCTAATTTTATTTATCGCGATGGGCAGATTACGGCGCACGCTCGGTGGGAACGAGGCGCACTGCACATTGCCGACGATCCACACGATGAGCAATTGCAGAAATTTCGTCGACTTATTGTTGGTACTCATTCTGGAAAACGAAGCAGATAATTCAGAAATAATTAAGACTGCAACGAGCGCGCGCGCGCACTGCACTCATCAATTGATAATTAATATTAACATAACGCGCAACAAAGGAACATTCCCGCCGCAAATTACCGCGCGCAATTCTTCTCGTGTGCATCTTTACGCTCATTACTCATTTTGCCGACGCAATTAATTTTAATGATTAAATTTAAAAACAGAAATCTATTTCATCAGAAGAAGGGTCTCGCTGACTGACACTGACCTAAAGTTGAACAACCTTTTCTGTTTGCTTCAAACACGACAATGCAATTTCTCTAATACTTATATAGGGTGATTGATAAAATAAGTCAATAACTAACAAGTGAACCCAGGTTATTATTATTTAATACCATAGGCTGGTTCTGGTTTCATTCGAATTCACATTCGCATTGTGTTGTTGTTTTATATTACGGGAACAATGCACGCGAAGAACACGCGTAGACGTATCGCTGTCTCACTGAAAATGCAATTTAATACATTCCGACATATTAGATTTCATACGCCATTGCATTCCGCGCTGATGTACTTGCCCGCGACGTGATATTTATGTTATTACATAATAAGTCTGGTCTGGCTGGCCGAGCGAGAGGAGTTGCACAAAGAAATTGGCTTTGATTAAAAGCCAACTACGTAATAATTCCAAAGCCAAGTGCACGACGCACGTGAGGCATATGCGCCGCCGCTCCGGTTGTTGGGCTGTACCGCTATGCGCGAGCTGGATGGGATTTAATGGAAGCAAAGGCAAAGGAAGAAGGAAGGACTGCGTGAATCATACGATTGAGTGAACGCCGAACGGTTTCTGCGCGATTTTTATGATTCAATCTACGTGCTTTCAATTTATTGCATACTTGCATTGTGTTCGGCTAAGTGCATTTGCTCGAATTCTGACTTGCATTGTTAATCATAATAATCGGATGACAATACCTAAATGCCACACACATGAAAATCATAGTTTTAGGTGGTAAGCATTTTGGGTTGCAAGGATCATTTGTATTATGCACATGCGCGCACAAATTTCGCATGCGCGCTAAGTTGTCATAACCTGGACAAACAAAATTTGTTAGTGCAGCCGAACCGCGACGCGAAATGTATCACAACAGTGTTAATAGTAATTCTAACTTGAATCTAATGAGTAAAACGTGCGAATAGTGCGTGAGCTGTAGAAAAATCGTAAGTACACAATTAATTTTACTTCAGATAACATTTCTGCGCAGCGGAATAAAATAAATCTGTTGACAAGCGTGTCTTGTCTTGTCTTAACGTGACTTTCATCCAGTCTACCTTGACTTTGCTCACGCTTCGCAACAAATTAAACGCTCAATTTATTTCCGAAAAGCACATGACGTAACCACGTAAACGTAACGTGCAGCATGGCGTCGTGACATGCCAGTCGTTGCGAGTTACAGCTTTTTGCTCTTTGCGGTTAACTGTGAACTCGCTCGGAAGAATTATATACATCTCCGGCGGGCGCGCGCGAGCCGTGCGAGAGGAAGAAATTATGATTTAACCGTTGGTTTCGTGTCCATCCCGACATTCGCAGCTGCACGCCGACTAAACTACAAGCGATGGTGCGTTTTTTTTTCTCGTGTTGTAAGGAAATTGATTATCACCTTGCGTGAAGATTGCGATATGTCGGCTACCATTAGGCCGCATTAGACCTGTATAAGTAAATAATGTGCCTGCTGCCTGCAGATGCGCTGACGACGTGAATATATTTATAATGATGTTGCACGTTTTATTAGGCAATCAGCCGCAATGGGTCAGTATGATCAATGCCAAGGCTGGAATTTCATCATTTTCATCAACTCGGGAAAATGTTGAACTCGACTTCTCTTTACTAGGTGATTATAGCTTTGAGATGTGGGCATATGGGCTAAGTAGGTAAATTGCATGAAAATTAACCGAATAATTGCAGTGCAATTTCATCACCAGCGTGCACGACTCGACCTGCCTACTTTACTTTACTTCACATCAGTATTGTGCGGCTAGGGAAATTTATTAGAGTAATTATTTTTATGCATTCACATTATTCGCTGCCCTTTATTATGCAAAACATGATCAATGATTAAATTACTCTTTTACTGTTGGATATTTGTCCCTGAAACAATGACCATGACCAAGTAGTTTCGTTACAGCTTAATATTGTTTGACGTATACACGGTCTTGGTCTTGGTCTCTTGGGAATCACCAAATACCGTTCGCTTGCACGTTCCTTCCGATTGCCGCCTGCCGGCCAACGACACAAGCGCCTCCACTGGCTTACTGAACTTACCGGCCTGCGATAGCGATACGTGTGTAAACTTAACTTAAACTATATAACTGTGAAATGATAATAACGGTCCACGATTTGGCGTAACGAACAAATAACAAATTCTTTGCTTATATAGGTTTTGAACGGGTAGCTATACAATGAAAACAATCGACAAACGATCTATTGTGTCATTGTGAACGAATCATTTCGGTTTTATCTCACGTTGCATTCAAATTAACTCACGGTGAACGGTTATGACGTGCGTTTATTAAACAATGATAAGTCTTAACAGGATTAGTTATATTTTATGAAGATTACTTCCTGGAAGTATACATTTTTAAACTTTTAAAGTACAAGTTGATGCAGGGATAGTTTAAAGAAACATTTCTTTGAGTTTAATAATGTTCTTGACAATGGCATTGACACAGACATAAAATTCATGCTCCTGCGCAACGCAAAGCGGCAAAAAGATAATAAAAAGAAAGCACACCTTTTTTTAATTAGTCTGAATTCTTTTTGTATGCAAAATATAAACATATATATAACAATGCGCAATTTGATTACTCGAGGAATGTAAAAACTATAATAATACACTTTCGCTTCTGCCATTATTTTATCTTCTCCACATTCATGCATTAGACTTGGAAATCGTATAATTGTTCATCATAACTTTATAATTTCTAGTTTGGGAATTTATTCTTTCTTTTTCGCACAATTTCGAATAATAAATGCGCGCGCAGGCAGGCGTGTGGCTTGCGTCAGATGCAAACACCGTTTTAGTTTTTAATTAATCGAAATCATCAGCGGCGGGCGTCACGTTTTAAGTACTTCTATAAACATATACAATTACGGTTTAATAAGCGCGAAATTTGAATCGGTAATAAAATATTTTCGGTTGTAGCGGAGGACGATGTAATTTATTAGCGAATAGAAGTTTGTAGCGGTAATTAGAGCGCAAAGTTGATTCTCTTAGAACCAATTAAGTTTTTAACAGTTTAACTCGCGAACAATCAACGTTCAGCGTTCAAACAAGCCGCGATTTGAGCAAAATTAACAAAATAACTTTATATTATTTAATTGTGAGGAAAATACTGCTTGAAACAATTGGTTTTGATAAATATATCATGGAGAAATTTAGTTATTGTTTTTGTTCACGTTTATAACGGTTTTTAAAAACACATTTTTATAAATTTGTATTACCCGTGAATAATGGAAAATATTGTTATGAGCATGTTAAAAACACTACTTTTACGCACAAGTGCATAAAATATCGTGTCGACATCAAGCAGTCAGATACATTGTATTAATGCAAAGTGAAAACATGCAAATTCGATACCATTATATTAGCACACATTCGAAACATAGGAAAATGCAAATAAAAACGTTTACAATTGTGTTCGCATACGTACGAGTATTCGCTCCGCATTTCGCGCTCGCATCTCATCTGAATGAAATTATTTTCGAAAAAAAAAGCGCTTACGGTTACGTGGGCGATACAAACTGGGAAATACACAAAGAAATGTAACAATACCAATTGCCAATTGTAACAATAAAAGTGTAGAAAATTAATTTTGTGACGAAAGTTTTACTTTTGTTTTCGATTCATAAAAAAATACTACGTACTACACTTAGAAATGCAGGTGTACTTATTGACATAGGAGTAATTAGTCATTATTTACAAATGAAAGTAAACTGTAAGTGTTCACATTCATACAGTTTCATATTTGACTGTTTTCATTTCCGAGAGCCGTACGATTTTAATTGCCAGTGTTTGGTAAACGAGTGTCATGACTGAGGAGGTCATAGTCCGCTCATTTTCATCTCCATCCACATCCTCCTCATTATGATACCTTTGGTATATTACTGTTTTCATTGCCGCGACCTGCGAATTGCTTTGCGTAGCATGTTTTCCACTTTTACTGCTTCGCCATCAAACGAAACAAATTTTGAGCGGTAGATTTCACAAGGAAACGAATCGCAATTGTTGAGGCTCTTAAAGTTTGTGCCAGCTTCGCTCAGACGATAAAATACGAAAAGGGGCAGAGTCAGGCGAACACGTATTGCGTCAAAATTAGTGCGGAAATTGCAAATCGTTTCGCGTACGTACGGATTTTGTTTTGTTGTGGTGTTTTTTTTTTTTGCGGCGCACACCTTTGGTGTACGATTTATTCAACAATTCAATTCAATTGTTGTTATTGTGATGTGTTGCCGTTATGCTACATGTGGTTACCTAAAAAAACTTAATTTTGATCATTGATACAATGAATGCGAAGTAATTTATTTAAAACAAACGCAAAACAACGCAAGGTCTTCTTCGGCTATTGGTGTTGCGTAACTTGTAAACATGTTTTTTTAATGAATTTAAATCGTAGCTTTTTTAGCGGATATTCGCAAATTTCAACATAAATCAACACAAATTTTCCTATTTTATCTCAGAGTAAAGAAAAATATATATTTTCAAGATGTAATGTGTTACTTTTGCAAATAATGTCGTTATTATTTGCAAAATTGACGTTTTCGCGCCTTTTCTTCATTTAGAATGTTGAAACTTAATCGTGTCCATATATCACTATGCATCGTTGCACTTTATGTGTGGTATTGCAAAAGAAAAAGTGTAAAAAAGTGAAATTTAGGCTAAATTCGTTTTAATCTAATTCGCGCGCCAACACAAACAGAGAGGAAAAACGATTTCTATTACAATAATTGCCCGGCGTACACTTCAATGGTAAACGTAAACTATTCAATTAAATTATTCCATTCGCAATTGTATGCAAGCTCTAATTAATCCGCAATAAAATGCTTAGTGAAAAACGCAAGCGTTTCAATGGAATGGAAATTGGCAGCAATGAAAAGTGAGGCAAAAATATAAATGAACGCAACAATAGTTTCTGCTAATAAGATTCAATACGCAATAAAAACACAATGAATATAAACCAATTAAATTAAGTATTTTTATAAGTGAATTATAACTATTCTCACAGTTAATTATATTTTCATTTAATGAGCAGTAAACTATTATTTTAATTTCGAATTAATCAAAAAATCAATTTTTCAGTTGAGGTTCAAATCATTTTGCAAATAAACACTTTATTATTTGCAAAATTTTGAACTTTTCTTTTACAAACTGGAAACTTTCTGAATAGTGTTGATGTTAAGACATTTGATTTGAAACCCACGTATTGTATGTACTTTTCCAAACAATTGTAGTTTTATGTTTACGTCATTCGATGCTTAACGGTAGATGCACGTGATTTTAGTAACCGGAGCACTTTATCTCTCCACATCACGTCCAGCGGAGTGTTTCAAACAAAGACACTTCATGACCATCAACCAGACCGCTTGTTACGATCTCAATCTGTATTATTATATTTTTTATTGCTTATTACAACAACTGCATCAATATATTATTAACAACAGTGTTACATAAACATAGGTTGATAAAAATTGCTATACAAGTAAAAAATCATCTATAAATTGATAAGTAACAGATTATTTCTGTTGATTTTTTTAGCTTGCTTTACTTGTTAAACATGAATGCAAGCAGCGATGCAAGCAGAAACCGGACGAACACCAACAACGCGATCCGATGTTCGATGTTTGTCGCTGCTCGCATTCTGTGTGTTTTCGTGCGATTGCGATAGTAAGTACAGCACGTAGCTGCAGGCAGCCGCCGAGGAAGTTCATTAAAATGCTTTCATTAACGTTAATAATCGCTGCACGCGCGTTTCGACGGTAATAGGGTTCATCGCTTCTTCACTGCACGTAGTACAGGGAGCTTTTACCTTTTTTCCTTCTTATTTTTTTAAACAAAATTCAAAACGAAAATATCTAGTACCTTAAAACTCACCTGTTTTTGACCTTGGTTCCTTACACTTGATATCTAACACCCACACAACAACAAATGTGATCAATCCTTGGAATGATAGAAACTTAAACTGCATCGATGTGGATTGCGGCGCGCTTTTGCAGCAGCATGTTTGTTGCGGTAGGCAATGGAACACTATAGATTCGGTGCATTCGCCGGCGCGACGACTCTAGGTGAGCGAACCGCGCGAGCTTACACTGCGGCGCAAAGAACTGAAATAGTGCGAACGCCTTCGACGCCGTCGCCGTGTGTATTAACAGGCCGCTTGCTGCCGCAGCTTTGGTGCTTTGCGCGCCGCTTCTTCAGCTTAAGAGCCACCACGCGCGCCTCGCGACTCGTCGTCGTGAATGTAACAGACATCGCGAGAGTACAGTTCGCTTACGGGACTACGCAGGAACGCGCAACAAGTGTTCGTACCTCTTCAAACATCGATAATTACAAGCGTGCCGAGAAATAGGTTGATGGTAACTCAATGTTTATTGCAAAAATACACAAAACTAACGTCAATTATTCATAAATCAATTATAATATACGATGTGAGAAAATATTGGTCATATAAAAACCCGAGATTATAGATTTAAGAACCAGCAGATCAAAATATAACAAAATAGTAATCTTAACCTCTAATATTGGTTCTGGAACCCGCCGTACATAACTATATGCCACTATAAAATTGCAACTTACATTCGATAGAATAATATAAGAATATAAAGTGTAAATGATGCATACAATGTTAAAATATCACATTTATGTCTGTGTTTTAATGCTTATCAGATTAAGATTCAGCTTGTTGCTCGTTAACAATTAAATTGGGTCCTTCAGCTTCACGTACATATTTCTTCGCGTAAATCATCAAAATGGCGGCTGATTTGACCGTAATAAATCCCCATATGCACGCAACGGCCAAATCCATACGTTGAGTGTCTGAAAACATACAAATTATTAATACAATTAATTTTAATAAAAATATTTATAATTTATTACATTGGTGCAGCAATAGATAGTAAACTAGGTGATAGACAAATCCAGCGAATCCCAATGCAAACATAGTGAAACCCAGCCAGTAGAGTTGTGATAGTTCGTGGATTTCATACCATAAGGATAATCTTCGCCGCTTATGCAACCAATTGATATGAGCGGTCACAGCGCTAATGGCAGCTAAAAATATAAAACGTGAGTTCAAGGATTTGAAGGTGTAACAGTCGCGTCAACTGTGTATTATACAGAGGAGTGTTCACAGCCCGGCTAGCTCAGTCGGTAGAGCATGAGACTCTTAATCTCAGGGTCGTGGGTTCGAGCCCCACGTTGGGCGCATCTTTTTATGTTCTTTAAATTCGTTAGACATTTTTCCCAACATGATTTAGCATAAACTAAGAATACGTACCTGTTACGAATCCGTACACCGATGCTGGATAATAATGCATTAGTAAAAAGACTATAAACGCGGAAATTCCGGCGATAGTATAGACACAACTCACTATGAAATGAACCAAACCCATTTTTAAAATATTCAAGAATTAAAAATGCTTGGTTTATTTTATGTGGCACACAGAATTATTGTCATTCACAGATCACAGCCACTGAAGCACTCTCGTTGCGTGTAGCGTGCAGTGTTTCGTGATTTATATTGTTCAAGGTTCTGATTTGGATTCGGAATCTAATTTATTTTTGTGCACTACTTATCTACTACTTATCACATTGTACCGAATTAATATCATTGCAGCCACTGTTGGGTGCTTTCTATAGATATAAATTAAATATTTACACGTAACGTAAGACGCGATTATGATGCACAATTGCGGTGTTTTCTACGGGCAAATATGTCGGGATTATACCGGGTGCACGTTTTATTTTATTTGTTTACATCTCGTTGCAAGCACAGCTGGCAAGTTTTGTAGTGATGGAACTCAGCTGTTTGGTTTTTAAGAATATAAAGCATGTGGATACGTCTTTTGAAACTTAGTTGAGGTACAAACTGGTTGAAGTGTCATTTTGTGTGAGAGGAACAGAGATGGAAATACCCTGTAGGTGACGGATCAATAGAATAAGCGTCAATGTGCTTTGTATAGATTTCGCCTTGAAACTTATACAGGGTCATTCAAAAACACATTTAATATGAACTTAAACACATTTTACTCCAAGATTTTGAGGCTTATTAGGTGTGAAAAGTGTTAATACTATATAATAATTACGAATATTTTTATTTTTAACGATTTAAGTTAGTATAAAACATAATTTAGTTTTTTAAACGAAGAATATTTATGATAGGCAACTCTATATACAGATAAATACTTCCTGGGAAGGTAGAATAGCTGGATTTATATAAGTACTGCATTTGCTTTAAATTTGTCAAATTCTGATTCATTTGGCACACAACTATCCCTCTCCTCATGTTCAATTATGTTCACTCTGTCTCCTGGTCTATTCACCCTAGAAACACAAAAATTTTGATGTATTTTCATCCTTATAATATAAATAAAAAAGTTATTACCTTCCAAAAAGTTTAAACAACCATCCTGGTTTGCTTATCATTACTAGTGCAATAACCAGCAATACCAAAATTAATAGCACCACCAGAACTATAATCGTGAGGTCCCAATAAACCATTTCTGCATCCATATCAGGTTTAATATAATTTTTTAACTTAAATTCCGTAAGATATTTTTCGTATCGTTTCCACATCACTTCTAAATGCATTTCTAACAATTGGTATCCTTCGTAATTTGGTTTCATCACAACGGGAACAGCAAAATTTACCGTGACACATTTTTCACTATCTGGCCAATAATATGGACATCTTATCAAATCCGCAATAAGAACATTGTTTTTTCTAAAAGTAAATTAGAAAAGTAGAGTTTTGATGAAGAATATAATTAAATTGTTTATACCCAATCGGTTCTAGAACAGGCATCGCCTGGTCTTTGCAATATTCAGCCGCCATTTTGCCAATGGCTGTTCGTAAATTTTCCACATTCTCCTCAATCTCGTAGTCGACATCTCTCAATCCATATAAATGAGCTTTATAGTGACTTTTGTCATTTGCTCCTGGTGAAGGCCAAGTTGATGTAGATGTTGGAGCTTCCGTTGTCGTTAATGACGTAGTTCCTTATATTAATTATAATTTTAAAAATATTAATTTATAAGAATATTTTATGACTTACCATACGCAGTATATTTTAGTTTGAATTCTCTAATTTTTGATTTTCCTTCTTCTGATTCCCCGATAAATAGTTTTATATAAATAATATTAGAAGAAATAACAATTTTGCCTTCTGGAAGGCCTTTTTCAGTTAGTGCAATGCCAGTACCCTCTTCATCCATATCAGGACCTCTTTTAATAAGTAAATAATCTCCGTAGATTGATTGTAGATCTACATTTTCCACTTCTATGATTAACTTGAAAGAATGAGGCAGTTTAATTAAGTATTCTCTTGAATTTAGTGTTGAAACAGATAATTCATGCTCCTGCTTATCTTGTACTTCAATAACTTGGGGATCTAAAAACAGTTTTCTAGTTATTTAACGTTATAAGGTTTTTAAAATATGCTTTTATTACCTTGCAAAGTTGCTGTTACTCCAAAGAGGAGTATAACAAGTAAAACCAACATTTTTCTTTAAAACAATGGAATTTTCACGTTTATTCCGATGAAACTAGTTATCAACATCACATATTTTGGTTGTTATCACTCATAAGCCTAATCTGGTAGAGATAAATACCAATTTTTAAAATTGAATTTGGTGATAAGTCTAGTTTGCGTCTTTTTAGATTAGAATGTTGTATTTAGTGTTGCATACAGTAAAACCACATTTAAACTTATATAAGCGTCACACTGACAAGTTTTTATAATTTTACACAAGATTTACAAAATATGAAGCATTATATATTTATATTCGCATTATTATCTTTAATTATAAAGGTTAAAAATGTGCAATACATTAGTTTAACTCCCGAAGACAAAGAATACTTGAAAAGACAACTGCCGAAGAATCACAAATATAGTTTACCAATGCAACAGATATTCAACGAATCTCATTTAAAAATATATGACGACCGAGCCAAACGACAATATATGATTTATCCACCTGACCCTTATCATGGTGCAGCACCTGCATATCAATTAAACCTACCTATCATGGCAGCAATGCCCCCGCAAACAAATCCTTACGTTGTCATGCCTCAACATGATGCCTATATGCCTGAAGGTCCTCATCATCAACAGATTCAAGCAAGAGCAAATTATCCCCATTTACCGATTCCAGAATCTATAAAAGTCACGACCGCTTTATTAGATCCTTCAAATTGGAATGATTTGAGATTTGAGAATTTCTCTCCAACCACTGTAAAATTCGATTTGGATGGTATTGCGAATAAGGCGTTTGATGAAGCGATAAAATCAAGAAAAGATTCAGTTTCAGAACCACATACTGAATCTATATGGAAAACTGCATCGCTTACTAAAAGAAAGGTGTTGGAAGAAACAACAGCTCTCGCTACAGCAACAACACCTTTGAAAGATTTACAAAAAGTATCAAGTGGGAAGGATTTTGCAGAATATGCTACGCAACCTACGAAACAAACTCGTGAAATGATGAAAACCACACTTGGAATTAGATCTGTTTTGGAAAGGGGTTTAGGCATTGAATTATCTGCGTTCAATCAGTCAGAATGTGAAGCAATGACACCAGAAGGTGGTGTCAGTATCCCATCGTTACCCCCATTGAGTCCTATAAAAAGCATTGTACCTACTCCTAGTTTATCAGGAAGCCCACAAAAAGATGCAGCGCTCAAAGATAAGTTGATACAAATTTTGGAGGATGTAGAATCTATGAAGTCAAAAGTACCTGCACCCAAGGAAGGTCTTCCTTGTTCAATAGTAGGCAAATGGATCTCATCATTAGCTGGAGGTGGTTTTGAGATTGATCAAACAAATGGTATTAATTTTAATGTTCCGATTCTTCCGAGTTTGGGTGATGGGTTTCTGAAAAACGGAGAATGGAGGATCACGGCTTCCACCCCATTAGAAAATGGCGGATTGTTTGTGTTAACTGCTACTAGATTATGTGATCTTTCAATGGCGACATTTACAGGCGAATGTCGAACTTGTAACAGCGAAGAAATTGTCACTGGTCATTGGTTAATGGTGAAACCAGCCTTGACCTGTGAAGAAATGAATAAAGGACAAGATTTTTTCGGGGATACATGGAGACGTCAAGCCCCACCTACTACTGGTGGTGAATGTGCAACAGAAAAAATCAATTAATCATGTGCTTTGTTTGTTTCAAAGTATAACCTCTAAATGTAACTAGGTATTGCATAATATTTTTCTTTTTTTGTGTTTCTGAATGGTTCGCTTTACACTTTAACAGGCGTGCGCATTTAACCGCTTCCAATTTCGATTACACCTTCAGTTGTTCTTGTGCACCGAAGATTGTTACATCCTTCCGTGCGCGCGTTTATGCAACGCAGCGATTGCGCAAGCGCAGTAGCACAACCGAAATGAATTATGAAGCGAATCATTAAGAGAAGCAGCCATCAACACGATAAGCATCGAATAACGAGTAGAAAAAGTGAAACGACAACTCACTGCACGACAATGCCTCGGCGCGTTAAAGTTAATCATTATTATCTTCTAATGACAAAAGGTGTAGAAATTGTGTGTATAAAAAGTCAGGCGTACGCTTGAAAATTCTTCAGTTCAAATTTAAACTTACCACCAACAATATGGAGAGGCGAAATATTTTTTTGTGTTTTATGTTGGTGCAAGTTGTGGGTTTGTGGGCGCAGGGAGCTGGTTATGTTGAACGGCAATTATTATGTGCATTAGATCAAGCGCCTTGTGATGCTTGGGGACGTCAAGTTAAAGGTAAGTAAAAAACAATTTCTGTGGGTACAAAAAGTGTTACCCTTTTTTAAATTCTGTGTTTTTGCAGCTGCTTTGCCTGAAATCATTGGAAACAACTGCGAAAATTGCAACCGTGCACAATTTAATAATGTAAACCGTGTCGCGAGATTTGTAGAAACACGGTATCCGAATTTATGGGCGGCTATTGTGCAGAAGTATTCCCAGCAGGGTCAGGAACAACCGGGACAGGCGCAGGTACAAGACACGCCTGACCAATTCTACAACATTGCACCAGCAATCTAATTTATGATCTCTTTTATTTTAAAAACGTGTTTTTATAAACGTTCTACAAACACTTAAATGTCTATTTTTATTTTTATGAACCCATATTAACCTGTAAGTACATAACAACTTACAAAAAACAGAAATATTGTTTAAATGCATTGATAAAACTGAAAAATAAGTGTTATTTAAAAAATGCATCATTTTTATACTTGGCATATTGTTCTTCATCTAATAATTTATCCGCGTTGGCTATATCCTCATTAATGGCGGCGATAAGCGCCTCTAGAGTTTCAAAGTTTTTCTCTGGACGCAAATATCCGACAATACCAATCTTCAATTCGTTGTCATATAAATTGCCGTCGAATTTGTGCATGATATGTGTTTCCATAGATTTACGCTCGTTTTTATAATAAGGATTCCAGCCGATACTGATGACCATTTTGTGAATGTTTCCTAGTATTTTAGCCCAACCAAAGTAAATACCAGTAGAGATAGATTCCGGTAACTTATTGACAACCTCCTCGGAGAAGTTGGCCGTTGGAATGCCGAGTTGTTTCGAACCACGCCCGAAACCCTTGATAATCGTCCCGGCAGCAAAATGTGGTAATCCTTTCGGTGTCATATTTAAATTTTTTGATAGGGTAGGCTCGGTATCACTCGGCGGAATGTATTTGTATTTATACGAAGTACAAAAACAGCTGAGTGACTCCGCTGCGTGTAAAACTGAGGTATGCAGTGAGGTTAGTTCAAGCCGCTGCGGTTTTAGTTTGTAGCGTCCTTGATGATCAACAAATCCACACTCTCTTCTCTAGATAAAATTGAAATATTCGGAATACGAGTGTTGTCACTTCGCCACCTGTAACAGTCAAGTATCATCCATGCATCCACAACATCCGCAAACCGAGAAGGTAAGTGGCATAATAAATGCTAGTCAATTGTTTTACGATACCTTGCATTCCCCTACTAATTATAAACACAACTCCAACACGGTAGGTGTCTAGATAAATATGTGCACTGTGCACCAATATATATTATATCATACGGGCAAACAGCGTAAAACAAATACACGCGGATGTGTCTGATCACCAAATGTTGCGAGCATATTCAACCGCTTCGCTTTTTAACGCCGATAGCAGCACGTAATCATAAGTCAGACTGATCCAGACTCTGCAAGGTTGGATTTAGTTGAGTGACAACTATGATACGGTTGTAAATAATATTTCATCACAAGGTAAACGTTACCAATGAAAGGGTTTAAAACGCGCTGTATAACATCCTAGCTAAAATTAAGCCTGGAATACAATTGAAAAACAAGTCGCGCTCTCGCTGCTAGTTGAATAAATTTATCGAACAGTTGACTAGAACAAACGAGACTAATCGCACGAATGTCCACAGTACAAGTGACTCTGACCACGGACGATGTAAGTTCATAATAATTAATTATTGTGTAAATTGTGATAGCGCTAAAATTAAAAAAGTTAAAATTGTTTGTATAGCGTCGCGAATCGATGTGTAAAACAGTTTGTTTCGCGGCGTGTAATCATGTCACAATCATTCATATTCTTATCTTTATATTTTTTCGAAAATAAATATAAATTAACCGATAAAAATTAAGCGGTGTGTCGGCTGACGGGTTAATTATTGCGATTTCATTGTGATTTGATAGAAAATTACTATGAATGATACGTACAGCGATTAGCACTTTATTTTTCATTTGCATTCGTGAGCAAGCATTAAAGTTCGGGGTCATTAGGCAATAAAAGAAGGAATTTTCCGTCGATGGTTCAATAATTACCAGCGATAAATAAATAATGTGAAAAAAATATCGAAAATCAAGGCTTTGTCAATTTTATTAGCGCGTTGTCATGGTAACATAACAATGACTCGCGTTTAACTCCTAATAATTTTGCAAATTCATAAATATACATTTTTATTATAGTTGGCACAATGATATTAACTTTTAAAACTTTTCACGTTTTTATTTATTAATATAAATATCACTTGTATTTTTATTTTTATATTGATTACAATATTATTATGTAAAAGTTTGAAATCCATGATGCACGTTGTGTAGGTAAACATATTCAATCACACTTACGTTTTATTCGAGCACTTATGGCTGTCCAAGCAGTGTTTGAACCGCCGCATTGCGTCTATTTTGAAAATGCGGTGATAAGAAGTATTTTTACAGCGCGCGGGCATAAAACCATCACCAAATGAGCGCAGTGTTTTCATTACGCACTTATCTAACGACGAGCGCGCGTACTTGATATATAAGTTCGATTCGTTGCCGTCCATCTGTTGGTTTTCGTGTGTCGTGCGGAACTGATGCTCGGGGGTTCATCAGTCACCAGATTTAAGCCTGTTATTTTGTCGCTGTGCTCCTTGATAAAACTATTACGTAAACAAGCGCTGCGGAGTTTTTGTGGCTGTGTGTTTAATTGCATACTAAGTAGAGTTAATTAACAACTTGTTTGCACATTATATTGCCGCGCAGAATCATGACGAGCTTATTAGAACAAGTATGGAATTAATTATTATTTTTCTATTCTTATTTTGAAGTTGGTAAAACTGAAGTGTTTGTGTTTTTTCAGGTCAAAGGACATTCAAGGTCGTCCTCAAGTTCGCGAGAGTTCCGCGAAAAGACCAAACAGGATGCGCTCAACAATCTTAATAAGGAACTCAACAAGTTGGCGGATATGGCGCCGCCAGCCCAGCGCGAACTTGTCCACAAAGAAATGCAAGGATTTTCGGATTTGTTTGAGCGTTTTCTAGCTGAAGAAGGTCCTTCTGTGCAATGGGACCGCATGGAGAAGTTACCTGACGGTGCTGTTCGGAATTATCAAACACTAGAAGTGCCCACTACTGACCTGGTGCATCAGATGTTGCAGAAATTGGTTGTGGTGAAACTTAATGGCGGTTTGGGTACTTCCATGGGTTGCCACGGACCGAAATCAGTCATCACCGTGAGGAATAACTTAACTTTTCTGGATTTGACCGTCCAACAAATCGAAGTAAGTATATTTTATCAAACAGAAACTAATTAGAAGATTATATATAAATAAACTTGTATTTTATTAGCATTTAAACAAAACGTATAAAGTCAACGTGCCATTGGTTCTCATGAACTCATTCAACACCGACGAGGATACGGAAAAGATCATACGAAAATACAAGAATCTCCAAGTGGAGATTCATACGTTTAGTCAAAGTTGCTATCCGCGTATCAACCGCGAAACCTTACTGCCGATTACAAATGGTTATGATATTGAAAAAGACGTGGAGGCTTGGTATCCGCCTGGTCATGGTGATTTCTATAAAAGTTTCCAGAACTCTGGATTGTTGAGGAAGTTTATTGAAAACAATCGGGAATATTGTTTCATTTCCAATATTGATAACTTGGGTGCAACTGTGGATATGCAGATTTTGAACAAGTTGCTCAATCCTGCACAGGAGTCAAAGCATGAGTTTGTGATGGAGGTGACGGATAAAACACGCGCTGATGTTAAAGGTGGTACTTTGATTCAGTACGAGAACAAATTGCGATTGCTTGAAATCGCGCAAGTTCCAAAAGAACACATTGATGATTTCAAATCGGTTAAAACATTCAAGTTTTTCAATACGAATAATATTTGGGCTAAACTCAGTGGTAAGTTATGAAATTTAGTGTTTTTTGTTAGCCTAATGCTGGTTTTTATAGCAATTGAACGTGTTCTCAACGAAAAGACATTGAACATGGAGATTATCACCAACGACAAGACCATTAAACACAAAGGTAATAATTTGAACGTTATTCAGCTGGAAACAGCCGTGGGCGCTGCGATGAAAGTCTTCGAGAATGCAATCGGTATCAACGTACCACGCAGTCGTTTCCTGCCCGTTAAAAAGACCTCTGACCTGTTGCTTGTTATGAGCAACTTGTATAGCATGCGAAATGGTTCGTTGGTGATGTCCCCGCAGCGTATGTTCCCTACTACGCCACTAGTCAAACTCGGCGATAATAACTTCTCTAAAGTGAACGATTTTCTCAATCGCTTCGCGAATATTCCGGATCTCATCGAGTTGGACCATCTGACCGTTTCGGGTGATGTAACATTCGGACGCAGTGTCAGCTTGAAGGGCACAGTTATCATCATTGCGAACCACGGCGATCGGATTGATATTCCATCCGGGGCTTTACTGGAGAATAAAATCGTGTCGGGCAATTTGCGAATTTTGGATCACTAGCTTGTCTAGCAGTAGGAGTGGTAGTAATTACTGTAAAGGTAAGGTAATAACAAATGTAAATTGAGATTATGGTAAATGTGAACGCATCCAATGCGAAAGTGTTATATGACTCAGCTGTAAGCTAGTCACAAAAATATATTTTTTATATGAGTCTATAAATTGTGGAGATATGAAGTAATTGTTTCAAGTGGACCAGTTTTGTACATTGCTTGCTACTAGCGGATATGATTATATGATTTAGGCACATTTTAACAAAACTCCTTAATCATCCACTTCAAATATGTACCCTTTTTTTATTATATACAATAATATCACGAGATAAAATACTTAAAATCTAAGCGTACAAAATGTGTGATGCCCAGGATGTAATAGAAAATATCAATTAATATTAATTAACAAGTGATGTCATTAATTCATCGGTAGGACGACCGCGGGATCGGCATCAAAGATATTTATTCTAGAATGTTTGCTAATATTACCAACGGCAGCTTCGTATAAAATGTCGGAAATTAGCTTTTCCGCTACTAGTGAGACATCTGGTGAGAGATCACGCAACTTGTACGCAATGTTTTTTCCGATCACGTCGAATTTGTCTTCTTTCGGATCGTGTTTGTCGAAAAATCCGTTCATGTTAGGCAGAGATTCAGCTAGTTTACGTTTCCTTCGCTTAGGTGCAGGTATATTGCCATTATTTACAACGTTAGTAACAAGATTCGGTACTCCTAAAGATAATTCTATTATTGGTTCGGATTTGTCTTGCTCGCCGCCGAATTGAGGAGGTGGATGTTGGGCGTGCATATCGGGTAATATGGAATCATCCATAATTTCTCTTTTTGTTATCAATCCAGCTTCCATCTGAAAATATATATTAATTAATACTTTAAGCCGACTTGTAAACTAACCTAAAATAATGTAAGTTACTGACAAAATCTAACCTATCATGAGACTCCAGACCACAACATTTGTGATCAGACAAAAACTTAAAATTCTTATAAATTAAATTTACTGCATTCTTTCAAAAATTGACATTATAAAAGGGCTTTATTTCGCGAGTTAATCATTTGAATAACCTGTTTTTAAATGTGAAATCCGGTTATACCTGAGTATACATTTTACATTTGCCTGTTAAGATAAAAAATTACCTTTGGATCATTAAAAATGTTGGGATGTCTTGTTCGCAAATGTGTGCGGAGATTCGTAGTGCCTCCGCCTGTTTTAAACTGTTTCATACAAATAGAGCAGAGCGCCTCGTAAACACCGCATTTAGTAAAATACTTCCATACCGACGAGTGCGCCATAACAAACCAGCAAGCAAACCGAGAACCGCGTACACACCGATCGCACTGCACAACAACCGATTTCTCAGTACCGTTGTGAAACAACCGGAATGGCAGTGGCAAAATACGCCATTGACAATCAAGAAAGAAACGAACAAAACATAGGAGCATTTTGAAGTGGAATAGAGACAGCGCTGCATCAATCCAGTGCTGCCACCGGTATTAAACCTGTGAAAAAATTCACTAGGCTATAAACCGGTTTGTTCGATGTAGGCAACCGGTAGATTTACTTCACAATTTATTCAGCAGTGGTACATAGTTTGCGTGAGTGTGGGTTCCAATCAGCAGCAGTGTGTGATTGTCCGTTGAGTGCGTCGATGGGTTGAAGTTGCCGCTGATTGCCTCCAGGCCGCCACGATTGATATGCCTTGATAACGACTCGACACGCGCTCAGAATGATTGACCGCAGTTTACCGGCGGTGGGTACGTCGCGTTAATTCTGCAGGTATCGTGATGGACGCCGACGGCATCGGCTTGTCGTTCAACCGGGCGCAGCGTTTCGTGCTTGGTTGCTTCGTGCTGCTGCTTGTCGACGTGATTTGGGTGTCATCTTCAGAACTTACAAAGGTATAAAATAAGAACTCATATTTATTTTGAGGACAAACAAATATCATATTTTATTACAGTTTATTTATCAGCATGAACAATTTGAGAAGCCCTTCTTCTGCACATACCTGAAGACATCAATGTTCACATTGTACCTGCTGGGGTTTTGCTTCTGGCCTCCATGGAGAGACAGTTATTGCAACAAGCCACACAACTACATGTTTATTGACCCTGATCAGGAGGATGAAAATTTTTATTCTGAAGCCAACACAAGTCTGGTAATTGTTATTAAAGAAATCAAATATTTATCATAAATATTAAATTATTTTATTGTTGCAGAGTAATCCAGTTTATGTGCCTGTGAAAACAACAGAGCGCGAGATTGTGCACGATCGCAGTTCGGGCACCGAGAGCGATGATTCCTCGATTCGCTCGGTTCGATTTAATAAATTGGCTGAGGTGCGACATATGAGCGAAATGGAAGCCACCGAAGCGCTGCTCGCACGACTCAGCTATCAGGCGAGTGTTCGTGCTGGTGAGTTAGCCAAGCGCGCCGCCATTAAACTTCCTATGATGAAAGTTGCCAAAATTGCGTTTATCTTTTGCCTTTTGGTAAGTTTTATCGTTAAGTAAATTTACTCACCAAATACACACCTATTGTAAATAAGAATATGTGTGTTACATGTGTAAAACACTTTTTTGTTATTTAACAGAGTTTTATTGTGTTTTTAGTGGTTTGCGGCGAATTACACCTTTCAATTGGCATTGGCCGAAACCGAGGCTGGCATGGTCACCGTCCTGTCTTCCACCTCCAGTTTATTTACACTGGTACTGGCTGCCATCTACCCTTCCGGGTCCACTGACAAATTTACGTTGTCAAAACTTGGTGCGGTTATTTTGAGTATTACCGGAGTTGTAAGTTAATTTTTTTACAGAAATTAACTTTTATATATCTAAATTGTTTTTCCAAAGGTTTTAGTAAGTTTGTCTGGATTATCTCATCAATCTCAAATACCATTGGGCATCGCCTTGTCCATTCTAAGCGCGTTTTTCTACGCAACATACATCGTATTCCTAAAGCGCAAGGTGGAACACGAGGACAAAATGGACATTCCGTTGTTTTTTGGCTTTGTGGGTCTGTTTAATCTCATTCTGCTTTGGCCATTGTTTTTCTTCTTCCACTACAGCAACTGGGAGCACTTTGAGTTGCCGACAAAGCATCAGTTGATGTTTCTGCTCGTCAACGGCGTACTGGGGACGGTCATTTCGGAAGCGTTGTGGCTTTGGTAAATAAATAAAACGAAATAAAATATGCATGCGTGTTGTAATAAACTGAAATTATTTATTCTAGGGGTTGTTTCCTGACATCATCTTTGATGGCGACCGTTGCCATAAGTTTGACCATTCCAATGACGATGCTTGCAGATGTATTCTTACAGCGCGTCTCCTACCCGTGCCTTTTTTACTTGGGCACTGTTCCGATGATTCTTGCCTTTGTTGCCGTCAGCTTCCTTTCGCACTATGACAATTGGGATCCGGTGATGGACTTTCTACGATGTGCCTGCAGCGCTCTGTTTAGACGTAGATACCGGTATGTTTTAATTATCCAAAAAATATTGTCATTAATTATAACAATTAGTTTCAGATTTGCTGAACCACCGTCTGAGCAAACCGAAGCGTTAATCGGGATCAACACTACCAATGACCATGAGGCGTGAAAAAGAAAACAACCAGAATATACATTTAAAAAAAATGGTGCTTGAGAAAGAAAAGAACAATAATGTGATTTTAATTTTAAATTTGTTTTTAAATTGTGATTTACATTAACGTACTATAAAATCTATCCAATCTTAATTTAAGTACATGATGAGTAGGATAAACTAAGTTAGTGATTAGCGCCACATAAACATTTCCATTTTTAAATTGTAAAACATTCAACAGACGTGTTCCATGCTAGGCAAGTGGACTGTAGCGCACTGTGATTTATTTGTTTATTGATAATTTAATCGAAAGCAACAAAATTCAAACCGGAAACCACGCGTCGAACGCAACAAAACGACTGAAATTAACACATACAATAATTAAATACTTTTATTGTACTGAATGGTAAATGTGTCTAGCGGAAAATTGAAATTCTTGCCGTTTCAAAACCTACTATGTACTGTTCTCATTAGATACTATGATGAAGTTGTTATATTGAGTAATTGAGAGACTTCGAGTAATAGAACACGCAAATACGACAGAGTATAATAGCATTCATATTTTACAAGAAATGAATACAATAACATGCGATATACATATATTTTTAATAACTTTATTCATAAATTAGTCATGTATTTTCGTACACATTGTATGTACTTTGCTGCATAACTGAAAAAAGAAACAAAAAACAAAGACCGTACTTATTGTATATAAAGTTATTGTATTGTAAAATGTAAATGACGTTAAATTAAGCAAAACAAAAAACAAGATGTCGTTATTGTAACATTGTAGCAGTTACATAAATCAAATGAGAAATATCTCTCGATGTACAACAATTGAAATATTTGTCAAAACTTAATTATTGTCGTTGACTTGCATCGTTTATTGCAGTATTATACTGACAATCTTGAAGTTACATGGATTTATAATTTTTTTTATACAACTGCTAATCACATTTTGATTCGTTCCAGACGCTTGTTGCTTATTAGAATGCTATAATTGATTCGCTTGCGCAGAGTGAGATGCAGGGTGGAAGGCCGTTCGCATACAATACAAGTATTAATAATTTGAGTGGTGACGCAGGTGCTTCGTACGTATTTTCATCGGCGTGAAAGCTTAATATCTTTAGTTTTATGTTTCTTGTTTGTTTAGGAACGTAGAAGGATTGCGCAAGTTAGCCCTTTCATATAAAAGCACCATGAAGGGTAAACAAAGTCTGGAGAAATACCACAACGCAACGAAACCAGCACAGAAATCGGTGGATCCAAGGTTTAGACGGGCGCGAGTAGCACCAACCTGCGAGATTATGACAAGATCGGACACTAAGGTACCGTCACCATTTCATCCTATGAGGCATGTACCCAAATCGGCCCCGACGGTTTCCTCCATGCCCTCGTCACCAAAACATAGTCCCCGAAAGAAGAACAAATATCTTCTTACAAAAATGCGGTCCCAGATCACAGCGGATGCGTTTGGTGATTTGGCGGCGGACTTGACGAATAAATTAAAGCAAGAATCTTGTGGCACTGATGAAAATATTAAGAATAGGAATAAACCTAGGCCGTTTCGACGAATGCACAGTTTCATAGAGAGAACCGATACCAAAGAGCAAAGAAATGATGATGCCTTTGATGTGATTTTACCAGTTGCAGTAGAAAATAAGAAAATAGTTGAGAATTGCGAGGACCCATCTGAGTAAAAATTGTTTTTATACAGATTTTAATTGAACATTTTATAAATTCGTGTTTTAAAGGCCCCAACGTGTGAAGGACCCGATATATACAACAGAATGTGCATCACAAATACCTTCTGGTAATGGCTCTCGAGTCTTGAACACATATATTCCGCCGCCAATAGAAATAAAAACTCAAGACACGTTTTCAAAGAGTATGGTAACGCTACCATTGTCCACTATATCTACTGAAGAAAAAGGTTGTGTGTGCCGTAACTGCAGCCGTATGTACAACATCAAAAATAAGGTCTCCTGGCATTGTAAGGCAGCTTCATTTGCTGGGACCGACAGCATTTTCAAAGCTCTGGAATATTCACAACATCAGGAAAAGCATCATGATGAGAGTAAGTAATAACATTAATTTTTTTAATGGCGGATTTTAATATTGAGATGTTATTGTATATGTAGTATGGATCGTGTGGTGTTTATACGTCTTGGGTTGCATCTGCGGATTGTTACTGGTATCGAGTTTGGTGTGGGTATTGTCCAACGAAATTCTGTGGAACTGGGTTTATCCACCAAAGGAACCGCCGCCACAATCGCCATCACTTTATTCCTTCTTCTCGAACTGCGGAGCGACGATCATCTTTACGGTCAATTTATTTTTAAGCACTGTCTATAAAATTATGGCACTGCCAGTGAGTATAAACTTTTTTTAAACTATCCATACATCGTAAATTTTTCTTCTTTATTCAGAGGAGTTCAGTATTTGGGGCTGCCGGCGAAGAAACTGATCTACATTGGTAGTAGAAATGCAAGTAATTAAATATATAAAACCCTTATCGTAAAAAAAAGATTAAAAGGTGTCATGGCGTCGAAGCAGTATTTGAAATTTTCAAAATGGCGTCTTACAACAATTAAAAGAAGTTGTAACTTTACTAAAGACATTAATCTCAAATAAAACAGATGAATACTTGAATTAATAAGATATATTTAAACCAAAATAAGTGAGAACCAATCAAATATTTTATTTTTGTTTTTATTTCTTAGCAAAACAAATCAGATATTATAATTAAGTTCTCCTGTTGAATCCACCACCAGCGGCCGGCTGCGTCAGTTGCAGTCCACTGATGTTGTTGAACTCCAGGCTCTTCAACATGTCCCTGGTTTCCGGATCAACCTCAATGATGTCGTGCTCCAGAGCGGATACTTCTGGCACATAGTTATCGCGCCTTTCCCTTTCTTCTTCTTGAAGTTTAATGGAAATTCCGCGCACCTGAGAATGACGCAGACGCTTCATCAAATGCGTAACAAAACCGGCGATTTTGTTCCTCAATGGCTTTGAGGGGATGATTGCGATTTCCTCGCATACGCGCTTGTTGGTGTCGAAATCCAACGTCAAGCGGGTGTAGTACTTCTCAATGATAACTTTGGACGCCTTCTTGACGGTTTTGGTACGTACACGACCCATGTCTGCAGCAAATACGAGAAGGTAGCATTAGATTTGTATGCTTTTGGTTGTTTATTATCAATTTGGGGCTAACTTACTTGTTTATTTCACTTCACACGGCACACGAAGAAACGTGGTCGACGAGAGTTTCGACAGAAAGAGAGGTTCAGTGCGGTGCAGTGTTTTCTCCACTTGTGTCAGTGCTTTATTTCTGGTGGTATAGTAAAATCCCCAAAAATTACTAGTTTTGCCTTGTGACGTCATGCCGATGATAAACGAAGGAATGCTTACTTACTTTACTAGTTTTTGGTTCAATGAAATTGAAAAAATGATTATTTAAATTTTGTTTTGAGCCGAAGTTGAATTCTAAATAATGCGTTTGTTATGTTAATATAATTTGATACGAATGCATCAAGTTTGTACAGGGAATTGTAGCTCCATCTAGCAAACGTACTGGCAGCCTATAATTTTTGGAGCATGTGAGAATTCAAGTATGGCGGCAGCTGCTGGATTAATGTCTTGACATATTTGATTTGCTACCCAAATAAAAGTGAAATACGTGCCACAAGTAGATAGTAAATCGTGCACAACGCACATACAAGATGACGTCCGGAAAAGATACAATGGGGTAGGCAACATGCGCTTCATGCCGGTGCTGGCTGCAATTGAACATTTCGTGAAATACGCGGGCGGATTTGCTAGACGCACCTAACCACAAGTTAAATGCCCCACTCAGAAACAAACAAGCGACGATCGTTCCGCCTGATTGTTTTATAAGCGCGACAGTGTTCAATTAGGGCCAGTGCTCTCGTTTCCGCGATCGTGCGACCAGCGAGGAAATTCCGCGCAATACTGCAGACAAGGTGCCACTCCCCCACATTAACCAGATCATGATGCCTTCTGCTTCCAGTGAGCAGCCTATCTTCACGTGCAAGGCGCACGTCTTCCACATCGACCCGAAGACGAAACGCTCGTGGATGCCGGCTTCCAGCAGCGCCGTCAGCGTCTCCTTCTTCTATGACTCCTCCAGAAGTTTGTACAGGATCATCAGTGTTGAGGGTTCAAAGGCAGTCATCAACAGTACTGTTACACACAATATGACTTTTACCAAGACCTCACAAAAGTTTGGCCAATGGTCTGACGTGCGCGCGAATACAGTATATGGACTTGGTTTTTCCTCAGAAGCTGAATTACAAAAAGTAGATATTTATACATTGAATTTTCAGTTATTTTTACTGATTTTTGTCATTTTGTTTTAGTTTATTGACAAATTCAATGAAGTAAAGGAAGCAACACGCAGTGCCATCACCAAAGTGACCGCCAACGGTGGTACGGCCGTTACCCCTGTGACCAGTGCCAATGCAAGCCCCATCACCGCTCGAGCCGCTAGCGGAACCCCTGACAATCTTGAAAATCTCTTGGAGCCACCAGGTAATAATCAAATTACACATACATTGACCGAAAATTAATAAATAGTTTTTGTTGTAGGAAACTCGGCCATAATATCTAATGCCAGTGTAAAAGAAGAAGACCTGCCACATCCACGCAGTCATTCGATTTCGGGCGTTCAGAGCAACGAAAGCCCCAGTCATCAAATCAAAATCGAAAAGACCTATTCGCTATCGACCTCCAGTGGCGGAAACAACAGCAATACCAACGATATGCAGCTGAAGTACGAGAACGACCGACTCAAACTGGCTTTAGCACAAAGGTAACTTTATTCATAACAACTTAACATACAAACAAGAATTCATTCTACATTGGGCCTAGAATTTGAGCGCTTTAGTATCCACCAAAGTCATGTCCATGCTCGTGTCCGTGTTCTTCGTGATTGGGCTTTCCAATTTTGTGCACCACGGCATTGAAACCACTGTGCTTGTCAGCGGTGTATTCAACTACTCTTGTAGTACCATCGGCTTCCTTTAGCGTATATGATCCCTTCACTGAGTCGCCATCGCGTTCCTCTTGATGTTGCTTTTCGTCACCGGTATGTGGATCATGCACCGCGTAGTTATAGTGATATTTAGGATGAGCCTATACGAAAATGTATTTATAACCGGGATACAATTTAGGGGTATTACTTACATAGTAATCTTTGTGGTCGTGATGTTCTTCATGACCACCATGATCACCGAAATCTGCCACAACTTCATGTCCACCCTCGTGCCCTCCTTCGAAATCTTCGAAACCACCTTCATAGTGTCCAGCGCTGGCGAGCGCGATAAATATCAGCACATAAAACGCCTGAAATTTTATATTTGTTATTGTAATCCAATAATCACAGTATCACCAACTTACGGTTGATGTGTACATTATTATTGTTTAATTGGTCTACGTTTGCACTAAAGAAGTTGTGAGATGTTGGTGCACTACTGACTTCTAGGATTTCTAATTTTGTTTTTATAGTAGTCGGCCACCAGAGTTGACGCATCCCTACTTGCACACTAACGCTTTCTTTCGCTTTCCACCACCCGATTTATGTTCTCACATGCGCGCATCGCGAATTAACATAAAGCTTCTTCTCACCTCTGACTTTACTTGTTTCGTGTTATTACGAAGTGTTGCCGTCATATTTAAATCATGTTCGATTGTTGTCGTTATTAATGGAACTCAGTTAATGAAACACTCTGTGGTTGTCACGGGGGGTTGCTCCCATTAATTGCTTAATAGACTTCTCTCGCGTTTGCTTTGCATTTACATTCATTTTTTGGATTCTTTGTAAGTTGGCACTTATTACTTACATCAGTCAGGGTCCAATTCACCGGATAACAATCGAAATGCGTTCGGAAGCATAGCTTTTATATAACGCCAAACAAGGCGCTATTCAACATAATCGAATTCCAAGGAACATTAGCGAATTTCGCAAGGTGCCTTCGAAAAATCGCCGATTTTCGAAATAGAAATTTGTTAATTGACTGTTCTCGAAATACGCGTGTGGCATTCCGTATGGCGGAAATAAACACTCGAGTGAAAAGTAGGAAGAGCTTTTTTAGCATAACACATAAAAATGAATTAGCAAAAAAGGTTTCAAATGAACAGAAGGCAGATAGGTACATTTCTACGCACATCAATCAACGCTCTATAAGGCGTAGATAAAAGGCTTCGAGCTAGTAGCGTGCTACGCATCGCTGAACACACGCGGTGCAGCTTGTTTCGTCGTCGCATATCCGAGTCACTCGCACGTACCGCTTGCAACGGCTGCTGGATTCATTGAATGCAACAAAAATCTTTTATTACATGCGCGTGTTTTTGTTATATAATCCAATTCTAAAACAGATATATAACAGCAACATCGGTATATTACAAATTAATAATTGTATAATTAAACCATGTGCTCAAATATTTACATGTAAATACATCCTACATTCCTTCTGAAATTTCCATTTGCGGACATGTTTGTGGTGCATAAACGACACTTTGTATAATTCTCGCTTATTTATTTTATTGCCTTTGCGCTAATAGGAGCGATGCCTAACGTGGAATAAGTATACATGTAATTAATTGCTTTATACATGAAAGTTTGCACTTTCATGCGATGATGTATTCGATGATTGTGATGTGTGAATGATTCACGAGCGCATTTGCATCTGCCGAGTGTGATTATCAGACGATTACGATCCGTACGAGTAACATGCGCTGCAATGAAAGTTGTGTGTATGTTTCATTTGTGTCTCTCGCAGCATGAACACGAAAATTGCTCTGGCGTGTAAGCGTTTTAATAGAGTAAGGATCAAGCACTTGCGATTTCAATTTACATATCTGTCTGTTTATTTCTTTAAATAAATAGCAATTACCGTTGAAAATCAAGAAAGTGTAAATACAGATTATGAGAGACAAGTTAATGGCTAATAAAGAAATCTCATTTTAATGTTATAGTTCTGCGAATGCTAAAAAATGGGAGATCGAATTGGCTACGTTGAAGAATAATAATGCACGACTGACGAGTGCACTTCAGGAGAGCACGGCGAATGTGGAGGAGTGGAAACGACAATTACATACGTACAAGGAGGAAAACATGCGCATGAAGGCGAAATATCAGAATGATCTTGAGAATAGCAAAGGTAATAATGATAGGATCAATGTGACACTGAATGCTTCAAATAATATGTATTTTTTATGTTTGTAGGTGGGGGTGACATTGCCGATGAATTGCGTAAAGAAATTCAATCACTGCGCATTCGCGTTGATCAATTAGAATCAGAGTTAGACACAAAGTCGGCCGAGATGAAGCAATTATCGGCGTTAAACAAGAACGCGGACGTGCAGGCCTTGCAGCGCGAGAACCAGGAACTCCTCGCTACGGCGAAGCTCAGTCAGAGTGAACTGGACGTCGCAATGGGTACACATGAGTCACAACGACAGGTATTGCTCACGCTCAACCAACAACTCGCTGGACGCGTGCAGGAACTGGCTGCCATACACCACGAGATCTCTACGGCTTTGCAGACGTGAGGATTGGACGACGGCTGGTTCAAATCGTACGTATGAAAAAAACTCGCGGACGCGATGAGTAGCCCCAAAACGAAAAAATCTACAGCGGCGCAACGCCCCTACCGCACAATGGCGCAAATTAATTTTCACATCCAAACACCATGTCCTGCGATTTCACTACTGGTACTTTATACTTGTTTTGTTTGATTCTCCCAGCCGTTGATACGAGACGAAATCTCTTTGTAAGAGTTGTGTATGTACTAAGACTTATAAGACTAAATTTGGACAAAGTCTCCCAAATTGTATTGGAGGAACTTCGGAGACTGAATTGGAAGTATTACCACTTAGATCAAGCGAAGCCAAAATATGAATATAACCACCTACTAATGCATTTATTCAAATATTTTAACGCGAACATTTCAATGATGAATTATTACTATTGCATAATGTGTAACTCAAGTTGTTGTAGGTAATTTAATTCGTAGAGCAAGGAATAATGTATTATATTCGTGTGGCGTGAATTAATTAAATCTGAGGAAGCAGGAATCTCGCAAATCGTAGCGAGACGAGATGTGTATTTACGGGCATTCAAGTAGAATGTTGATGAAGCAACAGCGAGTGCAGCTTTAAATAACTCATTATTTCTTAGTATTATTTTATTCACGCGTAATACATTTACGTTATCTAATATATTCGCTTTTAAACTAGTAAACCAGTATTAGTCTCTATTTGTACTCTAAGCCTAGTATTAGGATAAGTCGTTTTGCTACTCATCAACGTTCTATTTGCTGCCCCGTCGAGCGCCGTAATTAACTTATGTTGGAATTGGAAATATGAAATAAGGAACGTTACATTGATATAAGAATGTGATTTGTAAATATGCTTTTAACGATGTCAAAACAAAGACCACGGACGGATGCACTAAGTGTGCATGTTAAACTCTAACAAGAAATGATGCCAATAATGAAATGCAATTATACATAGTAACGAAATAACGATGCCACAGCGACGTACTGCAAATAATGCAAGACAAAATATAAATCGAACAATAATCATGATATGCTTTGTGCGCACTTGTTAATGAACAAATTAACCTCATAATCATACAGACTTCTGCATTTCGCGTGTGCATTTCAATTTATCCTATGTACTAATTTATTCTATGCGGAAGTTAATCTATCGTAGTAGCGCATTTTTACCCTCATGACTACAGACGATATATACGTATCTAAATACTTTATGATGAAGAGAGAAACTACACTAGCGCGATGATACGTTAACGAAATTCTTACGGTGTTCAATTTTCGGCGTGAGCTACAACCATATATTGAGGAGAACAGTGTTTGTGATTCGCAAACTATAGAAACCGTTGTATTTTAAATTAAAATTTCGTTTCCGTGTTTACATGCATAAAATAATTATTTGTAGTTATGTAAAACAAAGAAGAAACTTTTCTGAATTAAGTTTCAGCAGTTAGTGTTCTTCTGACAACGATTTCATTTTACAAACTGATATTATACATTTTACTCTAAAAGAAGAACGTAAACGCCACGCACATAATAAAATTACTATACTGCTAAACTTCTATTATACTACTACTTATTAAATATGCTAAACAAATTGTTGTACGTAATTATACGTATGTTAGACCAGAATACTAATAATAATTGTATAGAAATGTTTTTACATACACCAGACGCAACAAATCAGATAACAAAAGTAATAATATACATAGTACTAGCAAGATAAGAAAATGTTTGTCTTTGTAAGCGACTCAATCCGATTATTGCTTGTTTTATTGCAACCATTTGTATTTGGTTTTATAAATATTATATATAAATATATATATATATATAAGAAAATATCGGAAATAGATATATAAATATAAAAATATATTATATGAATATTAAAAGCATTTATTGTTTGGCAGCGGAGAAATAAATTCGACCCCCATGCCATAAAATCCAATAAAACGTTTGAGCGACTAAACAGTGGTTGAATTTCGTGTTTATTGATTCTTTTGTTGATTTCTCAGCAACGCGTTTATCAGAGTTTGTTTACATTTAAGAACATCGTTCTTTGTTGCATTAGTGTGCAGTATTGCTGTGAGATGTCTCCACGAGGACTATTTGCGTGCTGTAGCTGGTTCAGGTAAGAACTTGTTAGTTTTTCGTTGTACGCGAGGCGGAACGTGCGTTTGCAGATTCAAGCGTATCCTATTTGTCGCGTTTCTTTTCTTTTTCATTTGAGAAATTGCGTTCTATTCAAATCCAGATTTACTGCCGTCATTAAATATATTTGGTATACTGTGTTTTACAATTATTTTATTGTTGGTGAAATATTCATAAAGTGCGACCGTTCATTGATAAGCGTGTGAGTTGCCGTCGGATGCCGATTCAACTGGAATTTTGCTTGGGCCATGCAAGGAAAGGTAAACATTTAATTTACGTGTAATGATAATTGAACTTAATTCATTTGTGGTGGTTTCATTTGTATTTTGCAAAGTACTCATCGATCATATAGATTCTAAAAACGTGGCTACCAACGAATTGTTGATTATGAAAGATTGGAAAATTCTCGATCAGATAAAAATATAAAATACTTATATTTCCTACAGTAAAAGGTCGAAAAACGCATTTTATTCAATCGCAAATATCTCGTAAACTAAAAGAGATAAATAGGATCTGATCGCAGCGTCTTAATCTACGGACCAATCTCTATCAGATAGGATAGTTAAAAGGGAAATCTGAGAGATGAAATTTTAAGTCTTAAGAAAAAATTGCCAAGGGGGGGTGCTTGATACTTTTTTTCGACGATTTTTGAAAATTCATATCTCTTAAACTAAAAGCCAGAGCAACCAATGAATTGCTGATTATGGAAGAATGGAAAATTGTCTATCAGATAAAAATATAAAATAATTATATTTCCTACAGTTAAAGGGCGAAAAACGCGACTAAAAGTGCCAAAAAGTGACATTTATCGATTTTTGCCCATTTTATTCAATCGCGAATATCTCGTAAACTAAAAGAGATAAATAGGATCTGATCGCAGCGTCTTAATCTACGGACCAATCTCTATCAGATAGGATAGTTAAAAGGGAAATCTGAGAGATGAAATTTAAACTCTTAAGAAAAAATTGTCAAGGGGGGGGTGCTTGATACTTTTTTTCGACCATTTTCAAAAATTAATATCTCTTAAACTAAAAGCCAGAGCAACCAATGAATTGCTGATTATGGAAGAATGGAAAATTGTCTATCAGATAAAAATATAAAATAATTATATTTCCTACAGTTAAAGGGCGAAAAACGCGACTAAAAGTGCCAAAAAGTGACATTTATCGATTTTTGCCCATTTTATTCAATCGCGAATATCTCGTAAACTAAAAGAGATAAATAGGATCTGATCGCAGCGTCTTAATCTACGGACCAATCTCTATCAGAGAGGATAGTTAAAAGGAAAATCTGAAAGATGAAATTTTAAGTCTTAAAAAAAAATTGCCAAGGGGGGGTGCTTGATACTTTTTTTCGACCATTTTCAAAAATTAATATCTCTTAAACTAAAAGCCAGAGCAACCAATGAATTGCTGATTATGGAAGAATGGAAAATTGTCTATCAGATAAAAATATAAAATAATTATATTTTCTACAGTTAAAGGTCGAAAAACGCGACTAAAAGTGCTAAAAAGTGACATTTTGCAATTTTCGCCCATTTTAATCAATCGCGAATATTTCGTAAACTAAAAGAGATAAATAGGATCTGATCGCAGCGTCTTAATCTACGGAGCAATCTCTATCAGATAGGATAGTTAAAAGGGAAATCTGAGAGATGAAATTTAATGTCTTAAGAAAAAATTGCCAAGGGGGGGTGCTTGATACTTTTTTTCGACCATTTTCAAAAATTAATATCTCTTAAACTAAAAGCCAGAGCAACCAACGAATTGCTGATTATGGAAGATTGGATAATTTTCTATTAGATTAAAATATAAAATAATTAAATATCGTAGGGTAAACGGGCGAAAAATGTGATTAAAATTTCTAAAAAGTGACGTTTTTCAAATTTTGACGATTTTTTACTACGTTTTAACGACTAAACAGTGGTTGAATTTCGTGTTTCTAGATTCTTTAGTTGATTTCACAGCAACGCGTTTATCAATGTTTGTTTACATTTAAGAACATCGTTTTTTGTTGCTGTAGTGTGCAACATTGCTGTGAGGTGTCTCTACGACGACTATTTGCGTGCTGTAGCTGGTTCAGGTAAGAACTTGTTAGTTTTTCGTTGTACGCGAAGCGGAACGTGCGTTTGCAGATCCAAACGAATCCTATTCGGCGCGTTTCTTTTCTTTTTCATATGAAAAATTGCTAATCAAATCCAGAGTTACTGTCGGCATTAAATATATTTGGTATACGGTGATTTATAATTATTTTATTGTTGGTGGAATATTCATAAAGTGCGGCTGTTCACTGCCACTGGTAAGCGTGTGAGTTGCCGTCGGATGCCGATTTAACTGGAATTTTGCTTGGGCTATTCAAGGAAAGGTAAACATTTAATGTACGTGTAAAGTTAATTGAATTTTATTTATTTTGAATTTATTTGTGCAGGTCTCATTTGTATTTTGCAAAGTACTCATCGACCTTATAGATTCTAAAAACGTGGCTACAACATGTTCAAACTTTTTTTTGCGTGCTTGTGGGATGTAATTTTTCTTAAAAAAATGCATTATTAAATTTAACTTGCATCTATTTAATTGTTTTATTTTTTAACTATGTGCAATTGCATTGGACAATCGTTTTCTGTTACCGAGATTCTCCGTCGGAGGCTGCAGCCGAAGCAAACGATTTCATCGGTTTGTTTTGCGATTATCTCGCAAAATAAAAGAGATAGAAAGTAGCGGATTGAAAATTAATTAAGCTCCGGGGAATTCTGTATAAGATATAGTATGCAAATCGAGAAAATATAAAATGGAATAAATATTTCGTAACTAAAAATTGCTTTGGGAGTGCAGCGTCTATGTCTTGATTTTTCAATTGCAATTATGCCTTTTGAATTATTCATTGTTTTGGTTCAATTTCGTGTGAGATCATTCTAAAATTTCGTCGAAATATGTTAGTTTTAAACGGTTTCCTTCTTCAATTTTAGATTTTCTCTGCGATCTTTCATGTCATTTTGTGTTTATCAGTATTTACAAATATACATTGTTTTGAGTTGCGTTCAGCCAACAAGCGAAATGAAACAACCGTTCACCAGGGTCGCGTTCAACATATCGCAATCTGATAGTGACCGCGTGTTGTCACCGTCGGCTATGTACATTGCAGTTTTATTTCGGATACCGGGTGAATCGCGCGTGTTCCTGGCGACTAGTCTTGTTTCTTTCGATGTTAAATTTACGTACAATGATCAATTGACCGAATATTTAGGAATCGGACGTGAAAGGAGTTTTGCAAGTAAGATTGTAGGCCTTAAACATCCATCGCGGATTAATTGTCTGTTCACCTAAGTACGCGTGAGGTTCCGTCGGCCGTCGGTAATAGGTTTATCGAACGTGAGACTTACTGAACTCAATTTTGGATTAGAACTTGTGGTTCTCAATTAGCAAATACAAGAGCTAGCATGTAAGTAAAAATAATCGGAAACTTGTCGCTCCATGATAATCATAGCGTGAATCTTTGTTTTAATTACGCGTAATACCGCTACAATCTTCTGTATGTATTTGACAATGACTTCATAAATATTGATGACAATCCGTCGGGCGTTGGTTATGCCATACCTCAATTGGCACAAGTAAAAATAAGTGTCTTAAAATCACGCTCAAACTTCCACGATTTTCATGAATTTTCGAAACACGCGGTGAAAATTTGGCTTTATCTCGGAATCCGTTAGTTCAATAGTGTTTATCTTTGTAAAGTTGCGTCAAAGTGAACATTATATTATATTTTATTTTAGTGCACATCAGAAATGTTTCGATTTCAATTCTACGCGCTTATCGGGGTTTGCGTATAAACAACTTTTTGTATCGCGATATACACGCGCAATTTTGCGTTCACGCTACGAACGTTCGACCGCTTCAGTCTGTTCTTACCTCCACGCCGCTCGGCATCTTCCTTTTATTCATTTCGATTACATTAACTACATTATTATTTATTAATTAAAAATCGGCATAAATATTGGCACTTAATAACAATAGATATTAAAATTTGTGCTTCATTTATCGGCTATTGGATTATTTTGATGCCTAGAATTGAAATTAGAAATATGTATCCTATGAATAGTTTTGAGTAAGTGTAATTAACGTCTGTCTTTGACTCGATGTCGCGGGAATATTGTCGGTTAAAATAGTGCATGTTCATTATGCGACGGAACGGATTTAAATAAGTCATAGTGCGAATTTTCACACACGTGCTTTTTTTTGTTTCAGTACTTTCTTTGATTATCCGGCTCACTGGTAAGTTTGTAAACTTTATTCAAGCATAATTAATTACCTTTTTGTCTTAAGTCACATGAAACGTGAGTACCGTAATAACACTAGTTTTTTTAGTGTAACATGGGAACGCGGTGTCACAATAATTTCGGAATAAATTTTCCTGATTCAGAATTTAATTTTGTATCTCCGCGTATTGAAATGTATTGCGAGAAAATTGCATAACGCGAGTTATATTGAAAGTTGGGTGTGTGCGCCGTAGTACTCATTGCGCTAGGAATTGTAGTTTTTTTTTTATTATAACACGCGAACGCGGTGTCACAATAAGTTCGGAATAATTTTTCCTGATGCAGAATTTAATTTTGTATCTCCCTGTATTGAAATGTATTGCAAGAAAATTCCATAACGCGTGTTTTATTGAAAGTTGTGTGTGCGAGCCGTAGTACTCGTTGCGCTAGGAATTGTAGTTTTTTTTATTATAACTCGCGAACGCGGTCTCAAACTTAGTTTAGAATAATTTTTGCAGAGGCGGAATTTAATTCTTTACTTCCCAGTATCAAAATTTATTGCGAGAAAATTCCGTAATGCGAGTTATAATGATGGTTGTGTGTATACGCACTTGTACTCGTTGTGCTAGGAATTGTAGTTTTCTTGTTATAACTCGCGAACGCGGTCTCAAAATTAGTTCGAAATAATTTTACCAGATGCGGAATTTAATTCTTTATTTCCCTATATCGAAATTTATTGCGACAAAATTCCGTAACGCGAGTTATAATCATGGTTGTGTGTATACGCACTTGTACTTGTTGCGTTAGGAATTGTAGTTTTCTGGTTATAACTCGCGAACGCGGTCTCAAATTTAGTTTAGAATAATTTTCCCAGATGCGGAATTTAATTCTTTATTTCCCTGTATCAAAATTAATTGCGAGAAAATTCCGTAACGCAAGTTATGATGATAGTTGTGTGTATACGCACTTGTACTGGTACTTGTTGCGTTAGGAATTGTAGTTTTCTTGTTATAACTCGCGAACGCGGTCTCAAACTTAGTTCGGAATAATTTTTCCAGATGCGGAATTTAATTCTTTATTTCCCTGTATTGAAATTTATTGCGACAAAATTCCGTAACGCGAGTTATAATCATATTTGTGTGTATACGCACTTGTACTCGTTGCGCTAGGAATTGTAGTTTTCTTGTTATAACTCGCGAACGCGGTCTCAAACTTAGTTCGGAATAATTTTCCCAGATGCGGAATTTAATTCTTTATTTCTCTGTATCGAATTTTATTGTGACAAAATTCCGTAACGCGAGTTATAATGATAGTTGTGTGTATACGCACTTGTGTACTCGTACTCGTACACTTGTACTCGTGTATGTCGGTTATTTCAACATTGTGAAATTTTAGTTTGGTCTTCTCAACTACGGGTTTACCACTACGTTTGTTATAAACAACTTTTTTGTTCGATTGACGCGTATTATCGCGACGTACCTGCCTTGTACCTGGCAACGCGCAGCTCACACGGCTGTCGTTAAATCGCGTGGTCCGCAGTCGTGTCCCTCTAATCGCCACGCGTTTTGAGGTTTTAATTGGATTAATCGACGTGTATTCTTTCGGCCATCATAAAAATATTCGGGACGGGCATGTGCGGCTGTTTCGTTCAATGATTTGTCGCAGTTAGAGTCTTCTTAACTAAGAAATAAGTGTTTGTCAATCCCTACGCGAGTTTTTAGTTGGTAGAATATATTACAGGATATAGAATTTCCTCATCAATGCAAAGGTACGTGTGTAATAAATTTTTTCACGGAAACTTAAGGCGGTGTAACTTAAATTGATTATTCCATTTGAGGGATATTAATTTTGCTTGTATTATCTTGCAAATTACAAACACGTGTTTCATTCCTATCAGAATTATTAGTCCCGTTTCCGAAAATAACATGCATGATTTAATTATTACCATGACGGTTTTAAAAATAATCTGTAGATTATTAAAATGACAATATTCATGTGGTCGATCGCGCTCAGTTTGCCGTCGACCGTCGGTTCGGTCATCCTTTCGCTGAACACGTGAATGTTTTTAATCGAATTGCACTTGTTAGCATCATTAAATTAAGAAGTCTCTTGTTGACGTAATAAAATCTTGTACGGTGAATAGTTCTTCGTTTTTGTAGTCTCCGTATATCTTAATATTTACAAAGAATTACCTAGTTATTTTTATCGTATTTAAAGACAGTAATGCCACGCGCCGTCGCTTGCCGTCTGTTGATTTAGATGTTTTCCACCGGATATTCTATCAATTTATGATGATGCTTTACCCGTCGGTTTAATTAATTAATAAATATATATTCACAATATATTAAAATGTACCTAATTGTTTTCTTTTCTAGCACCTTTTTGCTTAATTTCCCGATTATTTTCGGGTGAAATCTTTTAATTTATATTAAAATAATGTTGTTTCCATATAAATTTCCCGTGTCATGATGTGAATATTGATTATCTTTGTAGTTTCGAAAATTTTCTTTTTGTAACACCCTGTATATTAGTTTTCCGAACAGCACGTAGAAAATTACCTTTAGTTGTGAGTTTTGAGTGTTTTCTGTTTTGAACATGAAATTTTCTTTCTAAAACACTCTGTTCATATGTTTTCCTTTGTGTCCGTGAAAATTTTACTTTAGCTGTTGTTTTTAGGATTTTCCCATTTGCACTTTAAATTTTCTTTCTGGAACACCCTGTATATTAGTTTCCCTGATCGTCGAGTGAAAACGAGCGGCGTTTGTAGTATTGAGTTTTTTTGTTTGCACTTTAAATTTACCTTTTGCAACACCCTGTATATTTGTTTCCATTTTCAATCACCTAGAAAATTGGCTATTTACTAATTTCATTATTTCGGTAGGACATTATGAAGTAGTATTTGTTGGCATGTGCGCGACTATGCAGGTCGTAAGTCTTGTTATGGCGACCTGTATTTTGTTGACTTGTAAAATCTAAACTTGTATTTTATTGTTAATAAATAAATAGTAAGATATATCGACTTTTTTGATTTATGTACCCCTTCTCATTTCAGGAACAGGTCTCTAAGAGAGTTCCCTTTCTCAGAGGATGATCCCCACTATAAAAATTGTTAAGGTATCCTCTATGACTTATGTACTCCTTCTCTCATTTCAGTTACAGGTCAGAACTTGTAAGAATATTTTTAAGTGTCTCTAGAGGCGACTTAAAACTTAAGAAATATTTCTACAAGACCTTATAAGGAGTTCCCTCTCTCTGGGGGTGATCCCCCACCATAAAAATTGTTGATATGCCTGATAATTTCGGGGATGAAGCGCAGAGACAACGTAGCTGTAGGATGGGCCGGGAGCAATGGATGGATTGAAGCAGTGGGCGATCGACCAGAGCGCCGGAGGCGCTCTGGGAGATCGACCTGTGACTGTCTTAAAACGACACGTACCAAAAAATTTAAAAATCTGATCCTCCCCTGTTCTCTTTCTTCTATCTCCTCCTCTTCTCTACTCTACTCTCTGTTCTCTTCCTTCTATCTTCTCCTATTCTTTACTACTCTTTCTTCTATTTCTCTGTTCTCCCGTTCTCCACTTACTTTCTTACTTCTCTCTTATTGCCTTCACTTGTATTTCAATTTCTATTATATTTCGTTGCATTCATATATGCAACCCAAATTACACCTGATATTTTTATATTTGAGAAAAATGCCTTCTATACCTGAGATTCGATCCGTGTCTGCTAGCACGCCAGCAGGTGCACATCTCCACTCGACCACCGAGTGTTTTTATCTTTAATCTTTGATTCTTCTATATATGTTTATAAATTATCCAATTTTTAAAAATAACATGGCAGGTGTTGTACACACTTCACGCATATAAGATTCATGCGCAATATGATTTCAAACACTTATCCTGAAAAAGACAGAAAGGATATCACAAAGAAATATAAATGAGTTTATAATTTTTAATTGTGTTTTATTGGTTATATTTAACAACACATTTATTCATTATTATATATTTATTCACAAACTTCTTCTCTGGGCATCAACGTTCTCCATTGACAGAAATTTATCTCAAAGCCGACGGAACATCACACAAGTGAACCGAAAATTAATTCGCAATTGATAAACACACAACGCATCCCATCACACTTGTGAAACCTCAATCACACCCGATTCTGATGTATGCCGCTCATCGTTTAATGAATATCAATCGATTTACTTAATCATGTTCTGAAGAGACAAAACTAGTCGCGATGAACACGCGCGATTCACTCGATGGCTGGAATGGAACTGGATGTGCACGGAACTACGCAGCCAACAACAACACGCGACGATAACACGCGGTCACTATCAGTATTGCGATACGTTTGCTGCACACGTAAAAAAATGTGTACATACAAACATCGCGCGTACCTAAACTATGAATGCATAGTAGCGCGAGTTTTGGTACTGCTATGGCACTCGGTAAATTTGTACGGTACCAGAACTGGAAATTATTAATCCCAAAACCAGTATTCCACATTATTTATTCGAAAATGATGAAAATTGATGAAATTGGAGATCTGAATGTCGTCCAATCCATTAAAACAACTCTTCCTGTCTAATCTGAAGAAAATAGAATTGAAATTGAATTTAAAAAAAAATCAAAATATAAACAAACCAAATATGTGCAAGAAGACAAATGCAATTTTTGTTTGAAAGATATGGTGAATTAAATCATGCACTCAAACGATGCCGCGCTAAGTACTGAAAAGTACGGGAAAATAATTTGAAAGCTGACGCTAGCGCCATCTAGTTGTAAAAGACTAAATCATGCAACAAACAAATCGTTAGGCTGCGACACTAGCGACATCTAGTGTCGAATGCACCAAACACTTATAATGAAGGAAACTGTAATGCAGCTACAGCATTTAAACGCAGCTACACAGCAAGATCAAAAGAAACAAAAAAATTGCGGTTCCATACACTAAACCTTAGGCATTTAGGAAAATTTAAAAGAATTTCAATGTCTACCATCTGAAACCAATATGGCTATGGGGAAATGTTGATTGCATTGTACTGCTAGACCCATAAAACAAAGAAAACTAGAGTCATAACTGAAAATGTCATACGTGCGGCTTTTTCGTGTTACTCATTTCAATGCCCTTGCCCTGCGAAAATTCTACAACCAGCACAACGTGTTTGCAATATAAAATAGTGCCACCTTGTTCTAGAATTGTTTTCAACAATTTCACTATAATGTACCATTGTCCCTTTTATGCAAACACACGTGTAGCGGTAAAATTTTCAAATGTAGTACTAATATACATACATAATAAGTATATATTTAAATATACAAATATTTTTCATCCAGATATTCTGCGCTGCACTGAATATTGTCGAATAAAATTCTTTGCAACATCGACGTGGCCTAAAATATTAGCAAATAAAAATAATAGCATTTGTAAGTATTGATATTTAACCTACCTTGTTGTAGCTTTATGTACAGAACCAACATTATTATCTGAGCTGGTACTTTATGGTCATGTGTACGGCTCTGCCACACTTGATTTAGTAATTTAGCCGCTTGATCGTACTGTCCTCGAATGGTATTTATCACTGCCACATTATACTGCATTACTGCAATTGCACTGGGCAATTTATTTGGAAACCACGCTAGAAATATTAAATAACAAATTAAGTGTGGGCATAATCAATCAAGTTACTGAATAAATTTCAAGCCTGAATCAAGAATTCCTCCTTGACAAAATTTAATGCTGACACTTACTGGCTGGTGGATTCGTTTGAGTTGGTATTTCGTCATCTATATCTTCGCCAGGACACTCCAAACCAATATCCTTAATAATTTCTGGGTTCAAATGTTCCAAAGCTTCATTAAGTTTGTCCTGAAGTACTAAACATTCCACAGCATATAAATGTCCTAACAACCTATGAAGAAAACATCCGTATTTAATAGTGAAACCATAAACTAATAATTTGTCGACAACTAACTTATGAGCGCCGGACATCTTAGGCTGCTGCAGTAATTCCTTAGCCTTCGCTAGTGCTACAACATAGTCACCAAGGCAAAGACTAACATACGCGGAAGCAACCAATATGCTATTTTTCAAGTTTGTCTTATCATCCGGTTGAATTGGACTAGAAGGTGATGATATCGAGTTTGGAGTTGATGTTGGCATAGACACACCTGGTATCAAAAGTAGGGGTTCCGCAGTTGAACTCACATCGGAAGCTAACACAAACTCTGCATTTTTCAAACATAGTGTCGCAAATTCCAATGTAGCAACCGGAACCGCATAACTTTGACTGTCAATACTGAAGATCGAATAAATATAACATACAAATTTTATCTATCACCGTTTGAAATACCTGTATTTTTTATCCTTCGCCAAATTAGTATTCAAAATTACTTTTTGCGTTTCATTGCTACCTAGCACATCCACAACCAACTCTTTTTGCTTTCGCTGAATGTCAAAATCCACCGCATTTGTAGGTTTATGTAGTTGAATGCAGCATTCAGCGAGACGAAGCCAAAGACGACAATTACGATGAAACTTCCGCACGGCGACAATCAAACAATCAAATGCTTGTGCTGATTTTCCCGCATACAAAAGCGAAATACCCATGTTAAACATGATTTCATGATATTTTGAAGCTCCAAGCATATAAAGTTGGCAATCATCTGCTGATAATTTTGTTAATGGCTGTTCTTCTAGCAGGGCTTGATTGTAATAGTGGCAGGCAAGATTTGGTTTACCCATGGCATGATGAATGACTCCTAAGTTGTTGTAAAACATTGCATTGGATGATTCTCCTGAAGATCTAATATAATAAAATATATTGTCAAATGCCTAAATCTATTTAAATGTTCACTTACACATATTTTAATGCTTCAGCAGGCACCTTCCCTAACGTTTGCATAGCACCCACAAAATTTCCTTCCAGATATTGTTGATTAGCTAACAAATATAATACTTCTACAACATTTCCATTGTCATCAGAGAGAATCTTGATATCTGTACTAGCTGATTTCAGGGAATGCAACAATAGATTGCATCTTATCCTGTATCTTTCCAACATCTGCAGCAACTCCTCATTTGATTTGTTACTCTGTTCATTGTCATTGTTTCCTTTTGGTTTTGCCTCCTTTTGTGTTAATGTTGTTTGATTTGTAACTTGATTGTAAAAGTAAGTTATCAAGGATAAAGCTTTGTCTACTTGTCTAACACAAATCTGTAGTTCAATTAAGAGTAGACCTACTTGCTGTCCAAGAGTTTCATCTATAATTTGTTCATGTATATAACATTTATTAATCTTTATGAAAACCCTCATAATTACCTAATGGTTCAATAAATTTGTAAATCCTCTCTATTATTTTAAGAGCTTTGGTGTACTGTCTTTCTTGATAAAACAAGACCCCAATATTAAAGTATGCAACACAAAATTCTACATCCTCCAGTCTGTCAATATGTAAACCAAACTGATTTAAAAGTGCAGTAATATTCTTGAGAAAAATACTGGTTTTCTTACAGTCACTTTTGTAGTATTCAGCAATATATTTATTGTGTATTACTTTAAAGTCATCCTTTTTGTTGTCAAGTTTTCCTAGATTTTGTAGACATGCATTGTAGTTTTTCCTGAAGAAAATAATATGCTGAAGTTGTTATGGTGAAACTTTATTCTAGAACCTACCCTTGAAACTCGTTGAGAGCCTGTTGGGCTAAATCTCGCTCTTGATCGGAAACACACTCTAATTTTTCATCTTCTCTAGTCGCACTCATATCGAAAAACTTCCAAAAATTGTTTTCAAGAACAAAAGTTCTATACGAGTCATACGCGATTGTCTAATGTAAAAACAATTAGGTTATGGAAAGCTATTTACAATTTTTCTCCCCTCCATATTTTACATGCCGTCAATAATTTAGAATTAATTAATAAATTAATAGAAACAACTACTTATCAAAGTATACACATATAGAATTCTTCATAAATCCATTATGAGTATTAAAAATTTTAAATTTGTTCGGTTATACTCTGAGCGCGTTTGGAAATGTTTGGTGGACAGTGTTGCCAACTTAAATGCGGCAATGGCATTTATTTGAACCAGATCGTATATTATTCATCAACCGTAAATCAAAAACTACTGATTTGTTAAAACATGTATTTCTTGAATTTGCTTCTACGGAATATATTATATTTTCTCTTAATAAAAAGGAACAAAGTAGCCGGTGGAATATGCAACTATGGAAAGCGTCCAATCAACCAGTCAATTGGTGCGAAGACAAGCGCCGCACGGCTGCTCGAAGGAACTAACAGTAGGTAAATAAACCACTAGGCAATGCGTGTGTTTTCTCATTGGGTATTTCTCGATGCGGTACGCAGCATAACGACAGCACTGGGACAGCATCGAGATGTCGGCCGAAAGCGAAAACGGCAAAACCGCACAATTAGAGGTAAGTAAACCACTTTTTAGTATTAAATAAATGCGTGCGTACTTAAATTTTACATCCGCAATACCGGAATCACTCTGCTGCCTCAGTGTTTAATAATCACCGACGTGATAAACAACATGTTTGCAAAGTGACTTGTATTCAATATGGCCGTGTGTTGATATTGAAAAAGCGGGAAAAATGTCACCGACTCGATAGTAGGCCAAATTGTAATCATAGTGTTATCGGTTTGCAGAAGAATGAAAAGGATGTGAAAAAAGACGATGGCATCGATAACGACAAGAAGAGCACGCCGACAAAGCCTGAAAAGGCTGAAGACACTAAGAAGGATGATGATGCCAAGGAAGTTTCAAAAAGTGAAGACAAAAAAGAGAATAATAAAGATAACTTAGCTGCAGAAAAAGATGGAAAAGATGATAAAGAGAAGAAGGAAGTGAAAGATGATAAGAAAGATAAAAATAAAGATAAATCTGATGCAGAGGATAGTGAAAAAGATGAAAATGCTGAAGATGAAGAGGAGGAAGAAGAGGACCAGGAGGATGGACAAGATGATGATGAAGAAGTTAAGAAAGGAAAGAAGAACAGCCCTAAAAAGAAAGGAGCAGTGAAAAATTCTAAAGATGTAAGTAAAGCAAATTTTCTAGAACAAAATTCACAAGTGATATGTTTTCAGAGCAAAAATGATAATGATGATGAAGATGACGAAACCGGTCTTGAACTAGGCGAAATTCCACGAATCGACGCATCAATCTCACGATTCAAAAATGATGACCTGAAAATGCTGCACAAGTTGCTCTACAAATCACCAATAAAGACTCCTTTGTTAAAAAAGAACATTAGGAAATTCAGTGGCTTCAGTTTCAAGAAGTCGTCAGATGAGTATCAAAAGAAGTTGACCTCAATCAGTTCATTCGAACTGAAGCAGCTACGCGTGGTCTGCGAGATGCTTGACCTGGAGAAAAAAGGTAGTCGCGATGAACTGTCCGAACGTATTCTCGAATTTCTACTGGAACCGAAAGATTCCGGTAAACCAGCAGATGGCGGCCGGCCGCGTCGTTCCGCCGCCGTGAAAGCAAACAACCGCGGATATTCTGACGAAGAGTACTCGAGCGATGAACGATCGTCGCCGCGCGCTAAACGCAACGCTGGTCGTCGTACAAACCTGAAAGACGAAACATCCACGGAGGAAAGCGATGAAGATTTCCAGCCGTCCGATGAATCGGAGGAAGAGAAGCCGCGCGCAAAGCGTGGACGCACCGGTCGCAGGAAAAAAGATGACAGTGAAGAGGAGGAAGAAAGCGAAGGCGACAGCGACGATAGCGACTATAGTGACGAAGGGCCACGTGCTAAACAGCGCAAGGTAGCTAATAATAAAACAAAGGGACGAGGAGGCGCGACGCGTGGTCGTCGTGGACGTCCGGCAGCCTCACCGGCAAAACGCAAGGCACCTGCGAGACGGGGCCGCAAGAAGCAAGAATCATCCGAAGATGAAGAGGAAAGCGAGGCGCATGAGGATGCATCTTCCTCTGAGGATGAACCACTGGCAAAGAAATCAGCGAAGAATCCAACGCCACCTACTGTGAGTTAATTTTTAAATATCATTCACGCTAAATCTAAACTGATTCTGCTTATAGGATGATGAAATTAAGACGTACGTGAAGGAGATCTTGGACGGTGCAAATTTAGAAGAAATCACAATGAAGACTGTGTGCAAACAAGTCTACGCGCACTATCCCGACTTCGATCTCACCCACAAGAAGGATTACATCAAAAACACAGTGAAATCGGTAATATGTCATTACACAAATCACTCTTATCTACCACTAAAATATTCCTGCAAGCAGCCTTGGAATGAATACATATGAATTTTTAAAATGCGGCTTTTTTGTTTGTTTCAGCTGATATCAACATAATTTCTCATCACTTCATCAAAGGCAACACACACAAAACGTTTCCGTTTACTCGTTCGTATATTTAAGTACAAAACCGTAACAAAAAGAAAAGAAAAAGAAGAGTTGGTATTTTTCATAAATCGTTCTAGTACATGCCACAATTATTCACCAGATGTAAGACTACAATTTCCCCATGCATCGTCTGAATGTTTTTAGTTTCTTAATATTATATGTAATATTATTTGGTTTTATGAAATAGAAACGAAAATATATTTCACCGCATTGCGATTACTTGTTTGAAAAATTAATGATAAAAAATAATATAAATATACTTATTGCATTACATTATTCTATTATTATATGAAAAGCAAAAATATATTTGATAGATTTGGCCTGTAAATAATCCAGGTTTCAGAAAATAAAAACTATTCTTCATGTAGAATACACACACACAACTCTTTCAATTATTGTAGTCAAGAATTCATACTTAACTCCACCCTGAAATAAATCTCGTGCAAATTTCCACTTTCTCTCAGTCTTTCAAACACTGACTGACATTCAAAATGAAAAGTCGGATAACGTGTAATGAAAATGCTAGTTCCAAAACTACCAACAAAACATCACAAATATCCCCAAATCGAAAACATTTTTCATTTATATATTAAACAATCCCATGCATTACCAAAATAAATTAAACTACATAATGTAATTCCCACATTTGTTTCTTTTTTAACAGGAGAAAGTCCACATAAAATCAATAGAAGCAACCATTGATTCTTAAATCAATCTTTTGAAACATTGAAGCTGATCCTTGTATTCTATGAGTAGTGCAAATAAGCAGCACATATCTTATCAAAAAAAATAAGCTGTTTTCGTTTCGTGGACTTCGTTCACTTTTAAACTGCTACAAACACAACTTTCTTCATCTACCTATGCATGAATTCTTGTGTATGTACATAGTATGCTTATGTAGTTAGCATTGGGTGTATGTACACCGGCATCGTCCAAACATCATTGCACATTGCCCATCGAACAATTCCTCACTTCTCGCGTATCGGCGCTTCGTTACTTTGCTGCCGTGTTTATTATCGTGAGTATTGTGGTAGGGAAACCGGTCATTCGGTGGCACCGCGCTAAGATTATAAGTAAGCTGAGCGTCGGCAGCGGCCGGCCACATTCTGATACGTGTCATCATTAACAATCGCGAGCGGCAATAAAATTTGCTCGCTTGCATTTACGGTAATTACACTATTATACAAATAAGCCTTGTAATCAGATACAGATAATTAACACACGTTTATTCCATTTTTATTTATTGTTAGTGATAAATTATTTGGATATTTTCAGAATCAATAAATAAGCAAACCTCTACCACAAACAGAAATAAAATGGGGCTGTTTAGTAATATCACCCTGGGTGGTTTGATCAGGTTCTTCTTCATGAGGGCAGTGGAGGGCACTGTGGTGCTGCTAATCGTGTTATTCCTGCCAAATATTCCACCCTTTTGCAAGTTTGAAACACCATACAAGTGAGTATCTTGTATATCAATCATGACTATGCAGATTATTAATTTCTGTTTCGGTTTCTAGAGTCTCAAGCACATTACCTTTAGAAGGTAAACTAGCAGTTAATGATAAATTATCAGAGGTGAAGTTTTGGCACAAAGATAATATCCATGGTCCAGAAACATTTGCTTCCTTCAATGGGGAGCTCTACACTTCTTTGCAGTCTGGAGAAATTGTGAAGCTCACTGGTGAGCAGCACATGTCTCCAATCGTTAAATTCGGCAAGGCCTGCAAGTATTTCGAGGAGGAAGTTTGTGGCAGACCACTTGGCATGGAATTTGATAAGAGTGGCGCCTTGTTCGCAGCCGATGCATATTATGGCATTTACAAAGTTGATGTGAAAACAGGTTTGTAAAATAATAATCCTTTCATTAATCTCAAAAATTATATGATTGTTTTGTTCATTTAGGGACAAAAGTGCAATTAGTATCGCCTGAGGTTGAAATCAACGGCAAGAAACCCAAATTGTTCAACTCAATCGCCGTCGCATCGACCGGCGAGATCTACTGGACCGATTCCAGCACCGAATTTGCATTGAAGGATGGCGTGTTCGACTTGTTGGCCGACGGGTCTGGACGGTGAGCAAATATTAATTAACTTATTAATTATAATATTATTCCCCATATGCGTAGGCAGCGTTTCGTTATCAATTAACAAATAACAATTGTTTCAGCGTCATAAAATACGATCCTAAAACGAAACGCAATACCGTGTTAATTGATCAATTGCACTTCCCCAATGGTCTGCTACTGTCAAAAGCAGAAGATTATCTCATTGTATCAGTGACAAACAGAAATGCGCTGCTTAAATACCACCTCAAGGGCACAAAAGCAGGCCAACAGGAGGTTCTCATCGATGGACTGCCAGGCATGCCCGACAATATCAACTCCGATGGTCATGGCGGTATTCTTGTTCCGCTGGTGACGAGCCATGATTCTAGCTTCCCTAACCCCATTCAGATCTTTGGACCATTCCCATGGATGCGTAAACTTATCGGGCGTGGATTAGGACTGCTAGAATTCGGCTTCCGAATGGTTGATACAGTCTATCCCAATGACTTAGCCAAAATCGGCATGCATTTGGTGGGTCACTTCAGTCTACCAACGCAATTACTTCGTCTTTCATCACGCACAACCATCGTCCACGTGTCTGAAACGGGCGAACTCCTTGGTAGCTTCCACACTACCAATGGTCAAGTCTTTGCCATCAGCGAGGCTTTCATTCACAAAGATGAACTTTTGCTCGGATCGCCGTTCAATGAATACATTGGTCGCATTCCGTTGAGCAAATTAGGTCTGAAGCCGCTTCCAGTAGCACCAAAAGTACAACCAACACAGGCACCCAAACCAACTACTACCCAAGCACCCAAGACGACCACCACAAGACCACCTACAACTACCACAACCCCGCCACCAACAACAACGAAGAAACCCGAACAAAAACGCGAGGTGCCCAAGCAAGATGCACCTAAACCAACCCAAGCTCCGAAAGTGACCACCACAACGCCGAAACCAACTCCAAAGGCAACCCAAGCCCCTAAGGCCACACCAAAACCGACTGAAGCTAAACCCGCACCAACAGTTGCCTCGAAGCAACAACAGCAAGCGCCAAAAACAACAACGAAATCCGCTGAGGCGCCTAGTCAAAACAACAAACTCTAAACAAATCGGATCATCAACATTCCAGTTTAGCTGTGATCCAAACTCTCCATTCCCTTGAATACTTTCCATGCAACTTGCAACTAATTCCTATTTAGGTTCTATACATGTTTTCTCTTTTTATAACAACATTTTTATGAAATTTTTAATTATCGTGCATGGCATTATTATCGCGTAGTGACATTCTGTGTGTATCATATTTTGATGTTAATTAATTCGATGTGTTACGTTTATGGTTGCCAATAAAAGTTAATATTAGATCTTTGGTTGAAGTAAAGACTTTTTTTCTACACGCCGATAATAATTCTTTATAAATGTTTCTTTGCGTACAATTCGGCTGCTTGCAGAGATTGACTCAGCAGACTTTGCCATTCGGAATCATCAATGCGCTTACCTTTTAGATTGCAAACAAGTTCCTTGTCTTGTCCTTTGGGCGGTGCAACAGTGGACTTGAAGATATCACCAACGACCTGCATCCATTTCTCGGCGGTAAACTTATCGTTTTTATAACTCTACCGAAGGCAAATAATAAATTAACATGTTTATGTAGAAAATAAACAAAAATTTACCTCTGGTACTGTGCATCTTGCTTTCACAACACTATCGGCACAAGTGATAACCATAACCGGCATGCCGTCAACAGCCTTCGTTGCTTTCTGTAGTGGGACTGATTCACCTGCGATAGATGTGTGCAGATAATGCACGATGAATTTATTATCAACGTCGCTTTTTAAAATCTTCGTTTCGACAGCGCTCTTCATTTCCAAGTCAATATATTCTCTAAAAATAATAATAATTACTACTTTTATCAACAAAAACTTACTTTAAAATTACTTACTTGAGTTTATTTCTTGATCTTTCACGAATTTGCTGGGCGATTTCGTCTAAAATTCGTAAACATTCCACTTTTACCAATAAAGGCACAACGTTGACATCGTTCACATTCGAACTCAGTTTCTTTCGCAGTTTTTGCAAGTGTTCATCACTTATTTCCTGCGAATTTTCTGTGACTGACTTGTGTAGTTGCAACAACTCATTATGCAAGCTCGCGCCATATTCTTTTGCTTTAATAGCGCGATCGCCGGTCAATGCATGAATGGATACAGTGCTCCTGCCTAAAGATTTTGCAGCCACAAAGCAAAACAATTTTATATCTTTCGTGTTATGTACGTGTGTTCCACAACACGGCTCTCTTGAAACCAGCGAATTATTCCAATTCATTTCAATCAGGCGAATATTTTTCTCTGGATAAACTTCACCAGGTATCACAGTTACATTCTGATTCAACATACTCTGGGAATCCGTTTCGGTAACACTAACAACGACGCCATCTTGAATAATTCGATTTATTTTATCCTCGATGGATTTCAACTCGTCGGTGGATAATTTTTCGGAAAACACTCCCACGTCTAGATTTAAATATCTATCGGTAACTTTACTAGACTTTTGACACGTTGCTCCCTTGGCTTCCTTTAACGCAGCATTTAAAAGATGCGTGGCAGTGTGATTCTGCATGTTACACATGCGTCGACTCTCATCTAAAGTTAATTTTCCTTTCGCATGCACTTTTAAATCTTTATCGGAACACCAACTACCCACATGCAGAATACAATCGTTGATCTTTTTTAACTGGCGCACGCGAAATTCTCCAATGGAAAAGTCAATATTCCCTCCGTCACTAATCTGTCCGCCTGATTCATGATACAAATTTGTTTTATCTAATATTAATGCACATTCAGCTCCACCTTTGACTTCGTCAACAGGTGCATTACTCTGCAAGATTTTTAAAACTTGAATCTCCACCGGTTGGAAATTATACCCGGTTTCTGTTCTTTTATAGTCATATTTTAAATTATCTTCCGTTTTAAGTGTACCATCCGCTAATTCAGGTATTTGTACATCTAAAATAGTCCCCGCTTTACTTCTTTGTTTTACCGCCTCGAGTTCTTTAACAAATGCAACCGGATCAAAACGAATGTTTAAACTTTTACACAGCGCAGTGATTCCGGATTCGTCTAAACCAAAAGTATCGTAGAGTCGATACGCGTATTGAGGTGTAAGATCGTCTATTTTGGAAGACCGAATGTCTTTGTATGCTTGAACTAAACCTGGCATTTCCAGCACATCCAAGTTCGCAAGAGCTGTATCATTGAGAATGATGCGTTCCCATTCGGCGCTTGCATTACGTCGCAGTTCTTGGTAAATATCCTCTTCATAATCAATGATCATGTGGATTTGCTTCGAATTGCTTTCTAGTTCCGAATATACTGCTCCTAAATTATCTATCACATAGTTGGATAATTCCTTGACTAAACCATTTGGCCGCTTGAATACATTTTCGCTAATCGAGAATGCTTTACGAAGTACTTTTCGGAGCTTCTGGCTGCCAAAAAGAATAAATTTGATAACAACTAAAATTATTAAGTCAAAAAAGTCTTACTTTTCTTCAGGTATCATGCCATCTCCTAAACTAATCGATATCATTCGGATATGATCCGCTAATATTCGATAACTGGCGTGTAAACTGTTCCAGTCATGTTCACCAAACACATTTTTATATTGTGGAATATCTTTACACGTCTACGACAATAATTAAAGTTATAAACGCAATTTAAACTTTAAAAAGGATTTTGTACCTTAAATATTGCTTTTAATAAATACTGAAACAAATCAGTATCATAATTACTAATTTTCCTTTGAAGTACTGCAACCAATCGCTCAAAACCCATCCCAGTGTCAACATGTTTATCAGGTAATGGCACAATTTTCCCATCTGCTTCCCTCTTGTACTCAATGAAGACAATATTCCAGAGCTCGACTAACTCGTGTAATCCTTTATTTACAAACTGGGCGCGATACGGGCCTCGTAAATGATCGTAATGAATTTCTGTGCAAGGCCCACATGGACCAGTTGCACCCATTTCCCAGAAATTTTCTGGCATGTCAAATGGCAAAATTCTATTACTTGGAACTCTAAAATTTATTACATTACAATTTATATTTATTAGTAAATTTATCTATTTACCCTAATTTTCTCCATATTTCCCTACATTCATTGTCTGCAGGCAAAGAATGTGTAGTATTACCCCCAAAATAAGTCACATACAAATGCTGCTTGTTGATTTTATATACATCAGTCAATAATTTCCATGCTAGACTACATTGTTCTTCCTAATTTAAATAAATCATTATAAATTTTCATATTTAGTAAATTAAATAAGACATTTAATAAATATCTACCTTTGAGCATTCTTTAAAAGTCCAATTACCTAACATTTCAAAGAATGTGTGATGATAACCATCTTGACCAACTGCTTCCAAATCATTGTGTTTGCCACCAATCCGAATGCATTTCTGTGAGTTTGCCACTTTACTATAGAGTGGTTTATGAGTGTTTAAAAATATACCTTTAAACTATACAAAAATTAATTAAGTTTTGATTCATAATAAAATGATTCCTACACACTTGATTCATGCCAGCATTAACAAATGGTACTGTGGCATCGTGAAACGGCACCACCGGACTAGATTTAACAAAACTGTAATGATTGTCCCGGATGTAAAAGTCCAAGAACATTTGTCGAGCCTTCTTTGCTGAAATCGGCACACTCGAGCTCCGAAAAGAGTGCAAGAATCGAATCAGATTCAACTTGTCAGTGTGACTCTTTCGAATGAGGACAATCATTGCGCTGGATTACCGATTATTAACACTTCGACGAATGCCACAGATAAAGAATGATTTAGGAATCGTATGGAAAAAACATTGGAAAATTTCACGTTACACAAGATTTGCCTGCCTAACCTAATTTGCACGAAAACATTTTCGACTCAAATCAAAATTATGAAATGCCGCAAATAAACATACTGCCAACCAACAGACACCAACTACTAGTGAAATATCCCTGCTGTTCAAAACTTCCTAGGCATAAAGTTGAAGAGGTTACTTTTTTGTTTTGATCTGCAGTTCGTCTAGTAAACTAATTGTGCAACTTATAATAATTATTATTTTAAAATAATTATAACTTTTATAAAGACATAATGGCTCCAGATAGTAAAAAACAACACGTACAAGAGTTTAAACTAGACGTAGACAGTGAATTGCGCTTTGAAGTAGAAACAAAACTCGAAAAAGTCTATTTAACCTTAAAATCAGGCACTGCTGAGGTCTTCGGAACAGAATTAGTGAAAGGAAAACCGTGCGAATTTTCAGCGGGTGCGAAAATAGCTGTTTTCACATTCCAAGGATGCACATTAGAGCTGAGAGGCAAGACTGATGTCAGCTACATTGCCAAAGAAACCCCAATGGTTATGTATGCAAACTGTCATGCTGCCTTAGATAATTTGAGGGTAAAAGCAGAAAGAGACAATAAACCAGGTCCTATTTGTATGCTGGTTGGGCCAACAGATGTAGGCAAATCAACACTTGCAAGAATACTCTTAAATTATGCAGTCAGAGTTGGCAGAAGGCCTATTTATGTAGATTTAGATGTTGGGCAAGGAGCTATCTCAGTACCTGGAACACTGGGTGCACTTTTGGTTGAAAGACCTGCACATACTGATGAAGGATTCTCAGAGGAAGCTCCTTTAGTGTATCACTATGGGCATATATCACCCAGTGCTAACACATCTCTTTTTAAATTATTACTTACACAACTTGGAAATGTTGTACAAGAAAGAATGAATGCCAATAAGAGAAGTAAGATTACATATTTTGTTTTGTTTAATATAATGATGCTGATTTAATTGTTTTAGCTAAAATGTCTGGCTGTATAATCAACACATGTGGATGGATAAAAGATACAGGCTACAAACTGCTTCTTCATGCAGCTAGATCACTCAGTGTTGATGTTATTTTAGTGTTGGATCAAGAACGACTTTATAACGAACTTGTACGCGATGTTCCGAAGTTTGTTAGAGTTGTGTTCCTCCCCAAAAGTGGCGGGGTAAGTCTTGCAACACTATAAACTGTTATTTTATTACAAAGATTTTGATTTTAGGTCGTAGAAAGATCTAAAAGTTTGCGCAGTGCGTATCGCGACCAAAGAATTCGAGAATACTTCTATGGAACCCCCAAAAATCCCTTATATCCTCATTCGTTTGATTTGAAATTCGCGGATATTCACATTTTTAAAATAGGCGCGCCTGCATTACCGGATTCATGTCTACCGCTTGGAATGAAAGCGCAGGATCATTTAACTAAACTTGTTTCACTAACGCCAAATTCTCTCATGTTGCACCATTTGTTGGCTGTTAGTTTTGGTGAGAAAGATGATGATGATATGATAAAACATCATTGCCATGGATTTGTTTGCATGTAAGTTTAGCTTTCTATAATTTACATGCATTATTAATATTAATGAATATGATATTGTTTCAGAACTAATGTTGATATGGAACGACAAACTTTTACGGTGTTATCCCCACAACCGAAACCTTTACCAAGTAACTACCTTTTATTATCTGATGTACAATTCATGGATAGTCATTGATTGTATTGTAATTTTAAGTTTGATAATCCGAATAAAGAAAACTCATTTGCTACATGTGTGGTTATACATTTATTTTACCCTTTCGAGTGATGACTCATTTAACGCGACCCGAAGTGAATACCACTTCTACCGCTAGCCTCTTACGGTGCTCTGAATCGAGTCACTTCTACCGCTAGGGAAGCGGAGCCTGCGAGCTGACCTGCGGAACACCAGCCTTCCCCCACTCTTACCCTCTGCCTAACCAGTTTTGCTGGACACCCAGTTGTTGCACACAGCTCGCACCACTCGGGGCGCGACCCATAACGTACCGGTGCACCACCCCCACCACTTTTTGCGGGTCGCCCGCAGGAATAAAAGGCGAGCCCACAGGGCGCCCCGCGTGCCTGAGTCGTCCAGTAGTCCAGTTGCAGCTTTCTAAGTACCCCTCTCCTCTCTTTTTGGGCCGATAACGATCAGTGATACGACGGCAGGCGTCGTTGACAAATGTCTTGTCTATTCACGATTGTGTATTTAAATTTAAATGTAGCTATTATAAAGCTAATACTGTAGTGCCACCTACTGACAAAAGCACAAATTAAATTACACTCCACACCCCTGCTTGTCCTCAAATATTGCCTACATCTCTCAATCATTTCGCATGAAAGTAAACCGTCAAGCAAACTGATAATAATATTGCTGGTATGAAACGTACATTCTTTTATGCTTGACGTTTCATAACAAACTGACGTATAACAAGTCGTCGATGATTGTGTGTTGCTGGAACTTGTCAAAATCGCCAGCCCGAATACATTCTCAGTGGTTAGAAATTCACCAAAGTTTCGGCAATTTAACCCTCGCATTAATAAAACGCTACAAATTGCTAAATTAAACCTTACCGTGTTATTACAGTCCCGGTCCAATGCGTAAATAAAGTGTAAGTGCTGCTCAGCGCCCGTGAAACAATCGATTGTCGGCAAGTGGTGACGTTTTTTCGGGACACGTAAGTGATAACAGGGATCACGAACAAAAGTTGTAATGATTTTGCGAAATAATCGTCACTCGTGAACGTACAAAACGATGCGTTATAAGACTTTCCTGACACTCGGCCTCTTCGGGCTGCTGCTGCCGATTATTTCGTGTGATCTGCAAGCACCACCAACCACAACAAACAACAATAACAATGTGAATAACAAAGATCGGGACGCACGCGATTCAACTAAAAACAACAATGAAGAGGGGGTTGAAGATAACAAGGAGTTCACTCCAAGTTCACCTGATGTTCAAGGTGACGGCAGTGGCGGTTTAAAGATTGTGCAAGCCCCAGATCTTACCAAGGACAAAGATAACTGTAAGTCCTTTTACAAACACAGCTTTTCACTGCCTCAATCTATGCAATTTATATATTTTATTTTGTATTGTAGATATTTAGTTGCATGCTTATAGTTTGTTTGTCTTTTAATTAATTTTCTAGCTAAGCCCACCTTAGAATTTCGGGTTGATTCAGTTAATAAGAAATTGTTTTACAAAGTGATCGAAGACGCGGACGGCAAATTGCGCTACTTGATCCTGGAAGGTAATAGCGGTATCACACCCGACTTGCAAGAAGAAGACGATGAGGTGCCAGCACTACCAGAAAATCTACTGGAGCCAGTTGAGTTGACACCAACGGAGAAGGAAGCTGCTGAATTGTACGAATCGGCACAACAAATGTTGGTGAAAACGCGTCCGAACAAACCAGAGGCGTTTAAACTTCTACTGCAGGCAGTCGAGAAAGGCAATCATGACGCGAAGGCATTGGTCGCATGGGCAAATCTCTTCGGTAATCCATTACCGCAGGATTTCGGTGATGCAAAGGAGATGTTTGAGGAGTTAGCAGCTCAAGGTCATCATGAAGGCCATATGGGATTAGGTACATCACTTAAAACCTAATTTTTATATCAGTTGTATTTTAATAATACTTTTAAATGCAGGATTTTTATACGCAACTGGATTGTCGGTGAATGCAAGTCAAGCTCGTGCTTTGGTACATTACACGATGGCAGCAGTGGGTGGCAACACCTGGGCGCAAATGGTAATGGCGTATCGTTACTGGGGTGCTGTTACAGTACCATCTGTATGCGAACGCGCATTGGAGTACTATCGTCTTGTCGCTGAGAAAGTAAGCCAAGGCGTGTCATTCGGTGGCGGTGCAGCAATCCAACGCATTCGTTTACTCGACGAACACGAAAATGGTTACACGTCAGCAATTCTCGACAACGATCTTATAGAATACTACGAGTTGTTGGCTGAGAAAGGTGATGTGCAAGCGCAAGTTGGTTTAGGACAATTGCATTACCAAGGTGGACGCGGTGTTGATTTGGATTATCAAAAGGCTATGCACTATTTTACACAAGCAGCGAATGCTGGAAATGCGATTGCGATGGCTTATCTTGGAAAGGTAAAATTATTTCATTAAAAATATTAAATTTTACTAATCTGTACACTTCATTAGATTTACTTGGATGGAAGTGATGAAGTCAAGCAAGACAACGACACAGCATTCAAATATTTTAAGAAAGCTTCCGAATTAAATAACCCTGTGGGTTTGAGCGGTTTAGGATTGATGTATCTGTACGGACGTGGCGTTGATAAGGACTACACCAAAGCACAGAAGTATTTCCTGGCTGCGGCTGAACAAGGATGGGTGGACGGTCAACTTCAGCTTGGAAACATGTATCTCAACGGCATTGGGGTTGTCCAGGACTACAAAATGGCAAACAAATATTTCACGATGGCTTCCCACTCGGGTCACGTGCTGGCTTACTATAATTTGGGACAAATGCATGCGCAAGGGACGGGGACGATGCGATCCTGCCCGACAGCCGTGGAATTCTTCAAGAATGTAGCGGAAAGAGGCAGATGGGGTGAACTGTTGATGCAGGCGCATGGAGATTATAGGAATAAGAAATCCAATGAAGCATTCACGCAGTACGCGTTGCTTGCTGAGTTGGGTTATGAAGTTGCGCAAAGTAATGCTGCCTTTATGCTTGAACGTAATGAAGTACCGCTGATTGAACAATCAGAGGGTTTGGAGCGCGCGCTGTTGTACTGGGGACGTGGCGCATCCCAAGGATACTCCGCTGCACAAGTATGCATTTTTAAAACCATTAATTTGCGTATTAATTAATATATTATGTATGTGTGTAGGTTAAAGTAGGTGATTATCACTATTATGGACACGGCACCGCGGTGGATTACGAAGTCGCGGCCTCGCACTACAGACTCGCTTCCGAGCAACAGCACAACGCACAGGCGATGTTCAACCTAGGCTACATGCACGAGCAAGGACTCGGCATGCAGCAGGACATCCACCTTGCGAAGCGCTGTTATGATTTGGCGGCAGAATCATCACCGGACGCTAAAGTCCCCGTGGCTTTGGCACTGTTCAAGTTAAATTTGATGTTTAATTTACAAAATTTCCAAGAGGTACGATGATGGAATTTAAAATGTGATTATTTTTGAATATTAAATTATTTTCAGAGTCCATTTGCTGGTTTCTCTGAAGTGGTGGGCAGCAATTGGGACTTGTATTTGATTATGACGCTGAGCGGCTTCCTCGCCGGCATTGTCTACTTCCGTCGCCCGCAGCAGCAACCCGCTCAAGGCTAGACGACCGCCAAACATAAGACTTATTGCGACACGGTGTCCAAGCAGATAACAAAATCATAAACGCGATAAAACATAAAATCATACAAACTAGCGTGGCATCACACGCTGCGCTGTATAACAGATGAATTAATGAAAACTGTGTGATCGTTAACAATGTGGCGAAGAGGGGGAGTAAAAAGTTTTGTTATGTGATTGTACTTTTAAGATTTTTGAGTAAAACACACCCGTCACTAAATAATATTGCTAATAAAATATTAATTAAACTTTAACTGCGTTTCGGTGTGCGGCGTATTCTTCAGTTTAGCGAAATTTTCGTTTATTATAAAAGTTTTTGTTATCTGGCGCACAAGTTCAATCGCAAATGCGGCAAAGAAAAGAAATTATTTAAATTGTTACCCCTATGCAGTCGTGGGCGCACACATCTAAGCGTAGTAGTTGAGATTGGCTTTCTTCTTAGCCTGTACTTCCATAATGGCGTCCATGAAGTCTTCGTGTGTGACTGCGGTGGCGTTGCGTCGCAGAGCGATCATACCAGCCTCTACGCATACGGCTTTACACTGCGCACCGTTGAAATCATCGGTGGAACGCGCCAGTTCTTCAAAGTTCACGTCCTGATTGATGGTCATTTTACGCGAGTGGATTTGCATGATACGCGCACGCGCCTCTTCATTCGGATGGGGGAATTCAATTTTTCTATCCAAACGACCTGGAATACAATCAGAAATATTAGTGAAAAATGATTTAGTAAATATTTTATTAACTTGCCTGATCGAAGTAAAGCAGGATCCAAAATATCTACACGATTTGTCGCGGCGATGACTTTAATATCAGAAGTTGAGCTGAAACCGTCGAGTTGATTCAACAACTCCAACATCGTACGTTGCACTTCACGATCGCCGGCTTTCTCGGAATCGAAACGTTTTGTACCGATCGCATCCAACTCGTCGATAAAGATAATAGCTGGCGACTTTTCTTTGGCTAGTGCAAAAGCATCTCTTACTAATTTTGCACCATCACCAATGAACATCTGGACAAGTTGGGGACCAGCTAGTTTCAGGAAGGTTGACTTGGTTTGGGCTGCGCATGCGCGAGCCAGAAGAGTTTTGCCTGTACCAGGAGGGCCATACAATAGAACACCTATAAAGAAAACATTTTAATAATAAAAGTCTGCAGTAAATAAAGTTTATAAATTAATTACCTTTTGGTGGATGAATGCCCAAATTCAAAAACTTCTCCTTATGTGTCATGGGAAGGACCACAGCTTCAATCAGCTCCTGAATTTGTTTGTCCAATCCACCTATGTCTGAATACTGTTCAGTTGGTCTCTCATCCACCTCCATAGCTTTAACCCTAGCATCATACTCAGCTGGCAGAGTCTCCAAAATCAAATAGGAGTCTTTGTTCACACCAACCAAATCGCCTGGCTTTAGTTTCTCCTCATCTACCAGGCCAATGACTGGCAGAAAGTAGGTTTGCCTGGTGGATGTCTTGACAACTGCACACTTGCCTTTTCTTTGTGCATCCAGGTCCACAACAGCACCATCTTCCTCTTCTTCTTGTGGGTCCACATCAAGCAGCTCGATAACGTTGGATACAAGATACGGAAGTGTTTTGTTTACCTTGATTTTCTCAGTGTTCTCTTTGATTTTTTCACCTTGTGCTTGTAACTCGTGGTTGATTCGCATCACCTCGCTCTTCATAATTTTAATCTCGTTGTCCAGCAGGCGTGTGCGTTGCGCGATGCGGACAATATCCTCGCCCATGGTGTCGTCCCCATCTTCCCACAACGCTTTGTCTTCTAAATTCGCCATTCTCGGATGGATTTCTTAACGAGTATGAAAATTATTCCGAAGAGACGATGATGTTTGCGCTGTTTTGGTTGCGGTTGGGATTTTAAGCCGAGTCACTCGATTATTTGACAGACGGGGTCCACAAGGTTAAAAATGTCAACAAGAGATGTGAGTGAAGTTATCCAACTTAACATTTCTCCAAACCTTTAAGTACTTGATGAATTTATGAAACAGAACATTTTAAATCGCGAATGAATAAATATTATATTTATTTTGATTTGTTTTTACTGCTATTTCCCAATATAATTTCAATGTTTTATGTTGACAGTAAATTTTGACACAAATTTTTGCTTGACTTACACATATGTATTTTAAAAACCCATCTGGGGTTATATTTCAAAAAAATAATAAATACTGGAAAATAGTAAAACGTCTTTCACTCTACAATAAATGAAATTTTATGTTGAATTGAAACAACCAACAGAATGTCCAACGACCATGAGTGCATCGATGCGCAGTATCAATCATTATCAATTTTAGGCCAATGCTGCCAGGGTTATGGATCTGTTGAGCTTGCAAAGCACAAGCAAAGTCAGAAAATAGTTGTTATTAAACGAATTAACTTGGACACGCTCAAAGACGAAGTCGAATTAGTTGAGGTAATTCATTTTACACCTCCCACAACTTAAATTATATACAAAATGATCATTTTTCTAGGATGAAATCATTTTAACAAGGCAACTATGCCATCCAAACATCATAAAATACTTAACTTCTTATGTGAATGGTTCAGATGTGTGCATTGTCAGTCCACTAATGGGATTCCTTTCATGTAGGAATTTATTAAACATTCATTTTATCAATGGGTTAGCTGAGAATGCCATTGCACTGATAACAAGAGATGTTTTGGATGCATTGGAATATGTGCACAGAAGAGGAATAATCCATAGGTTACCAAATCAATTCATATGAACATGAGTTGAAAATTAAATTTGTGATTAATTATTTTCAGGGCAATTAGAGCAAGTCATGTGCTCATAAGTGAAACTGGCAACAGTTGTCTCACGGGTTTTCGCTATGCATGTCCAATTATCAAAAATGGCCGCTGGCAGCGTCAGATACATTCCTTTCCGACAAGCACAGCGCGCAATCTCAACTGGCTAAGTCCCGAAGTGCTCGAGCAGAATCTACAGGGTTACAATGAGAAATCTGACATTTATAGTGTTGGTCTACTCATTACTGAATTGGCAAACGGCGCTGAACCGTTTGCAGATATGTCTACGACGTTAATGCTCACAGAAAAAGTGCGAGGGTCTGCACCACAACTTCTGGACTGCAGTACTATTCCTCCAGAAGATGATGAAGCTCATGGTAATTTATTTTATGATATTGTATATTCACTTTTATTTCTGGCGATTATCTTAGGAGATTCCGGTTTAAACATGCATTTCCATAAGCAGTCGAAGCGGAAATTCAGCAATGGTTTACATGAAGTCGCTGCGTTGTGTCTACAAAAAGAAGCGCATGGGCGACCGACAGCAGCGCAATTAATGACACATCCGTACTTCAAAATTAATCGACGCAGTATGCATTTAACGGAATTGTTAAAACCTGCCATACCTATTGGAAACAATGTTATTCATAATAATGCAGGTAATTATAACATTCTCCGCAAATTTTAATAAATCTACATTAATTCTAATATTTTATTTAGAGTTTCAATGTATTGATAACATGCGGAAACTCAGCCAGATGGAATTGTACTCCTGTGATTGGGACTTCTGATCAACAAGAAAATGTGATAAGTGATAGTAAATGATGTATGTTTTCGTTAATTATCTGATTTGAATCCATATTTCTCGTCTAATTATTTAAAGAAATGTAAATCGCGCTTGTAACGTTCCAGTAAAATTATATTATTGCTACTTCGCAAAATACAACATGATACAACATAAATTTGATTTCTAAAAATATATATGTACATATAAATGCATTTGAATTTGTACATCTTCTTTGAATTTACCTAAATATGTTTTACCCTGTCATGTTAACATAAATATGTACTAGTTACTCTTCCAGAAAGACTTCAGGGCGATAATGTGATGCTATAAGGACTTTACCTGCACTAGAAACGAATGAGATGTATTGTCAATGTTGACAGTCAAGGCAGATGGACATTTGTTCATGATCATAGGGCTCAATTTGTATGGCGCAGGTGATTGCATTCATTTTTCGTCGAACAATGTTTGTAGCATTATTTAAAATCACATCTCTGTCATTAGTTTCATCTATAAATTAATAAAACATATTACTTTATCATTAAATTTAATTTAAATAACTTTGTATTACTTACCAACTGCTAAATGAACCGCAACCGCTTCTTTTCCTGGCGCTAGACACCATACATGCAAACTGTGCACTTGTACAACACCAGTTACAGTTCGCAATTCATCAGCGATACTAGCAGTATCGATATTTGTGCCTTCAATGAGCACTAGTATCGAATCCCTTGCGACTTTGAATGTCACCACGACGATTATCACAGAAAACAGCACAGTGCATATAGGATCAGCAATCGCCGCCTGCGGATACACTTTTATTACGATGGCTGCGAGCAGTACGCCTAAACTCTGCAAAAGATCACCGATGACATGTGCGGCTGCAGCGCGGATATTAATATTATCTCCATGTGAATGCGAGTGATTGTGACTAAAGAGACCACCGCCGTGTGAATGATTGTGTGCTGAACCTCCGATACACAAACCATGTAATAATGCACCCATTCTATTAAAAAATAACAAATTAAAGGTTATTTCATTTAAAACTAAAAGTGAAACTTACAATATATTGATGACAACACCAAATGATGCTACAATTAACATAGTGTTGACTTCAATATCTAAATCTCTTCGGATTATTCTTCCAATTGCAATGACGCAGAAGATTCCAGCCAATAACCAAACAATAAGTACACTAAAAGATAACAAATATGCTAATTTGTAATAGTAACCACTTTAAAAATACTTTAGATTGTTTTTAGTTAAGATATTTTTAGCCGTATGTATAAAATATGTTAATTAATGTAAAAACATAGTATTACCTGATAAAAGCACCCATAACTTCAACTCTATAAAAACCAAACGTCATTTTTCTTGTCCTCGCTCTTTTACTAATCCATATCGATATGATCGACACTAAAAACCCGATAATGTCCGAAAATAAATGCGCCGCATCCGTCATCACAGCCAAACTGCCAGCAATATGACCGCCCACAATCTCCAATATCTAAAATATGTATATTTTAAGTAAAGAATAGTATTGTGAATATATTTAACTTACCATAAATAGAAAACAAATGACTGATACAATGCATAACGTCCGAAATGCATGCGTATTATTATCCTGCTGATTGTATGCATGGCAATGAAAGTTCTTCACAGACAGATGCCCAATTCTATCCTGTGAATCCAACATATTCAGAATTTAAAGTGAGTGCTGATCAAGTAAAAAAACGTGTCTTAGTATTTCCATGATAAATTGCCTTGCCAACTGCAAGTATAGAACAATAGTTCAGCTTGCATTGCATTGCATGCATTTTATTACTGGTCTGATAAGAAAATATGGTATACAAGTACCAAACAATGTACGAGTACTACAGAACAATAATTTTGTAATGCTGCTAAAGGAAACTCACATCATTCAGCAGAGGTGCGTCCTCCAATTGATATTCGTCTAAAGTGAGGGTGAGATGATGGTTGGCATGAAGCCAGTCGACGGGGTTGTCCTGCAGTAGGCCAGTACCTCGACACTTCCAGCATCGGTTCTCCACTTGGGTGTTAGCGTCATCGAGTAGGAGGTTGTCGTCGTCATCGAGAAATGTGGGCACACGCAACGCTCGACGGCCCTCCATCGTCTAGGAAATCGCGTTAGACGTGCGCGGTGTATTAGGCATGTTACTGGAGTGCGCTGACGAAAACGCTTGGAATGTGGAGTAAATAATTTGCATAGCTCTTGTTACATTTGATCAACGTGTCTTTTTTTTTTCAATCTGATGCAGTTGCACACGTGCACAGGATGTTTTTTCAGCCAGGTTTTTAATCTCAGACCGGATTTGGTTAGTGACAACACTGTGAATACAAACACAAACACAGCCTCAAATAAATAACGGATTTTAATTGTCACCTGACAATCTGACGACATGTAAAAATCAGCTGTGATCTGAAGGCGTCGATGCGTGAAGTTTTAGCACTTTTAATGGTTTTATTTGTCGTAAATGTTTTTTTATTGATTATTTTACCACAGATGATGTATAATGTGAATTTATGTGCATACAGTTTTATGGGGAATGATTATTTAATATACACGATTGTAAATGACGAATTTTATGGCAATCAGTGTTGCATAAAGCATGATAATCATTGTGATGTATTTTATTGTTAACTATTGTTTAAATAAGCAATAAATAAAATTAAGAGAGTACTTCAAATTGAGTTAAAATTGCTTACATTTTCAAGATATACTTGAGAAGTTTTGAATGCTATAAAGTGGCTTTTGTTAGTGATAATATGTCTGTTTACATTTAACATTTTTAACAGTTCGATAATGTTTATAAATTTGATTGAAATAATAACGAAAAATAAGAGATTTCAGTTTTATTCGTTCCTACCGCAAAGTAGCTTACAAATCTTGCCTATAGAGGGCACTGCATTACCGTAGCTGTCATAAAATAACATACAAATTGTAAGTTTCACTACGTTTTATAAACACAAACTTTCTATCGATATTGTGATATCAACATCTTTGATTATTGTTATTATAAGTATTAGAATAAACTATACTCATTATTTAGATATTATATATTAATTTATGCATTTAGAGATGTTATAAATGCAATAATCTTCAATGAATACTCACTACAAAATATTCTACAACTCAATAAGGGTAGTAACCATAGTCACCCTCTTCAAGAGTGTCATAAATGATTCCCGGAGTAAATTTCCTTGTCAAATTATGCAAATGACCTCCGCTGTTCGCTGAAGTTTCAACAAGCGGAAGTCAAGCAAATTTAAACTTAAATTACAATTAAGATTCGAGAATGTAGCAAAACAATTAATAAAATTAATAAATATTAATAATATTAATTAACATCTAACAAAAAAATCATATTTTGTTTATTATGGCAATTCCATTGTGACATCAATAACTCTCAAGTCTCAAACATGCCTCAATAGGCGAGTTTTGATTAATGCTCGCTCTCGTTCAAAGGCAATAAAAATCATTATCCGCAACTTTCGTCGCGTCTCGATCTCTTCGTGCCCGGACGCCGCAATTGTGCGCTTATCAAGTGAGTAGTAAATAACGTCCTCCTTCGGATCGTATTATTCCGCACTCCGGAGTTGGGGGAGCCTGCTTTGCAAGAGACATCTCGGCCGAATTGAAGAAAACTGGGTGGCAGCGTCGTGTCAGCAAGCAAGCGGTCGAATGTCCACTCGGGGGGCGGCGGCCACAAACCACACGCTATAATATATCGCGACGGCGGCAGTTAATCATAACGTGCTCTAATGCGTGGTAAATAACGCTCGTGGAGTGGAGGGCGGGCATCGGCGGGCGAGCCCGGCGGACATGTGTTTTTGTCATCTAATAGATAGTATATCTTGACGGGGGCGGCGATCTGCCATTACTCATAAGGTCATATAAGCACTGCGACGAAATCTTTGAATGTGCAAAAGAAAAACTTTCGGTTTTCTTCAAACATCAACAATAAATTCATTCAGTTTTCTTTTAAGAAATTACTTAATTAATTTTTTGCTAAATTTTGCTTGGAAAAAAATTGCTGGGAGCATTTAAACGCTCATTGTTTTGCTCATTGATTTCACGCCGACATAATAGCACATAAAACTGAAAATTAGGGGAAAATCAACCCTCCGAGTCCGCTTTTCCGGCTCGCAATAATAACAATAATAAAATTCGTTATGAATTATTCAGGGGACGCCACGCGCTGATGAATTATATTCCTGCGTTGCAGCAAATGGCCGCGCTCGCATTTCACTGCGGTGGCAACGAAGAGAGAAGAGCGAACGCACAAATGAACAATTTTCGCGCTGCCACCACCAAGCGAATTATTACTGACTGTTTTAAACCACGCCACAAAAAGTATCATAACTTATGTGGGTATAAACAAAATTTATTTGTAACATTCGGTGTGTAATAGGAGAAACAATACAGACGGAAATGAACGTGGAAACAATTTGGGATTTCGTATATGGAATGCGGAGTTGCAAACAGGCAAACAGGCGAACATGCGAGAACAGAAATCGGAAAACACATAAATTTCACGCAAATTGTGTTGCTCTCTGACTATAGATATATTTTAAGCAGTTTACAACTTGTTACCAATAAGTTGGCATAACAAAAAGTTTATTTTTGAAGTGTAATCGTTAGATTACTAAAAATTAGTGTTTTTTGTTGTTAAAATCTGTTTATTTTTAGTTATTATTAACAAATTACTTAAAATATTTAAATTTCTGTTTGTGGAACATATTAACATGTCTATAAACTAATTTTATTTTAAAAACTTCTTATAATAATCATTAAATTTGAATTTTTAAGTTGTTATTCTTAGAAATTCAATTGATTTATTCAAATAACACAAAAACAATCCATTATTATAGGCGCCATCATGACCATCAAAAGAAGCGCTCCTTTGACATCCATCGCCACAATTTTCTCTTATTCTTATTCTTATTCTACTAGAAAACTGCATGAAGACACTCAATATGCATTTCATGCCCCCAGCAGAAGAGCATTCTTCACGCCGGTTTGAGTGATGATGACATTTCGAAATGTGGCGACAAATAAATAAAAATCGTCGCTGTTTTTTTGTTCCTGTCTGAAGCGCCAAACCGCAAGACGCTGTAATCAATGACACAGTAGTCGTGTAGGTGCGAGTTACCTCGTTGAATATTAATCAGTGCCGAAAAGACAAACATCGCACGATTACAAACGGAAGCTATTTATGTTTTGAATATTACCGAAACACAACAGGAGCTCATGTTGCGGTTGAAGCAATAAACATATTATATTGCTTTATGTCATTTCAATATTCAAATTGGAATTACCCACTTAAATACACTCCTGAGAAAAAAATATTTGGGAATTGTTACACGCAAGTCTCTGAACAAAGCCGCCGCAATTAAAATTCAATGAAAACATTAAATTTTATGATTTTTATTTTATTACTCTCTTTGTACGCATAATAAACAAGATCAGAACTCAAAAAATTACAAAAATTATTGTTTAGAGACTTTTCAGAGGTTTAAATCATCCTTTGAACTATGTGATTGTAATCATTTACTTTCTTGCACCAATTTTGATCTCACCAACAACAAATGCAACAAATATTAACTAGTTGATGCAAATCTCCGGGTCATTGAACTAGTTGACGTAATTTGCACCACCTAGAGGTCACAACTTTACTTGAGTTAAGTAACTTAAGTAAGAATTTATGAAAAGTTCTTTCCTAGATCACCCTCATCACACCAATAAATCTATTAACACTTACATCAGTAAAGTTTACGTATTATTTCGTTTATGTTTAACAAATAGCTCCCCGGTAACAAGATAAAACTCTGAGCGCACTGACGGGATCATTAATTTCTAGTTGGAAATAAATAAATTAAGTAAGTGCGTCGATAAATGCCCGTCAATGCATACTTGTCAATAGCGGGTCAATGACCTCGCAATTATTGCACTGTTGCTAATTCTTCAGTAACCCACGAGCATTCATCGCATAAGTTTCGTCGTTTTTGAAATTTTTAAATACAACTTCAAAATTGGTATAATTTAGGTTATGTTAGGGGAAAGTAGCCATATTTGGACCATTTTTATATTTTTTGATTTATAGAGCCACATATAAACTGTCAATAAAATTTAAGTAGCGGAAAAGTAACTCACAAGGCTTACCCACAAAATGATATTTTTGGTTTAAGTAAAAATTATATTTATACCCCTCAAATTTCAATTTAAAAAAATTGTGTTTTTGGTCCAAATTAAGAAACCGGTTTCCTAAATTGGACCGCGCGGTTTCCTAAATTGGACCATGCTTTTTTAACGGCAATTGACACAACAGTAAATTTTAGTTTTAGCAGTAACACAAGCACATTTTGTTTAAACCAAAGTGCGGCATTTCATACAGTGGATCATTTCGAAGATTTGAGCTCGTCCACAAGCTTTTCTAGGAGGTCGAAAAAATGATACGTTTTCCCTGTAAAACTCCGGTGTCTGTCTTCGGTCCAACTTGGGCAACTTGAAGAATTTATATATAATGATCAACAACAATCTTAATATAACATAACCTCTCAAAATTAATACTATAAATTATAGATAAATAAAGAAGCTTTCTGATGATAAAATAATAATCGGTAAAACTAACGTTTTAACGGCTTGACAGCTCTTGCACTTACGTCGTTATAATAGATTTGATAATCAATGATACACGAAGTTGTTGTCACGACGAAAGCAAGCGGCAAGTTTTAAGCATTTTTTTGCATAAACTTCAACAGTCCGCGGATATCGTGGTGGTCCAACTTAGGCGCTGGTCCAAATTATGCTACCTTCCCCTATGATCTTGTTATGTGTAGTTGCCTACTCTAAACCAAATTTTTTACATTAGTAACTTAAAGGCGTAAATTCAATTATCCTAATCAAGCGGCCAGATCAATAACGTACAAATTCAATGAATAGTAAATCACTGTCGATGACGGTGAGCTTTTCAAAGCGTCAACACGTTTTTTCCTGCTTCATATCCGCCCAAATTTGAATGTTTAATATTTTAAAAACTAATAACGTTCGTGTTGCGAGTGTAAGTGACTTGAATGTATGTTGATCATGAATTATTGAAAAGAATTACGCGGCGCCCACATTTCGCTCTTATTGCTTAATTTTATCTATTTCCAATAAGCCCATTGTGATGGCGTTGCAGCAGATCAATATAGGTACAGATACAATCAGTGTGGTTGAGAGACGTTGAAAATGTTGCATGATGAAACCACAGTTTTCGAATGGCACAATGCACGGCAAAGTGTGTTATTGTTGTGGTTGTCGCGCGCGATTCGAAGATGCGAGTCAGCGGATGATTGCGGTCCAGGGGTGGTTGCGCCCCCGCAGCGTCCGTAATTGCTAAGGGGGCCCCGCCCAAGGAGCGCCGCGTGTCCGCATCTCATTACACTTGTTGACAAATGAAAACCGATTAAGTTAACTACAAACATCTTGAGATTTATTGATAGAATTTTTTGTTAAAAGTTTAAATTGATTTATTTGCTGCGATTGCAAGTCTTCCTTCGAGTGCAAATTACCACGAATAAAACTGCTATTTACTAGCGGAAGTAGAGTAAAAAGTATAGAGCTAAGATTTGCTTGTCCGTCCGTGGTTCGTCGACAACCGGGGGCGAAAATTCGTTTTTCGTCCGGGCAAATTGAGGGGTCGTAAAAAGTCAGCTGCTGCGGCGCGCAATGTGGTCGCAGCAATTTGCCAGCGACACGCCCACGGACAAATGCAGGACCGTCGCGGATTCAAACACCCACGACGAAATAAAGCAGAAAATTTCATAAAATATTTCAGTAAACTTAACCTTATAAGAAGTAATTTCACATTATTTTACTCTGCTGTAGATTTCTTCTGTTGGTAATTACTAGTTAGGCAACATTAGTTGCACTCGGGTGTGAAATGTAAAAATGGCGCCGGTTGACGGTCCTGCTGAATTTTCGCAGCTTCCCACTTGACTCAGCACTTCCTCTTTGGCGTTGGCTTGTTACAAAGAACAAGGAGACACACACAGCGAGCACATCTGGGACCGGCGACAGACCATTATCATAAAATCGACCTCTAAACTTAATCGTCCTGCATTCATCGGAAGTGAAGTTTGGGCTCTGTTGCTGAGAGCACGGGGAGACCACCACGATTTGTGGTCAGCGTTTTTACTAGCGCAGCTAAATATTTTTTCGCTATTTAGTTAAAATCACCCTTTTTTAGTAATTTAAAGAAAATCATTCGTTTTATTACTAGTAGAGGGCGCTGGTGTGCATACACCTAACCACAACTATGTCACACATAAAAAATGACATTAAAACATTAAAATCTGCTTAAATTATTCTCTGGCAGGCAGAAAATGATAAAAACATGATTTTTTAATAGATGGCGTTGCTTTACTTAAACTAATCTAACCACAATTATGCAACACATAATAAAATGCTTTAAAACCCTAAAATTCCTCATTGGCACGTACATATTAACGCATTTAACTTTCTACCGTTTTCTGCCATTGTGAATTGAAGCCACAAGCCTCACATTACCTATTGTTACACCTAATTTTATCACTTATGCATTGTCCGCATTTGTTTGCATATCGCAACACTATTTGAATGCATGGATTAAACGCAGCACGCAGAATGTCGTCATTTTACGCACGCCGCACGTTTGACAACGTGCACATTGCGCATTTCGTGCGGGATTGTGGGAACAGCACACTGTGAGGGGAACGGTGCCCTAAATGAACCGTGCCGTAAGTGGGTAAACAGTTTAGGCGCTGAAGTTGTTTGCTGGATGCTCCAAGTCGCGGCGCGTAATGCGGCAACAATGCGGGGTGATATATCGCCGGAGCGCGAGGCGGGGACCTCCCACGGGACAATTTGCCAACATTAGAGACGCACTAATGGGGTGCACCCATTGTTGGACCGCTTGTAATGCTTATACTTGTGATCGTGACGTTGTGCCGTTTTGTGCGTGCTACCAAGCGAATTACATCGACTACAACCAAAGTAACAATCATTTTTTCCACACAAAAAAAACAACAACAACAACAACAAATTTAAAATACGACTTTAAACGTATACCGAATGCAGTTATTATTTTTTATATCAAGTATTTTGCAGTGTCATTGTGATCGTTTAAGGTATAACCGTTTAACACGCGTTCTGATGCGTGTTATTTGTGCACATGCCGATCGGTGAATACTTTATACCAGTTTGGGCAATCGGGCGCGTCAGAAAGGCGCACACTGAATTGCACCCGACAGGGGTGAGAAGATTTCTCCACGCCTACTTGATTTTTCACGCCGTGACTTTTCAAGTCCGCTCGGATTTATTGTTGTGTTGCATTCATGTTTCACGCGCACCGGGGAGTTAAACTGTCAATCGCCAAAACGTGCGTTTACTATTCATGTTATTCAGAGGTTACAGAGGACAAACGGTTGGAAATTATGCTTAAAATTAGTTTTTATATGAAATACAGAGGTACAATCATTATATAAATTGACTTAACGTCATTTATCAAAAATTTGAATAAGTTTTTCCCTGTTAGAGAAAACATAACCTCAATTTTCATCTAGAAACAGCAAAAAATGAGGTTTTCGTGCATAAATTTTATTTTTGTTGCATATTTATACAGTTATTTCAATTATTGGAATGATTTAGGATAGTTTTAATGTCAAAATGATGTCAAAAACAATGAAAAGATGGATATTTTGAGGAATGGGTAGAATAAACACATCTAAATATAAGTATACTAGTTATATTTACATTTTCTTATTGTGTCATCAATACTTTTCAATAAAGTTACAAGATTTAATCATTTTAAGAAACTCTTAACCTTGACTTGATCGCAACTCTATAAGGTACTAAAAGAACAAACTATAGGTATTGAAATATACACAAACTGATTGTTATCTGTTATCATTAGGAGTCAATAACTAAATACTTAGACAAACCGCCGAACATCACCGGAAAATCGTAATAAACTATCGCAATAAATTAAATAGATGTTTCATATTTTTCACAATTCGCATTTTATGTTTTAAATATTTTTAATGACTTTTTGACTTATTGCACCATCATACACGTCCTATTAGGTATCCTCATGATCCGAAAAGTAATTATAGTCATATATACGCATTCGTGTATCAATCAAGTTATAAGCTAAGTACTTCAACGATGACACTTATGTCGCACTGTTTCATTTTCGTGATTTTTGTCTCTGAATGTTTGTCATTCAATGCGGTGGCCCGGGTGGATAGCCATGCAGATCTAACCCCGCTCGTAGCGCAGCATGGCTGGCAAGTACGCGTCCGGCTAGATCACCAAGCGCACGCTCCAACTGCTGATGCTGACTGCGCACCGCAAACCGATTGACATGCACTGGTATGGGCACGACGAGTTTACTCTTGGTTGCACCAGGTGCTCCTTTGGGTTGATGTGGACCGGCACCAAGACCAGCTTTAACGCGCTTCCACTTCGCGCGACGATTCTGGAACCATATTTTCACTTGTACCTCACTCAGACGTAGCGCTGACGCGATTTGTGAACGTTCTGTGAGGGATAAATATTTTTTTGCGTGAAATTCACGCTCTAGCTCAAGAAGTTGTTCGCTGGTGAACGCGGTACGTCGACGGCGAGCTTTTGCTGATGCTGTACCATCACCAGGTCCTTCCGATTGTGTTTCTTCCAGGTCATCATCTAGATCTGAACCTGGAACAAAATTTTTAATATTAATGATGAGAATAATTTTGTGTTACACCCTCTTGAGATCTATTACTAAGTAAGTATTGTATATTGCTCCCCTAGATGCTTTTTTTTCTCATTGTTGGAAGCTATTACCTAGTGGTTTTCCCCTTCGACCGTAAACTGCAGTTTGTGCTGGCTGGGCACAAAAAAGACATTGCTAAACTTTTCGACCCCGGTCCGAGCATTATGCATTCATTTCACTTTTTATTACTGTCATTTGTTTTTTTTTTCTTCTCTAAGCAATAAAACCAATAAAATTCTATTGCTGTAGTTTTAATCTACATAATACGTAATTTTAAATATAGATGGCGTTGTTGTGTGTTGTTGTTAAGGTTATATTGGTAGTGATTCGGTCACACATCAATTATGCACTGCACACCCTCACTGGTACGCATTGAAAAGGCCTGAGTGTGTAATTAAATAGATTGTTTGTTTTTGTATTAATCGCATTAGAAGCAGGAGCGCGCATGTAATATTAATTGCGCGCGTCGAATGGCTTCCATTTATTACTTTATAATTCGATTTTCGCTTTTAAGTATGCATGAGTGCGCAACCAACCAAGCAGCACGGCATGCGGCGTGCACGAAAGACAAAAATCATTAAGTCGTTAGGTTAGGTTAATATTTGCACAACAAACAAAGGTTGAATTAGTTATGCAACCAAATAATCTCTTTTACTACTGGAAATATACCAATAGACTAATTAAAAACAACTTGTTTGTTTACCTAATCTAATCAAAGCTCTAACGTGATATACCTAATCCTATAGCCTAGACGTATTTAAACAGCAGTTTTGTCATTCTGTCATTGGCCAATCATTTATTCTAAAAGTGCGCTTTAGTCAAACAATGGCCGCGGCATTAGACCCAAATTGCACGCATGCGTTAAAAATTCCAATTGAGTAAATTCAACTAGGTAGCGTTACTTGCGCATGTTATTTGCGTTTCATCTTGCGCGGCATGACAAAATAACAAATGAGTGAAATATTATAAACAATGCCGATCATAGACGTGCGTGTCTAAGCCGGTCAGTTTAGCGTATCTACTTATTATTCATTATCAAGGCGTGTCGAGCGGCGATCAGCGGCGCGTTTTGCATCGAACGCGCTTTTGTTTCTTGCCAATTTTACACTTGACCGTCAGGTTTTAGGCGGCGGCGCGTGTCAGCTTAATGATTTGCTTAAATTAAACCGAGCCAATAGTATACCTCATTGTACATTTAGATTGTTGGTATCGGTATATCTAATACGATCATTATAGAAATACTCTATGCAGCGTTTTCACCATTCGAAGGTGTTTGTTTCACAAATGTCGCAAATAAATACTAAATAAACAAACAAACCTTTTATATAACAAATAAGTCACACATTGATGAGGTTAAATAAGGAATAAAGAAACTTAAAATGACATTTTCGTCAATAAAAATGTTGAAAAGGTAATTTTACGCGTAAATTTGTAAAATTACATCTTTAAACATCAAAATAACCTAATATTTCATTTCAGTAGTATTCTAAGAGCCCGTAAATAAGATTTGAGGTTATTTACATGTCAAACGTCAAATGTCAACTGACAAATGTCTAAATTAATCTGTAAAAATGTCAAAAATGTAATTTTAGACATAAAAATATAAAATGTTTTCAAAATACCACCAAATACTTTAATATTTTTGATATTATAGCCAATAAAAGAATATTTATAATATAAATGGATAGTTGTATCAAAATTACACACCAATTTTAAAGTAAAAATGTCAAAATTGAATGCATTTAAGTAAAAATGTGAAAAAAATGCGCAATTTCGTAGAACGATAACTATAAACACCAACTTAACCTAATTTTCTCACTATCGCGGACCATATAACCAAAAATATATATTGCCCATCAAAATACAATCGAAAATATCAAATAAACAATCATCGCAACAATAAAATAAACGATTCATTCACTTAAATGTATTGGTTTACCGCGAATGATATATAAAATCAGCGTCGAGTTTCCGTTGGATTATTCGAATCACGAAATAAGATGTAGGTATTGTATTTGAATGGCGTTGATTGTACATTCGATCTGATGTAGCATGGCACACATGCGCGCGTATGAGTTATGAATTTATGAATTTCTGTCGGCGTCGCGCGACAAAGCACGCCGACATCACACCGGCACTAACACCGTGCGGCTACAACAATGAAACGCAGGTACCAAACAATTCGCCGCGGAACAATAAATATTACGATTTACATTGCCATGATAGCCGTACGCCGGTGATTGTGTTTTGTTTTGTGGATGTGAAATCATGCATCGGCTAAAAAACCGCCTAGATTTAATCACGCTGCGAATTAAATTACGTATTAAAAACAATGAGCGTGTTTTATTTTTGTTTGCTATAATTAATAGTTGAAGTAGTGAGTGAGTGAGTGAGCATGGAAATCGATTACTGCACGACCCTTTGCCGGCTGGGTGCGCTTAATGAATATGATAATAATTTACATTAATGTCGTTGTCGTCGGCGGAGGTTCCCGGAGTTTGTAATCACAGTTGTAGTCACAACTGCTGTTGAACTTGAGGGTAGAATGGCTATGCGTGTGCATCATCCCTTTGGAAGTTCTGCAGTTCTGCAGTATCAATGTTCGATAATTATATTTTGTGCGTTTTGGTGCACGCCCATCGGCGTGCGCTTGCTCGCGCTTGCAATTATGGGGTGCATTTTAAATGATTTGTTGTCTAAGCAGTGCAAAACAACAAGATTATACAACTTGTAATTCGATTTAGAGAAGAGAATATTATTTATGATACTTTTATGATATTTATTCATGTGTAAAACAAGTATTTATTAGAGAAACGTTAAAAATAAAATCTAAAAATGAATTTTTTGGCATTGAAGTTGATAATTTTGTTTGTAAGTGAATTTCATCTGTAAAAATATATCAATTGCAACAATATACAATCAATAAAATTACAGAAAATTAATTATAGGCATTTTTTAGTTTTAAATGCAGATTTTTTTGATATTCATTCAATATTTTACTTTTCTGTGTTCAATTGAAGTCAATTCTATATTTATTTTGTCTTGTATTGTATAAAATTAACTAATAAAAGTAATCTTTGACAATTGTGAAGAAAAATTAAGAAAATTGTGCATGTTTTATGAATAAAATCAAACAAGGTTTTTTTGAGTTCCTACCTGGCTAAGTAGGGGAAAGTAGCCATATTTGGACCATTTTTATATTTTTTGATTTATAGAGCCACATATAAACTGTCAATAAAAATTAAGTAGCAGAAAAGTAACTCACAAGGCTTACCCACAAAATAATATTTTTGGTTTAAGTAAAAATTATATTTACACCCCTCAAATTTTAATTTTAAAAAATTGTGTTTTTGGTCCAAATTAAGAAACCGGTTTCCTAAATTGGACCGCGCGGTTTCCTAAATTGGACCATGCTTTTTTAACGGCAATTGACACAATAGTAAATTTTAGATTTAGAACTAACACAAGCACATTTTGTATAAACCAAAGTGCGGCATTTCATACAGTGGATCATTTCGAAGATTTGTGCTCGTCCACAAGCTTTTCTAGGAGGTCGAAAAAATGATATACGTTTTCCCTGTTAAAACCCCGGTGCCTGTCTTCGGTCCAACTTCGGCAACTTGAAGAATTTATATTTAATGATCAACGACAATCTTAATATAACATAACCTCTTAAAATTAATACTATAAATTATAGATAAATAAAGAAGCTTTCTGATGATAAAATAATAATCGGTAAAACTAACGTTTTAACGGCTTGACAGCTCTTGCACTTACGTCGTTATAATAGATTTGATAATCAATGATACACGAAGTTGTTGTCACGACGAAAGCACGCGGCAAGTTTTACCCCAAATAGTTGCATTAATTGTTTATAAATACGAGTAAAAGAAGGGGCCAGTCAATTTTTGCATAAACTTCAACAGTCCGCGGATATCGTGGTGGTCCAACTTAGGCGCTGGTCCAAATTATGCTACCTTCCCCTAAGTTTACAATAAATTGAGAATTTGACTGCGGAGGTAACGAAATAATTATTTATTTTCCAAAATTACCAAATCTTCTACTTATTTTGTAGATTTATAGATAATTGTGAGAAAAATAAAGAAAAATGTGTCCAATAAGACTAATAACCTATGTTTTTGTATCCAATTTAACTATCCAGAACAATCTACACAAACATTTCTATATATTTCTCTATTTATTTATTATTTGTGCCCTAACTTTCTATTTGTGTTCGGTACAAACAAATTTAAGCGTGATTTGCATGAGTAAACATTGAAGTGTTATTCTGTTTGTCAAATCATCTTCAAATGTAACTATAGATAAGAATTATAATTACTTAGGTAAATATTGTTGCATACCGGGCATAACTGCAATAATATTATTACAAAATTGATTTATAAAGCGTTTTAAGCGATTTTTAACGTTTTTAGCGTATTTTTTAGTTTTAAATTTATAATAACTTAAACTACTAATAATTATCAACTCTCACCTTCTCTTTGACTTCGATTAGATAAATCCTCCGCATACTCCATATCCAAACTCCCATCAGAATCACTATCCCTTGGCTCCGGATGACTACTCCCATGATTACTACCCTCATGCCTCTCAAGATCCAGTGAATGAAACGGCACCGCTGTATTCATATTAGCATTACCCACAAAATGCTGTCCAATATTCGGCGAAGGTGGCGAAACTCCTGTCTCATGATTACTCCACGAATGCACCACAAACGACGGTCTCTTCTTCGCCGGCACCGAGTCGCTCATCAACGCCTCAATCGAAAAGGGTTTCGGCACGCTTTTAATCATACTCTCACTTGGTGTCGTCGTCGTCGTCGTAGTTTTATTATTATTCTCGCTCATCGGCGGCGGCGGCGTGATGTTATTATTGTTAGGTTTGTTCAAATGAACATTCACATCCATCATCTTCACGCACTGTATAATATAATCACTGGTAGGATAATCACGCGACGCGTTCACACACGCGCACACACGCTGTGTCCTCACCGCCAGTCTGTTGAGGTTTAAAGTTGGCGCAATGTAAACGCAAGCAAAGCGTATGCGATGCGATGCGATGTTATTCTTCGTTGCCCCCACACGGGGGCAATCAGTTTATCTGGGCGGAGTCTCACTTCCACTTGCACAACGCCCCACGAAGGCGTATCCGACCGCCGCTCAAATGTATAATCAACCAATGCGAAGCGCACGCCGTAATCTCGTCGGGGTATTAATTAGTCGTAAACGTAATCGGATGCGACGGAGCAGGGCGACCATTTGCGCGCGTCCACGCCGCTTATTGGAGTATCTCAAGTGCGCTCGTTTGTTTAATTTCACGCCGCGTTGCACGCCGAACATCCGAATGTCGTGTAATTACTAGCAGGAAACAAAGAGCACATCGTCGCACGTAAACTTATAACGACCTGCACAATTGGCTAATAGACTCGATTCCAATCGCGGAGTGCAAACAAAGGAGGCGATTGTTTATTATGTGTGGCGTGTCGGTGGGTATCTTGCGATTGTTCTCGATTCTTGAAATTGAAGTGATTGTTGCGCCCGGCGACGGAAACGACAGGATGTCGCCGTGCGAGTGGTTAATTTATATTGCAGACATCTTCAAGAATATATGTGTTTGATTGGGTCGTGTCATGACATGATTTTGGTGATTGTTACAAATTGAACTAGATCATGTTATAAACTGTATCGGAGTTAAGCTAATATTGAACTAAATTCAAGAATTTTACTGAATTTGATTGGTTGTGTGATGATATTTATAGATACGCCTTTAAATTGATAGAAAAAGAAATGGTTGCCTACTAATCAATTAGTTTTCTTGTTTGTTTAGTTAAAATTATAATTTTTGACCTCAAAGTGCAATAAAAATGTATAAAATTTAATAGGAACCAGTATTATTATTAATTTACAGTTGTAAACATGTTTAAAATATTAAATTTCACTTTAAAATGTTAATATTTTCTGTTTTATAGAACAAAATGTTACTGGATGCTGGTGCTACCACCTAGTGGTTACAATGTGCATTATTAATTAACAAATTGGTTTTCTAAACATTCTTAACTTAAAAATTGCATAATAACTTTGATATTTCATGTTGGAAAGCGCACAATTTAATTTTTCTGCTATTAATCCAAAATGAGTGTCTTGTTAAGTTGTTAGAGACTTGTTAGTGATATGCATCTAATTGAATTCCGAGTACAATTTGTATAAATAGCGTGCTGAGTAAATGTGAGCTTAATGCGGTGTTGCGGCAGTTTTGCTTTCAGAAAAAACTAATTTATTGAGCGGAACGACGCGTTCGGGGGCTTTAAAATACCAACGCTTTTGCGCTTCTGGTCTACAAATATCCGCCGAGGCAAAGAAAGGAAATGCGCTTTGCACAAAGTTATTAATGTTGACTTCCTCTACAACATGTTGTTAATATTCCTAATAAAAATATATATTTTATTATTATCTGTGCTTTAAATAACAATAGATAAAATATTAGGTTATGTTTTTGACATGCAATGTTGCCATTTATTGACAATTTGTGCAATAGAATCGAAATAAAATTGCAGTTGTTATGCAGGATAATTATATTACCCACTTAAATATATTTAAGTCTTAGTTAGTAAGTTATTAAAGTGACTGTTCAATGGCACCGCTGTTGGCATGTCTGCCTGTCGCATCCATCAATCTGCGGCTCATTTGCGGTAGTAATTTGTCGCGCTCGCGCTTCGCCTCGCATTTCTCCGCATCGTATAATGAGGCGTTAGAAACCGAGATGCACATTTCGCCGCCGCACACCTCATTGCCGCTCAATGCGCAACGTTGTTGAATCATAACGCGCGTTAACTGTATGACGAAATTAAGCGTGTTTGCTAACGAGCGATGGCAGCCAAGGTGGCGGCATTGGAGTTTACAACAAGACAACAAAACACTCGACATGATTAACAACTAGATTCAAGTCAACTTTTTAATTATTTAGGAGCAGATTGTGTGTAAAAATATCAAAAATACAAAAGGTAGGTTATTATTTTGAGGTTTGATGACTGTCATTTAACTAACCTAAAAATTAAATTGTTCTTTAAGTTTTTTTCAATAAAATGAATAATTTTAAGATTTTAATAAAAATTATACTTATAGTAGCACTATAAATAAATAATAATAAATTATAATTAATTACTTTGGATGTGGCAATGTCAAAACTAAAATTGAGATAGATATTTTTTGGCAAACCAAATAAAATATGCGTTGACAAGCTGCCAGCGACTAAATGCGTTTTTAAATATGAATTACTCGTCGACCACAGCAAACTGCAATAAGAAATAAAGTGCTCCGGCTAAAAACGCATCCACCAATCTCGCCTGACTTTAATTTAGACTTTACAATTATTTGTCATTACCTCGCTGTCAAATTACCCAACCACCATAGGCATATTTTGACTAAATCATTATTATTTTATTTAATCCACATATAATTGTATATTATGACAGGCAGCGAAATATTTAAAGAAAAATGTTCGTGGAGAATTTCAATCATAAGTTTCTATTTCCGTATATAGGGGAAGGTAGCATAATTTGGACCAGCGCCTAAGTTGGACCACCACGATATCCGCGGACTGTTGAAGTTTATGCAAAAATTGACTGGCCCCTTGTTTTACTCTTATTTATAAACAATTAATGCAACTATTTGGGTTAAAACTTGCCGCGTGCTTTCGTCGTGACAACAACTTTTTGTATCCTTGATTATCAAATCTATTATAACGACGTAAGTGCATAAGCTGTCAAGCTGTTTAAACGTTAGATTTCACGATTATAATTATATCATCAGAAAGCTTATTTATTTATCTATAATTTATAGTATTAATTTGGAGAGGTTATGTTATATTAAGATTGTCGTTGATCATTAAATAAAAATTCTTCAAGTTGCCCAAGTTGGACCGGAGACAGGCACCGGGTTTTTACAGGGAAAACGTATATCATTTTTTTGATCTCTTAGAAAAGCTTGTGGACGAGCACAAATCTTCGAAATGATGCAGTGTATGAAATGCCGCACTTTGGTTTATACAAAATGTGCTTGTGTTTCTGCTAAAACTAAAATTTACTATTGTGTCAATTGCCGTTAAAAAAGCATAGTCCAATTTAGGAAACCGCGCGGTCCAATTTAGGAAACCGGTTTCTTAATTTGGACCAAAAACACAATTTTTTTAAATTGAAATTTGAGGGGAATAAATATAATTTTTACTTAAATCAAAAATATCATTTGGTTGGTAAGCCTTGTGAGTTACTTTTCCGCTACTTAATTTTTATTGACAGTTTATATGTGGCTCTATAAATCGAAAAATATAAAAATGGTCCAAATATGGCTACTTTCCCCTATCAACGACGTGCAGAAATTCAACTTAAATGTAACCCCTCATATCAACATTTGACAAGCATGATAATCTACTTGACTAAACGATGCGACTGTCAGAGGAATCGTTTTTCTAAAGTGTTTAACGTGTTTAATCCCCAACTGCACATTCACACACACAAAGCAATAGACAGCTTGAGGACAACGACGACTCGGGTACATATTACGCTGGGGAGGAAATAGCAATTCGTCGGTGGTTATGAATATCATAACTGAGCGCGCCGCGACGGGCATCCGGGTGTGCATGTCTTTTGGGAGTCTGGCTGTGGGGCGGCGGCCGTTTATTCAGATTGTCGCGACGGCGTGACGCGGCATCAACATCAGACAATCACAGCGGAGATGGCGATAAGTCGGCCGCTTAATTGCGGGCACAATGCATGCCTGATGAGTACAGCGAAAATCGCTTAACCGCAAATCAACCCTGCCCGCACCCGCACCCTCTTGATATGTATACCTACTTCCAGCAAAAAAATGGACCCAGGGGGGGGCCAGAGAGGGAGAAAATTAAAAAATTCAAATTATTATGAGTTATATGAATTAAATTGCGAGAAAATATATTTTTAACTGAATAAGCGGTAGAAAAGTTTAGTTAGGATTAATTTCAGTTGACAGCCGTTTAGAATAACCTCACTTTTTTAAAGAATCTGAAAATAAGTAGTGATTTTATTAATGAGTACTAAATTTCGTAGATTTTCCTTTGAAATTAAATAAAAAATACGCATCTATGACACTTTGATGAATTAAATGAAGAAATAATAAATTTTTACACAAAAACCTTAGAAAAGTTTGGTTAGAATTTTCCCCAGATGACATCTGAATACAATAACCTTACGTTTTAATAAAAACTAAAAATACAGCCTTTATTGATATGCAATTTCGTCGATTTTTATGTAATATGTCATTACCTACTTAAACAAGGTACGTAAGTTGGCGAGTAAGTACATCAAGCGTACCTAATAAATACATTTCCACATCGATTCAAGCACTTGCTGGCATGCTGACTATAATCATAATTCGACGACTAGCGTGGCTCGAAACATAACTAGTTAACCACCGCTTGCGCGGTGTATAATTTACTGTTCTAAAATGTAAATCGTGAATGGCTTCGGTTTAACAAAGAAATTACGCGCGCGTATTTAAGGCGCATTAAATTTATAATGAAGTCGAACGATTTGATTGGGTCGTGGGTGGAGGCGAACGGATTACGAATTGAAAACTGCCACAGCGGACACAATGCAATTTGTCTCGCTGGTCGATCGTCGATTTTAATTTCCAATTCCGAAAATGAAAATAAACCGAGCGGATATTTTAATAAAAAAGTCCTGTTGAGCGACATGCAAATGTGAAAAATTTAAAAAGAATCACATTTATTGACATGTTGCCATACATATGCAACTATATATTGCCTAGACAGTAAATTATTGATGAAAATATAATGAAAATACTGCTACTGCTTTAAATTCATGTAAATTTTAATCTTTCGACCTTAAATTGGCTGAATACTAAACGTTTTAAATCCTTTGCTGCCAAGTGAGTTGAAGACATCGAATGAAACTTGAAACGTCAACCCACACGCCCCAACATACAAAAAGCCGCTTTGCGAGTGCCGAATTTCAACATGCGATCACCACATGTTTGTTATTCTTCCAAATAGTCGAAAAACGCCGAATTGCGGTTTGTATTTTCGGTTGCAAGTTGCACTTGCACTTCTTTTGCGGTTTTTTTTTTCTTTTAAAGAGTGCACAACAGTCGTTAAATGAAACTAAGTACTCAGTAAGTACTTGCACATGTCTTACGATATGTGTTATTATAGTTTAGTAGATAATAAGATTGTTTGGTAACATTTGCTAACATAATACCAATTTTCTCAATATAGGTTAGGTTAGTTTCCGTCAAATGGTTGTCATATCAAAATATTCACTATTATTACAAGATTACAAGATGAGGGTAAACTCACCGCTGATAATATGTATGCATCTCAATTCTGACTTTAATTTTTGTGCGTTTGAGCGTGACTAAACGCGTTTTCGTCTAAACGAAGATCGGAGTATTGCGCACGAATGGGCGCGTTATTATGATTGCGCGTTCTATGGCGCGCATTTGCACCATTTGCGCTCGCCCGGTCCGTGGGGATGACGGGCGGCTGCGGGGATGGTTTTATCGCTGCCGGCGTGATTGACAAGTGGCACAAAAGCGCTGTCACGAGGCGAAACACGCTAACAATGGTCGCGGCTAATGTCGTCATCAGACCGGCACTTATTGCATTAGCCGCGAGCGCCAAACGCGCCGTATTCGGACGCGTTGCAAATCACCCTTTTGCGCACTCGACGAGTTCATTTCGGCAGCCGCCCCACAGCCCCACGGCGCAACGTGTTCGCGCTTCGTTTCATCGAAACGTTCATAATCATAACGCAATTAACATAATCGTTATTGTTATTCGATGTGCGCCGCAATTATTCAGGATAATCATCCGGCCGTTTAATTCTATTTGCTTGATATTTAGAGATTTCCACAACATATAATATTATTCCAATGACGTCAGTAAACAAAAATAACAATTAAATCATACAAACCCAAATACTTTTTGCAGCTGATTAAAAAAACGTCTTTCAAGCAATAATTAAAATGCATTTTAAATTTATCTGAAGGAAGCCTTCGTAAATACCGCCGCGTAATAAATCAGCGCGCTGGTTTGCATCCTGGAAACACATGCGACGTGTTCACATGCGCGACAAAACTCGGCAGTGAAACGAAATTAGTTCGTTTCGTTCGTTTCCCTTTCACGCCTGAACACCTTACAGTTGTTGCCTTGCAATGCATCTTGTCGTGCGTTTATAAGAGACTCTGATGACTTTGTTCCGCCGCCGCAGTATTACAAAGTCGTTGCCAACAGCTTCAGGAGTCAGCAAGCTCATTAAAAGTTTGTTTGATGGAAACTTAAAGAAGCGAGGCCGACAAATGAGTTAAATACCACACACGCACATAGATTCTTCACCCCAAAAAGAGTGACACATTGTAGTACTACACATTTTTGTGTTTTTTAAACTGAAAATTGTAACTTCAGGATAAAAATACAAAAATACCTTTGTTGTTACTTTTAAAGCAAATTGTTTCAACATTTGAGTTATTTAATATATGAAAAAGTGTGAATAAAGCTTAAATTCTTATTAATTAAGAACTTAACTTAAAATTAATAGTATTAAATAATTTCTAATACTAGGGATGACTTTTTAAACATCCCTCCCCCCTGGTTTTCACATGTACCCGCAGTTTCCAGCATCACGCATGTAGCTAGGGCCTACCCCCACCCCTTACTACGGGTCGCCCGTAGATATCAAAGAGCAGTGCGCAGGCACAATAGTGCATTTTATTTTACTTATTGTGGTGGTGGCTCTGTAGGTTTCTTTAGACGATGGTACCCTGGCAATACCTTTTTTAATGTCTCCATTTGCCCATGTTGCACCTGAAAGATTCAAATGAAATATGCATACTGATGCATATTCATGTTTGTAAATAAATAATGATTAATACACACTGCAGGTTTATCAAATGCCTCCCGCCGCATATGATTGCCACCATAAATAACAGTATTCTTTGGAATTATCTCCTCTTCTGTGACTGAACAGCCTGCTCCAATAACACAGCCATCACTGATGGTAACCTTGCTGCCAACAAAACATTTAGGCTCAAATACATTGTTGTCACCTATTTGGCATGCTTCCACTGTGCAATCAACTTCAAAGACATTGTTTGAACCAATTATTAGTGCTGGAGTTGTTGTTTTATCTGCTCTATCAAATGGGACCCTAAAAATTATTAATGTTAAGAGACATAGTGAGGGAAATGTAAAAAATGAAACTATGTAGTTGCCTATGGATAATCTTTGCCTTTTCTTCTATAATACAATGATCACCAATAATTATAGGGCCTGATTCTGCATAGATTACTGCACTGGGGTGAATAATAGAGTTTGCACCAATGGTTATTTCACCTCGTAGTTTGGATTCATCACAAACCAGTGCACCATGCTGGATTGTTATCCTAAAAGTACAAATAATAGATGTTTTAAAGAGTTTTAACAATAACAATAGTACTTACTTATTCTTGTTGGACATATTGTATTATGTAGTAAATGTATCAAAAAATTCTTTTAGTTTTACAAGATTCTCTACAAGAACTTCACGTTTTCCACCAACCATAGCAGATGTGTCATCGGTGTATAACAAGTTGCATACATTTCTAGTACACTTGCTCAATCAGTAACAAAATGTTAAAAATCAATAATAAAGAGATAATATTCTATATCTTCAATTAATAATAATATTATGCAAATTTTATATAAACAACATTGTAATTCAATATTAGAAGCAGATACAATCCCACAAACAAAATTTAACTTCTATAGATCCGCACTAGATGCCACTGTAAGTGCGTGCCTAAAAATAAATTCTGCGCAGTTTACATAAACTTAGAACTGCCTTCTTATCAACTAACATTTTTTATGAGAACTATGATAAAAATGCGCATTGATTTGTAAAATAAACGGAAATAAACTGTTTGGTAAAACATTTAAAATTCAACAGCATTATTTTATGTTTACAAGTTGCTACAAACAATATAAAAGGCGTATATTTATGGTAAATTCGACAATACTAAACACCCGACTCACACTACATGCGCTACATGTGATTGTATTCTCTCTACACGAGTAAAACTTGTTTGTTGAACTTTAGAACTTTGGACTTGAGCACTTGCCGCCCGTTTGCTCTTATTTTCATTGATAAGCGTACACGTTTACTGTAATCCGGCATATTTTTGTTAGTCTGCGCGCTTGTTTCATCCATTTCAGTTCGCCCAACTTAATTTGTTGCAATGTCTTCCATGATTAAAGGTTACTAAAGTCTATAATACCGGTAGGTAGTCTTAATTATATTAATTAGTATATTTGTTCAGGTGTTTTTATTGTCGGCGCTAAGCGTACGCCATTCGGCACGTTCGGCGGCAAGTTCACCAAGACTTCAGCATGCGAATTGCAAGTCACTGCCGCCAAGGCTGCCATGGCAGAGGCAAAGATCAAACCAGAGCAAGTTGACACAGTGACTGTGGGAAATGTCTTATCTGTGAGTTAATTACCGTCTTAAAATAGAACACTTTTAGAATGTGTTATGAATTTACTTTTTTATTGTTGTAATAGTCATCAACTGCTGATGGAAACTTTTTGGCTAGACATGCCCTCTTGAAATCAGGCATTCCAATGGAGAAACCCGCGTTGCAGATCAACCGTCTGTGCGGTTCCGGTTTCCAAGCGGTGGTTAACAGTGCGCTGGACATTCAAACCGGCGCCGCACAAATCTCCCTCGCTGGTGGCGCGGATAACATGTCGCAATGTCCTTATACTGTTAGAAATATTCGTTTTGGCAGCCCGCTTGGAGTGAGTCCCGTTTTAGAGGACTCTCTCTGGCTAGGTTTAACTGACAGCTATTGCAAACTACCAATGGCGCTCACCGCTGAGAAATTAGGCGAGAAATGCAAGATTACACGAGATGAAGTTGATGCATTCTCGCTAAAATCTCAAACAGCATGGAAGGCAGCCCATGATGCCGGCGTATTTAAGACTGAACTTGCTCCAGTTGACGTTAAATTCAAGGGTAAGATGGTACCTGTTGAGTTTGATGAACATCCCAGGCCACAAACCACGTTGGAAGGCCTTAAGAAGCTTCCAACTTTGTTCAAAGAAAATGGTTTGGTTACTGCTGGATCCGCTTCGGTAATTAAAACAATAAAATTAATACAAAATAAATTATCTTCTAAATTTCTCAATAGGGAATTAGTGATGGCGCTGGTGCTTTAATCTTAGCCAGTGAAGAAGCTGTCAAATCAAACGGCCTTACTCCACTTGCCCGCATTGTAGCTTACTCCACCGTCGGCGTGGAACCTTCAATCATGGGCATTGGTCCAGTGACAGCCATCCAAAACTGTCTCAAAGCCGCTGGCAAAACAATCGACGACATGGACCTGATTGAAATCAACGAGGCGTTCGCTGCGCAAGCGTTGTCCTGCGCCAAGGAACTCAAACTGGACATGAATAAATTGAACGTGAACGGAGGTGCTATTGCTCTGGGTCATCCACTTGCTGCTTCCGGCGCGCGTATCACCACCCACCTTGTGCACGAACTGCGCCGCAAGAAGTTGAAGTTCGGTGTTGGCTCCGCGTGCATTGGCGGTGGTCAAGGCATCGCCATCTTGGTCGAAGCCATGTAAACATTTTAAAATCTACGTCATTTTTATGTTATTTTAAACTACGTATTTTCTATGATTATGCTTATATTATTTTAATAAGATATAAAATATATCAATTTATATATTAATTGGTCGCTGTTTCAATTTGTGGCGGGGCCAAAGCTTGATACAACTTAGTAACAGCCGTGTGGACGATTTGTTGAAAAGTTTCGTCTTCCTCGCAAGTCACTTCCAGTGTGGTCAGGTTAACTTCGGCTTTCTTTTCGTTGATAGTCACATCTAAACATTCACCTTTCGTAACTTTCGAAACAGAACCTTCACCGAACATATCCTGTAACATATCAACAGTGCATTCTTTAAAGTGTGCACGGTCGATTTTCGCATTGCTTGATGTATGCTTCATCGGCGTATCCAACATCTCTGCTTGCAAAATGGCGGCGACTATCGCATCTGCATACATATCATTTATAGGATTTGCCAACCACTAAAAACATATTAATAGTACAATTTGATAATAAATATAAGTAAATAAATGTGTGTTACTTCAAGTGTGACAATTTTGTTATCGATCGTGATCTCAACCGCGTTGAAAGCTCTCAGCTTCTTATCACCTTCGACCAGTTCCAAAAGTCCAGCCACTTGCGACATCATATGATGGAGGACGTTCAGATTGCCCGAGTAGTGAATACTCTGCCGTTGAATGATTTGAGTCATACTCATGTCTGTGTATTCTAGAAATCAAAATACTCACGCCATTAATTAATCCACCTAAATTTTAACTGAGTACGTACTTCCCAAATCCTCAGCTGACAACATATGATAGTTAAAGTTTCTCTTAACAAGAATCCCCGACAAAACATTGCCGGTTTTCGGTGGGACGATAGCTAAACCACCCATAACTTTCGCTGTTTTTTCACCTCTGAAATACAATTCAACCGCGTGCGTATTGCGCGGATTGTGTAAATGCATCGTAGTATTCGGATCATCTTCATATTCACGTTGTAAAGCTGCTTTAAGACGACTCATTTCATTTTGTTCGCCATGGACAAGCACCACATGAGGTGGTTTTAGAATTCGGATAAATTCACTCGTCTGTTGATAATCTGTATGCGCAGAGAAAGAAATATAATCGACGCTCATTTTTAACGGCAGTTTTTGCCCCAACATTGTGGTGATTTCTTCAGGTTCAGATAGGATTGTCTTGGCTAATGTGCCTTCGACGCAATAACCAGCGATAATCACACCGTTTTTTGCATCTGTGCACCATGATTCAAACAATTCGCGGGATAAACCACTCTGCATCATACCAGGTGAGGCCATTATCACACAGGGTCCAATATCCTCGAAATGATCGATTCCCTGCAATAAGTGTTTTCAACTTGTTATATAAATATACCACACATTTTTAATGCTAGACTATGGCTTATCAAAAATGATTACCGCCGCCGTATCGCTTCATATTACGTGCCGTCAATAAACTAAATTAGTCGACGTATACAAGACCAGACGAGTGTGTGTATTTTTACATCCGCTAGAATGGAGCAGCGCGAGAAGTCATGGAAGACAATATTGATCGACGTGTTGGAAACAAACCGTGGTCTCGTGATCCTGTTTTTCTGCCTGCCGGCTAGTTTCATCTTCAATCTGGGCCTACAAATACAGAAATGTTTCTACCGGATGTTCCTCGCCAGTCCAAAACGGCACGACGAACGCGTACGGGATATTCAAAGGCAAGTTCAGCTCTGGAACAAGTTACCAACGGAATCAAGAAAGAATCTTTGTACATCACGCCCGAACTGGTTGAGTTTATCAACGAAATTCTTCAAGAAAACGGAATGTCATCAAATCGACGTGAATCTGTTCGACATTTTGGAATTAGACGAGAAGAATATGACTGTGAGAGTGGAACCCATGGTCACCGTCGGCGATATTACAAGGTATTTAATCCCCAAAGGTTATACTCTGGCCGTGACCCTGGAGATAGCTGATGCTACCTTAGGTGGCTTGGCAATGGGTACCGGAATGACAACACATTCGCATCGAGTTGGTCTTTATCATGAAATGATTGAGTCCTATGAAGTTGTGCTTGGTGATGGATCATTCGTCAAGGCTGATTTGAACGACAATGCAGATCTCTACAAATGTCTGCCGTATTCGCATGGTAGTTTAGGTTTTCTGGTTGCTTTAACATTGAAGATCATCCCTGTTAAACCCTACATTCACATGAAATACATCCCAGTTGAAGGAATGAAAGAGTATTGTGATAAAATTCGAGAATTATCACTCACAGACGTTGATTATCTTGAGGCAACTATTTATGATAAAGACAGAGCTGTTATTATGGTTGGAAACTTTTCTGATTATGATTCTACACTCAACGTAAATCAACTTACAGCATGGTACAAACCCTGGTTCTACAAATACGCTGAATCTTTTCTTACTAAAGGACCTTATACTGAACTTATTCCGATGAGAGAGTATTTATTACGACATAACCGTGCGATTTTCTGGGTTGTTGAGAGTATGATTCCGTTCGGTAACAACCCACTATTCCGTTTGTTGTTCGGATGGTTACTGCCACCTAAACCTGCGTTCTTAAAATTCACAACTACGCCTGGAGTCAGAGCCTACACGTTCACTAAACAAGTATTCCAAGATATCGTCCTGCCAATTAACAAATTAGAAGATCAAATTAATATTTCTGAGGAACTGTTTGATTGCTATCCGTTGTTGGTGTATCCGTGCAGAGTCTACGATCATGGCGAACATTGGGGACAATTGAAACGACCTACAGATTTAGTACCAGGAGAGAAGTTTGCTATGTACAATGATTTAGGTATTTATGGTGTGCCTGGTCATGTTGTTAAGAAAAAAGAGTATAAACCTGTTGAAGCTATGAGAACTATGGAGAAGTTTACGCGAGATGTTGGTGGATTTTCATTTTTGTACGCGGATATCTTTATGACCAGAGAAGAATTGGAAGAGATGTTTGATTTAACTTTGTATGAAGTTGTCAGGAAGAAGTATTACGCTGCCGATGCATTCCCGCATTTGTATGATAAAGTTAAGCCTGAGATCGATGTATTAAATATGGGTTAACTTATTGTTTACTATAAAATAAACATTTTAACTATTTTTAGTTGAATTCTCCATACTAGCGAATGTATTACCTTAATTTGGTTGCTGCTATGATAGCAATGTTAATATATGCGGAAATATGTTACATATTACGCATATGTTGATTAATACTTTTTAAATTTTGCGATTTCTAAATTTTTCCCAATTTTTCTAATTATACTCGCAAACATGTTCTCTTATCACCAAAACAAGATAATTTGCCTGTAAAAATTCCACTCACCTTCAAGTTTGATATGTGTTTGAACACAAACGGATTATTAATCGCAATCTGCCGCCGAATTTTATCATTCATCGCGTTAATGTATGTCTGATATACTGCCATGCACTTTTTCGCAAGTGATGATGCGTAGTAAATCGGTACTTCATGCAATTCAGGATGTTGACTCCAATATTCATCTATAATTAATAAAACATACAAATTAATCACCAAACATACAACTTTTTAATCTATTTTGGTATTTACCTAAAATTAAAAGTAATTCCTGGGCTCTGCCTAAAGCAAACACTGGAATCAAACACCTTCCACCCCTATGAACAATATCATTCACAAGTCCAGTGAATCTGCTTTCTCTATCCTCTCTATTTTCATGAATATGTGTTCCATAAGTGGACTCAGTGATTAGGACATCTGGATGCACAGTAGGAATCTCGGCAGCCATCAAATGCCGATCCTCCTGACGCGAAAAGTCACCTGTGTACATAATTTTCACCCCAGCAATCTCAATCATGAACATGGCAGCTCCCAAAACATGCCCAGCATTATAAGCCCAAAACTTAACACCTAACACATCTTTCTCCTCATGAAAGTTAATGGTTTCAATCTTGTCCATGCTGGCTTCAAGATCTGCTTCTGTGTATAGCATTTGCTCAGTAGCAATATTGCTAACTTTGATATAATCAGAAAGCAGCCATCTGTAGATTGCTTTTGTTGCATGGGTCATGAAACATCTGCCTTTGAAGCTTGTTTTCAATAGAAACCATGGTAGGGCACCACAGTGATCCAAATGAAAACTAAAATGTACATATTTGTTTATAATTTTACAGTTTTTAAAATAAAATATAATAAAATATTACTGAGAAATAAGAAGTAAATCAATTTCATCTGCTTCAATTAAATCAACAAATGGTAAAGCATCCATTCCACTTAAACCTGGATGAATTCCACAATCCAGCATAATTTTCTTGCCTTTGAATTCTAGCATTATGCATGATCTACCCACTTCTTGACCAGCACCCCTGTAATTAAAAACAATGTAAATATTGCAACACATGTTGAAAATTGTCTTTTTAACTTACAGTGGTCTTATAGAGAGTAAATCGCTTTCTTCTGCGGGCACCTGAGTGTCCGGTTTGCGTTTTGTTGCCATTTTAAAACACTATTATTGTTTAAAACCACCAGAACTCACATTTATTTACTACCAGACACAATATCAACAACAGATAAGTAACCTACAATAATTCAATGCCGCAAGCTGATGACAGCAAGTTTTTAACCTGAAAACAAACGTTTATTGCGCGGTTTGTTTTCAAAGTTTAATGTTGTTTATATTTAAGTAAAATAAGAAGACTGTTGTTAAATAATTAATGTGAAATAGTTTAAATTGTATATATAATTCACCATGGCTGATCCAGGCTCCGGAACTTGTACATTTATGTTCAAAAAACGAAATGTAAAAGGACGCGCAACTAGAAAACGCGAAAATTCCAACTCTGAAGAAGATGCTGATCAATCCACAGAGAATCCTTCTACATCTGTAAAATTGCCGAAACGAAAACAGAAAATCAACCCAAATGTACAACATTCTTCCAACAAAAGACCCAAAAATATAAAGGCTTCATCAGATTCTGAAAGTTCTTCCAATGATGAGGAAACATTTGGTGTAAATTACAAATCATCAAAGTCTGTTATGTCCTCAGGACCTAAAGATCAAGGAGCAACAGCCACATTAGAAATAGAAACAGAGAAAGACAGAGATGCACAGGCTATTTTTGAAAAGAAATTAGAAATTAACAAACAATTAGAAGGACAGGCAGATGACAAAGTTTATAGAGGAATCAATAACTATGCACAATACTACAAACCAAAAGATACAGCAGCAGGAAATGCTAGTTCTGGATTAGTAAGGAGAGGACCAATTAGAGCACCAGCTAATTTGAGGGCCACTGTCAGGTGGGATTATCAGCCAGATATTTGCAAGGATTACAAAGAGACTGGGTTCTGTGGGTTTGGAGACAGTTGTAAATTCTTGCATGACAGAAGTGATTATAAACATGGCTGGCAATTAGAACAAGAATGGGATGCTGGAGAGTATGGGAAAGAGGATGAGGATGATAAAAAATATGAGATTGACTCGGATAGTGATTTATTTCCTGATGAGTGTGGGATTTGTAAAGGACCTTTTGATAAGCCAGTTATTACCAAGTAAGAAACTTATTTATTAGCGATTTTTATTCTTAAATCCAATTGAAATAGAAATAAATAGTTTATTTCCTGGATTTAATTTGATTTTTCTTGTTTTCTAGGTGCAAACATTATTTCTGCGAAGAATGCGCCATAGCTCAATACAAAAAGTCAATGCGTTGTGCCCTATGTAACACCCAAACAAATGGAATTTTCAATCCTGCGAGAGATTTAATAAAACATTTGGAAAATGCGCCGAAGAAGAAGAAAAACTCTGATTCAGAACTATCAGACTCTGATTAAGTTGTTGAGTTATTCATTTTACAGCGTGGAATAATTTAAAATGGTTTAAGATTTATCTAGATTTTTCATATTTATGATGAACTGAAATGCATTCAATAGTGAGTGACTAGATAACTTATTTAAATAGTGATTCATTGTTTTGCATTTCTGTATGTTAAGAATAAAAGAGTGTGGGTTGCATACTGAACTAGTGCAAACACCGCACGTTACTATATACATTATTATTGTACCTTTATTATTAGAGTTGAGTTGCAGCGTTATAAGGAAGAACAATATTAAAGCAAGGTCAATGAAAAAAGCGTGTGACTCACATTAAAATGTAAAGCGGGTGAATCGCGTAAATAAATCATCGATAACTCGTGGAAATACGGTGAATAACATCAATATTATTTACTTTTATAAATATTGTACATAAATTAATTAATATGCACCTAACAATGTTTGAAATGTTTAGTATGTTAACTAGTAATTATTTCCGGTTCATTGAAATATAAACCTAGTATTATTTTTGAGAATTTCGAAATATAATAGAATTTCGTGACGTAACTACTTTAATATAATAAATGCCAACGCGACTAATAGTTGTTTTCGATCGCCAGACGCCGCGACGAATTTATTAACAACGAAAACACTACCGTGGATTATGAGCGTACTCAACAGAATATTTTTGGATTTTATGAAATGCGCCAGACAAAGAAGTCTTGCACACAACAACTTGAACGAAGAGTGAAAGGCGCCCGACCGCGACATGCGATATTCCACCTCCTTCCGTCTGCCTCTTCGCCGCGAAGCGACGCATCGCGTCGTGGAAGGTCAACGAGTTGAGTAGTTCTTTGCCTGCTGTTGATGTAAACTGCTTCAGACTTCACTGCAGAAGTTAAGAGAAGCCCGTGCGCGCAGGAAGTCGAAGAAGCACTTCTACTTCTCGTTACCAAAGATTCGGCGGTGGGGCAACGGTGCACTGAGCAACGGTAATCTGCGATAAAAGTTCATCGCAAAAGTGAAAAGTCAGTGCGCACCCACGAGTCAGACCACAGAGAGTGCGCGTTTCGCAAAGTGTTACGTTAGATTACTTACAACAAAAAAAAATGAGTGCAAATATGCGGCTCGCCTTCGTGGTACTCCTGGGTTGTCTAACGGTGGGATCTATTCACAGTTTAATCACAGGTGAAGTGATTTATTAAGCAATATTTGTATTTTAGTCGATTGTGTGAGAATTCAAAACTTTATGCAATCAAATTACACATATTCTGTTACATTTTGAAGTGAAAGCACTAAAACTATTTTTATATTACCAATAAATTATTATAAAACTAATTTTTAGTGCGGACCAAACCCATATCATAACTTACAAATATTTTATCTAAAGTCAATAGGATTACGGATTAAAATAATCTGTTAAAACATGTTTTTAATCAAATTTCAGGTCCTGGCCATGGAAAAGTTGTGGTTTGTTACATTGGGACATGGGCAGTCTACCGCCCGGGACGTGGTTCTTTCACTCTTGAACACATCGACCCTAATATGTGCACACATTTGGTTTATTCCTTCGCTGGGTTGAATACAACTCATGATTCTATCCGATCTCTTGATCCTTGGCAGGATTTGACTGAAGATTATGGTAAAGGCGGTTATGAACGCATTGTGCGCCTGAAAGACCGCTACCCCCATTTAAAAGTGACGATCGCCATTGGTGGCTGGAACGAAGGCTCTGAAAACTATTCAAAACTCGCTGCGGATCCAATGCGGCGCAGTAGATTTGTGCAGAGTGCTGTTCAGTTTTTAAAGAAGTATAACTTTGATGGACTTGATCTCGATTGGGAATTCCCAGGAAAACGTGGTGGAACTCCAGCAGATAAACAAAACTTCTTGTTGTTGGTAAAAGAACTTCGTTCGGCTTTCAATCCGTTTAATTTCTTGTTAACGGCGGCGTTTGGCGCTGGAAAGGATACAATTGATGTTGCTTATGATGTGGCTGGTTTATCTGTTTATTTGGATTACATTCATATGATGTGTTATGATTACCATGGCACGTGGGATCAGAAAACTGGAGCGAATGCGCCATTATTCAGTACTGATGTTTACAGTGTGGTGAGTTGCACTGTTTTTGCGCAGATTATTTCAACTTTCTTTTCCTGCGTTTTTATAGATTTGCAATCGAATGCATTTTGCATAAATAATGCAATTTTGCATGAAATTTGCAACCGGTAATAATTGTCATTTTTAACGCTTCTTTTATTTTTCATCTCACAGGAATATTCAATCGAGTACATGCTGCAAATGGGTGCGCCGGCAACTAAATTAGTGATGGGTATTCCACTCTACGGTCGCACCTTTATTCTTCCGGAAAGCGTGGAGTCGGAAGCGCCAGCGTTCAAAAAACCGCAACGACTTGGTGAAATTGCCAAGAGTGTCGGCTTTCAGGGACCGCTCACTCGCGAAAACGGTTTTATGGGCTATAATGAAATTTGCGTCGAGATGCGGAACAAAACCGCTAGGTGGTCACAGCACTGGGACGAAAAAACACGCACTCCTTTCCTCGCATTAGAAAATAAAGTTATTGCCTACGATGACCCACGTTCCATTCGGGAGAAAATTAAATTCGCCATTTCCAAACGCCTCGCGGGTGCTATGGTGTGGTCCATTGATACAGACGACTTTCAAGGTGATTGTGTTGAACAGGGTTTGGATTTCAAGAATTTTCCGTTGATGCGGTCAATTAACAAAGCAATTATTGCTGAATTGGAAGAAGATAGGCGAAATAAAGAGAATGAAATTCTTCATGGCGATGGCAATAGTAAAATTAGCAGTGCCAATGTTATACAGAAAAATATTTGGGTTTTACTTGTGTTTGTTGTGCATTTGTTTGTAGTTAGGTATTGATTATTATTAATTAAATGGATGTAGATGTTATCATTTTGTACTTTTTAAAATCTCTTCGTGGCACAATTTTGTGTTAGTTTGAATTTGTGGCACAAGTCAATAGAGTTGCCTACATTGTGTCCAAATAATCAACTGACGTCAGTTTGACGTCATTGAAGCGCGCAGGTCGCACACCTTTTATCTCATTCGCTCTCATGCAGTACATACGTAGGAAGACAAGAAGAGCACGAGTTGACTCCATACACCACCCCGCATTGCACGCACACACATCTCCGTTCACATCTGTCGGGCCGCACGAATTTTCACTGCTCCACGTTCATCGCATCGACGGCACGCACGTCCGCCCCGCCAAAGCAGCGCCGAGAACCCGTTTTCGTTCGCGGTTTGTTATTTCCTTCATTTCGTGCGCGCCAAACATCGCACACGTCGCGCCATGGCAGACCTAGACGACTTCTTCGCGAAAAAAGACAAGAAGCGCTCCAAAACGAAGACCAAGTTCTCCACCACCGAGGATGTCGCCAAGAAACTCGAAAGTGATGCCAGCAAGAAACCGGAGAAGCCCGCGAAGAAGGAGAAGAGCCAAGAGGGTGACGACCCCACTGCCGAAAAACACGTACGCACCCTTATTAAACTCGCCAATTATCATTAATATTGCCAATAATATTTATGTCATCAACATAAAATGTGAAATACGAATGATGAACGTAATATTTGTCATGCGATACGTTCAGAAATCGCTTTTGTAGAAGCACTTGTGAGGTTATGTGCAGCCATATTGCTAATCATGTTTCTTTTCATGCATTTACATAGGACCAAGACGAATGGAAGGACTTTGAGGAGGAGAAGAAGGACTACACTGGGTTAAAGATTGGCAATCTGACGATAAACCCGCAGTCGGAGAACGGTGCTGGCGCGGACGGTAGTGAAACCCAGGAGATCATCTATGATGAGGCTGGCAATGAGGTAGAAAAGCAGGTGGGGCCATGGAAACGCATGGAATCCACGCATGTCGGCGGTGGTGAACCACCGAAGGTTGTCGAGGAGAAGAAACCCGACCCGACAGGTCCCATGCCGAACGTGGTGGGCAGTGCGTACGTGCCGCCCAGCAAACGCAACCAGCCAGATCATCACCAGGAGAGAACTTTACAGCCGACCCGACTGCGGCACAAAGCTGCTCCAGATATTCACAATGAAGAATATTTTCCAACTTTGGCGGGGAACAAAGACGGCCGAAGGTAAAATCTTTTACAAAAAGTTTCTGTAGCCCACACTAACAAATTATTTTAAATTTTAAAGTAAAATTAACACAATCTGTTTTCATATCGTTTTTTGTTTGTTAAATAAATTTTTAATGCCAATGCATTGCTTGCGTCTGCGGATTTGAATATTGTTTGCTTATCTATTGGTAATGATGGCGCCACTTGTTTTACGTTATCTGGATTGTTGTAGCGCTACCAACTTGATGATATGAAATTTTACTAAAGATGATTTTGTTGCAGGGGGCGTAATGAGGGTTCGTTTGAAGTGGTCTCGCACAACAAGTCAAACTCGATGCGATTCGTCGAGCAGTCAAAGAACAGCGGGCAGGCGCAAAAGCTCAGCCTCGGCAATCGTTTTAATTCGCTGAGCAACGACAGCTAGTACCATCCTACTACGGCGCCGCCCTCTCCCAACGTTTACCCAGCCTTTACCAACCCCCCGCCCCCGGCGATAAACCTAAACTTTTTGTTTTATTATCAATTTTGTTACTAATCTTCGAAATATTATTATTATTACTAAAAGAGAAACTGAAGGGAATCGCCAGCGATAAGAATCAACACAAACACAAGGCTACCAGCAAGACACACAACTGAACGGACAGTGTCGCCATTTCGAAAATTGGGACACGATGCAGAATTTTTGAGAAATCGAGATCTATGAATGATGCAAATCTATGAAAATGAAAAATACATTATTGATATTTATAGTAAAATTGTTTAGTTCAATATGCGTGATTGCGTCATTTACAAATCATCGAGGGTTGATTCTTCACTGTAAAAAGAAAATGATTGCTTTAGTTTTTATTCGTTGTCGAGGATTCCCGACTTCACACTGAATGTCGGATCTCTGAGATACCTATCAACGTATTGGCGGCCATGCGCGCCCAGACTGCTGTAACATTCGTACATTTCTTGCTGCAAAAGTTCGGTGCGAAAGTTGGGGATAAAATAAATCCATGTGTCTACCACTTCACTTGCTGAGTTTTTCACTTGCTTCACTTGTCTCACGTAATAGTTGGGATGATCTTCCAGGATGTCCAGATTGGCAAACACCTTATCATCAACTTCATATAGTTCTCCACGGACGTTATGGCCAGCACCTTTAAAAAGAAAGTTTAAATCAGTTTTAAGTATTTTTTGAGTCTTAAATATAATTATTTAATGTATTTTATGTTAAGTTACCTGGTTTATGAAGAAGAAATGGAATGTTATACTTGGTCCCAATAATCAACGGGTATTTTTCAATTGTTGAAGCTTCAGATAGAAATTTAAAAGCTCCACCTTCATCTTTGGTGAACCAATGATGGTTGGGTTCACCACGTTTTAATGTTCCATAAACGAAAACTTTGTGGAACATGTTTTAAGTGTTATTTTGATTTGAGAATACAATCTACAGGTTTTGTTTTTTATGATTTGCTAGATAATATGTTAAATTTTACTAATTAACCTAAAAGTGTATGCACTTCAAGTAAACATTTACAAATTTAATTGAATAATGCAAAGGGAATGTTATAAGTATACACAAACGCGGCTCTATTTGTCGACTAAGTTATATAACTAAATTATTACAGTGTGGGAATGACAGTAATCTATATGAAATATTGCTCCCACTGCTAATAACCCGTTAGTATATATTCTAACACAGATAACACATCTTGATTGAAGCTAATTGCTCGACAGCAGAAATTCGAAAGTTATTGACCAGACAGGAATTATAGTATCGTGTAGGATGACTTTTAAATCCCTTATTATCATAATTGCAGTATCAATTTATTTTTTACATACCTATATGAGCAATGTGTATTTTTACAACCTGCGTATTTTTCGGATACATGAAATCCATCTGAAGTGCCCCAAAATGCCTCTCTTTTCAGAATTTTTTAGTTTCCGACAAGATTGAATTAATTAACAAAAATTTGGCAGAGGCGCCTGGCATTTTAATTAGTGTTTGTAAAAATTATTAAAAGCTGATAATACTATTGAGAATGGCAGCTTATTATTATCTTATTTACACAACTTCCTTTATAATAGTTCAAATTGTTTGCCTTGTAGACGTATTAAATTGTAGCATGTACTTGCTGCGATTCTTAATGACCAATTATCTCGGAAACTAAGGAAGATAATCAAAAACGGAAAACGGGATGACATTCAGCATTGAATTCTACATAATATGAGATTTAAAAACTTTTATTTTTCAAAGAATGAAAACTGATTTTCCGACGCGATTTTCTCGGAAACTATAAAAGTTACAACGTAACTTTTTGCACTTTCTTCATGTCATAACAAGGTTCTACAAAATGGCAGATTCAGTTTTTAATTCTGTAAAGTTGACCAAAAACCAGCTGAAAATAGTTAAGTGGTTAGTTACACTTAACTCTTTTGTGGCCTAAAAATTAAAGTTTAAGCTGGAAGAAAATGGAAAACGCCATGCGATATAGAATTGTAATGCCATGAAAGATATCTAGTCAGTTTTCCGATAACACCAATATTTCGGAAAACTGGATGAAAATCGGAATCGACCAAATTGAACCACTTCTCGGATTTTCCTGAAATTTTCTAGTTAGGTACATAATGATTCAAGGAATCCATTAATACTATTTTTGTTCAGATATCTTAATTAGTTTTCAAGTTATTGACCATTTTCAATAATTACATAAGTACAAGAAACTGAAAGTTTTTAAATGTTATATAATGTAGAATTATGTGCAGAATGCGAATCCGCAAACCATTCTCTATTATCTCTATTAGTTTCCAAGAAAACTGCAATAAACTGCATTTGCCATTTCTCTATCATTTCTTAGGCAAAAATTTAAAATTTTAAATTTGAACTTTTTATTGCAGAAGATGGAAGAGAAGGTGATTTGGAACGCTTTATCTTAGTAACATTTCATTATCAGACTAATTGTTTGGGTGGTATTCACCTTACAAAGTCAGGTATTGCACATTATTAAATCTAAGTTTTGAATGGCAACAGTATGTGTGTTATGCTGTAAAGAATCCTTTAAGCATCAGCAAACTGAAGTTCTTTTCATCCTAGCCCGTTATTTTCAAGAGATGTTTATGTTTAATCTTTTTATTTTAGTTTCTAGCGGAAACAATTTAATAAATTAGTTCAACCCTGTCTTTCGACAGAAAATAATATAAACAAAATATTTTGGCCCTGTCTTTCGACCGAAATTCAAACTTTAAAAAGTATTTCTTCGCCTAAAATTAACTTGTTTAACTATCATTTCGTCCAGAATTTCATCCTAATTGCGCCATAGAAACAGGTTATATAGGGTATTATGGATTTCACGTTTAGAAATTCGAGTCTTACCATGCTTTAAACAAAAATACAAGTTTGTTTATATATTAATTTTATTAATAGAATTAGTATTAATTAAATTGATGCCTATAATTTGTTCGTTCATATTTAAATAGTACATACAAATTCGCAATCACTTTTATCCATGTTGTTCCAAACATCAACCATCCCGACGCCGTTGAAAATTGCTATAAATTAGTACAAGTATAGACCCGTGTTGTGTATGAGTATCATATTCATGCCAGTCACTCGCTCTCTTTAAGAGAATAGACTTTTAACAAGCAATTACGTCCGATTATCATCCATATCAAAATGATGCGCCCATTTGTTATCCCCATTGGCATTCTCTGCACTGAAGAAATCGTCGTCAAACGGATCATTTTCCCTGGCAAATATATTCACTGATTCAGACTTCTTCAAATTGTTCTCCAGCTGTGAAATCCGATTCAGGCGTTTCTTTCCGCCACTATTTACGCGTGTAAAATTGTTTGTCCCGAGGCAATCCGTTGCTTCTTCCGCATGCGCTTGATCAACAACCGGCACATTTCCACCGGTCGAAGGCAATTCCATAGGCTTTTCCTTATCGCTAGGCGAGAAATCATCTTCAAAAAGTGATTTCTGTCTGTATTTATGCTGCGCGCGTGTTTGAACAGGCGGCAGTTTCGGCGTAGCCTGCACCTTTGGGGCCGCCGGCTTCTTAAACCATTTCTCTCCCATTGGCGGTGTTTCCAAGTCGCCAAATTGCACAAAATCGTTCTCGAACATCGACTGCGCCGGTTGTACCTCCTGCAACGGACGCGATGCCGTGTCAGCGCGAGATTTGCGCGGAAACGTGTTTGTCTCCTCAGTCTTGGGACTCTCCTTGGAGCGAGACTTGCGCCCGCTCATTGTATTCGTCTTCTTCGCACTCGGCGGCGGTTCTTTCAGAAGCGCCTTGGGTGCTGCCTGCATAGGCGAATCGTAATCTTCGAGTTTTTGATGCTGTCTACGCAGTGGTCCACGAAGAGGCGGTTCTAGCTGACGCGAGAGACGTGGTGGTTCAGAATACTGCGAATCACGACTCTTCGAACGTCTACTAGACTTGTATCGACGATCACGTTCACCATCACTCCCTGTGCAACATTTAATTAGTGACAATACAACCATTCGATCAATAAATAAATAAATATTACCGTGTCCAAGATGAAATTGTCCTCGACCTTTAATCTCGCCAGTTTTACGATCCATTTCCGTCGCGCTGCTCGGCCGTATACGAGTACGACGCGCTGTGAGATAATGCGGTTCCATTTCGTTGCCATACTCGTCCTCCCAGGGCGATTCTTGTGAGTCACGTGTGTAATATCTTTCATCATGTTTTCTTCTGTCTGGATTCGACCATCTTCCGCTACTGTAGCGACTAAGCGGTTCTAAAAATAAAAATTTAATAATATCTATATGCTTTTGGCAAAATAATCTAATTACCTGGAACGTCTTTCGCGTCATAATCAGGACAGCACCACCGCTCTCGATCAACATCTCTTCTCGTCCTGCCACTACTACGCATCCTTCTATCTTCCCATCCCTCAATATCCCTCGGATGCGGACGTTCCGAATGCCAATGGAACCTTTCATCCTCATACTCATAATCATCATCCTCATCCCAACTATCCGCATGTCGCCATCTTTCACCAGCGTGCCGTTCAAAGGAAGACCTGCTATGTCGTGACGCCCATGATTGACGCCCGTCCCGCCTTCGTGGTTCCTCTTCCCATGGACTCACATCTCTTGAACTGGAAGAATGTCCACCACTAGGTTGATTAAACCACGACTCATCTCGCACACTCCCAGTAACACTGGCCGGTGGACGCCGTGCCCTGCGTGGTCTGTCATAGTAATCATATCCCTCATCCTCAAAGCTATCCGTGGATCGACGATTGTAATACGGTGTTTCTGGTTCGGCCGACGTGTCCCACCAACCTTCTTGACTTCGTCCTAATCTAGCACCACTTCCTACTCCTCCTCCACCGCCACTAGACCAACGATCACCACTGCCACTGTCTCTCCTAGCACGCCAATCTGTAGGCGAACCATTACCAAACTCTTTCGAATCGCTTGACCACGGTGATACACCCTCTTCACTCTGAACTTTACTCTCTTTAACATCTTCGCCAATCAAGTTTGGTTGATTGAAACAAGCCCAGCTTTCCTCTTTCTTCACAGGTTCCGTATCACGATTATCATCAACGTCTGGAGAACTTCCACTGATAACATCAGATAATGACCCACTCTGTGCAATAATTTCCTCTTTAATATTATTCTGTCTCTGCATTTGTATGACTTCGAAGTTTTTAAACGTTGTATTTTCTGTGTTGTCGTTCTTAACGTCATCTATAATCTGCATATCTGCGATTGGCATATTCAAATCATTCTCCGACGAGTTTTTATCATCATTTATGTTGTTTTGTTCAGTGATAACTTCATCAATTGTAGTCAATTGATGATTATCCTCTTCTGCATCGTCCGCGTCAAGTTCTCCGGAAGCTGACGCATCAATATCAGCTTCATCGTCTTCTTCCTCTTCATCTTCTTCGATTGTGTCGATGTCTTCTGTTGAACGCATTTCTTCAGCAATGGATATTTCCCTTAAAGCCGCATATCTATCAATCGCCGACTGTTTTGTATCAGTTTTTGCAACAGTACTAGTAATAGTAACACTAGTAATAGTAGTCACATGTGTAACATTCACAATATCATCGGTGACGTTCAGAATTTCATTCTGCGGTGTAATACGCGGACTTACATTACAAGCAGAAAAATCATTACTGGTTTGAATAGCTTCAATAGTATTCTTGTTATCGTCGTTTTCTGCAACTTCCGCAGGTTCTTCTTGTTCCTCAACATCGTCTATACTCGTAGTCTTTATAATTTCGTCGTCATCTTGTAATAATTCTCTGAAAGCAGCGTATCTATCATAGGGTGATGGTGCCATGACTGGCTGTGAGATCGTCTGTGCGTTAAACTGATTGAAATCGGCAAAGTCAGCCGATATAACATGAGTATTTTCTATTTTGGTTTCCACCGCAGGAGGCGCAGTGGAATGTGTTGAAAGCGGTGATAAGCGTGTGAAGTTCGTTTCGACAAGTGGTGATTTCGAGCGCTGCTCACTCTCCGTTTTATTGTTTTTAACAAAATTTGATAGGTAACTAGTTAATTGCACAAGCGTCATATTGCTTAGTTGACTAGGAGGTATATTCAGTTTCGCAGCGAACTCGTTCAGCCCGCTTAGCGTAAGCTGACTTAATGTGATATCTAACGTGTCCAGAGATAAGTCATTGAATTGATGGCCGGCCTCTGTCGATGGCTCGGAAGACATCGTGATGGGTGTGGGCAAGCTAGTTTGGTTAAAGTTAGTGGGAGTGGTTAAGCTTGAGGGCGTGGCTGATGTGGTATCCTGCACGTTGGGACTTTCCGCACGTCGTTTCGTGCTCTTCGGCGGCGGAAGTAAACCAATCGGTGTAAGATAATCATCCTCCTTCGTAACAAAGTCTGATTCAAAGCGACTTTGCGTTGTTTTCCGCGCAGGTGCGGGCAATGGCGGATTATCATCGCTTGCAGGTGTCAAAGTACTCGAGAATTTTGTTTCATATCTATCCATATAATCATAGTGAGATTCCTGGGGTGGTCGAGGCGGCGCTTTCATTGACAAGTCAATGGTATTTTGTTTCTTGGGCGGCAATGGCGGCGGTTTGATAAGCGTATTCGTTGGACGCGGCGGTGGATCAGGTGCCTCGCCTTCCGAAGACATATCAAAGCTTTGATGGTCAAATAATCTGCGCGTAGTTGATGCACTACTACCGGTAAATTCAAAATCAGCTTTAAACAATTGACTCAAATCGCCGCTCATTCCGCCTTTAGGTGTGGTAGCTGTTACTTTATCACCAAGTTCGTTTAATTTGGCGGTAGGTGGTGCGCTTGCTGAACCGTTATTAAACAATTTATAATCGCTCATGTCGTTTTCAAACACTTTGAAATCAGCTTCGGCGAATGGATCAGTTTGATCAAAGGGATCCTCACCGAATGGATCATTGTTATAAATACTGTTCGAGGAAACGTTCATCGCCGTAGCACTGGAACTCGCGCTGCCACTGCCCGACTGATCGAACGTCGCCGCAAAGTTTGATATCGAGTTTGTGGATATGGAATGCGATTCAATCGGTGGAGCGCTCGCCATTGTCGTCGACTCGGTGACCAAATCGTTAAGCACTTTCTTCGGCGGATTCTTCAACTCTTGGAAGAAGTGTTTCTTGTCGACGTAAGGCTTTATTTTTCCAGTGCCTAAAATCACCATTAGCATTAATCACGCATTCCGCACGCAAACCGGTTGTGAAGCAAAGCAAATGAGGTGCAAAGTAAGCGCAACTATTGCAATCGATTGAAATAAATGAAACGGCTCGGTTATCGCACCGCTAATAATGAGCGTGGTTAAAATATCATTAGTGCCGTTCACATAGAAGCAAGACATCGACGACAAGCAGAACCAAAACAAGAAACTGTTAATAAACACATTACCATGATATGATGAACTGTTAGTGATGATTATTGTTCAATGTTAATTAGGTTAGCAATGTGTAAGAGACGTTGAGAGTGCAAACGTGTGAGGCGATGGATTCACACCACACGTGAGTGATCGTTCTATCAGTATACAGTGTGTTCGATAATCGTAAAAAAAAGTAGGTACCTATCGGCTGGTTATTGGTCTGGTAAGTCTTCGTACCTAAAGGATCGAGTTCGGTAAAGACGTCGAATTGCGAGAGAATATCTTGTTTCGCCTGCTCGTGCTGCTTCTCCTTGTCGGTGATGCCAGCGGTGGGCGGCAGCGAGGAAGGCGCGTCTTCAAAAAGACTATTACCCGCCGGTGGGGTGAACCAGTCACCACTGCTCGGCTCATCATGGCTGCTGTTGAACTCGTTGAAGCTGAAATCCTTGGGTGTATCGCGGCTGCTGTTGAATAAGTCAGCGGCGCTGGACGAATCGCACGATGCGCCGCCGACTGTGTGCGGCGTCTTGGGGCTGAAAATACTGCTCGATTCTGAAACGCGAGTGGAACGATCACGACCTGAAGATGGCGGCGGTGGCAGAATTCCTTTCTAAAAATTAAGACATGATTTTTAATATTCTTTGCAAATACTGTTTTTATTTTACCGAAAAAGATGTGAAACTATCACCAAATGGATCTTCTCCACCTCGTCCGAAAGGATCCGATGGTGTGATACGTTCCATCTGAGTTAATCCTTGCTGTAAACTGTTAAGTTCGAGTTCCAAGTCGACTAAATCAGCGACAGCTGGCGTGGAACGATGCTCAGATGATGAGGCAGTCGCGCCCTTGGCTTCTGACGATAATTTCGTTGAGGTATCTTGCAAATTGCTCTAAAATAATACATTGCATTTTAAATTTACCTCCATATGAATAAAAACTCACTTTTGAACTGAGAGAGCGTTCGGAGAACAGCGGTGACGTGCTGTATCTTGATTTGTCCAGATGCTGCTTTGCTAATTCAATCTCTTTCTTTTTCAGTGCAAAAACCACTTGAAATAAGTCTCTCATAGCAATTACAACCTAAAATTCAAATAAAAAAGTATCTGCACACGAAAATTAATAGCTACTTACTTGACTAGCAGCTTTATCAGTTTTGATGCCGAAAAAACGATGGCCAGTGTCTGGCGATCCAAAAATATACCCGAAAGCCCTTGAATCGCTCATGTCCTGCGCGATGAATGATATCTTATGTACAGGATGATGATATAAGGAATCGCCGGTCTTTTCGTCACGCAGACGAAGACCGTCGATAGCGATGTTAATCGTGATGCGCTGCTTGTGTTCACCAGCAGCCCGAATTGCCATTTTCAAATCGGCAAGTGCTTCCTGGCACATTCGATCACCGCGCGCCTCTGAAACCTCCAGGATTCCGATGAGCTTCGCCTTGAAGCTCACCCCTTCTCCCAGGAATCGAGAGGTTTCATTTTTGTCTGAAAAAACTACAATGAAGAATGTGAAAGGATGAAATTGATGAGATGGGTAGCAAAAAAAGAAAAAAAAAAAGGAAATCATACAAACTCAAACATAACCAAAACTATTAACCTTACTTTATTAAATAAGACGGTGTAAAATGTCAGTCAAATGTCAGTTAATGTCAAAATGCGACATTAGAAAATAAATATTAAAACAAAAGCATTACAAGCTATAAAAAAAGTAAAACTTAATGCAACACACTCAATTGGTGAAACAGTAACACACTACTTACATTTGAGTGGACTGGTTTTCTTTCGTAGTGTTTGCATTGTTTATTTTGTTCGTTGCTTACAATTACCAGCAGCATTCAGGCCTGCACACTCATCTATCACATATCATCATTGACTAAACATATCTTAGCTGAAGGGGGTGGCGCTCGTCCGCGGCCCGAAAGACGTTACTGGCCGCGCTGGGAAACGCGTCGGAACCGAATTTAATTGCGTGAACTTGCGGTGATTCGCCGCATATCGATTGGTAGTTAATTGCCGGCAGCCGGAGCGTGTTGGCGATTTGCCTCACGGGGGTGGCTTCGTGCGTTTCGTGAATGAGACAGGGTTGACAGGGGTTTACATTTACTCAGGGTGACAAACTGCAGGCATGCTCAGACCGCACTCGGCCGTTTATTGATTTTCTAGTTTCTTCTTTTAACACAACGTAGCACCCCAAACCAGAAAGTTTTTTTAAGTTTACAAGACCCACCACCGTTGGATGTTAAATTTTGTAGATGTTGAGGAGTAATTTATGTAGATAAATTTACCATTCGCTGCTGGAGGCGACGCCGACGGCATTTCCAGCTTCAGGTCTCGATCATGTTGGTGTTGGCACTTCGTTATGCTTGCTTAACACCACTCCCGTTTCAACATTTTTTACCGCTGCACTGCGATTAAGGTGTTTCTCGATTTGCATGAGTAATGCGCGTAATGCTGGACTGACTGGACATCTCCACGAAAATATAAACAAAGATATTTTTGGTTAATTGATGGAATTTTTGAAGGTCTGCGCCACAAAGTGACAGAAGTCTTTGAATTAAGAGCATGCGCAAACATTTTCTTCAGCATAAACAAATTTTAAATGTTATCCTGTTAGAAACAGTTTTAAAATATAATAATGCATTAATTTAATGTTACTAGTTTAGTTTATACTTAAAAATCGTTTAATATATTATTTGTAATCAAATTAAATGTTTTCTTTTTAAATTTATTTGGTTAGTAGTCAAATGTCAATAAGCAATGGCGAAACAAACTTTCCCGCCTATTTTACCCGCGCAATTCCAATAACCTACGTATCAAAGTTAAAGTTTGTTAGTGCTTCGGCTGCGTTGATTCGCATTTTGTTTATTCATTTTAATTATTAAAAAGTGTCGTTATTGAAAACTTATCATTAATTACTTTTGTTACGTTGTTTTTGCACTTGTTGCGTTTACAACAAAAGTTTTTAAATCATAATTCAAGAAACCAGTGATTAACGGCCAACATGTCTTCACCACCTCGCGCTCCTCGAACTCCGCGACGCTCAACGCGCACAACCCCAAGAGCACGCGATGCTCCAGAAAGTAGCCCACGTCGTCCTCCAAGCGCCCAACCTGAAACTCCTTCACGGCGTTCCACCCGCGGCACTCCGGCAAAGAGCACCAGCAGCAAGCTGGATGAAGGTACCCCCATGAAATGGGGCCGCAACCGAAATGAAGGAGCGGGTTCGGCGCAGGATATTCCAGCAACGTCTCCGGTACATGCCTTAGCCCCAACCAGTCCAGCTGCAGGTATAAATTATTTAAAAAATGTTATTTATGTGTTCAATGTTTTATTAAAAAAATAATAGGTTTAGGCATGAGTGAGATTGATTTAAGTTCTCCACTTAATTATGGCACTCCTGGATCTTTGGGCTCTGTAAAAACACCAAGATCTGGCATTAGGGGTACTCCTATTAGGATGAGACCTGATGTCAGGTCTGATAAAAGAATGAGACAAGTTAATATTGGATCAGATGCAGTAAGTTGTAATTAATCACATCAAAACAGTTAATAATTGTGTTTAGCTGGAAGCCATTCAGGAAACCACCGAAACAGACTCCAATGCTCCGCATCTTGTCATCTGGGGTACCAACGTGTCAGTTGAGCAATGCAAGGAGAAGTTCAAGCAGTTCATCTTGCGCTACATCGACCCCAACGCAGAAGAAGATGAAGTCGGCGAAGGAATGAATGTCAACGAGCCGCTGTATTTGCAAAAACTCGAAGAGATTCATACTCTTGAAGAACCTTTCTTGAACGTGAACTGCGCTCATTTAGAAACCTACGATGAATCTCTTTACCGTCAATTGATCTGCTACCCACAGGAGGTGATTCCAACGTTTGATATGACAGTCAACGAAATGTTCTATGAACGTTACCCAGCAGCTGTGCTTGAACATCAGATTCAAGTACGACCTTTCAATTGCGAGAAAACTCGTAATATGCGCTCATTGAATCCCGAAGATATTGATCAATTGATAACTATCTGCGGGATGGTTATTCGCAGTTCAAATATTATGCCCGAAATGCGCGAAGCTTTCTTTAAATGTATCGTGTGCTCGTTTTCTACTACCGTTGAAATTGATCGTGGTCGCATTGCAGAGCCAACACTCTGCTCTAACTGCAATACTAATCATTGTTTTACTTTGGTTCACAACCGCTCGCAGTTTACTGATAAACAACTCATTAAATTGCAAGAGTCGCCGGATGACATGCCTGCCGGTCAAACTCCGCACACCGTCGGTTTATTCGCTCATAATGATTTAGTTGATTGTGTTCAGCCTGGTGATCGTGTCACTGTAACCGGTATTTATCGTGCTCAGCCTCTACAGGTCAATCCGCGTATGAGAAATATTAAATCTGTGTACAAAACACACATCGATGTTCTTCATTTTCGTAAGGTTGATAATAAGCGGTTGTATGAGGAAGCCGATGGTAAGGATCATAGATTCCCACCGGAGCGTATTGAATTATTGCAGGTATTATCGGAGAAACCTGATATTTATGATCGTTTGGCTCGGGCTCTTGCACCGTCAATTTACGAAAATGAAGACGTCAAAAAGGGGATATTATTGCAACTTTTTGGCGGTACCAAGAAAACGTTTGTTATTTCTGGTAGAACTAATTTCCGCGCTGAAATTAATATCTTACTTTGCGGTGATCCTGGTACGTCCAAATCTCAATTGCTGCAGTACGTTTATAATCTATTGCCGAGATCACAGTACACTTCTGGTAAAGGTTCTTCGGCTGTCGGTCTCACCGCGTATGTTACAAAAGACGCGGAAACTCGTCAATTGGTTCTTCAAACCGGCGCATTAGTTCTGGCTGACAATGGTATTTGTTGTATTGATGAGTTCGATAAAATGAATGACTCTACACGTAGTGTTCTTCATGAAGTAATGGAACAACAAACTCTCAGTATTGCTAAAGCCGGTATTATTTGTCAACTCAATGCAAGAACTTCGATTCTGGCTGGCGCGAATCCATGCGAGTCGCAGTGGAATAAAAACAAGACTATAATTGAAAACGTTCAGCTGCCGCACACATTGCTATCGCGTTTTGATTTGATCTTTTTGATTCTCGACCCGCAAAATGAGATCTTCGATCGCCGTCTGGCGAAACATTTGGTTTCGTTGTATTATAAGAGTACACAGCAAGAGGAGGATGAGTTTCTTGATATGTCTATTTTGCGTGATTATATTGCATACGCTAAGGAACACATTCATCCGAAGTTGAGCGAGGAGGCGTCGCAGAAGTTGATTCAGAGTTATGTTGAAATGAGGAAATTGGGCGCTGGACGCGGTCAGATTACAGCCTATCCTAGGCAGCTGGAGTCATTGATCAGACTCGCGGAAGCGCATGCTAAAGTGCGCTTTTCACCCACGGTATCCGTGGATGATGTGGAAGAAGCTTTCCGTTTGCATCGTGAAGCTTTGAAGCAGTCCGCCACTGATCCATTATCCGGAAAAATTGATATTGGTATCTTAACCACTGGGTTGAGTAGTGCGGCAAGGAAACGCCGCGCTGAGTTTTCGCAGGAAGTGCGCAAGTTGCTAGAGAGCAAAGGGAAAGTGCCCACTGTGAACTACTCAAAATTACTGCAAGAGTTAAAGGAAAATTCGAGCGTGGTATATATTAAATCACTTTATTTTTTACTTCTTGTACTACAATTATTTGTTTACAGATGATTACAAGAGAACAATACGAGGATGCTTTGAAAGATTTGCAAGACGATGGTATTATTGTAGTGATGGGCAAGAGTACAATTCGTATTTGCAAAAATCGCGATTGAAATTGAGAGCTCCATTGGATTTTACATCATTTTTATCTTTTTATTTAACTTTTCTACCAATACCTGATAAATCCCGAAGGCGATTAGGAACACTTGTAGTTCTTACTTTTTTTTAAATAAAATAATCGCTTTATCTTATTCTTTCCTAATTAGTTAAACAACACTCTTCATGGCGAAAATAGATTCGAACTAGGAATAGGACAAAGCGTGAGCCTCTCCAGTAGGCAAACAACTGGGAGCAATCATTTGAAAAATACTTCTAAACTGATTGGCGTTTCGACTTCTAGACTTTTCTAGCAATTATGAACTTTTATAAAATTGACTTAGTGATAATCTGATTGATAAGATATGCATTTTTATTCGTTAAGGAATTTGTACACAAGTCTAAACATGAATGAATAACATTTCATAATATTGTCCAAGTCATACACCATTATTGAATCATTGCGTATGACTTTATATCCCATGCTTTTACCGCGGTTCATTTGCAATCTGTCGAGTACAGCTCCCAGTTGGGCATAAAAAATACTAAAATGCCCGAAAGCAAAGTACTAGTTGTGTTTTTCATTATCACCTTATGTGCTCTTGTGGAGAGTCGTTTAGAAAAACATATTCTTCATTGTGACCACTTTGACGATTATCAAAAAAATCCAGAGGAAGTTTTACATCTCGTAGTTAAAGCAAAACACAGCAAGTATTTAAATAAGATTTGTATGGAATACATTGAAGCAGCAAACCATTTAATCAGCCTTGAATTCGTTGGTTACCAAAATGTGCAAGCGCATTTAGAAGATCTCTTAGAAAAGAAGATACAACTGAGGATTTTGGGACTCGAAAAATCTGGCATACATGCATTTCGATTAAACGTACTGGATAATACGCCGAATCTTTATAAACTGAAATTGAGCAATAATAGCAAGTTGTACCGATTAATTGGATCAACAACTGCAGAGGTGCAGAAATTAAGTGCCAGAAATACAGCATTCACGAATAAAAGTATTAAGTTGGGAGAATACAAGATGGAAATGTTGAAAAACGTAGATTTCAGTGGGAGTAACGTGAATTGCATGGAGTTGAATGACTCACAACAGAATAAGCAATTTGAGGTGAAGCAATTGCCAAACCTAAAACGATGCAAAGGAAAATCCCAAACTAATAACTGATAGTATTGCAGTAATTTTTAAAGATTATTAATTTATTAAACTATTTTGCTTGTGATTTGTTTTATTTGGTTATCCTTACTTGGGCCTCTTATCTATGATAATAATAGATAATGAGTAATACATTTTTCATACTAATTTCACACAGTTTCTACCATTGGTTGATACTGAGCTGATTTTTTCTCATCTTTCTCACGGTTTGAAAGTAATTTCCGTTTCCAAATAACAACAATACCAATTATTATAATTGCGATCCCAAGAGAGCCTGCAATACCAATAATCATCGAACTGTTTAAATTCCCTTCACTGGTATTGTCGCCATCATTTGATAGAGTAGTGGAAGATGTCAGTGCTCTATTGGTGACCGTGCTTGGAAGGATTGTTGTAGTTGTAGTCGTTTTCTCAATCAAGTTTCCATTACATATCTTCGCGTCCGGAAACCAGTCCAAAATTAACGCGTTACAATCAATGCCACTGTTGTTGAAGTTGAGATTTATCAGCGTAGGACAATAAACATCCAATGTTTTTAACATTGGCGCATTCTGCACACTCAACTCTTTCACTGGCGCTTTGATGGTACCATGGATTCTGGTCAAACGTACGCTATCATCCAGGCTGAGTTTTTCCAAATTAGGCGAGGCATCTAAGTCAGACAGGTCAAATGTATTTATATCCACATTTTGAAGAGTCAATTTCCTCAGTTTGTTCTTGTCGATCAGAAGTCTACGTAAATAAGCTTGCGAGTTCTGGTATCCAATAATCTTCAACGTATGGACGTTTTTGGCCTTTGTAATGTAGTCTACGCATTGTTCGTTCAAAAACTTGGTTTGGTCAGCGGCGATGGTCAATTCGGTGAGGTTTTCCGGTGGTGGTAAATTGTCAGGTTCCATATGATCACAGCTTAACTTGAAACCCATTGATGGAAAGACTACAGATAAAGTAATCACTCTTTGGAAAACGTTGCTCAATTCTTTGATTTCCATTTTGTTGAACTCTGTTTATGGTCCAATTTATAATGAAACACACGGGGAATTTTAACTATTGCTGTATTAGCTTTTATATACTATACAAATAGTCTAGAATATTCTTAAAAAAATTATCTACATATGAAAATGATAAATAATACAATAGATTAATTATATTATTTTTAGAAATCTGATAATTGTTGCGAATTGACACTTTTTAAATGTTTTTTTTTATCGGAATAATTTATGAATTAATCATAAATTACTTTAACTTTATTAATTAAGATTGGAAAATTATTCCTTATTGAGTAAAGATATGGGTACGTACCAATGAGAGATCAAGAAAATTGATTATAAATCAAGAATAGCGCAGTTAAACAACGAAATATTATATATTGAAAATTTATAGTACTTTGATTAGATTAAATTAATCAAACCTTATTTTTAATCAGGTTTGCACAAATTTAAAATTTACTTTAAAAAATCAATTCTGACTGCAAAACAAGGTTTATTTAACAAACGAAATATTTTACAATCATGTTTTATAGAAAAGTTTTGGTTTTAATAGACCATATAAAAGTTTTCAAAAACTTTTCCATTTTTGCACAGGTAGATTCATATCTTCATTATTCAGGGATTCATTTTGGATTTAATCCTTCAGTATCCGGGGATTCATTGCGTTCCCTTTTATTTAATTTCCAGTACTTATTATAGACATAAATTGCTGCTACTAATACGGCAACAACAAAGCACAATGTAATGATTATGGCCGCAAACTTGCCATAATTAAAGCTAAATGGTGTGTGCCTATTGTCATCGGGTGCTTCTACAGATGTACGAGAAGTTTGTTGCGTAGTTGGAAAGCTTGTCGATGTGGTATAACGTTCGAATAGTTTTCCATTGCATCTTTCTAACTTTGGAAATAAGTCTGGATTTAAATCTTGGCATTGTATTCCGCTGTTATTTAAGTTGATTGAAGTAAGTGTAGAATTCGCAATCGGATCAAAAGTTATCAAATTTGGAGTATTTTGCAGGCTAATTTCACGAATTGGAGCATTGGTGAATCCAATAATTTTTTGTAAATTTAAATTATTATCCAAATTTAGTTCTTCCAAGGAAGGTGTATCATTGAAAACAGATACATTCAGTACTTTAATATCAGTTTGTTCAAATCTTGCTTTTCTTAGCATTGGTTTGTTTTTTAGAATAACTGAAAAATGTGCTTGTAAGCCATTAAAACCGTATATGTTGAGAATTGTCAGATTATGTGCCCCGGAAATGAAATCGATGCATTCCTGTTTTATAAATTCGATATCATCTTGGGGTATTACAGTCAAGTGCTTGAGTTTTTCGGGTGGGTGTGTCACAGATATTTCAGTTATATTCATGGAACCTCCACAGTGTAAAGTGTATTTAGTGTGTTGTGGTGGACACAAAACTAAATCACAGCAATTAACCAACAACACCATAAAGCATACCCATGCCCGGAATAAACGTTTTGCGTCCATTTTGAAACGTATGTTTTTTGGTCTATGCTATGTCACCGAAATCACCGCGATAAGTGGCTTCTTGGAATGCTGTAGAAAATAAAGATGTTAAATGATATTAGTTCAACTGCACATAAAATTTGCCAAGTAAATATTCAATTATATTAGCTAATAAATTGCACAATATTTCGTAATTGCGTAAAGGGGTGCATTAGCAAAAGGTATTCTTCTCATTAAACTTTTTTTTACGAGTATTGAGGTGTACAAGGAGGCCCGTGTTTGTTATTCGTATTGTCATTCGTCTAATGGCGGTACACTAATGTTTGCGTATGACTATAATTATTAATACAATATGACGTCGTAAGTTTTTGGAACAATTTTACCTTGTCTTTTTGAGCTGGTAAACACATGGAAGTAAAATGTGCGAAGCACGTCGGTGCGGCTTGATAATTACGTCGCAAATGAAGAAAAGTTATTTGGGAAGAAGCTGCCGACACGCTACCCGACGATTGTGAAATCGTATGATGGGTCCCTATCACTGTTATCTCAAGGAAAAAAGGTGTGTCACGATATCAACTCAGATAAAATTACAGGTTTGCGAAAAGTTTGAATTAAAACAAAATTGCTTTTTCATAGTTGAACACATTACAAACATTAAATATAATAGTAGCATTATTTTAACTTAAGAGTACTAGAATTACACTTTGAAAAGTTGTGATAAGTGAACGTAAATTTGAAAAGTTTGAATGTATAAAATGACGCTAGATGGCGCGCATTTGAAAAGTGTATAGGTAGAATATCAATGACTTCTGTTTTATGTACATGGTTGTTATGGATAACCGGAAATGTTCTTGTCATAATACAATCTTGCCGTATTTTGCCGATTGTATGTAAGTGTTGGTTATTGTATTTTCATAATCTTTTATTATCAAAATGGATCCAATTCTATTGCAAAAGCAATTACGTGATAACAGTGCCGATTTGCAAGATTATTATAAAGACATTCAGTCCTGGGGAGAAGAAATGAAGCGCAAAGAGGCGTTACTCAATACTGCTGAGACGTCTGATGTAAATAAGCATATTTATTGGTAACAGTTACAGCATTTGATGAATCAATATTTACCTATAGGTCCCTCTTCCCCGCAATAAAATACCCAAAAAAGAGAAATCAGTAACACCTAAGAAGGTAGAGGTTGCCCAGACAGCTGCAGCATCTTCCAAAGTCCCAAAAGATTTTACATATTGGGAGAAATTTGATGTAGATGCAGAATGTGAAAGAATTGATAAATCAAAGTCTGATGATGACTCAGATCTCACTGATGAATATGATGAGGCAGCTATTGAAACAGCCCAGGAGGAAAAGGAAAAAGGAAATAAATATGTCAAAGCTGGACTTTATACGGAAGCCTTAAAATGCTACACTCAAGCTATAGCAAGCTTTAATTATGATGCTACATTTTATGCCAATAGAGCTCTTTGTCACTTAAAATTAGAGCAATTTAAGAGTGCTGAGGCAGATTGCACCATTGCAATTCAGCTAGATGATAAGTACATAAAAGCCATGCATAGAAGAGCAGTTGCAAGGGAAGCATTGAAACAGTATAAGGAAGCAAAAGCTGATTTAGATAAGGTGCTCTGCCTTGAGCCAGAAAACAAAGAATCCCAGAAACTACTTGATAAAATAGAAAAGATTCTTAAACCTCCTGTAAAAACTACTGATTCAGTTAAAGAAAAATCATAATCCAACAAATGTACAACGCCCCGTTTCGAAATTCACCGCATCCAGACAAAATAAACCAGTTGCATCTACGAGTGCAACTCTATTAGATGAAGATATTGGACCAGCATTCAAAGAATTAGTTGTTGAACGTAAACGGCCTGAAAGCACAAAACAAAACATAGAAAAATGCAAAACCGAGAAAGATGCAACTAAAAATATAAATAATCCTAGCTCATCAAATACTTCAGATTGTAATGTATTTTGGCCATCGGGTACTGGCAGTGATATTGAAATAGTTAAATCATTCACAAAGTCACCGAAAACACGATCGAGAGTTCCTCTACGTCGCGTTGAAGTAACTGAATCTACTTTGAAGTTTTCTACTAAGGGGGCTTGATTTATTAAGAGGTAGAAAGAATATTGCACTGTGTTATTAAAAGTTAACTTGGAATTAACTTTGATTTTCTTCTAATTAATTTTTAGTAAAGAATCACGAAAGAAAATATGGGTTTTCAAGTTATGTGACAAAAGAAATTAAAATATTACCTATTTGTATTATAAAATATCTTATCTTACAATTTGTGTGTAAAATAATTGGGAAACCGGACGTAATTCGTGTAATTTTTCACCATATGCCAACATTTGATAGCTACTTTATATTCTTCATACATTTTGAAGTTAGTTGTACGCTTTACAATGTTTATTTAGTACGATTTATTTTTTAAATATTTACACCGATTTTTAAAAATAATTCTGTTTTACATAAAGTAAAAAGTACAGAATAGAGGCGCAAGCAGGCCAAATCCATTCTAATTTTTCTATATTTTAATTTACTGAAAATGACTGGAATTTAGACACAACAATCGATTATTTTGATTTAAAAAAGTGATAATCTAGTTTTTTAGTTTATAAGTACAGAGAATATGCGACAAAAACAATATTCCATATTCTTAATATACGTTATGCAGGGTGTTTCTTAAATTACAACAAATTACTGGACATATTTTTAGTTCACAAAGTATGTACATAGCGTTAAAGTGCAAACTGCAGTTGCACAGCGATTGTCTCGTTAACACCGATTTTCCTGACTTCTACGGTGCAAACGGTAGCCTAATGAACCTATGTAAGTCATAGTGAAGTCAAGTTATATGTAGTGAATGTAGGTAGGTACACACAGGTGATCAAACGCGATTGTTGGTTATCCATACAACTTGTAAGTCTTCAGCTGCCGACGCTGTCGACGTAGAACACTGAACGAACGCAAAAGACTCGAATACGTAGCATTTAGTGAAACTATGTGAGGACGTGGGACGAATAAACTGCCTAATTACGGTGAAACCAATATTGAAACGTAAGTTTTTTCCATATTTGCGTAAACAAGAATGGCTCTGCACTTTTCCTCAATGGCAGTGACCTTTCACGTTCACCAAAATCGTAAACAATTTATTTTTATGCACAAAGCATCTCACATCAGTACAGAGTATACAGCGTTCGCTTCTCCTTCGCTACAACGATTTTCATCACGTTGCAGGCTAGTTGATACCAGTATTAACAATAAAAATGAGTCTCAGTGTGGATAATCAAATGAGCTACATGCTGCAGTGGTTCCACGAATGGAGTGAACTCCAAAGATCTGATTTTCTTCCCATTGTGGTGGAAAACTATGGAAATAAGGCACATGTGAATGGAATTGTGAACAACATTGCCAATGTTAATTTTCAGGACAAACCAATGTCACTCTTTCAATGCAGAGTAAGTAATGTTAATGAATAGAACAAATTACATTAACTGCAATCATTTTAGGTGAAATTGTTTAAAGAATGGATTCCACAATGGGATGGTGACAACAAGGCTGATTTCTTGAGAAGGATTGGTGAGATTGATCCAGGTTTTGGTGACAAAGTGCACGCTGAGATGCAGAACGGTGTTCCGCACTCAGAAACAAACGGGATCGCAAGTGAAGAGATTCTTGAAGACTAAACTGACGTAACATTATCTGTTTTTGATTAAGCTGATATATATCATTTTTATTTTTTATACATTACTTTAAAACTGCTATTGATATTAAGTTTTTAACGCATTTGGATATTCTGATGTTTGTCACTGAATGTGGTATTAAATTGTGATAAAATTCCATCACATTCAGTCTTTCGAATGGCTATGAACTTGCAGCAGCCTCTGGCATAGCTTTTTAATGTCTTGTTTATTAATCAATTCGGCTTCGCGAAGAATCCGACGAATGTCACCGAATCGATTATATTTAGCTGCTAAAAGATACGCGCTCTTCAACTGACGTGTCTCAATATAAATGGATATTTTCGTCGCGCGGTCCGTGATGAGTTTGATCAATGATTCGAGTTGCGAGGTTGGTACATCGTTGCGATTAAGCGTGCGCACAGCCAATGTCAACATCTCGTCGCAGATACTGGTAACAGCCGGGTCGTTTAAGCCTTTACTGCGTATACAGTTGACCAATTCAGCAATTTCATTGTAGCGATCTTCACGCGCCAATTGTCGACCTGCGTCGCAATACACCTTCAGAGTTTTTAACTTGTAATCTTGTATAATGCTATAGGCCAGGTCATAACCATCCTGGACCTTTTCCCCGCTGATGATCAAGAGTACAGCTAACTGTACTTTCTCACTATTAGAGTCAAAAAGTGTAGGTAGTTGTTTTGGATGTGGACGTTGTGGAAGTAATTGCATCAATTGTAAATCACTCTTTTCTTGTTGAGCTAAAAACTTTGTCAATTGACTCTGGCGCTTTATCGTGTGAATGTGTTGTTCGATTGTTCTCGAATCCATCTTCATCACTAGCGAAGGATTTGAAAGAGCTGGTTTTTCTTCGTAACTATTGTCACTGATATTCTTAACAACCGCGTTTACTTCGACCCATTGTTGTTGTTCAAGTTCCTGTAGGAAATGCGCCTCTGCCTTGTCGAGGAAATGAATATTTGACGACAATTCTTGATAAGAAGTTGCATTGTCCTTATAGAATCGTATGCAGGTCATTGCGGCGCGGACATAATCAACCATGTATTGCTGCAGTTGATATAAAGAGTTTAACAATCCTTGCTTTTCAAGATGCCTGCAGATTCCTTTGAGATAGTCTTTCCAAATCTCCAGCGTAGAATCAATCCGTGACATGGCTTTTTGTAGTTGATTTACTTTCCCGTCTTTTAGACAGATAATGTATACTTCGATAAAAATATCAACCGCAACTTTGTTATCATACATGTATATCAAACTTTGCGTGATATTATTATGCTTTAAATAAAACTGCAGTAATCCTAGATGACTGCCGTACTTATTTAAATAATATAAGCACTCTTGGAAATAAACAGGATCAAGATTACAGCCTTTGAAATCTGTTTTAGATTCTAGGTTGCCATTTGCAATAGATTTTAAATTACGTAGTTTGGCTTTAATCAAAATGGCGCTTGCATTGTTCTTGTCGGTGGTTTTTCGAGGAGAAGTTTGTGATGTAAAACTAATCGTTCTACTTTCAAGAATCTCAATAATCTGCTCCAAAATAGCTGGATTTTTGAGTGGTTTATTATCTGTTGTACTAGAACGTGAGAATTTCGATCGGAAACCAGCGCCATCAATGAGATCATCATCTACAACGCTAACGCTTAGAGAATCATAATGACCGGATTTATCAAAACAACGCTGGAACTTCTCGCGGGCCATTTGTAAACATCCGGCTTTCAAGCAGCTCTTTCCCCAGGCGGCAAAGACGCCCGCATTTTCTAAGCCAGCTTTTGTTGATACGTCCAACGCGAAAGACCACTGTTCTTGCATTAATAGTTTATCGCGTAATTTTCGTAAAATTATACCGTCTACATACGGTGCACCGGAAGATGATGGCGGGAGTAGATTTAAACAACCGCGTTCAGCTAGCAAAGCAAATAAATCAGCTTGGGATAGTATACGATCAGCTTGTGAAGAGCCCCATGGTAGTTGGCACTCGGATGATATCATTTTTGCTGCTATCGCCAATGACCTAAACATTAAAACATAAATATTAACGAAATTCGTGATTATTTTCACAAAATTAATCAATTACTTTAACATTTTTATCACTAGAATGTAGTCAACTTCTTGGGGAGCGTTCTGTGCAGGAGGTTGCAGTAGTTTCAACATGACATCACATTGATCCAATAGAAACCTAAATAAAATCATTTTCAGTAAATATAAACAAAATTCTAATCTATTAAGTATATTAATACGTACTTTGGATAAGAATGTGTTTTTGTATGATATTTCATAATCGCTAGACATAATGAAACACTTGGAGCATGTTCGTATGAAAATTCTTGTCTAACAATCGAATTGTGTTCAGAACTATCCGATAGGAACCAATAATCACAGACGACTGACTTGTTTGATGTGCTATCACTTTTCGCGTCTGTTTTAGATTGATCATAACAATCCACACAGACGCGAACTAAAATATCTCCGTATGTAGGCACCTTTAAACATAAAACATTTATTAAAATATGAGCATTATACATTAATAACTAACGTACTTGCATGCGTTTTGTTGAACAGTTGAAGCAAATCACACGTCCGCAACGTCGGCAGTGATGTCTCCTGTTAAACATAGAAAACACCGTGTTCTGGCAACACATACACTCCAACACTTGATCATTCGGAATCCATTCAGATTTACTCGGCACATTCTGCGGCATTTCAAAGTATTTTCTATCCGGTCCGTAGATGGAATCCAAACTCTCCATAAGTTTATTATCGGATCCTTTCAGGAGACTTGGATGCGGCGCGAGAATGATTCGAATATCCAAACTTTTCTCAGCGTATTTTCTGAGCAACTCATCGATTGCTTCTAAAGATATGACATTGTCATTAAACTCGCAGTTTTCTAAATCACCACGGATGTCTTCCAAGATAGCGCCGAGTTTATCCAACTTTGTGTTCATAATTAACATTTCTATCAATGACAACGGACTGTTAATTAAACACCATAGTAATTCTCGTTCATGAAGTTGAAAGTTTCGTAATATCTTTGAACTTACATGGACATTCTTCAAAAAGTTTTCATCATCATACCCTTGTTCCTTTAGATATTCAATAATAAACTCCAGTTGGTTTAAATTTCGGACTGTTTCTACTAATTCCAAACACATAGCTATTGGATTTTCTAATTTTGATAAAAGTTCTTGAATGCTGATTAAATTTTCACTACAATTGAACAAGGCAGCCATGTAATGCGTTGGAATATTTAGCAGAAGATTCTTTGCATCGTAAAACTTATCGAAACTTAATAATAAATTAGTTTTCGGTGTTGTTAGCAGTTTTTCATAAACTTCTTGTGGTGACACCAAGCATAAATTGTGAACGGCATACCACGAATCATATTTGAATCGTAGTCGAACATCTTCACAAAATTGAATCTTTTCCGACCATTTTATCAGTTCAAGATCAACCTCCATCTTTAATAAAGACACACAGAATTCTCCAGGCCATGTCATAAAGTTTTCCAGGATTACTTTCCCTCGTAGATCATCACTCTTAATATATTTTACATATTTATAACTTTCATCATCGTAGGTATCAGTAATCAAGTTCATCAATATCGTGTCTCGCAAGTTGTAAGTTTCCTGTGAGAATTTACACTCTGGTATACTATTAATAATCAACAACATATTCATCCAAGTACTTCTTAAATGTCCTTCTGATATTTCTTCAGCTGGTTCCACTGCTGGTTCATCTGAAGTTTCTTCATCCAACATATGTTTATTTACAAAATTCACACATCTTTCATAATAATCCTGATGTAAAGCCGTGACAATTTTATTATTACTGAATAGTCTTTTTAAATGATCAATTTCCACGGTATTAGTAAACTGAGTGAAATATTTTGTACGTGTTTCATTGACTTCCATTTGTTCAAAGTTGAAAATTTCATTTATAATGAATGCTAATAACCAGTTACGTTTCGCGATGTAAGAAAAAACAACTTTAGTAGGTTCCTGATACTCATACAGTCTATCAACACATGCGTGTCGGTCTATCAATCGTATTTGTGGGAAGCAATTCGTTGCTGTGGTGTATAAAAGATCAATTTTGAGTTTTCCAAACAGATGTTCAAAGTCCCTTGGATCCATCTTGCGTTCAAACAATAATTTTCTCATCCAATCAGAACGACACCGTCGCAATTGATCAAAATAAGAAACAAAATTTCCCCGAGTTATTAAATCGGAATTACTGCCTTCAGTATTAAATATTCTCAGGAAAAGTTTGAGATAATTAAACACGCGGTGAAAATAACTCGTTTGATTCACTTCTTTTATCCCTGCGAGTTGTTTTAAGTCAGAATATGTTTTGTAGATTAAATGTAGCTGTGCATCGTTTCCATCAGTAGAGGTATTGCTTAAATAATTATTAAATGAAGCAAGCGTGTGTTTGACTTCATGGTAAAACTGTAATTTAGTTCGGTATGCTTCTAAGTCGAGATCGTAGGATGCGCTTGTGAGTATTTCCTGTATATTTCCGTTTTGTATACTGTTTAATAATACTGTCACTTTATTGTGGAACTTGTGTGAGAATTGTATGCAATCTAAAACTTCTTTGGTATCGTCGTGGCTCATAGCAGCAATGAATGCAACATCGGTTGAATCATGCAGTGTTTCACTGTCATTCTTTAGAAAATCATCTAATATTCGCTTTGGGTGTTTGTCGAAACAAGATGGCGGCGAATTTATATTCGGCATTTGTTTTTGAAGCTGTTGGAGTTTGAAAGCTTGTTGGAGTAGAGAGCGGAGATCATTCAGTTTTTCCGTGTATACTATTTCTTTGGCAAGCGGTGTTTCTTCTAAATTAAAAATCTGAAAGAAATGATATAGAAATGTCAGTTTTTGCAGTCAAAATGATTACATTTATTAAAATGATAAATATTTTGATATATTTTGCGCAAATTAAGTTGATTTGTGGTCTTTGGCCACCAGAATATGTAATTCACTTGGATGTAACTGAAACATTTATAATTTCCGACATGTTTGATTCGGATGATGCTGAAGATTTCAGTGAGGAAGATATGAACCTAATAAAAAGGTCACAGGTGAAGCATATTATAAAACCAGGCGATGAAAAGAAGAATTTCATGTTACGAGAATTTGCTGAGAGGAAAAATCGAGAGGCTTTTGAGAAAGAATTGAAAACAACCACTTTTAAAGATTTTTACTTAACAAAAACAGATGAATATTTATATGATTTTAATGATGAACCTGTTAATGCAGAATTTGTAGACGTAGTAGATGAATCAGAACAAGTAAGATAAAACTAAAACATAACTGTATTCAATGTAACCTTAATTTTGTTCTATTATTAAGGATAACATTAAAAAACGCTTTAACAAGTCTAGGAACAAAAATGGCACCGGTTTAAAACGCGATGATTACAACTACGAGGCTTTAAAACAAGAATACGATGAAAAAGCGATAAAAGACGCAAAATCTAGCAATGTATTAAAATACGTCGAAGTCACAGAAAAAGAAGGATTAAAAGATTCGGCAAAAAACATCCTATCATTCAAACAAAGAAAAAACTGCACCGCTGAAGAAAGAAAAGGTATCGGATTTAATGCAATCCGATGTTTTTTCAAAGACATACCGAAAATGGCAAAGAAACCAAAAAGCGAACAGAAAAAACTCTTGTCACGTTTGTTAAAACTCGTATTAATATGGTTGGGAGTTTATGTAATCATCGCCGTGCCATGTTGGTGCACCCGCGGCTGGTGCTGCTGTTGTTGCAGGTGCAAATTCTGCAAACCGCGAAAGACAATCGAAGCAGCTAAACAATTCTTAGCAGAGAACCCGGTCGGTGTTTTACATATTGATGGAAAAGAAGTGAAGTATACTCCTACTGTATACGAACATTATGCACAACAGAGACTTGAAAAAGTCGTAATGAAGTTGTAATATTAAGATTTTTGCTGGAATTCCATAATCACTGATTTAACATAAAGAAAAACATATTTTTATATATTTCACAAACTTTTATTGTAATACTTCATCATATTTCGTAATAGTTTGTGACATTCATAAAAGTTGTCTTTTATTTTATGTTAAATCAGTTGTAACATTAAAATATCATAAATTTATTACCTGTATCACTTGATGCGCTTTATCAAATCGTCCTTTCTTCAAACTTGTTTGAATCAACGTCTCAGAGTCAGATAACATGTGACTCATATCAAACGCGTCCAAATCATCCAACATTTCCAATCGCCACAGCGCTTCCTTCACATGACGATTTAATTCTTGTAAATTATTCGCTTCGTTTGATCGCATTGGTATTTTCGACTTCAAGTCATCAATACAAGGCCGAAGAAAGTATAATAATAGCCTCAATTCTTTATCAGCGCAAACAAAAGTGTCTGCGTCATTATTTTGGAGATTTTCATGAAGATGTTTCCATTTTAAGAAACACATCGTAAAGATATCCTCTAAAATCTGCAGATTTAACTTTGGATTCAAATTTTCTAATGCGTCCCTAGCATCGTTCACATACTGCGATATATTTTCTGTTGTTAAATTTCCTATACACTTAATAATATTCGCTAGAATCACGAAAGAAGTGAATTCATCCACATCTCTGACGCTGTATCAGATTCAATATTGCATTCAAATCTTAATTCTTCTTCTTTCAGTTTTTCTTGCACGTCATTCCATATCGTAGATTCATTTAATGGCAAAAGCTCCGAAAACAACTTGAGTAATTTATTTTGGTTCACAGCGTGGAACAATTGCGTGTCAGTTAAATTTAAATCACTTGCAATCGCTTTTTGTTTACAATATAAAAAGATATTTAAAATATACTTAATTTGAGTCACGTATGACGCGATAAATTCATCGTCCACTTTCTTTGTTTCAATAAACTCTAATAGATTCTGAACAGTTTCAATGGTTATCACATGTTGATTCGTCAGTTTAATTAGTTGGAAGATTTTAATCTCGTTTTGTAGACTTGGTTCGAAAGATTTCAGCAATGCGCGTGATGTGACGTCGTTAGAATGCAACAATTCTTCGAACCAGTGTTTCCGCCGATAGTAACAATGCGTAAACAAAGAAATTCCATCGTGTAAACTTAATGGTTGCTGTATTTCATACTCAACGATTTTTGATAAGAGTTTTGTGCAGGGATTTGCTAGCAGATTGAAAAATACGAGATCTTTGCGTAGGAGTCCATCGTCGAATAATTTGTATAATTTTGGAAGCACTGTATCGTCAAACTCGTCATCACTTAGTTTTATTAACGCGAAATTTGTGTAGATATTGGGCAGCTGTTGTTCCCGATAGTTTGTTATTAATTCCAGTAGTTTATTCATGATGCACTGAGGGAAAGACACGAATTGCGCGTTGATAGAACTATAAATGTTCGATTGTTGGACTCATTGCACTGACATTACTCGTCTGCATTCTGGGACGCAAATAAAGAAAGCGAAATTGAAGGCGTAATACGGAAACGTTTGGATTGGAATATCTTATCGACGAGACAAACATGGCTAATGTTTACAAACCAACTGACAAGCGATGCAGTCATACTTTAATCATAATTTTACAATTAGTGGATCAGCTGATTGTCATGTGGGCACCGGCTATGCAACCCAGTTTACACCTGTTATCATTTTAAATTCAAAAAGGTCATAAAAATAATAACACCCCTTATATTCAAGCAAATAGAAACAAAATGATTTTAATATTAAATAGATGATATTGTAAAACACAATAACAGAAAACAATATTAATCCTTTCAAAATCATAAAACACAATTATTGGATTATTTATATAAAAAAACAATATTTTTATTGTTTTATCTTATTATACAAATGTTTAACTGTATTTATTGTACCATTGTTGTAGTACTTTTGCTATAAATGCACCTGGTTTATTCATATCGCAATTTAATGAATGTATTATTCTCTTGAAAGAATGCAGTTTATTGTATTAATTACTATACTACATTTTGCATTTGCTGATAATGTGAATTCACCTTCAGTTATTATTATCGGTGCTGGCCCATCAGGTCTAGCAGCAGGTCGGAAATTATACGAAAATGGTTTTGCTGTGACAATTCTTGAAGCTGAAAACCGCATCGGAGGACGTGTTCACAGCGTGAAATTTGGCGACGCTTACGTTGACCTAGGCGCTGAATGGTGTCACGGTGAAGAAGATAATATTGTTTATCAAATGGTCAGACCTTTAGGAATATTACGACATTCTAATTATGATTATCATTTGATTTTTTCTGATCGGAATAATGTGGATGAATCATTCGATAATGAATTGGATGAATTGTATGATTCTACATACACAGCTGATGGTAACCGTAATCAATCAATTGATACTACTGTTGGTGAATATTGTATACGAATGTTAGTTAAGAAATATTTTAAAACATCGTTTTCCGAAACCAATTAAATTGCATCCATTTACTTATAGATTTAATTCAACGATTCGTGAAAAATGGGGTGACGATAAAGATAAATTCCGTACTGCTATGATGTGTCTAGAAACTTTTCATAGATATGCACTTAGCGATGAAGGATCTTTCTCTTGGTTGGACGTACCCGCTACAAATGATTACAGAAACTGTGAGGGTGATCTTGAGCAGAATTGGAACGGACGTGGCTATAAAACTATTTTGGAAATACTTCTCAAACGCTTTCCAACTGCTGACAAATCATTTCGATTAGATAAACGCATCAAGGTGAATACGGAAGTTGTTGAAGTAATCTATGAGGAAGATTTTTCTGTTGCGCTGTGTGCGGATGGCTCTGGATATGTTGCGGATCATATTATATTTACTCCGTCATTAGGAGTACTTAAACATCAATATAAAACGTTGTTCAGACCTCCGTTGAGTCCTAGGAAAGCGCAGGTCATTGAAGAATTAGGTATTTCGGCTGTTATTAAGGTAATGCTTCATTTCCCATGGCGATGGTGGCCGAAAGGAGATTTTACAGGGTGGACTTTTGTTTGGACTTATGAGGATAAAGAAATGTTACCAATTGAGTTTCCGTATGGACCAATTAGAGTAAGTTATTAAAAATTGTTTTTGGAAAGGAAAAAAAATTAATTTTTCATTTTTAAAGCATGATCAACATTGGTTACGTAATATAATGAGTATTTATCGCCTAGAACAAAATCCTCAAGCACTCAGTGTGTGGTTCACAGGCGAATTTGTTCCTGATTTAGAATTATTAGATGAACATATTTTAATTGAAGGAATTCTGTTTATGTTGAACAAATTCTTCGGTGATTTGTATTTCATTCCGTATCCTGACAAAATGATAAGGTACATCTTTATTTTAAACATATTTTCACAATCAAAACAAATATTTTTTGATTACAGAGGTGATTGGTACTCAAATCCACATTTTCATGGAACTTATTCTTATCAAACTATAATAGCTCGTGAACATTTCCCTGAATCACCAAATCTAGTCCTAGCTGAACCTATACTAAACAAAAGAGGTATCCCACGATTACAATTTGCTGGAGAAGCAACACATCCTTATCATTATTCCACTGTTCATGGAGCAATCGAAACAGGTTTCCGAGAAGCAGATAGGTTAATCAAAATTTATAAATAAATAGATGTATATAATTTCATATTACATATTTATACAAATGATACAGTAGAAAATAATTAATTAATAGGAGCGGGAGTTTCTGCTTGATCCTCTCTGATGTCTAAATATACAATGGTGTTTGATGTTCGTTTTAATATCACAATGAATCTGAAAATAAATTAATTCATTTTATATTATTTATGTTTTTCATAAGGCAATATTAACTTACATAAATAACAAGAGATTAATGATGTGTAATGAGAAGGGAATTAAATCAAACGCGCCCGGAAATACGTTGATTGAATTCGTGTATATTATTGTATACATTGGTCCTGCTGTCATTGCAATTAGTGATTCTAATGATATACCAAAAGCAAAAATTTGTCCAATTTCTGCGTGTGGTATTATTTTTGATAGTAGAGACCGTACCATTGGACTTACGACAGCGGACATTATTCGTAAAGAAACAGCTGGAAATGAAATAGTAATTAGATTACTGTTGTAACAATAGAGAAACAAAATGTGTATAATTGGTTGCATTTTTTTAACGTTTTGCTTACCTACGTATATTTGCCAATCATATTCAGCAAACGCAACCATAAAAGTATTTACCGCGCAAAATAGTAATGCGGTAATAATCAGCGGTAATTCAGGCACACGTAAAACGGTGTGTAAAATAAATATCCCCAAAAATCCGCCGAAGATCGCTATAACCGAGCGAATTGTACTATAAGTTGTGAGTTTCTGTAGATCCCAATGAAATTTCGAACGTAATAGTAAACTCTCCGTTCCGCTATTGTTTTCAGCCATTACGTAGAATATTATGGAACAGATACAAACCAAAAGAATTAGACGATTGTAACCCTGACGTTTTTTAAATGTGGTGCGACTCATTTCTTTTAAATTGTGTAATGAGAAGAATTTACAATCCTAAAAAATAACGTAGATAATTTTGTAAGATATTTATATGATTTCTTTTCTTTACTTCATCTTGTCTTATTTCGACTGTTTCGTTGAGAAAACAAAATGTTATTAACAGAGCTAATATAGAGAGACTAGTACAAATTATGAACACTCCTGTATATCCAATCAGTGCAAATATTTTCGCACTTAAAAATGTTCCCGCCAACATTCCCAGACCCAGAATGCCTTCCATTATTCCCAATCTAAAAATATTATTAATTATGTTTAGATATGTACATAATTATTACTTTAAATTAAATGTGAATGAAATACCTTAAGCCTCTGTTTTGTGCATTTGTAATATCTATAAGATAGCAGAAGGAAATCATAATAAAAGTTGGCAAACCACCGCTTAAAAGAGTCGGAATACATTGCAAGAATAAAAACCAAGGGTTAAGATTAGGTATGGCAGCTACTGCCACTTTAATTACATTTGATAGTGCAAATCCTGCAATAAAAACATTTAAAAACATATCATCTATAATGCAAACAAGTAAAAAGCAGTATTATTGGTTGCATACGTTACCTGTTAAAGTTAATATTAATATTGGCCTTCGTCCTTTTTTATCTGACCACGCTCCAACAAAAATACACAAAATACACGGTATTATCAATGTGACTAGATCCATTGTCATATTTATATAGTTTGCAATCGGTTCAACCTCTTTTTCTAATTCATTCGTAGCGTTATCTGTCGTGTTGATGCCTAATTTCGCACAATCGGTTTCATTATAACTCATTATGACATAACATGTGCGATAAATTATGAAGTTCATATTTACCGGCGCTAAAATAAACAAAACAATTAAAAGAGTTTACATATAAATTTAAACAATAACTTACCACCCAACATCAGTGCGAAAAATATTAAAAACACAGGAAATTCAATTCCTAATTTTATATAACCCATGTTGATGTTTATTTCTTTTTGTTTTTCGTTTAAATCACTTTAAATTATCACAAAACTTAGAATAACGTTGACGGTAAACTTATATAATATCACAGTTTATTATTTATGATAAATTCACTTTTTATAGTTGTTTTTTACTTTAAAATTGATTTAAAGTCCAATTAAAGTCCAATTTAATCCATTTTATTATCAATCTGCAATAAAACACACAACATCACTACTCGATGCGACTGCAGTCGCCGGCTCTATCGTCTATGCTATTATATAGTCATTATCACAATCAAATACACAATTTTGCTCGTCCTCGGTTTTCCGATAGAGATAATATGCAGCAAAACACGGAAGTAAAATGATTACCAGCGACTGCGCGCGCTGTTTCAAAATGAAAACCGCGTATATTTTGTTACCGAATATATGCGCTCATGTAAATTACTATCAGTGATTGGTTGTGTTATCAGCTAGTACATTATGCTATATTATGAGCTGACACATTTCTATTGTGATTAAAATGTAATATTAATATTGATGTGCACAACATTCAGAATTCGTGTGCAATGCTGGCCAAGGACAAAGAATTAAAAATAGATTTTAACTTTATACAGTTGCACATTGCACAAAATTAAAATTATGGAGTAAAGTATTGAATATTGCGCATCTTGAGACATTAATTATATTATTTTTAAGATTTCCTTAACATACAGTATTTGAACGTCTAGAAAATTATTTTAAACATGAAATTGTTACGAAAAGCACGTGAATGTGAATGATTGATGACTACAAAGCTGAAAACTTCATAAATAATGACTAATATTAAAAGTTATGATAGTTAGCAACGTATATATTTGAAACACGTAAAATTAATACTAAAATTCCTCCAAATTAAAACTTTATGCACATTGTTTTATTAGGCAGTGGGAAATAAAATTTATTTGAATTTAATCTCCGTGTCGCGACACGTTTTATATGTTTTCCTTTGTAGCAGGTAATAATTAGTATCATATTACGTCAGTCATCGTGCAGCTGGCTTCGTTCATTCTCGTTCAAAGGTTTGTTCGGTATGTCAAAACAAATATCAGCTGAGCAGCAGCTGCTGCCACACAGAAGCAAGTCAACTTTGTTTTGCTTGTAATGACTCGCGTTTTTTGTTTACGAATGTGAAGTATGTATACGCACAAAGTATTTTAAACAAATCAACTGACTCACCTCTTATCAATACTATCACAATCGTAATCATACAAATTTGGGAATTTGGTACTATTTTTATCATTTATTATTAGCTCACAAGTGTAAAACTCCAGATGATTACCGAATTATCCAATGTGATGTTTAACAATTGTTTTGCTTCAAGAATTAACGTTGTTTACACCGTGTCTAACCATAAACTATTCTAATCCAGTGGAATCGAATAGAAAATAGATGCAACATTAAACCTCTCTGGCTATAAACTGTTGTTTCTCAAGGTTGGTTTTAATTATACGTACTTTGTGCACTGGACTCTCACACTGTTAAAACAATTTTCAACTTCGTTCTTGCGGTTTTTATGCGTTTTTGTAAAACACGTTTTTCTATAAAATTCGTTTTGTGTTTATAGACACTCACCTAGGTAACTAGAACGAGTACACTTGTATGGATTCATTTTCAGTGCATGTACCTCGATTGTCTCTTGACTGGATTACTGATTATCACATATTATTGAACACTGATAAAAAAATTAAACAAATACGGTAACAACGCATTGTAAATGGTTAAATGTTGGAAAAATAATAAATAGAATCGTGCAATACTGTTGAGAAGAGATTTTTTAAATGACTAAGTATATATCTTTGTGAATCTCCTAATTTAAAATTAAATCAACGCGTATTTGCGTATTTTGCGGCTTTGCCTGCTTGCGTATAATTTAAAAGGATAAAACATGCAACAAAGTACATTCACCGTAAGGTGCTGCCCCCTACTGTACATAAATGTATTGCACGTATTTGCAGTTTTTATGTCACGTTGCCTCTCGTGAAATGCGTTTATACAATTTATAATACAAAAATGTGTAATGCATATAAATTTGTAGATTGGTTTCTGCCTATGTGTATTCTGCACTATGCGTTTATCAGTGTTGACAAAACAAGTTTTTATTCCTTGCTTCACGCGCCGAGGCTGTGCGCTTCTCTTTATGGCGCATAGGGGGCGAATTCGGCTTACTTGGCACGCTGACACTCAGCGACTTAGCCACTTAGTGTAGTTCTGTTCGCCTGGCGCGTCGGTCTGTGTTGCTTCTAAATATTAATTTGCTACACCTGCATGTAACCGTGTATCGATGTTCACTGAAGGCTACTGAGGTTCCCCGCCGATTTTAATCCATCTTAAGGTAATGTAATTCTCAAACCTTTTAATATTATTTGTAAAATGTATAATGTTGAAACCAGAGTAAAATGTGCATTAATTTTTATATTTCGTCTTTATTTGCACTTATGCGCTGAAGTAACAATTCCTCGCGAGTCGGTAAACGCATTTTTTAGACTCTTATCAGTTTGGTTGTTTTGAAACGAATCTTGTTGCGTTCACTGAGAGCAACTTTGCACGACCTTGTAGTGTGCCGTCGCTTTGCATGGTTCATCCTTGTATCAATCTTCGGTTGCTGCAAATATCTCGTAAACTAAAGGACATAGGAAGGAACGAATCGCAGAGTTTTAATATACGGACAGATCTCTATCAAATAGGCTAGTTAAATAGTAAATCTAAGACAAAATATTTTAATTTATAAGAAAAAATGGGCAAGCGGGGGGTGCTTAATAATAAAAATTTCGATTAAAATCAAGTATTTTCGAGTATTTCAATGTCGTAGGGTAAAAGGTCGAAAAACGCGACTAAAAGTGTTAAAAAGTGTTATTTTTCAATTTTTGCCCATTTTATTCAATCGCGAATATCTCGTAAACTAAAAGAGATATTTAGAATCTGATCGCAGCGTCTTAATCTACGGACTATTCTGTATCAGATAGGATAGCTGAAACAGAAATCTGAGAGATGAAAGTTTAATTCTTAAGCAAAAAATTGCCAAGGGGGGGTGCTTGATTCTTTTTTTCGACGCTTTTCAATAATTAATATCTCTTAAACTAAAAGCGATAGCTACCAATAAATTGTTGATTATGAAAGATTAGAAAATTCTCTATCAGATAAAAATATAAAATAACTAAATTTCCAACATTAAAAGGCCGAAAAACGCGACTAAAAGTGCTAAAAAGTGACATTTTTAAATTTTTGCCCATTTTATTCAATTGCGAATATCTCGTAAACTAAAAGAGATATTTAGGATCTGATCGCAGCGTCTTAATCTACGGACTATTCTCTATCAGATAGGATAGTTAAAACAGAAATCTGAGAGATGAAATTTTAATTCTTAAGCAAAAAATTGCCAAGGGGGGGTGCTTGATTCTTTTTTTCGACGCTTTTCAATAATTAATATCTCTTAAACTAAAAGCGACAGCTACCAATAAATTGTTGATTATGAAAGATTAGAAAATTCTCTATCAGATAAAAATATAAAATAACTAAATTTCCAACATTAAAAGGCCGAAAAACGCGACTAAAAGTGCTAAAAAGTGACATTTTTCAATTTTTGCCCATTTTATTCAATCGCGAATATCTCGTAAACTAAAAGAGATATTTAGGATCTGATCGCAGCGTCTTAATCTACGGACTATTCTCTATCAGATAGGATAGTTAAAACAGAAATCTGAGAGATGAAATTTTAATTCTTAAGCAAAAAATTGCCAAGGGGGGGTGCTTGATTCTTTTTTTCGACGCTTTTCAATAATTAATATCTCTTAAACTAAAAGCGATAGCTACCAATAAATTGTTGATTATGAAAGATTAGAAAATTCTCTATCAGATAAAAATATAAAATAACTAAATTTCCAACATTAAAAGGCCGAAAAACGCGACTAAAAGTGCTAAAAAGTGACATTTTTCAATTTTTGCCCATTTTATTCAATCGCGAATATCTCGTAAACTAAAAGAGATATTTAGGATCTGATCGCAGCGTCTTAATCTACGGACTATTTTCTATAAGATAGGATAGTTAAAACCGAAATCTAAGAGATAAAATTTTTATTCTTAAGAAAAAATTGCCAAGGGGGTGCTTGATACTTTTTTTCGACGATTTTCAATAATTAATATCTCTTAAACTAAAAGCGATAGCTACCAATAAATTGTTGATTATGAAAGATTAGAAAATTCTCTATCAGATAAAAATATAAAATAACTAAATTTCCAACATTAAAAGGCCGAAAAACGCGACTAAAAGTGCTAAAAAGTGACATTTTTCAATTTTTGCCCATTTTATTCAATCGCGAATATCTCGTAAACTAAAAGAGATATTTAGGATCTGATCGCAGCGTCTTAATCTACGGACTATTCTCTATCAGATAGGATAGTTAAAACAGAAATCTGAGAGATGAAATTTTAATTCTTAAGCAAAAAATTGCCAAGGGGGGGTGCTTGATTCTTTTTTTCGACGCTTTTCAATAATTAATATCTCTTAAACTAAAAGCGATAGCTACCAATAAATTGTTGATTATGAAAGATTAGAAAATTCTCTATCAGATAAAAATATAAAATAACTAAATTTCCAACATTAAAAGGCCGAAAAACGCGACTAAAAGTGCTAAAAAGTGACATTTTTCAATTTTTGCCCATTTTATTCAATCGCGAATATCTCGTAAACTAAAAGAGATATTTAGGATCTGATCGCAGCGTCTTAATCTACGGACTATTCTCTATCAGATAGGATAGTTAAAACAGAAATCTGAGAGATGAAATTTTAATTCTTAAGCAAAAAATTGCCAAGGGGGGGTGCTTGATTCTTTTTTTCGACGCTTTTCAATAATTAATATCTCTTAAACTAAAAGCGATAGCTACCAATAAATTGTTGATTATGAAAGATTAGAAAATTCTCTATCAGATAAAAATATAAAATAACTAAATTTCCAACATTAAAAGGCCGAAAAACGCGACTAAAAGTGCTAAAAAGTGACATTTTTCAATTTTTGCCCATTTTATTCAATCGCGAATATCTCGTAAACTAAAAGAGATATTTAGGATCTGATCGCAGCGTCTTAATCTACGGACTATTCTCTACCAGATAGGATAGTTAAAACAGAAATCTGAGAGATGAAATTTTAATTCTTAAGCAAAAAATTGCCAAGGGGGGGGTGCTTGATTCTTTTTTTCGACGCTTTTCAATAATTAATATCTCTTAAACTAAAAGCGATAGCTACCAATAAATTGTTGATTATGAAAGATTAGAAAATTCTCTATCAGCTAAAAATATAAAATAACTAAATTTCCAACATTAAAAGGCCGAAAAACGCGACTAAAAGTGCTAAAAAGTGACATTTTTAAATTTTTGCCCATTTTATTCAATTGCGAATATCTCGTAAACTAAAAGAGATATTTAGGATCTGATCGCAGCGTCTTAATCTACGGACTATTCTCTATCAGATAGGATAGTTAAAACAGAAATCTGAGAGATGAAATTTTAATTCTTAAGCAAAAAATTGCCAAGGGGGGGTGCTTGATTCTTTTTTTCGACGCTTTTCAATAATTAATATCTCTTAAACTAAAAGCGATAGCTACCAATAAATTGTTGATTATGAAAGATTAGAAAATTCTCTATCAGATAAAACTATAAAATAACTATATTTCCAACAGTAAAAGGGGGAAAAACGCGACTAAAAGTGCAAAAAGTGACATTTTTCAATTTTTGCCCATTTTATTCAATCGCGAATATCTCGTAAACTAAAAGAGATATTTAGGATCTGATCGCAGCGTCTTAATCTACGGACTATTCTCTATCAGATAGGATAGTTAAAACAGAAATCTGAGAGTTGAAATTTTAATTCTTAAGCAAAAAATTGCCAAGGGGGGGTGCTTGATTCTTTTTTTCGACGCTTTTCAATAATTAATATCTCTTAAACTAAAAGCGATAGCTACCAATAAATTGTTGATTATGAAAGATTAGAAAATTCTCTATCAGATAAAAATATAAAATAACTAAATTTCCAACATTAAAAGGCCGAAAAACGCGACTAAAAGTGCTAAAAAGTGACATTTTTAAATTTTTGCCCATTTTATTCAATTGCGAATATCTCGTAAACTAAAAGAGATATTTAGGATCTGATCGCAGCGTCTTAATCTACGGACTATTCTCTATCAGATAGGATAGTTAAAACAGAAATCTGAGAGACGAAATTTTAATTTTTAAGAAAAAATTGCCAAGGGGGGGGGGGGGTGCTTGATACTTTCTTTGACGATTTTCAATAATTAATAACTCTTAAACTAAAAGCGGTAGCCACCAACGAATTGTTGATTATGAAAGACTGGAAAATTCTCTACTAGATTAGAATATAAAATAATTAAATATCGTATGGTAAAATGGCGGAAAATGTGACTGAAAGTACTAAAAATTAAATTTTCTTAAATTTTTATGATTTTTGGAGTGAAATCGTGACTAAAAAGAGACAAACATATTCGTTTATATGGTTTAGCCTGCGAGAGAATAAGAGAACACAAATATATATTTTTCTGCGTTCTTTTATTTGCGTTCGCTAGTTCTTGCCGCGTGTTGTGATAAAAATAAAACCTTCTTTTCTTACACTATCTCCATTAAATAATTTTTAATAATAATGTTACGCTTTACTAATGCTGGTTTTCACATCAGGTGGCTGCAGGAACAGTCCGTCACAGCTTCTTCCACTACTTGTATCTTAAGAGGTTTCAATTAAAAATTGATCAGTACTGGGGTCATGATTATTTTTAAGATTGTATACAACTTGCAATCGTAGGATTATTGGATTTTTTGCACATGGTGAGTGATGTAGTTTTATATATTCATGACATTATTTAAGTTTCATTTCTCTTATAATTAAATAATCGCATAATAATGATACTGTTTTACTGAAAATTTATTAATAGAATTTTAAAACTGTGATTTTTAGGTTTACGTATTTTTGCGTGTCCTGTCGAGAATCTGGAACCAGGATTACACATCCATAAGTTTTGCTATAAGGGGGGGCAAGGAGATTGAACAAGAAGTGAAGAATGAAGTTAGTATACCCCAACATTCCTGGGCGTATGAAGTCTGTATTAATGCTTTCAATTAAATTTGGTTCAAAAACAGCCCATGTGATGAGTTTCAAACTTAATATGTGTAACTTTGCATAGAAAACTGTAATACTCTAAAGTAGCAGTGCTGAAGTTGACGCACCCGAATATAGATGGCGACAGACTCATATTTTACGTTTGCTTTCAAGGTTTAAATTGTTGTCTAATTTTAAATATTAATTATTATAGACTCAAATCTTTATTTTTGTATGCTTTTACGTAATTTCTTTTTGTAATTTACATTCAAAATTTAACGGCTGCGCAAAGCATTTATTATAAATTTATTTGTGTGCGATAAATAACTCAATATTTATGCTATAAATGTTATGATGAATTTACATCAGCTGAGAAAAACTAATTGATTTTGCTGATTAGCAGACTATTCTTTGTAATTTTAAGTTTACTTGTAATTTAATTGTAGTAAAATTCAGCGCAAATCATATGTTTAATGTTTAATTGTTTAAAATACTTAACAAGATGTTTGCTTTCAATTGAATTGTTGTAAAATCCAGGAAAAATCTTGCATTTAAAGTGTTTTGGCATAAAACATTTGCGAATATTTTTTTAGACTGACGCTAAATTGTGCGCTAATCTTGTTTTCGTATTTATAATTTTTAACGACGAAAACTAGACAAGATATTTACTTCCTATTTAATTGGCTTAAAATGCTGCCAAATTCTTGTATCAAAAGTTTATTAGTGTCGGCCACTTGACAAGTTGTTTGCTTTCAATTTAATTGGCTGGAAATTGGATTGTTGCTACAGTTTGATTGTGTGAAACACTTGATTCCGCAAAATAACAGAACTCGCTTTGAAAAAGTTTTAAATGGATGTTTAGGGAGAAATAATACAAAAATAGAATAGAAATGATATTAATGCAAAATCAGGAAATAAGCAGAGCTACAAAATTTTAATTCGCCTACAAATGATTATTGTAATATTACTGTAATTGCTGTGTTAAATGTGAATGTTTGTAATGTTATTTTCTGTTTTAAACAGGCATGTTTCTTGTGTTAGTAGTGTAGAAACTTTGATATTTGTTTTAATAGATAGATATGTCAGATAAGTGTTTATGGTTGCTGTTTGTATAATTTGTAATTTATTAACAACACTTATAAATATATTTAATTAGTGAAATACTAAATATTTAATATATGTAATTAAATTTAATATTAGGAACATCTTGAATATGCGGTAATTATGTTAAAGAAAATATTTTGAAACTTAAATGTTTTATCATATGTTAAAGATTTGTGTACTAATATACATTTTGATGTTTAAATGGAAAATATGAACAATTATCATGAACAAGTGCACTTAAATTCCGTAAAATTTAAATGTTACTAGATATGAAGCAAACCCGACTAGAACAAATATCCGTGTATGTATGTAAACAATTTTTTGTCGAGTTCAGCGAGCGCATCCCACTGCGTATCGTGTTGCTGCGCATGCAGTTCGATTCCGGCCATCGAGTAAACCGCGTGTGCTCATAGCGACTAGTTTTATTTCCTTATATCATAATTAAGTAAATCGATTTGTATTCAATAAACAATCGACACCATATACCGGAATGATACCTGAACAGAGGTTTGCTAGTGTGATTGCAAGCGTAAAACGTTTTTCAGCCGTGGAGTAATTGTCAGTTCACCATTGCGTGTGTGGTTCCGTCGGGTGACGGATATATTCTTACAACTAAGAATAACTTGGATTTAGGATTAGTTCCTGCAAATAGACAACGTTAGTGTCCCAGGAAGAAGTTTGTGAGTGCAAGATCCATGCAGTTTACAATATGACGGGAGTGTTGGAGATGCGCGCATTTAAAAAATGAATATATTGTTAAATATAATTAATAAAACACAATTTAAAATTTCAATCGCATTCACATTTATTTGTGATATCCTCTTTATCGTTTCCAGGATAAGCGTCTTACATCATATTGCGTATGAATCTTGTGTGCGTGAAACGTGTGCATCATAGCTAAGGCTTGTGTTGTTGTTTTTAAAAAGTTGAATAAAGTAGAAACATAAATAGAAGAATCAAATATTAGTGATAAAAACACTCGGTGGTCGAGTGGAGACGTGCACCTGCTGGCATGCCAGCAGACGCGGATCGAATCTCAGGTATAGAGGGCATTTTTCTCAAATATAAAAATATCAGGTGTAATTTGGGTTGCATATATGAATGGCAACGAAATATAAGAGAAATAAATACAAGTGAAAGCGGCAATACGAGAAGTAAGAAAGTAAGTGGAGAAACGAGAACAGAGAAATAGAAGAAGGAGTGAGTAGTAAAGAATAGGAGAAGATAGAAGGAAGAAAACAGAGAGTAGAGAAGAGGAGGAGATAGAAGAAAGAGAACAGGGGAGGATCAGATTTTTAAATTTTTTGGCACGTGTCGTTATAAGACAGTCGACTGCTTCAGTCCATCCATTGCTCCCGGCCCATCCTACAGCTACGATGTCTCTGCGCTTCATCCCCGGAATTATCAGGCATATTAACAATTTTTATGGTGGGGGATCACCCCCAGAGAGAGGGAACTCCTTATAAGGACATCCTTTTAAGAACTTGTAAAAATATTTCTAATTTATAAGTCGCCTCAGGAGAGGTGACACTTAAAAATATTCTTACAAGTTCTGACCTGTAGCTGAAATGAAAGAAGGAGTACACAAATCATACAGGTTACCTTAACAATATTTATAGAGGGGATCATCCCCTGAGAGAGGGAAGTCTCTTAGAAACCTGTACCTGAAATGATAGAAGGGGTACATTCAAAGCATAAGACATACTATTCCTAAACATTTCTTTATTAATAAACACAATGTAATATAATACAAGATTAGTACCTTAACAATTTTTATAGTGGGATCAGCCTCTGAGAGAGGGAACTCTATTAGGGACATGTACCTGCAGTGATAGAAGGGGTACGCACAAATCAAAGATGTAAATATATCTTACTATTTATTTATTAACAATAGAATACAAGTTTATAGGGGAGGGTGGGGCAAAGTGGGCCCCAAAAGCGAAAAAAGGGAATTTGTTTACTTTTTTTTACTCGTTACACTATTTTTTACATCCTTGTTCAGTATTCAATATTAATAAGACGTGTCTATCAAAATAAAAAAAAAATCAGAATATGGGGCAAAGTGGGCCCCCACTCATAAAAATTAGGCTCTTACCTTTGTATCAATTTTTTGCTTATATTATTTTCTTTTTTTATTTCTTACTTCGAATTTGTTGTGGATAAGTTGTTCTTGCAACTTCATCTTATATATCAAAAATTTTAGAGGGCCCACTTTGACCCTCAATTTTTTAAGCCTCCTGAATTTCAGGGGGCCCACTTTGCCCCCAGGGGCCCACTTTGCCCCCCCTTCCCCTATTTTACAAGTCAACAGAATACGTGCCGCCATATTGATGCAGGACTTACGACCTGAATAGTCGCGCACATGGAAACAAGTACTACTTTGTAAAGTTCTACCTTGATGATGAAATTAACAAATGGCCTATTTTCTATGTGATTGAAAATGAAAACAAATATACAGGGTGTTACAAACAGAAAATTTACAACGCAAACCAAAAACTATCACTATCACTACAAACGTCGCTCCTTTTCTCTAGACGATCGGGGAAACTAATATACAGGGTGTTTCAGAAAGAAAATTCAAAGTGCAAAATGGAAAATCCTAAAAACAACAGTTGAAGCAAAATTTTCACGGACACAAAAGAAAACTAATATACAGGGTGTACCAGAAAGAAAATCCCAAGTTCAAAACAATGAACATTCAGAACTCACAAATAAAGACAATCTGCGGTTAGGAAAATTAATATACAGGGTTTTACAAAAAGAAAATTTTCGAAACTACAAAGGTAATCAATATTCACATCATGACACGGGAAATTTATATGGAAACAACATTATTTTAATATAAATTAAAAGATTTCACCCGAAAATGATCGGGAAATTAAGCAAAAAGGTGCTAGAAAAGAAAACAATTACATTTTAATATATTGTGAATATATACTTATTAATTAATTAAAACGACGGGTAAAACATCATCATAAATTGATAGAATAACCGGTGGAAAACATCTAAATCAACAGACGACAAGCGACGGCGCGTGGCATTACTGTCTTTAAATGCGATAAAAATACCTAGGCAATTCTTTGTAAATATTAAGATATACGGAGACTACAAAAACGAAGAACTATTCACCGTACAAGATTTTATTACGTCAACAAGAGACTTCTTAATTTAATGATGCTCGTTCACGTGTTCAGCGAAAGGATGACCGAGCCGACGGCCGACGGCAAACTGAGCGCGATCGACCACATGAATATTGTCATTTTAATAATCTACTGATTATTTTTAAAACCGTCATGGTAATAATTAAATCATGCATGTTATTTTCGGAAACGGGAGTAATAATTCTGATAGGAATGGAACCACGTGTTTGTAATTTGCAAGATAATACAAGCAAAATTAATATCCCTCAAATGGAATAATCAGTTTAAGTTACACCGCCTTAAGTTTCCGTGAAAAAAATTTATTACACACGTACCTTTGCATTGATGAGGAAATTCTATATCCTGTAATATATTCTACCAACTAAAAACTCGCGTAGGGATTGACAAACACTTATTTCTTAGTTAAGAAGATTCTAACCGCGACAAATCATTAAACAAAACAGCCGCACATGCCCGTCCCGAATATTTTGATGATGGCCGAAAGAATACACGTCGATTAATCCAATTAAAACCTCAAAACGCGTGGCGATTAGAGGGACACGACTGCGGACCACGCGGTGTAACGACTGCCGTGTGCGCTGCGCGTTGCTAGGTACAATGCAGGTACGTCGCGATAATACGCGTCAGTCGAACAAAAAAGTTGTTTATAACAAACGTAGTGGTAAACCCGTAGTTGAGAAGACCAAACTAAAATTTCACAATGTTGAAATAACCGACATACACTAGTACAAGTGTACAAGTACGAGTACACAAATGCGTAACACACAACTATCATTATAACTAGAGACCGACCGAAATTTCGGTTTCGGTTTCGGTTTCGGCCAGTTTCGGCCAAGAATTCGAGTTTCGGCTTCAGTTTCGGTTTCGGCCAAAAATGGCCGAAACTTTCGGCCGCACCGAAACTCACTTTTCGTGAATTGTCGTGCGTCGCTCGGCTAACTTCGCGGCTAATGGCGGTCGTTACTTGCCATCTTAGTTCGCTCATATTAATACTACATTAAGTATCAAGTGACTAAACGAGGACTTTACTCCCGAAATGGATTATGTATCTAAAAAACGTGGAAAAACTGGCGATGTGTAGGTAAAAGTAGAAAAATATGTTTATGTAAATTAGTTTCGGTTTCGGTTTCGGTTTCGGCCGAAACTGATTGCAGGGCCGAAATTTCGGTTTCGGTTTCGGTTTCGGCTAAAATTCACTTTCGGTCGGACTCTAATTATAACTCGCGTTACGGAATTTTCTCGCAATAGATTTTGATAGAGAGAAATAAAGAATTAAATTCCGCATCTGCGAAAATTATTCTAAACTAACTTTGAGACCGCGTTCGCGAGTTATAACCAGAAAACTACAATTCTTAGCGCAACAAGTACAAATGCGTATACACACAACTATCATTATAACTTGCGTTATGGAATTTTCTCGCAATAAATTTTGATACAGGGAAATAAAGAATTAAATTTTGCATCTCGAAAAATTATTCCGCACTAATTTTGAGACCGAGTTCGCAAGTTATAGCAAGAAAACTACAATTCCTAGCGCAACGAATACAAGTGCGTATACACACAACTATCATTATAACTTGCGTTGCGGAATTTTCTCGCAATAAATTTCGATACAGGGAAATAAAGACTTAAATTCCGCATCGGGAAAAATAATTCCGAACGAATTTTGGGACCGCGTTCGCGAGTTATAACAAGAAAACTACAATTCCTAACGCAACGTGTACTAGTGCGTATACACACAACTATTATTATAACTCGCGTTACGGAATTTTTCCGCAATAAATTTCGATACAGGGATATAAAGAATTAAATTCTGCATCTGGAAAAATTATTCCGCACTAATTTTGAGACCGCGTTCGCGAGTTATAGCAAGAAAACTACAATTCCTAGCGCAACGAGTAGAAGTGCGTATACACACAACTATCATTATAACTCGCGTTACGGAATTTTCCCGCAATAAATTTCGATACAGGGAAATAAAGAATTAAAATCTGCATCGGCAAAAATTATTCCGAACTAATTTCGAGACCGCGTTCGCGAGTTATAACAAGAAAACTACAATTCCTAGCGCAACGAGTAGAAGTGCTTATACACACAAGTATCAATATAACTCGCGTTATGGAATTTTCTCGCAATAAATTTCGATTCAGGGAGATACAAAATTAAATTCCGCATCTAAGAAAATAATTGCGACCTTACAGTAAGACCGCGTTTGCGTGTTATAATAAAAAAAACTACAATTCCTAACGCAACGCGTACAAGTGCGTATACACACAACTATTATTATAACTCGCGTTACGGAATTTTCCCGCAATAAATTTCAATACAGGGAAATAAAGAATTAAATTCTGCATCTAATAAAATTATTGCGACCTTACAGTAAGACCGCATTCGCGTGTTATAATAAAAAAAAACTACAATTCCTAGCGCAACGAGTACAAGTGCGTGTGCAAGTGTAGTTTAGCACTACACCTTGCAAAATAAAACTAAATAAATACCTCTTGGCTTGTCAAAATTTAATAGAAAATGAAATCGTTGAAGATGTTTTAGCTTTACCGGAAATTATCATTTTCTATCGAATCCTTCCGGAAGAAGCATGCAGTTCACAGCTGGTCCAAGATATCCGAAAGGTCTCGTTAAAGCGTTAAACCTAAAACCAATAATTTATAAGATAAGATAATAAAATTTGTAAAATAAGAAGGAAAATAATTAATAACAAAAAATATTGCTGCATCATGCTCTTTTTTATAAGATAAGACAAGAAAATAATTATAATTCAGAGTGTTATTCAGGGTTCAGAAATCTTAATCAAATTAATAATTTAATGAATGCACAAAACAAAACCACTAGGGATTCTTAGCCGACGGAAGATATCCCCCGACCGACGGGAAATACCTGCGTACTTTGCAATTCCGAATTCTACGCGCGATATCTCAATAACTTACGCCGCACTTGTCTGGTAAATCTAAATCATATCTTTGTTGACCGATTCTAATTCATCAACCGACTTAAAATCACAAAAAATGCGATAAGTCATCACGAAAACCGCCGCTCAAATAAATGCGTTCGCACCACGCCACAGCACACGATCGACTAAGTAAGAAATAGAACAGACACTGATGTGCGCTCCGGACGAGCAGCAACCCAATAAAAAAAAAACAAGTTGTTTGTACATAAACAGCGATAAGAGTCAAGAGTGAGAACTATGAACAATTCATGTTGTGGATGCAGTCCAATAATGTAATGAAATGATTTTATATTGTAGACGTTGAATCTTATTCGTATAAACAACATACGAAGGTAGCGATCGAAGTGACACCCATTTAGGGCACCGTATAAGGGTAGCGGTCAAAGTGACTTTATTCAGTGCACCGTAAGAGGGTTGAGGTAGAAGTGACTTTATTCAGGGTACCATGCGAGGGTAGCGGTAGAAGTGACTTTATTCAGGGCACCGTACGAGGGTAGCGGTAGAAGTGACTCCCATTCAGGGCACCGTACGATGTTGGCGGTAGAAGTGACATCCATTTAGGGCACCCTATAAGGGTAGCGGTAGAAGTGACTTTATTCAGTGCACCGTACGAGGGTTGAGGTAGAAGTGACTTTATTCAGAGTACCATGCCATGGTAGCGGTAGAAGGGACTTTATTCAGGACACCGAACGAGGACAGTGGTAGAAGTGACTTTTTTCAATTCAATTTTTTGTGTACTTTGTAAAGAAAATATTGAAATTCGAAATAATTCAGGGAAGATTGTGTGGTAAGGAGTCTATCATCATTTTATTTTTAATCATACAACGGACATCCCCGTATATTAATGTTAGTGAGAAACTGTGTAAGTTCATGCATTTCAAACATGCTCTCGTGCCACGAGCGCCGACTGTGGCGCAACATTTTAAATGAGGCGCGAACAAACTAGAGCCGGCAAATGACAGCAGTCAGTTCACTGTATGCCATCTGCTGCGCCCTCTACAATATACAAATGAATATGTACTGCATGCACAGTAAATACAATTCATTTGTATTTACATTGTCAAAATCCAGTAAACAAATTCATCTGCGTTTCAGGGCAAAGTCAAAGTAAAACGGAATTATTGGATTAAAATTATAAATATAAACATTTAGCAATGACTAAAGATACAGTTACAGAAATGGGCTCAGACATGGGATATCGAATTGACAAGGAAAATGATAAATATCCATTTTGCTTAGTATGGACCCCAATCCCAATGTTAACTTGGTTCATCCCCTTCATTGGACACATGGGCATTGCATTATCAAGCGGCGTTATTAGGGACTTTGCTGGACCCTACCATGTAAGTGAAGATAACTTTGCATTTGGCCGACCCACTAAATACCTAATGCTGGATCCTGACAAGAGCAAAAATGGTATTAGTGGCTGGGATGCAGGAGTGCAAGAAGCCTCAGGGATTTATCAGCAGAGAATGCACAATCTCTGTTGTGACAATTGTCATTCACATGTGGCAACTGCATTAAACCTAATGGAATATAATGACACACAGTGGAATATGATCAAAGTTTGGATTATGTTCACATGGAAATGTAGATATGTGAATTGCTGTGGGTTCATTAAGACTTGGCTACCATTTCTGATTATGTTCACTGTTATTTTTTTATTGTGTGTGGGGTTTTATTAATTTATTATTATTTATTAACTTCATGAATTATATTCCATTAAAAAGCATTCAACTGACACAGCTGAGGTCTGTTCAATATGTAGTTTGACCATTTGAGATTGTACTATACTGCATTTTGTTCTGCAGTTAGTTAACTGCATTCCTGTGAGAAAATGCATGAACTTACGAGCGTCTATTGTCGCTGATATGTATTCGTATTGCGTGTCATCCATCACAGTTGCCATACTTCCAACTAAATAAGAAATTATTTAGTTGAATTATTTAATATTTATATGACAATATTTACCATCAAAAGATTCAATCATCAAATCAGTAAAGTGTGCTGAGACTGTAACAGTATCAGATTTAACTTTTAATGTTAACCTTCCTGTTTTATTTGCCATCACAACCAAACTATTGTTAACATTCTTCATTCTATCAACAATCTTTTTGATTGATTTCAAGTTTGGTAGATGGATAGACACCTAATAATGTTACTGTTTTAAGTTTGTATGAATTTTAAGAATAACATACATACATGAAAATCAATAAACTCTGGTTCCTTGTAATCACTCCAATGTTTTCTAGATATCACATCAATAGGAATATCATGGACACATTCTCTACTTAAAATACTATCTTCAGTTACCTAAAATGTATGATATAAATAATAATAAGGCAAAGTTTGAACTATTATTTATAACCTGCTCAATTATAAATGATAAACATGGCATTTGTTTATTGGCCAATTTTATTTTCAATAGTTTGCCATTTTGTTTTAAGGTGGACAGTGCTTGTGCAAAATGCTCCGAAGCAAACTCAAGATATATTTCATTCTGTTCTTCAGTCATGCCAGCAAATTCAAACTCTCTAAAGTAATAGTTGACTGGTAGAACACACCAAATGTAAGGGTGTGTTGTACCAGAATCATCTTCTGAAGCTATGAAGAATACTTTTGAACTTGTAATTCTTATGATACAGTGTTTTGATAGTTTAGTTATGCCTACTCCAATATCTGCAATAAATTATTACAAACATGATTTGGTATTAAGTTTTATACGAACACTTACTCATAAAATCACGTAGAGCAGTTGCTTCAGATATTACGCCTCTAAATTTCATTTTTAATTGTTAAAAAGTTTGATTCTATTTCGATTCTATCGTATAACTGACTTTTTAAATATTTGAGGTTATATTGATGTTTTCTGCACTTGCGTCTCAAATAATTGTTACAGGCGTATGATTCATATGTGAAAATATGTAAATAAGTAAAAGATTATAAATTAAATGGTATCTTATGGAATCATGCGAGTTATGTAAATGTTTTCAACAATCAGTATGAGCACGTTGCTTCAATCACGGTGGGGATTGTAGGGAGATTGCGCCTTCGGATTGCGCCCTACTGTTCTGTGACAACACAAACGCCACAAACGTCTAAAAATGATACGCAATCAACAAACGATCGTATTGTACAAATAAATAATTAACTAACTAATACATTTTGAAGAATATCTACAATGTAAAATATATATAATATAATTTACAACATACAACAACACATTTGTGCAAATAGCTGACACAATGTTTTCTAATGAAGTAAAATGGGTCAGAATGTTTGATATACCAGACATTACCATGCACAAAAAGGGGTTTACAATCTACAAAGTCATATCAATGGTAAGCTACTACTTAAATAGTGATTGCATACTTTAATTTGTTTAATTTATAGTTGTACCCTGAAAGTTGCCCAAGTGCTGTTACAAAAGTCACAGTGTGGAAGAGATTCAATGACTTTAAATCACTGCATAAAGACATCAAGGCTCTACACAAATCTCTAAAGATTAAAGACCAAGTGCCCAACTTGCCAACATCAACATATTTTAAAAGGTATAACCATAAAATAGATAATTTTGTACATTTACCTATAAATACATTAAATTTTTTGGTTTTAGGTTTGATGATGATGTTATACAACACAGAAAAGGCCTCATTCTTGGATTATTAGAATATATTTCACTACATTCACAGTTATTTACTAGTAATATGTTTGTTAAGTTTTTTGAGGTAAGAATTCTACACAATTAAGTGACAGATTTTTTAAATGTAATAATTATAGACTAGTCACACACCTGAAGGAGATATAACAGGGGATTCTGATGATGATTGTACAATAAGTGATGATACAGACTCATTATCAACTGTGAGCAGTTCAATGATTCAGGTAAATATTTGATCTCTGATAAAAACTAAATGAATAACTAATGTCCTGATTCTATTTCTGTATAGTTGACTGATGATTCAACTAAAGTGGATGAATATCCAATCAAATTTCAACTGTTTATCGGCGACTTGCAGTTGTACAGCTGTGAATTATTTGGGAATTCATTAGGCAGCGAACTCATTGAGTCCGAGTACATTTGTCATGCTGATCGGTTTTTTGAACTCGCGACTGAGATCGAAAACTTGCACAAAGAGTTTAAAATTGCATGGAAACACTACATGCAAGGCATTTACGTCTTGTTAAAATATGGCAAAGAGGATAAGATAACCGAACGCAAGTTTATGGCTAAATTTAAACTAGAGAAATATTTTATTCGCGTCGAAAAACTGTTTTATTTAAACTTACATGAAGATATCAAAAGTTTCGTAAGTATATTTTGCCCATACTGATATAGATAAAAATATCAGTTTGTGTAGGTGTTGACTTATAACTTAAATTGTTTGCATATAGATTGTGAACCAATACGGTGAGCCGTTCGCGAATGTCGCGCTTTCCGACTTGAACAATTTACATTTTGAGCAGCTATTTGATCTGCAAAAGTTCGAGCCGATGAATCAGCACTTCGACGAGAATGATTTGATATTGCGCGCTGAAATTGGACCAATATCGTTGATCAATTACGCGATTTCAGCGGCGGCACTGCGTAATTCACGCTACGATTCCGAGGATTTTGTGCTCGTTGCGAACAAGTACGAGAACGAACAGAACTACGCGGCGGCGTACATTAACTACAAGATGGCCTTCATGGACGTGCATAAGCACATGAAGAATGAAAGTAAGGATCTTACCTATTTACTGCGAAATGAAAAATATGTTTATCGCGGCGACGAGTTGCTCACTGCAACTGATAAGGTATTTTAACAACCTGTTTTTCATTTATTGCCCCATCACAACATTTGTAAAAATGAGTGTCTTGCAGGAGAATGCTTCGAATCCCTCTCGAAAAACAAAACAATCCGAATTATACAATTATAAAGTAACTGGTCTGATTAATAATGATACGATGATTGTACTGAATGTTGAAACGGATCAAAAGTATGTAGTGAAAGTTCTACAGAAAACGGTCGGCTTCTCGAATGATTGTATGATATTTCCTAAACATGTGCCTTATATGACAAAATTGCAACGATGGCATTATACAGATGATGCAATTTTTTTATTGTTTAACTACACAAGGTGAGTGCAATATTGAAATGTAAATATTGACTAATTTTGATAAAATATTGATTTACTTCTAGTGCAACTAACCTGACAGAATATTTATTACAATATACAAATTCCACTGATTTAAATTGTGATACAAGTACAGATACCAATGTTAATACCAAAGAGTTAATAGACCATAAATTTCTACAAAGTCAACGATCGATATCGGATGATTTCGAGTTTGTTGACATGCCCTCGTCAAGCGGCCTCGAAGAATCTGACGAGTTTGATGATTGTTGTTATGACCAGAGCCGTTGTGTTCCCATGGATAAAATTCGAAAATGGGCGGCTCAAATTGTTCTTGCCATTGAACGACTACACAAGTGTGGTGTCATTTGCTGGTAATTTTATGCGTTTTTAAGTTGATATATAAAAAAATAATCGTTCTATTTTTATTATCAGTGATTTGAAACTGGACGACCTGAAAGTTGACGATAATGATAATATATTAATGGATTATAAATGTAAGATAGCAGAAAAACGTGTTTACACTTATAGAGAATCTAATTTGATGGCACCGGAAGTTTACACATTTGAAATGCTCACGCCCGCTGCAGATTGGTGGACGTTGGGTGTTGTTTTATTTGAATTACTTGTAGGAACGGTAAGAAAAATTAACTTTTTGCGTTCTTTACGCGGACGTCAATAAAATATGAAAATTTTCAGCCTTTGAGTTCAATAAATCCAGACGGGTATTACATTTATCCGAATGTGAGACTGCCTAAACACCTGCCGCAGGATGCAAAATCTCTCATCAAGCAGCTACTCATCTATGAGCCGAATATTCGTCTGGGTTCAGGTGGATCCGAACAGGTAAAATCGCACCCCTACTTTAATCCTATCAGATGGGAGTCATTATAACTGATACTTATATACTCCACAAATTATTTTACACGTTTGCACATTCCTGATCTATGTATTTATCTAAATTAGATATTAATATGTTATAATTGGTAGTTGTTGTCTTTACGTTTTGCAACAGTATCGATTTGTTTGCTCAGTATTTGTTATGTCACATACATTTAGTATTAATAAAGCATTCCAACAAGAAAACGTGTTAATCATCATCTTTTTGATTTTCTCTTCCAGTTTGCACACGCACGTGCGCATTGCACGTGGTAACTGATAATGTATGCTTTTAACTTCCTGCTCCTATCGGCGTTTACAGGTGTAAAGCAGAAAAAGTTGAATTAAGGAAATAACGAGCGCATAAAATCAGATGCGAGGGAGGATATTAAAAAGTAATAATTCTTTCTGAATCGGTGAGGGGGAACGAAAACGAATGCGATTGCTTATCTTATATTTTTTTATTTCTCGCCACGCGAGCACGCAATATACCTAAAATCAGTAAATGTACCCCATGTATCCCGTTGAATTTGAAACTTGGGGTGTGCTTTGATGTTGAGGGTGATAATTTAATCATTTTCCATATAAATTTGATTATATTTTGGGCGGAAACTGCTAAAGTTACATAAATATTTTGTTTCGGCTGAATTCGATGGATAATAAGTTGCCTATAGCGATGTAGCTTTTGATGAAATATTATAAATTCGAAATTATTCAAAGAATTTCCGTTAAATGATTGCATTCAGTTTTAATTAGTGATTGTCGTTAAAATTACCAATGAATAATTCAAACGCAAACATGATTAATTAAAGGTAATAACAAAATATTTACAGTTCAATATCTCTCCAACTCAACAAATAAATGAATATGAAACGCAAACAACACGAACACACATTTCATTTCATTTCAAAAAATAATTAATCATTTATAGAGTTGCGAGGACAGGATATTGAAAGTTGCAATAACCGAGTTTGAGTTGCATTGCATTGCATACAAATACACAACGTATTTGAATATTCAAATTCAATTTCAATTTCGTATTTGTATTTTTTGCGCGTTCGTTCAATGGCCGCAGTGAGAAATTATTTCCACACGATGATAGAACATGGAGCATATTATGTGCGCTATTTTGCAGATTTGCAATAAAAAACAGACTATGCATAAGCGAACGGCAATCTTTTTGTGCTCTAACTTGTCGTTTCAGTTTGCACTTTGTGCGTGACCGTTTGCACTGCGGATGCGCGTGTGTGTTTGCTTTTCATTAACTCGCATGCCTTGCATATTTATGACAGTGCTCGTTTGCATTCGAAACAATTATTGTAAACATCCCTCGGCTGGACAAAGAAGTATGTGCGAAAAATGTTTCAGCATTCATAGTTTTGTCTAAACTCATTGATCGTGAGTGCTTGGAATATGGACTCAACGTGGCGAGAGTTAAAATTTCAGCATTAATTGCAAACACAACGCGTTTGGGAAATATTTTTGGTCATGGTTAGATGTGAAAGGTCGCATCGCATAATACTAAAGTGTCAGTTTATGAATATCACGTTTTTAGACAGTGTAGAGTCATTTTTAGACCAAAACTTAAATTATTTACGAAATTTTCTAATAAATTTTGATTTAAATGTTGATAATTTTATAAATTCTCAACAGAAATTATTAGAACATCGAATAAATGTCCCCGAAAGGATGCGCCACCATTTCACATTTTTAATGTTTCATGAAAGGGATCATAATTCAATAATAAATAATGTGCGTCCGGCTGGCGTGGCCGCGCGCAGATTACATGGAATGTGCAAAGTGTAAATTCGTTCCGCAACTGTGCGCGAACAACAGTAAATGAATAACAAACAAAAGCGCATGAAACAAGCGCACTACCGCACAACGCCGACGCTGCAAACTTTTTCGTCGACCATTTTCCACTGCCGAAACAACACACATGTTTTATTAACACGATGTACTTGCATACATGCCGTACATACGTCGAAATCTACTTTTATATCGTCGTGCGCCACAGTTAAACTAATTGTAAACAGTAAGAAAACTTTTACTATCGCTGCGCGCAGTTTACAACAAGTGCTGAATTTCTTGTATTTGTTGCAAATTTTCGTTTTATTTCGCTTCCGTTTCAACGCGGACGCTAAATTTACATTAGGAAACTTTCGCAAATAATGAGATATTATTTTATTGTTGTAAACATTTGATGCAAACAAAGCGAGAGTGCGTGGAGATAATTTTCTTTTTTATGTTCTTCAAAAGTTACACATTCTAATGGTGTTATTATTATGAGTGTTGTGGGCACGCATAAAACGCGAGCATTTTTGAGGTGCGTAACGGCCGCCTCCGCAAACGCGCTGTGTTCGGCACATAAAAAATGAAATATTGTGTTTAACTTTTGTGAATTACACGCCGCAGTCTTCATAATTCACAAGCAGTTTTTCGTTTAAACTTTAAAATACCAAAAAATATTAGAATAATTACCTACATTTTACGTCAAATATAAAAGTAAGAATTTTAACTTTTGAGAAAAGAAGAAATTTCATTTTTTACAAGTTAATGAAAATGATAATGAGATAAACATTACGACATGATTATCGTTCTTCTTGTTATTACACTATTACACACCTAGGTGTGTTCATTCAATTGTTCCGTTTTTATGTTAGAATGTGAGCACTTTCCTATCATTGCGCTTATGATTACGGTTATTGTCTGCATGATAGCCACACTAACACAACCCCTTTGCGTTAACCCTCATTGTTATTACTAAAAGTCCGTAGTCAGACATCTGTATGCAGCATATGATTCACACACTTGAAAAACTAACACATTCCAGCCGGGAACCTTTTATTCATTTTCTTGGCGAAGGTAAAGTTTTTATTGCACACCGGGCCTCTCATTTGCTGTTTTGCGAGGGGTGTATAGATATGAAGTGGAGTATGGAGGAAGAGGCACAAGATGAAAAAAGATGCAGCGGGCGCGCACGGCGTAATTAACTCTATACAGTAAATTGGCCTTAATATTAATTTAGATAGAAGAGGTAGATAGGACATTTTTCTCATTAGCATCTTGAAATGTCGTTATTTTCGGCGGCGCATTCTTCGCAATTCCGCGTAAACATTTTCTCCGTTCGGCGGCGTAAATTAATACGCCAACGAAATATAATTGAAACGCGTATAATGTAAAACGCAAATGTGAACCAAACACAGCCGAGAGAATAATAATTGTGCGGTTGTATTATATAAATCTAAACGCACGCGCTAATTATTGTTAATATGTAATCGAAAAGTTTGCGCATTTGCCCTCTGGTTAATTTTATTCATTACATTTTGGGCTCGCAAACGCAGCGCAATGGGAGTCGGAAGAAATGAAAGAAATTAAATGACGCATGCGGGGTGACAGCAGCGAAGGACGACGGGCGACACAAAATGTTGATTTTTTTGACGCTGCTAAACTCGTATATTTCGGCGTATTTGGTGCGCGCATCGTTGGACTGGTATAAAGGTTTCGCGTTTTTTTGCGCTTCGTTCGGTTCTCGTTACGTCGCCGTCGCCGTCGCCGCGTCGTCGCTCATTCATGATGCATGAAAAATACATATGCGTCGTTTTAATTTTCTCAGCCATTTCACATATTACTTTATTCTTACGTGTTATTTACTGTAGGTGATTTATCTGAATATATGTCATAATATATATAAAGTATATTTTTTGGTCACCTGTATGAAAATACTACAAGAAAAAAATTATTTGAATTTTAAGTGAGCACGGGGCGCATGCGCAGTTTGTTCCAATGCAACACTGATGGTGAAACTTGCACTTTCCAAGAGAATATCATTAAGAGGGCCGTCGAGTGCCAGCGCGTTTTTTTTAATAGTAAACTTCTTTATAAACAGCAAATGAAAACTTGACCGAAAAATATAATTAATTTATAAACTTACCAGTGTGTACAGCTTATCGGACTGCCAGGCACAACGAGTGCTGTAACTAAACAAAAACATAAATTAAAACAAAAATGTTTCATACAATTGAATTATGATATAATTAACAATCAACACAAAATAAACAATCTGTGCTGTTTGGTTAAAAATTACTTACACGAGCCTGATGGATCTTTCTTAATGATGAGAATCAACTGACACAAAACACAACGCCGAGTGAAAAATGTTATCAAATCCACTATCACGTGACTTGTAATATACCTAACAAACGCGACCAAAAACAGGCATTTCCGAACATTAAACAAATGACTATAGTTGCAAAGTACAAATAAATAGGCGATTGATCTTCACGTATAACACAAATTTAGAATATTGAAGTCCGAATAAAAGATATAGTAAGTCTCTCCAAACACGATTGGATTAACCAGCGACCGGCACGTAACTGACTGCAATCCACCGAGAGTGCATGCCGAAACTGCGTAAACAACGACGGGACAGTATATGATAAGAAAGCAAGAGGTGTGCAAAGACGGCGCGTCGAAGGCACGCGACCTTGTGCGCGAATTTGCAATAGGCACATTACCTGTGATCTAAACTAAACTAGACTTCACTGCATGCAGCAAGTTGATGCGGAGACAGCGCGCGGGACACATGCGTTAAAAACATTGTTGACACCGAATCGCAGATAACAGCATTGTATACAAAACTATTCTTGTGCGCACGTTTGTGGATAAATAAAAAATATGCCGTATAACACCATTTTATGATTTTTAGTGTATCCAAGTGTCATCTATGAATTTGACAGATACTTGCTCCACAATTTAGACTACTATAATCAATAATTTATAAAACACTTGTAGAAGATTGAAAGGGTCGGGAAGATGCGTATGGTATTAAGGAACTCTTAAGAATCACATGAGCACAAGATGTAGTGATTGGTACAAGATGGCAAAGTGATATTTCCATAATCAACTTTTTCGCAAAATTAACACATCGTCAGGAGTCTAGGACGTATTATAATGGAAAGGAACGAATCGGTGAGTCTTTTTCTTATGGACAATTCTCTACAAAAAAAGATAGTTCAGTTGGAAATCTAAGAGATGAAATTTTAATTCTTAAGAAAAAATTGTCAAGGGGGGCTGCTTGATACTTTTTTTCGACGATTTTTGATAATTAATATATCTTAGACTAAAAGCGATAGCAACCAAAAAATTGCTGATTATGAATGATCGGAAAATTCTCTATCAGATAAAAATACAAAATAATTATATTTACTACAGTAAAAGGTCGAAAAACTCGACTAAAAGTGCTAAAAAGTGACATTTTTCAATTTTTGCCCATTTTATTCAATCGCGAATATCTCGTAAACTAAAACAGATAAATAAGATCTGATCGCAGCGTCTTAATCTACGCACTATTCTCTATAAGATAGGACAGTTAAAACGCAAATCTGAGAGATGAAATTTTCATTCTTAAGAAAAAATTGCCAAGGGGGGGTGCTTTATACTTCTTTTCCACGATTTTCAAAAATTAATATCTCTTAAACTAAAAGAGATAGCTACCAACTAATTGTTGATTATGAAAGATTGGACAATTCTCTATCAGAGCAAAATATAAAATAATTATATTTCCTACAGTAAAAGGTCGAAAAACGCGACTAAAAGTGCTAAAAAGTGACATTTTTCAATTTTTGCCCATTTTACTCAATCGCGAATATCTCGTAAACTAAAACAGATAAATAAGATCTGATCGCAGCGTCTTAATCTACGGACTATTCTCTATAAGATAGGACAGTTAAAACGGAAATCTGAGAGATGAAATTTTCATTCTTAAGAAAAAATTGCCAAGGGGGGGTGCTTGATACTTTTTTTCCACGATTTTCAAAAATTAATATCTCTTAAACTAAAAGAGATAGCTACCAACTAATTGTTGATTATGAAAGATTGGACAATTCTCTATCAGATTAAAACATAAAATAATTATATTTCCTACAGTAAAAGGTCGAAAAACGCGACTGAAAGTGCTAAAAAGTGACATTTTTCAATTTTTGCCCATTTTACTTAATCGCGAATATCTCGTAAACTAAAACAGATAAATAAGATCTGATCGCAGCGTCTTAATCTACGGACTATTCTCTATAAGATAGGACAGTTAAAACGGAAATCTGAGAGATGAAATTTTCATTCTTAAGAAAAATTTGCCAAGGGGGGGTGCTTGATACTTTTTTTCCACGATTTTCAAAAATTAATATCTCTTAAACTAAAAGAGATAGCTACCAACTAATTGTTGATTATGAAAGATTGGACAATTCTCTATCAGATCAAAACATAAAATAATTATATTTCCTACAGTAAAAAGTCGAAAAACGCGACTGAAAGTGCTATAAAGTGACATTTTTCAAATTTTGCCCATTTTATTCAATCGCGAATATCTCGTAAACTAAAACAGATAAATAAGATCTGATCGCAGCGTCTTAATCTACGGACTATTCTCTATAAGATAGGACAGTTAAAACGGAAATCTGAGAGATAAAATTTTCATTCTTAAGAAAAATTTGCCAAGGGGGGGTGCTTGATACTTTTTTTCGACGATTTTCAAAAATTAATATCCCTTAAACCTAAAGAGGTAGCTACCAACTAATTGTTGATTATGAAAGATTGGACAATTCTCTATCAGATCAAAACATAAAATAATTATATTTCCTACAGTAAAAGGTCGAAAAACGCGACTGAAAGTGCTAAAAAGTGACATTTTTCAATTTTTGACCATTTTTTTCAATCGCGAATATCTCGTAAACTAAAACAGATAAATAAGATCCGATCGCAGCGTTTTAATCTACGGACTATTCTCTATAAGATAGGACAGTTAAAACGGAAATCTGAGAGATGAAATTTTCATTCTTAAGAAAAAATTGCCAAGGGGGGGTGCTTGATACTTTTTTTCCACGATTTTCAAAAATTAATATCCCTTAAATTAAAAGAGATAGCTACCAACTATTTGTTGATTATGAAAGATTGGACAATTCTCTATCAGAGCAAAACATAAAATAATTATATTTCCTACAGTAAAAGGTCGAAAAACGCGACTGAAAGTGCTAAAAAGTGACATTTTTCAATTTTTGCCCATTTTTTTCAATCGCGAATATCTCGTAAACTAAAAGAGATAAATAGGATCTGATCGCAGCGTTTTAATCTACGGAATATTTTCTATAAGATAGGCTAGTTAAAGCGGGAATCTGAGAGATGAAATTTTAATTCTTAAGAAAAAATTGTCAAGGGGGGGTGGTTGATACTTCTTTTCGACGTGTTTTGATAATTAATATCTCCTAAACTAAATGCAATACGAACCAACGAATTGCTGATTATGAAAGAATGGAAAATTCTCTATCAGATAAAAATACAAAATAATTATATTTCCTACAGTAAAAGGTAGAAAAACGCGACTAAAAGTGCTAAAAAGTGACATTTTTCAATTTTTGACCATTTTATTCAATCGCGAATATCTCGTATACTAAAAGAGATAAAAAGGAACGAATCGTAGATTCTTGATATACGGACAATTCTCTATTAAATAAGTTTGTTAAATTGGAAATTTAAGGGATGAAATTTTAATTCTTAAGAAAAAATGGGTAAATGGGGATCAGCAGTGTCACTCCTACTGCTTCCTTCGTACGGTACTCTGAACACGAGTCACTTCAACCGCTACCCTCATACGATGCTGTGAATACGAGTCACATCTACCGCTGCCCTTGTACGGTGCCCTGAATACGAGTCACTTTTACCGCAGCCCTTGTACGGTGCCCAGAACACGAGTCACTTTTACCGCTACCCTCATACAGTGCTGTGAACACGAATCACATCTACCGCTGCCCTTGTACGGTGCCTTCAATACGAGTCACTTCTACCGCAGCCCTTGTAGGGTGCCCTCAGCCCGAGTCACTTCTACCGCAGCCCTTGTCCGGTGCCCTGAACACGAGTCACTTCTACCACTACTCTCATACGGTGCTGTGAACACAATTTTTCTTTTTTTGCCCTTTTTTGGAATTGTGAATATATCCTAATTGTGTCCGATCGTGCCGGTCGTCTAATTTGGGTCACAGGTAGCCTACCTGATTAATTAATAAATGAATTGGATTCAATAATAATTTATTAATAACTAATAATGACTAAGAAATTAATGCAATTTTAATGTTTCCTAAGTGCATTTCCGTGTATATTCGATTGTACTTAACCGAAATGAAATGATTCATTGATTTCAGACATGAGTTAATTAATTATGTAATTGTCAGCCTCATCGAAACTGACTAGAGTTCTAATACGACTGACTATGGCCGAGTGCTCCACATAGCACAGCAATTTCACGGCGTGCAGTTTTGCCCGCCCAATCTTCGCGTTGCTGTGCCAGTTAGTAAGGAAAGGGGTGGCGGTTTGGGGGTAGTCTCTAGTTGCCTGTCCGCTAGCGCTATATTTATGCTGCACACATGGTGCATAACCGAACAGCAACAAGAAGTGTGATCAGGTGCAGCGTGCAGACAGCAAAGGTTCATCAATTTTCCTGTTCATTGGAAGAAAAGCAGCTCCAAACAGTTTTTGTTTTCCTTAATAATAACAACGTTGTTTTATTTATTCCACCTGTATTGAAACTGTAATCATGCACATGCACACCGCATGCAATTTGTTTATTCTGCATATTTTTGTTTGCAGGCAGTCAAATCTAAGTTAAGCCGCTCGGCGCATGTTGGCTGAAGGTAAGCCGAATAAGATTTCCACGAATTTACGACTCTTGCGAAATCCTAGACTTTCCTGACGCAATGAGCAATACATTAACCGTGCAATATCTCGAACAAAACGCAAAAAAACTCTGTAAAGACGCGTAATATTCGAATAGTTCAACACAGTTAGTTCCTTCATTGCCGAAATCTGTTCATGATGAATAGGGCTGAATATATGGGGCTGGTACTTGAACAAATTTCGGCCCTGTCGAAACTGCTGCCACTGCAGTTCTCGTCATTGGGCGCGCAAATGCTCACCGCGCGTGGTTGCGGTGGATAAGTACGAAACAACAGGCGTAAGTAGGATCAAAATGCATAGTTATTGAGTTGCCACTTGCCGCGGCATTGTGTTCGCAGTTCATGCATTATGATTGTGCGCCTTGGCGAGCGCTCATGAGGGTAGTACGAACCCTGACTATGCAATCGAATACGAGACCTCTACTTCCATTCGATTTGGTAGCCGTCAATAATAATATCATCCGAATTTATCTGAACAATGAAAATCACCAAAATTATGGATTTATTTGTAAAAACTTGAGTTGTGCAATATATGAAATTCAAAATCTGTTAATACGAGTATATGTGAATCCCCGATCGAGTTTAATCAGGAAAACTCGAGTAGACTCAGCCGTAGGAAGTATAAATCTACTTTTTTGGTCTTTTAACGAAAATATGTTTTATTTCTTGATTATTTTCTTTTTTTTTTTACATTTGTGACATACCCGTCTAATGACATATCACGAAAAAATGTCTAACCGCCTGCAGGCCCAAGAAGAAATGATATAATTTGGTTAACATTTGTTAGTAACAATATTTTATACCATTCTACATCTATCTAGTTATTTTTTAACTTGATTCTTGTTCGTTTACAATTGCTAGCATTCTGAGAAGATCAACAAATGGCCTTAACGATTGTCTCCAAGGCATTATAATTTCATTAAGACAACATGATGTGCCTGCTTTCATTCGAATACAACGCTGGAACGATGTGACGCACGAACAGCAATAAACCAAAACATTTTGCGCATTAACAAAACAAGATTATGCTTTAAATGCTGTGTTTTGTTTTCTCATGCACGAGAAGAACATGGTCTTATGTCATAATGTGAATTAAAACAGGAAAAATTATTATTAATGATAATAATGTTTAAAAGGTTTTAAAAGTTACATTTACGTTTTTTTTTGTTGACACGAAGTTTAATTTCATTTCGTTAAAATATAAAATTATATTAAAATTTGTATTCTGCTCGAATTAGCGTCACTTGGTGTATGCTAATATGCGCGAGTACCACACAGCATTCATATTTTGTCGAATCCCTTCTTTTGCAACGAGAATATTACACAAGCAGATTCATTTCGACAATAAACCGATTACATGCGCGCAGGTCGTGCTGGAAAATGTGAATTCGACGCCGGCGCTGCCGGCATTAACTTTTAATTGAATTAAAATTGGCTGCTCTTGCTAGGCGAATTAAAATTGAAACATACATGCCGTGGATGGTCATTATTCTTCGCCGCGTTTGAATATTATAAATTTGCATACGTTATTCAATGTAAATAAAATTTTATATCCAAATCGAATTATTCCGTGATTTTTCACCAAAAAAAATTCTCAGCTGGCACTATTTTTTTTATTTCCAATAAAATTCTTGTCAGAGATTTATCAATGATTGTCTTTGATATAATTGCTTCCGAATATTGGCAATAGAATACCGCGAAACGAGTCAAAGTTTTACTCCCACAAATTGGTTCTCATAGTTGTCTTCATATCAATATGTTTCCACTCTCGCTTTCACTTTCAACGTTTGCAAGAAACATAAATGTATTCCTTTATTGTTATGATGATTATGTTGCGGACGCATACACGCTCGCGAAATGAAAGATTTCGGAGCGCTCGCTCATTTTTCCGCAATGGATTAGTTTGGCCATAGAGAAAAATATGATTAAACATCGTGGCATGGACAGATCAAATATTGCGTTCAACCTTAACGACACGCATATTTGTAACTGTCGAACGCGCTCCCCCATTCGACCGAATGAAGCATATAGCATCGCACAACGAAGAAAAAATGAATTGAAAACACAAGCGGATGGGCATTTTCACAATATAAGAAAAACGAACATAGGTAGACATCAAAGATTGGGCATTCATGCTCGCAATGCGTGTCTGGCACATTTCCACATGACAAATGCTCACCATTTTGTATTTCCTGGACTTGATTTCAATTAAATACGAAATAATTGCGTATGTTTACTTTTAATTCCTTTTTCAGGTCTTTGAAATTAAATTTTGGTAAAAATTGTTTTTTGTAAAGAAATTAAATTTTAAAAACTTGCAGTATAAAACAATGTAATAGGTTTTACATGCAAATAACCAATTACAAATCCATACAATAAATGTACGCGTATTATTTTGCAAATGACAAATTAACGCCGATGGAAATGAAATGGTTTTTCATTTCAATGGGAGATTACACAAATTGTGCGCTGTCCCAGAGGCACACAATTAACTGCATAATGATTTTTTTCAATTATTTATTCGCTCTACATTATTAATCACGTGATAATCTTGCAGCGCATCGAGAATTAATCTCTCAGTTAAATTCGCAATTACTTTTTTCGTTTATAATTTATCGCTTCAACTCATTAAATAATGCACGTACTTGAGTGTTGCCGAATATAAGATAACATTTTTCATTTGCGCGCAAGCAGCGCGCTGAAGAAGGATGAAGGTGGCGTAATAACAATAATCCAAGAGAGTGCTTGCCGCTGCAACACATTCGCCTGTTTTGTTTTGCTTACACGTACTTTGTTAAATTTTTCCGAGCGCGTTAGTTAACGAAACCCTCGCTGCGAGCGCTACCGCACAGCAATGGCTGCTGCTTTTTCTCTCTTTGCCTGTTTGTTGCGCGTATGTGCGTTTCTTCCGCTGGCGCAAAAATTTTTATCGCCGCCGAAACGCGAACATAATGGCCTAAGTATGAATTTATTGTAAATTGCATCTAATTTCGCAGGAGCGAGGAGGAGCGCGCCAACGTAAAATATTTCGCGCTTCTCTTTGCTTTCGGTTTCCGTCCTGCGATGCGCCCGGACGATGAGCGCCATGTTTTTTAGCGTCTTCTTGCTTAATAACCGCACCATAAACGCGCGCGAAGTGATGTGCGATGCGCAAGGCGTCGTTTTTAAAAAGTTATATAAAATTGCCGAACCAATTTTGTTACTGTGCTGGTGACACTTTCGACAATGAACGTGTATTTCTATCGTATGGCGTTTTTAAAGCGTCCGGACACGTACCGGCGCGAAATTTTAAACTTTTCACAACATTGTGTATATTTTGTGTTTGTAGAAAAAGTAATCTACAATATTTTATATTTCTTTACGTACATATCTCCTCGGTTGGCGCCCGCGTCCGTGCCCCTGCTTCTTAAAAACATCACTAGCAGAAGCGAGATATTTATATTTCCTCATCCTCAATATCATCTTGCTTGCGTTCTGTTTCTCGCTTTCTTTATTTTCTTTTGCGCTCCGCTTTATTATACGAGCCAAAGGCGCGCGCTCGGATTTTACACTAGATTAAGATTTAATTAAATATACGGAGGTATTGTACACGCCGCGGCGGGGTATAGGCGCGGACCCTGTTAACTTATTATTTGTGCTTTGCGGATGCTGCGTGGCTGGATGTGATTTACTCGTAAATAAAATTTTAAATTGCAAATTACCGCGTGCGCGCCCTGCATTTTTAGGCTAATTGATTTGATATCAAAGAAGCGAGGTGTGTTTGTTGGACTCTTATAATTTGTTTACTTCTGAATGATATTTAATTTCTTAAAATTAAATAAAAATCAAAATTTAAATTCCCGAGCATTATTAAAGTGGTGATATTATGCGCATGTTGTAAGTTAACGAGTAAGCAATGCCTGCACATTTGAATGAGGCAAAATGGTTACATACTTGTGTGGTACTCCGGTAATACATAATGACTTTTATGCATGCCATCCGTTCTTTACGAGGCGACTTGGAGCGCGTGATGTCGACGCGCCAAGCGCGGAACGTGCACAACTACGCCCCGCAACAAATATTATTTACTGCCCTGTGTTCCAACACGTACGCCAGGGCAAAGGGGCGAGGGAAGGCGTCGTTGGAACAATGTGCGGGTTATTAAAGAAATTAAGTGATACTTGAAGTTGCGCGCACTAAATATTACGGGTGTGGACAACTTCCACATTAAGTCACAAGGCACAAATCACAATGGAATTCGTGGGTTTTATGAGTTAAGGGATGAAATACTTTCTACCAAGGTCAAAAATAATATTTTTCACTCACCTAATCAACTGTTGTTGCCAATTATAGTTGTTGATTGGATGATAATGGAATAAAATCTGAAAATTAAAAAAATAATAATTTTCATGCTGGTGAGTTCAAAATCTGATTGATTTTTTTTTGTAATTTGTTTATACAAGAAAACAGATTACAACAAGTCAAAGACTGTGATCACAGAGTTACGTAGACTAAAATTAACATTTTCACTCAGCGCCAACATTCAATTATGTGTTTCCATTCGTTTCACTTCATTACTGCATTAACGCCGAAGACGAAACGACAGACGAAATGACGCTTTAGTTTCGAGCTGGAGAAGTAACAGCACAGCTTCCAAAGGCAAAAATCCCCATATTTCTGCGCGTTTTACTAGCGTCGTAAAAACGTAACCTTTCTACGGTAAAATGCGCCGCGCGTCCGCCGTCCTCCCTTTATATTTATTTTTACGAGAAGAAAAGGTAGCAGTCTCGGCGCGATGGACAAGTGAAGCGCATATTATATGAACATCAAATGCCACATGAGATTGGTGCGTGCATGTGTGCAGGTGATTCCATATGGTTTCGTGCAAAAAGTGCATGCCGGTTTGCGTTTTGATAACTTAATAGACTTTGCTACTGAAGCAATAAAACCAGCTTTTTATCGCTCGGACTATCCCGAAAGTGTTCGAAATTTTGTTTTAATAATTCGTTATTTTTTATGGAATATATAATATTTACGGAGGGGAATGATGAGGATTCTCAAAGAGGTATTATTATAATATTTTATAACTTACTAGTTTTTTATTCTCGGTGATTTCACCAATAATATCCTCAATTTTAATTTAATGGTATAAAAAATGCTAAATTTGCACTTTAACGCCATCGCAGTTTGAATTTTATAACCATAACTATGATTGAATCTCCATAATATTTTTTATTCTTATTTTACACTCTTTAAATTATATATCTGAGATAAAAAGTAGCCTATTTGCTTTTCCTTGATCAAAAGAATCACTTTACCAAAATTTGAGAAAATTGGTTCGTTAGTTTTTCGGGGAAAGCATCACAAACATACAAACAAACTCTAATTCATCTGTATAAGTACAGGGTACCTTTAGATACTTTTGAATTCTACAACAAAACATAAAATCTTATTAAAATAAAAGTAAATTACAATATGTGGTGAAAGAACGCAAGCAAGCACGAAGAGGACATCTGTCACATCAGTTATTCTCATTTTTTTTCCTCTTCGCTACATTTTTACACATTTACACCTTGCCTACGTGTTCCATCATAATTCATCTTCCGCGGATGGCCTACACCAGGTGAATAAAAAAACATAATCAAAATTAAACAAATTTACACATTTTATTTAATATTAGCACATCAAACATAAAATATTACTTATTAAATATTGAGCAGATTTTTTTATTATCGACAATTTGCCAATGTGCGTGTGTGCGGATATAGTTTAAACTTTGTCGACGTCCACACACGCAAACATAGCCCAAAGAGATGGCGCGCATTCAATCTAAATTAATGCGTTACTTTAACCGTGCCCGGCTTCAATATTTGTGTATTCAGTCACCGCTGCCGCCGCCACGGCCGCCACACCGCCACCGACGACCCAGACAACCGGCGCTGAATTACTGATGGCTGACGTCGTCAATGGCAAAAGATCTCCTGCCATCTACTACTAGTAATTCATATTAATTGCTAATATGTGTACCTAGTCACGGTCCCTTTTCGCTCGACTTCGCTGAACCTGATATTCCATTTAATAAATAAACTATCATCGACTATGCTCGGCCACCCCCGAGCACTCGGCTATTCAGTACTTTTGCCATTAAATCAAACAAAAAAGCGGTTATGAAATATTAATTAATCAATATTTCATAAAAAATTAATACCTGCAGTAAATAAACTATAGTATTCTACGCGTGTATAATGAAAGAAAATAATATCCAGCGTCAACAACAGACGTTATTGCTGATTCAATGAACAAAAGATAGCCATCGACATATTTCGACGCGAAATGGGTTATCAATGCTTTTTGCTTTGTTTGCGCTCACTTGCAAAACTTACCAACACATGAAAAATATCTCTGCGAAGAGTTCATGCATGTAACAGTTCTTGGCACGACTCCCCAAACTCACAGTAATGTTCAATAATGCTTGTCTTATTGTTTTACGACTTTTCCATACAAGATATGAACGCGCTCGCACGACACACGCGCCGGCGAGAAGAAAAGCTTATTTTCTAAATATAACACACCCACATACACAAAACATGTGAGGATGATGTGGGAAGTAAATAGATTCTGCGTACTTTAAATGGTTTCTTTGTACGCGCGCCTGCCAAATTTGCCAAGGAAAGCCAAGTCGTTTCTAATATTTCATTCCGGGATTTCACAATAAAAACACGCGGAGCTCTGACACTGACGATCTGAAGATGTGAAATGCGATTTCAACATTGTAATGGAAAAGCTTAATAATCTTAATATGCATCAGTGGGTATGATATTTTATCATCGCTTTTCCCAGATTACATTTTGCGGCGGTATTTTTTTGCCTTATTGGTTTGCATTATTGATGTTCGGGGCGCGTATTTGATAAGTTTTGTGCAACGTTGCATCGCGAAAACTCGTTGCAGCCACTACAAGAAGAAAGTTTTCGGCAAAAATCTGCAAATATCGAAGGTAAGCACAGCGAAGCGAAAGAAGCAATAAATCTTCGCGAAGTTATGCGCGAAATTCAGCGCGCATTTCATTTCGGCGAGTTTGAATTTTGCGCGTTTTATTAAAACTACAAACTTTTCTAAGTGATGTGCGTGAAGTGTGAAACATTCCAAAAACAACTACAATATCTCAACTAGTTTGTTCATATTTATGCACAGTTTAAGCGTGTTTAATACGTCAATCAAAGTTGATAAATATTTTGCTGTATGATTCGAAACTTTGCCACTTCTCACAAGTTTCAAGTGCTGAAAAATAGTCGATTCTTTTCAATGCATCGATAAACAATTTAAAACTTATGGAATAAAATCTGCATTAACTTTTATCTCGAGTATACCTAGCTACCTTTTACTCGTCGTACTTTCACCTGAAGTGCGTGATTCTTCTTTTACGTTTTTTCGAGGATCTTTTCACGTTCCGCGCGCGCTCGTGTAATCGCAAGAAACTTGCACTTTTGTATTCGCCTAATGTTCAATATTGTTGTTAACTTTGTGCGGCGCAAAGTTTCAAAACTACCGGCGACAGCGACCGGGAGTAAAACTTGGATGCATAAACTTGCGCGCAAAAGAAAAACTACCGACTCTTTAAACAATTTATTACTCTAAACCCGACAATGCAACACCGGTTTGTGTTTTATAGAGGATAACACACAGCAAAATGCAGAAAACTAAAAAAGCGTAAAAGAATTCACAGTTATTTTATTATTTGACATTTTTTATATTTAAATGTGTGTATCTTAAAACGTTAAAAGCGTCAGTAAACGAAATCGTTTCGTTTGTTTGCGATAATCGGCTTAGATGTTTAACAAATGCCAAACGTTGACGTCAAAATCAGCTTAGGACTTTAATTGGACCGTGTTCTTGGCTTTAGTCTGTAAGAATGTACAACGTTCGTCGAATTACGACTTTGTCGGTGATATTTTTGGTGCACACTCTGTGTACGGTGCTTAGAAAAAGAGAAATATTTAGATATTTTAGAAGGACTCGCCGAAAAGATTTACAAAAGCGGCCCCTTCTTGAGCTTTCTTTGAATGTCTTTTGTGCATTCATCGCCGGACGTCTCCGGCTTCCCTAGTTTTTCAGCGGCTGCCCGGAGTCACCGATTCGATGCCCCAGCTTCCTTCCTTTGCGTCTTTCCGCGCGCTGATCGCGATATTGTGTGTGCTTTTGACGTTGCGTTTAAGATGATTAGAAAGCCGACTTTTAGATATTCCACCTGTCACGCGGAGTCTAGATACAAACGGATTTCGTTTCTACGTTCTAACAACGTTCCACTAGATGTTTCAAACGAAATATTCAATTTGTTTTTTTTTTAAATAAATATTTTTGAATGACTTATTTTGACTGTAGACGATTAGTAAGTGTATTTTATTAAGTAAAATATTATGCATCTATGGGATAAGCAGGAAACGAGATAAAGCCGAGCAAGATGCGCGCCAGTTATAAGGAAACATGAGGGAAAAATGCATGTTTACGTAATTCAATGTCGTCTTGAGCTGCCGCACGTTCCACGTATTGGCGGAAGCAAGTTTAATCGAATCCAATTTGCTATGCATGCGCCGGCTTGCCTCGACGACGGCGAGATACATACGCAAATAAGCCAACAAAACGCGGCGAATAATTTCTTTTGCATTCGCCGAGCTGCCAGCCCGTAGGAAATCGAAGACATCCATTCGATGGCGGCTTGGTGTGTGCATCCGGCGCTCATTCAAAAACGGACTGCACCGAGCGCAACCAGAACGATTGCATATAAAAAGGCACAAAGGAAACAGTGACCTAATCAAAGCTAAGATTGGAAAATCTACAAAAAAAACCCAACTGACGTACAAATTAGATTAGATTTTTTCATCCTTTCAAATGTAAATCTAAAACTAATCTAACTTTATTTACTTTGCCTGTACTTTTATTAGTTTTATCTAAATGGCATTCGATATACCTATACGTAAATATTAACAAACTATATGCTAATAATTTATGTTTTATGTGCGACAATCAATGTGAATCGGAAAAGTAAAGTTTTGCTAAGCAGGCGCAGTCGCGGGGCGCGAACGCCAAATAGCTTTTCGCCCCGAATCGCTAACGATAAATTTTTCGCTCAATTGAACTCGTTTGCCTTGCGCCAGACTTCGCATTCTTTTCGGCATTGATTATTCCACCAGGCACAACATTAAAATTTGTTACTTACTTATCCAAAAGCGCTTTTATTAATACACTCGTCAATTTATTTTTATAAAAAATAATTTGTAAGAAAATTAAAATATTAGCTATGAATGCGTGTTGTTTTATTTCTGACAGCGATTAACGGAGAATAAAAGAAAGAAAGAAATCATTTAAAGTCATATATCTTATTGG